CGATGTCGTTAGACCCATCGCATGGTATGGCATTCTGCGCTCAAGACCCCGCAACCGCTACGCGAAGCAGCTTCGCGCCCGAATAGAGATTAGACGTACACTGGTATTCAGAAACCCTCCAAATGCACTTATTGCAGAGACACTATATCAGGAGGGCTCCAGTGAGCTTCAGGTCGAGGATTCTGCCATGACCATCCAAAGGGCCGCAAGTATTTTTCGGTCTTGGGAGGACCTCACACGAATAGTCCGATCTTCCCAGTCCTCGGATGCTGAATAGCAGGCTCGCCACCTTATTGTAAGCGCTTCTATAAGTATGACCAGACTGGTAGTGTTTTATAATACTTAGACAGCAGTTTGATGTCAAATAATATCCCAGCATACTAGTGACGCCATGGGATGTCTTGCAAGGGCTAGTAATGCGCCGACCGTGACGTGCGGGTTTGCATGGGTCACGGGACCTTATTTGCTTCGTACCTTTTTGCCGATGTATATCTGTTTTATTGCTATAACTTCCTATTTACGGCGAACACTCGTGCGTGATTCATGGCGAAGGGCAAAAATCTGAACCCTGCCGATGCTTTCCGTAAGTCGCGTTCCTACTTACAGTAATAAGCCACTGACAAGTGCGCCCTCAGGTAAAGCCCAGCGGAAGAAGGAGCTCAAGAAGGCGCGTATCATGCAATTTTGAGTGCTCAATCTGACCCTCGAAATATTTGCAGTAGAACAAGACTGGCAGAGCGAAGGCTCGCGATTTCGCTCTCGTAAAGAAAGATACACGAGGTGAGGATGTCAACGTGTTCGTCTTTATCTTTATCTCATTGCTTTTATCGTAGAACTTGAGGAAGAGATAGAGAAGCTCGATGGCAAGCCAGATGCATCTGCTGCCGAAAAGGCACGTCTTGCCGAACTGAAGGATGAGTTGGAGAAGGTCAATAAGAAGAAAGAGGACTATGTTGCTGAACATCCGGAGCATCGCAAACTAGTTTTTCGAGCTCGAAGGCAGAATGCGGAGAAGGATGAGAAAGAGGAAGGCCCGAGCAACAGTACCAGGAACTTGTTCAATAAGCACGGCCTTCCTCGACATCCAGAAAGAAGCATATACTACGATCCTGTACTTAATCCGTACGGTGTCCCACCTCCAGGGATGCCTTATATTGAAAGACGTGAGTCTCCAATTTATGTCCATTATCGTCGATGTCTCACATCAAAGTGTGCAAAGCCTTACGGCCAGACGAGGCGCAGAGTGAAGATGAGGAAGAAGGTAAGCACTATTCCTCACTCTGTGATGGCTATTTACTGATGCTATACTTCGTGCAGACGGCGATATCGTAATGCCTGATGGTCCTCCACCTGGCACTGCAGAGGAAGACATCAGTGACGACGACATTCCAATGCCCGAAGGTCCCCCGCCGCTCAACGGTACTGTTCACAATCCTTCAACATTGCAGGCTATCCATCAAAAGTATGCTGACACTGATGTAGGTCAGACCGTGCTAGTCAATACGGCCCTTCCCGTTCCCCCACTACCTCCACTACCTCCCTTTCAACCTCATGCTCAATCGCCACCGCTTCCCCCGGGCTATCCCGCTCCCCCGCCCCCAGGCTTCCCTCCACCGCCAGGTTATCCTGCTGGGTTTTTGCCTCCCCCTCCGCTAGGGTTCCCTGCTCCTCCCCCGCCTGCGGGATTTCCCGCTCCTCCACCTCCTGCGGGATTTTCTGCTCCTCCACCTCCCGCGGGCTTTCCGGGTTCTTCGATGCTATTTCCCCCACCTCCACCATCCGGTTTCCCTCCATTCCCTCCGTCTGGACATATGTCCCCACCAATGCCGCCACCTCCACCTGGCTTCTTTCCCCGCCGGTCGCAGTCGGCTTCCTCTATGCAGGATCCCTTGTCCTCTGTTCCACACCAGACATTCCAAGCCCATCGTGCGTCCCAGATAGCGGGACATCCCCCTCCACGACCCCCCACTTCCGGCGGTGTCCTCGTATCTGCGTCCAAGTCCACTCTGGCGCCGACGTCAACCATTGAGGCGGCTCCTCAACTGCGCGATTTCAAAAAGGAGAGCACAGCATTCGTGCCGACAGCCCTGAAGCGGAAGAAGGCGGGTGCTACAACAGGGGCGAGCTTCAAGGTCAATGCCGCCCCGACGCTAGGGGCGGAGGCTGATTCTGCCGAATCGGAGTTAGCTCCTATAGCAGCCAGACCTGATTTGATGAGCACGCTCAAGGACCATCTCGGCTCTGCCGTCAGTACTCCACCAGCGCATAACGTGCAGCCGAACAGCAAGATACCGTCGAAACAGAAAGATGACTATGCGAAGTTCTTAGATGAGATGGGCGATTTCTTAGGCCCCAATCCCTGACGTAAACACCGTTAACGCATGCTGGCGGTCCTGGCGGTCCAGAGACGATTACAAGAGTCTCGAAAGATTGTACTATATCGTACGTCCGCGTGGAATGCAAACCCATGGCTGTTCCGGTCACAAAATGTTGTTGTTGCATGACGCTAATGTATTGCCTCATTTACCCGAATCTACTCGATCATAATTATGCATGATGGGGACCTGGGTAGGCGGTATATGGTAGGGATATCCAGGACACAGTACTGGAACCAGGAGTAAGACAGCGGATGCAAATTCAGTTTACTTCCGCCTCCACCGAGAAAGCCTGCGTGCGCCGGAATCAGGATACAGACTGGGCATTAGGATACAAAAACCCTCCAACTGATTCCGTGAGCTACACGATCTCTCAACATGCCCACTCTACTACTTGACGGGCCTCAGCGACCCGTTCGAGCGCCTGAATATCCCTGCCAGTTCTGTTGGGCAGCCCAGGGCACCTTGCGTTGCTCAGGATGCAAGACGGCTCGTTACTGCAAGAAGGAGCTCAGTAAAGCGGTGAGCAGTTTCGTCGGTGTGCTGTACGATGCCAACTGTAACGACCACCTCGGAGGACTGGCTGCGACACAAATCTGAATGCGGGTTCATCTCGTCCGGCGGCCTGCACCCGCGCAGCATCAAGTGGCTCTCGGTCAAAGCGATCTTCTTCCCCGCAGAGGGTGGCGCCCCGCGGCTGGTCGATGCGCATTACCGGCTTGCGCCCGACCCGAACTATCCATGCATCATGAGGCACATGCCGGATTGGGGCATGTGGTTCACGAATGATAAGACGCTCTGGCCAGTGACGGTGCAGCGTATGGGCAGAGACGGTCCGCCGCTCGGTCGCTCGCTGGTCATCATGAACGGCGAGAACTCTGCTCTCGACCGCGCGACGCGCAACTTGTGCATCCAGGGTCTAGGGGTCGAGCGGGAGTGGACGGGGAACTATCTCGCGTTTAGGACCCGCAAGCCTGACCAAATTTCCCAGTATGAGAACGCGCGCATGGACGAGGATCTGCCCGCCATAGTACAGCACTTCAAGGAGGGCGAAGATCTTGATAGTGGTGAGTGCTGTTGCTGCTGCTCGTCTTGCGCATAACCATTGACCGGTCGTCCACAGTGGAAAATATGCTCGACTGGAGTGCTTTGGGCTACAGCGGGGTGATCCACTGCTAGATCTGTGAGGTATACGCTGCGTAAACGTCGGTTTTTCCGCGCAAGCACAGGCAAGACTGGTATGCCGCGACCTTGCTTGTTAGATCGACGCCTATATCACATTGACTATCCACAAAGCAAGCCATCCTCTGGACTGTACTCATGGTGGAGCGATGATCCTTGTTGGCGGTCTGAGATGAAATTGGAACGTTAGCCAACTTTCTCCAAACAGGGCTAGATTGTTAAAGACACAGCCTGGAACGAGGGCTTCGTAGTATCTTTCGTCAGCCTCTTCCGCTTATAGCAAAGTTGTTAACAGCAAAATCAATAACGCGGTGATCCCTAGTCAAAACTCGACCCACGCGCTTGCGCGTTCAGCTGCGTCTAGCTGCGTCCCCCAAAGCTCGTGGATGGAAACGCATGAGCGCGGAATGCTCGCAAAAGGTGCAGTACGAGTTTCGCGTCTATTCGTGCACTTGAATCTGGTTCCGTGTTAGCGTATGGACGCAGTTGAGGACACCTCTGCTCCCAAAATTGGATCTAGGGCTTAGTCGAGACTCCTCAACAATGCCGGGTGGGCTGAACGTGCGACGCTAGAGTGGGGGTGTCGGTGGTAGGTGGAAGAGTACCTGTCTTGTCCTTGATTATTCCACCCGACTTGATGATGTCATGCGGTTAGACGAGCAGACAGCTGGTGCTGCTTGCAGGTAGACAAGCTCATGTCTGTACGAGCGACACGCAAGGTGCATATGAAAGACAAGTGATTCTCGCACTTGTCTGCATAGTAAACTGACTTCGCCACAGACCAGCGCGCATCGGACCGTGCAAGCGGCTCAGCATTCCTGGCACACAAGCGTGCGGGTCGGGTTTTCACTGGATCGATCATCCCCCGTCGTTGTGCTGGTACTACATCGCTCGCCCGTCGGCAGTCCACAACTGACGAGCGCCTTAGACTATCAACGACCCCCTCTTGCTTGAGGCTTTCTCTGTCGCATTTCCGCGTTATTCCCTTATCCGCGACTCAACGCCCGGCACTTAGTGCGCCGCGCGCGCGAGGTATCCTCGTGTAAAGACTAACCGAACACATGTAACATTAGTAGAACTCGTGTACATCGATAAAAGGTGTAGATGACTCACCTCTGTAGATAGTGCCCTAGATAACAAAGTCTCCTCCTGTATCTATGTCGCTTACGTCGAATGCGAATACTCCCCAGAGCGTTCCCCACCTCTCCGGTCGCGCCAACTTCCAACTGCGTGATTCTCCCCACCCGCAACCGACCTCACTGCCCGGAGAGAGCATACCACGCGCCGGACCGTCTTCACGAGCGCCATCGCCCACAGCGAGTCTGAGATCACCAAGACGATGTCGCTGTATTTCAAAGACGAAGACGGCGCCGCGCAATTAATACTAGGGCCTTATGGGTTCCCCTCCTCGGAGCCGCCCCTGAATGTGACAGACGCGCTGGACTACATGGACTCGGTCAAGGCCCAGTTCCAGGATAAGCCGGAAGTGTACAATCACTTTTTGAACATTATGAAGGATTTCAAAAGTCAATTGTGAGTGTTGCTCGTGGTGTTTCTTGTTCAGCCACTCGAGCGTACAGTTTCTCCGAGAGAACATATCGGCGTGCATGTCCTCTGTCCCCCGCCACAATGTGATTGTCTGCATGTCTCTCGACGACTGTATGTGTCTGGGCAATGGTGTCATTCTGTGTGCCCGGGGACCGATGTTGGTGCACGTTCTGACTCCTCACCAGGATTGATTTACCGGCAGTTATTGCCCGCGTCTCCATGTTGTTCCACAGCAATCCCTACCTTTTACAAAGGTTCAATACTTTCCTACCACCCGGTTACCGCATCGACGTCACGGTGTCAACTATGATCACTATGATCACGCCAACCAGCGGTGACGTACAGCATTGGCGCATTCCTCATGATCCCGCCTAGACCTATTGACCTGGCACCCAGAATGTGCAGCACGTCCACTGGTGTATACATCATAGACAATGTGTACTTAGGTTTCGACGCGCAAGACGTACTTGTTGCTAACGCTTCTTGAACGCGCGACTCATTGTATAGAGATCTAACTTTTTCCCTGATTCTGCGCAGCAACCTGCTCCCCGTGCGATAAGAATTTCCCACATTCCGACGAGTCGAGAGCTGCGATAGTACGAAGCAAGGTAGTCACAGAGCCTTCCGGAGATTGCGGCTCGAACTTGAAATCTGGTACTGCCTTGCGGAAATCCGCTTGCTGCGCCTCGACTTCTTTCTTCCAAATCTGCTTATCTAGAAGAACAGCATTAGCGATCAGCTCGATGCGGCCCCTGATGTGTGCGAGAGTAAACGACCCACATTCACTTGAGGCGGTCGTGGTGACGTCTACGATTCCAGGGCAGAGCGACGTGACAACGAACCCCTCCTTCTCCAGTAGCACGGCATACTTAGCCATCACCATATGCGCCGCCGCCTTAGTCGTGCTGTACGCAGTCATGTTGGGCATGCGCGCCTCCCACACAAAATCGCGCTCGCCACCCTGAGAGCCTATGAGCACGATTTTCTTCGCGGATCCCTTGCGCAGAAGGGGCAGGAAGGTGTTGACCGAGTGGACAAAGCCGAGCACGTTGATCTTGAACTGCACGGGGAATGTGGTGGTGAGTCCCAGATTTTCATACAAATAGTGAACGCTCTCACCGACTCCAGAAACTCTGCGTCTGATGCGTCTTCGTCCTCGCTGCGGGCGTGGCGATGAATATTTGATTATGACTACGATGAGGGTTAGTCTGAACGCACTAATCCAAGAGCCCTTTGAATGCATTGTGAGCCTCCGTCCGAGCTGCATTGTTGATGAGTACGTCGAGCGACCCTCCAGTGGCCTTCACTACCTCCTCTGCAGCAGCCTGTGCAACGCTATATCATCCTCAACAGGGGCAATATAACAGGTTGCCCACCTTCAGGGCGCGATGGTCGACAACATCGGCTTCCAGCACATGTATGTTTTGGTGTCCGGATTGCGCGACTAGCTCCGCAAGGTATGTGGAACTGTTTCGGTTGCGCACAGTCACGAATACAGTGTTCTCAGGGTTGGAGGACTACAGATTCCGAGTGAGCAGGCTGAATGCAGGTAAGCAGATGCCGAGATACATACCAGCTGACGCACGAACTCGAGGCCTATGCCGCGCGAGCCTCCAATTACAGCGTACGAAGGCATGTTACGAAATAATAATCGAGTGTGCGTCGGGCTGGCGAAAGGTTCACTGGTGAAGTGCTGAAGAGTCGGGGTCCCTTCCCTCGACTGTTTATGTATCCGCGGTAATCGCCCAACAATGCCGCAACGATGTGTCGTCATGTTCCGCCCATGTAGACAGCGGTATCTGGCTATCTGGCTTGTTGGCCGAAGGGCACTGTGCCGCAATGACGCGTCACAGGCACGCCTACTGCATAGTGAGTCGGTCCCGATACATGTCCATCTCGCGGAACAGGTGGGTCGCGCACCTAATGTTGTTCCGGATTTGTGATGGGCCGAGACACAAAACGAGCGTTCTGCATTCGTCTCCATCCCACGCATATGCCGCTGAGCGCAGTTCAGGGTCTCATTGAGACTCATTGAACGCTCAACCGTCAAACCCTCCAATGTTCGTCGTGATCACCATCGCCCATCATGTCACAAACGATAGAACACGCGCTACCTACCTTGTTGCGAATTCCTTTGGCTTCAGAGTAACTGGAGTCTGTATAGGTATATTAGGAAGTCAGCCGCGGAGCAGGTACTACATACTGCCCATCTTTAGAGTGATCCTCCTGCTGTATAGCGGTCAGTATCGACTTTACAGCAAGCCAAGAGGGATGGGTCATAACCGGGGTAGAGGTTACACATATTCTCCAGCATATCATCCAGTGCAGCGTTCCCTGTCTCGTCCGCTGCACGAAGTACCCCCATCTTCAGTCGGCTTGTTCCCTTGGAAAGGCGAACGGAACTTACGCTGGACGGCAGTGTCCGTCGTGCCCACATAACCGGGACTTAGGGCAAACACAGCGAACTCCTCGCTCTCTAGCAGCGCAGCGTACTTGGTCATAACCGTGTTCGCCGCAGTCTTCGTCATGCCATACGCTGCAAAAGTTGTGATGTGCGCCTTCCAGGCGAGCTCGCGGTCCCCCGCGCCATTCTCTTGACAATAACTGTCCTAGAAGCGCCTTTGCGAAGTAAGGGGAGGAAAGCACTGATGGAGTGTACGACGCCAAGGACGTTCACACGGAACTGTTGTTGCATTCCTCTCAGAACTGAGATGGATACGCGAACGCCCACAGCTTCCCCAAAATCAACATCGATTTCGTTGGTTCTCATCGACGCTGACAGATGGCGCACCAGACGCGGATGCGAGCCAGCAAAGTGGCGCGGCTAAGAAGGCTCAATAGTCGGTGAAACGGCGGTACACACCCTTATTGTCCATGCGTGCAGCGTTATGTGTCAGTTCATCCAGTGTCCCGCGCGAAAGTTCAGAGACCTATTCTGCTGCCAGCCGCGTCCGTTGAGTGTGAGGATTTGCTTGGAAGAAGGTTTGAATCAATTATCAACCTTGAGGGCATGGCGATCAACAACATCTGCCTGCAGAACATACACTTTCTTTCTTTCAGACTGGGAGATGGAAGAAAAGAAAACAGGTGTCCGGAGGTTGACATGTTTCGTACGGTCACCAAGACAATATTCTCTGGGTTGTCAAACTATATGTTCTTTCTCAGCCTGCGTAAGACTGCGAGCCGCCTGTTGCGTACATACCAGTTGGCGCACTAGCTCCAGGCCTATCCCACGAGAACCTCCGATGATGGCGTATGAAGACATGTTCCCACGACGCGTTCCTCCACCGGCAGAACGTACGCGTGGTTTGCTGCCGCTCGGACACGCGAGTCATCTCGTAGTAGTGGTCTGGAACTAACGCTGTCAATGTATGATGGGTATCGGAGGAGATGTGGGTGCCTCGTGAAGCTGTTATTAGCTACGTAAGTAGGTGGGATGTCCACTGCCACCGGTAATTGAAGACCCAATGCGAAGCGGCCGAGCAGCACAACCACGGGAGCGTTAATACCTGAGATACAGTAGCTGCAGATTGCTGTAATAGCTTGTGTCAGAAGGGGCGTCTATGACGGAAGCCTGAGCCGATCTGCTGTTGATCGTGCATGGCGGGGACCTGAGTGGTGGGCATAGTATGGTAGGGATATCTAGGACGCAGTACTGGAACCAGGAGTAAAGCAGCAGATGCAAATTCAAATTACTTCCGCCTCCACCAAAGCAGCCCATGTGCGCCAGAATCAGGATACAGACTGAGCAACCAAGTGATTCCGTAAACCTCACGCTCTTCTAACAAGCCCGTGCTACCATCAGTGACGCAAGCTATTCTCTGGCTGTACTAATGATGGGGTGCAATCTTTTTATTCAGTCTTAAATACAGTTTTATATCCGCCGGATGAGCACATTCTTGTTGGCGATCTGAGATTACATTGGTCTGTCAGCCGTTATTCTCCAATTAGGGACTACGAGGTAACAAGCGACAGCTTCGGAGTCTTTGTATCGTCCGCCAGCCTTTTTCCGCTCGAACTCCTGCACATAGCTTATTCCGTCGCCCTCTATCATGGATGAATATGTAGAGTATCCATGCCATGTATGTTGGAAGCCCGGCACTTTTCAGTGTTCCCGATGCAAGACCATTCGATACTGCTCGCGCGAGCACAGTACCTCGGTTTGTCCTGGACAACAAGTGTGGCTCCGCGGTACTGACACGAATGAATCCTCAGGATTGGTCGCGGCATAAAGCTGAATGTCGCTACATATCATCAGGAGGACTAGTGGACAGTAGTAGGTGGCTGACCATCAAGGCATTATTTTTCCCTGCTGCCGGCGACGCGCCGCGCCTGGTCGACGTGCCGTGCGAGCTGCGGCCTGACGAGGACCACCCCTGCATCATGCAGCACACGCCTGACTGGGAAACTTGGTTCGGTAACATTCGTCCGTACCCCATCACGATTCAGAGGCATGGCAAGGACGGGCCTCTTCTCGGCCATACGCTGACGGTGGTGTACAACGAGAACTTTTTCAATGACGGATCGCCTAGAAACAAGTGCATCCAGAAACTGACGAACGGTGTGGGTCATCCGTGGTGCGGGAACTACCTGGCGTTCAGGCAAAGGCCGCCGGTGGATAGGACGTGCCAGTTCGAGGACGCAACGATGGGGGACGTGCCACCGCTGGTAGCGTATTTCACAGAGTGCACCGGGGCGAGTCTCAGTAAGCCAATCTGCTCGGTCTCCTGGTGTTTGCTGAAGTGTGGGATGCTGGCGCAGTGGAGGAACCGCCATGACGAGGGAAGACTTTGAGGAAATGCTTGCCAGTATGGGGGCCAACCCTGCCAATGTCGTGCACATTGATCTGTAATAATTCATTGTAAGAAGAAGCTAGTATTAGAAAGGGCGTCTATGAGACTATGACGGAAGCCCGCCATCAGAGTGCCGGTCTACAGCCGATCGGCTTGAGGACTGGGAATGCGAGATGAGACTGACTGTCGGGTGACGACTCAGTCTGCGTCCTCCATGTCCAGGCCTGTCCTGACTTGTCCTTCCGTAATCTTCTGCTTTGCTGTACACTAAAACTCGATGTCATATACCACTACTGGCGCGAGTACAATCTTGCTAAGTCCTCGGCCCTTGGCTCGATACCCAGGGCACTTTCTTCTCCTACCGCTGCTGCCTTATAGGCCTTCTCTGAAACCGCTACCCTCGGAGATATGGTCGAAAATACTGGCTTACGTTTATCAGCACTATGATTGCGAACTTCCCGGATCCCTCGTCCAGCGGGACTTGCTGAGGCAGGGCTTGTTACTTGTGTGCAAGGACTTGAAGGTGCGTCCAAGTGCTCACAGGATACGGACCGCATAAGCGTGCTCGCGAACGAAAGCAGAGACAGAAGCGGCTGCGGCATTGTATGCTGAGAGCGTTTCGGGCTGTTCCCGGGCTATTCCCTCCACTCGCAGGTCAGTGCGAAACAGGTATGAAGCGAGCTCATTTATCCCATTACTCTGTTATACTCCGTCCGCAGTGAGGATAGTGTACTAACTTGTCTTACTTTCAGGATGTTGCCTTGCCCCTCTTCTATGAGCACGTCTACATCAATTCATTAGCTCGTTTGGAACGATTCGCTGAACACCTCCACGTCTCCGACCAGAAGTGGGACTCCATCCGACGTATTCCATACTCTACACCCGGACGATGGGTTCAGACTCTCGACCTACGCGAGCTGGATATCGCTTCCCCTGCCGAGGCGTACCGTCTAGACAACGCCCTCAACTTGCTATTTCCCCTCCTCCCTTTTCTCATCCGTTTCATGGTGAGCCCTAGCATCGTGCTGAGTCGACGAGCAGTAGGAGGCATAGCGACTCGGCCTGAGACAGTCCACCTCCGCGTCCTGAAAGGCATCCGCTTTGAATCATCCTCCCACGTCGAGCCGGACCACTTCGTCGAGCTCTTGCGGGCGTGTGTCGGGCTAGAAGAGCTGTCAGTCATCGGCACCGGCGTAGATATGCTCGACTCTAGTGTCTCACAAGAGCCGCTCCCATTCAAACCGCTACATCTCCCGCACCTCCGGAAGCTCGTCCTGCTCTCACTGCCCTGCTCGCCGGTCATGTACGCGCTCCTTCACTCGCCCCTCCCCTCCCTCCGCCATCTCACCATCTCTCCCTGCGACGACACCGCCGTCCCCTGCTCGCTTGTCCCGCGCTTCATCCACGCGCACGGCGCGCAGCTCTCCTCCCTGCACCTCTTCACCGCCAAGACGTGGCCTGCCACGTCCTCACCCTCGCCACCGACGCTGCTCACTAGTTGCCCCGCGCTGCATCACCTCTCGCTCGAGACTCCGCTGCCCATTCTGATGCTCCCCGCGTTCGCTGACGCCGAGCCGCACCCTCTGTGCATTCTTTCACTCCCGCGCCCGCGTCCTGAGTTCCTCGCCGTACTGGAGGCGCTCCTGCCGCGCCTGCCGGCGCTGAATACGATCAGGACGCGCGACGTGCGCTGGCTCAGGCCCGGAATGTCCGCGCGTGCGCAGCAGGCGGGCGTGCAGGGCGAGATGGTCGAGTGGCGCCGCCGGTTTGGCAGGAGGGGGATCCAGATCGTGGACTCGGATTGGAAGACAGGCCTTGAGTGATGCGGAAATGTACTGTATAATCTAGGTTGGTGTTTTGCTGGATGTTGCGTTCCTATCTGTTGTATAAGTATAATGCTACCCCACCACTCCGTCATAATGTCAATGTTGTTATAGCCACAGGACTGCAAGCTATGCACGACGGCGTCGTGCTTCAGGATATCTCGATGCTTTGCCAGACATAACACGGTGCGTGGCAAAATGGTTCATCCCCTTGACTTATGTGCTTATCAGGAGCCTAACAGACGGCTTGAGTAACCGCAAATATATAGGTTGTACAAAGACACTCATGAAGGCTGAGATTCATCTAGATGAGCACTGTGACTAAGTGTTGACCATCCATTCGAAATATCCCCCAGATTCAACTCCACCTCGTACAGCTCTTCGCATCCTGGTGGCCGTGTTCCGGGCTGTTCATTGTACAGGACCGGATGCTGACCAGGGCACTTGTGCAACTGTGCTGTCGAAAAGTCGATAATGCGCACCTGCCCGTCGGGGTGCAATAAGAAGTGATGTGCGTCCTTGACAGCCAGATTACCGTGAACGACCCCCGCTTTGTGCAGACGATATGCCGCCATCACCATCATGGAGCTGCGCGGTACGCATACTCATAAGCATCAAACAGTCAGTTGAACGAAGGAAGGTGCGTGTACTCACGCCTTGCGGTCCAACGGCCAATCTGCTCCTCCCGCACACCACTCCAGGAGGAGACAGCCGAACTGCACATCGTCTATCTCTCTTGCAAAGAAGCCGTGGTAGCGCGGCACGACAGTGCCCTGGAGCGGGGCGAGCTCCTTCTGGTAGAGCCCCGCCTCGTAGCGCAGTTTATGGACGGCGTTTACGCCGCGCGCACACTTTATGGCGACCTCAGCCGAGCCGTGCTGTGTTCCCGAAGGCGCCGTCTCCTCGAGCATGCCGCGGTATACTGGTGTGAAGATGCCTGTGGCGTTTCCCTGGCCGCTCGCGCCGCCTGATTTGCCCGCGAACCAGTCTTGGAATTTGCTCATGAACGCATCGCGGGAGGCGTCCCCGGTCGTTTCCAGAGATATCTCCACTCGCAGATTCGGCTTATCGCCGTCCAGGGAGTCCAGTCGCAAGACAGTGGCGCCGCCGAGGACGACGTCGAGCGAAGCGGGAGTTTCCGACATGTGCTTAGCAGAGTACGAGGGGCAATACAACGCGCGGGTATGGAACGACGCAGAGCTGGATCCGTTACTTGTGGCTGAAGTGCGTCTCATGCAGGTGGATAGAGCAAGTTGTCCTAAGTCACTTAGCGCCTTGGCCGCCTGGTGTGGCTTGCTCTGTGGCCTGGGAGGCGCTCATGTGGCGTCGTTTTCGGTGGCGTCGACAGGACTGTCTGGATATGTTTGGATGGGCATGATTTCGTAGATTCTGAGTTGACGCGCCTTGGAGCTTGAAGCTTGTGCCGTGGTGGCTTAGAAATGCGGCTCTACATCTTGACTATGATATCCTTTCTCCCACTCTTCTGCATTTCTTGCGAGCAACGTAGAGCCGATTATTTGCGCACAACGTTCGAGTGACAAGATTAACTCAACGTACAACTCAACTCAGTCCTGAGCATGTTCCAAAGTCAAAAGAGACGTCCAGAGAAACAACCATCCCACCCTATCCCACCGCACGGGTCGAACTTACTGTCTGCCCGAAACGGATCTATCCCGGGCCGGGGACGGACCACCGCCTTTCCTGCGCAGCAAGGATCTCAGAACGTCCTACTTCTCTCAATGAAACGCTCATGCCACCTGTTTGCACATCCCGTCCGGATACACCGCCAACCTTCCTTTTCCTGCGGCGCTCGCTTAGCCACTTGGTAAAACCTGAGATATTATCTCAGTCCGCGGCAGACGGTGCAACTCCCCCCGGCGACGGTTCTCAGTTCAGGAGGCGGGGACAGACACCTTTCTTGCGCTTCATCAAGCTCGCGAGGAGACGGACAGATGGATCGGTCGACGTGCCGCCTGAGGAGTCCCCTGTACGTGCCTTTGGTCGACGCGACGAAACGCAGGCTTCTGTCATATCCTTGCCGTCTGAGATTTCGGACGAAGCTGTCGGTGATGTCCCCTCTGTTACTCCCTCCGTAGAGCGCATAGGGGACTTTACGGAGGTCGACACCAGTGCTGAATCCGCAGGTCACGAAGAAACTGCCGCAGGCGAACACATATCTATCCCCGAGCCGGCATCTCTCGCGCGCAGAATTCAAGCTCTTGTCTCCTCACTTCCTTCGTGGGCGGCACAATCATCCTCAGCAACGTCTGGCAGCCCCGATGTGCCTGTATCGGGGACTTTCCCTGCTTTCATAACCGACTCCAAACTGGTCTCATTTCTGTCCTCCCCGTCAATCATGAACGGGGAGGCTTCTCAAGGGCGGCCGAGTATGTGGACACTACTCGACCGCTTGCAATCTTCCGGCCACACGCCGTCCCCACGCGTGGACGCGAACGGCGATGCTCACCCCGCTACAGAAGAGGGCAGCACAGTCTCGTCAGACGATGACAGCTCCAGCTTCATGCTGTACGCGCCTCTCGTGCCTGACGATAGCTCAGAAGTCGAAGTCGCGCGTTCTGAGGTCATCTCCCTGGACGAAAACGCCTCGATAACTAGCTATCGAGAGCCAAAAACACGCAGTGTTCTATCTAGACTATGGCCCTTCAGCTCGCCAGATGTGGCCGTCGCTGATGAAAGAAAGGTATGGATCCCGTCTCCCACCAAAGTCTCCTTAGAACTTCGGTGGTGGGGCTACCGTGTGTAAGTCCATGGTCCGTGATGATATACTTCATGCTTATGAGGTACGTTGGTTATTCAGCTACTTGCCGCCTCCAGTCCTTGCTATCTTGGACAACCAACGAATAGAGGCTAGCAAACGTGCTGCTCTCCTGACCACCGCTCTCAAGTGGCTACTGGACCATATTCCCACCGCAGCTATTCCTCCTCAGGCTCGCCCGGCACTACAGCTCCTCGGAACGCTTGTTCCCTATCTGGCCTATCTAGGAGCCTTCGTTGTATGGAGCTGGAGTGCCATCAAGACATTCGATAAAGGTGCGCAGTCGGCTGTCTGAAGGGAACATCCACTGAGCGGTGTTACAGGCAACGGCGTCATCCTGACAGCCACTTGGTTGCTGCCACTGGCACTCATTCCTGGGTCTTGGGATGATACTCCGAGCAATCCATGACATCTTCTGTACGTGCATAGTTGATGTGCTATATACCGTCAGTGATGCGGGGATACCTTGGTATGGTACTTTCCGCAACTTCGCATATACTGACTCGTTGAGCGATGATACCACTGTGTTGCTGCATGTAAGTATGTACTACCTGTATACGCTCTGCTCTAGATTCTACATCTCGTGTATCAATTTAATTGGATTGTGCGTCCTCGGCGAAGAACGTCTTTAGCCACTGAGCCTCTTTTTCCATTTCCTCCACTGTGCGCGGTTTCCTGTCGTCGTCTGCGTCCATCTTTAGCGGTTCTACTTCGCCAGAGGGCAACTCTTCCCCGCTCTTGTGTCCCCTTACTGTCTTGAACTGTGCGGGCAGCTGTCCCTCTGCCTGCTCAAGAACAGGGTAGACATCATCATTCCTGACGAAGTAGTCGCCCTTCAGCCTGCGGGGTATAATGTGGAAGTGTACGTGAGGCATCGTCTGGCCTGCGGCCTTGCCATCCTAGGATTGCCCGAGGTGTAGATCTGCACAGGTCGGCAGCAGCAGCTATGAACTCACTTGACACGCGATGGTCAGACCATCCGCCCCGTATGCGCGTTCAATCACACGCCCGACTTGTTGCACCGCGGTCATCAGAGACGACAGCTCGGGGGGAGTGAGGTCTGTAATTCGGGGAACATAGCGAGTAGGGACGACCAGCACGTCTTTGCAGCCAAGTCTTTACCATCGTAGCATCATTGAATATTTCCGTGCGACACTTACGTCCTGGCACGATAGGCTTGAGATTGACGACGGCGTAGCTGAGCGATGTGCGGAAGAACGCTTGGCGGGTGACTTCAAAGGTCGAGAAGAAAAGATTGGTCGACATCGCTAGAGACAACGTGCACGCTCGCCATTATCGCTGCCAGTATCATGTCTGCAGACATGGTAAAGGTATATCTTTTCAGCGCCATACATAACAAACAGAGGCAAACTACTAGTAGAGACATGACGCACCCGCTTGCTCTTTTGCCTCGATCTCGATGGTCTCTCCGTTAGAGGCTCTGCCGCCGGAACTTTACACAGACATCCTCTCACAAATCCCTCTGGAATATCTACAAGAAACAACGTATTCCCTCGTCCGCGCCGTCCCGCGCTCGCCCGTTCCCCAATACCACTTGTTTCACTATGTGCGCCTCAAGAGAAGCCATCAGATCTTCAAGCTCTACAGTCACCTTCGGAAGAGCCCAGATCATGTCTCCCTGATCCGCTATTTCGCGTTGGAGAGCTGGGAGGTCAGTGATGCGTGGGTCGTGAATAATCTGATTGCCCTCTTGCGCAATGTGAGCGGACTGCGTCTGTTTATTGGGCCCAACTATTCTCCTGAACATCTGGAAGAGATGTTTGAGAAGCCGATAGAAGAGTTGGAGTCTATCTCCTTGAGATTCAGACCGTAGTAAGTAGTATGCCTCTGTGTATGTTCGGCATGTAATAAAAATATCTGTGATAGCGTACAAAAAGCGACATATTATCACTTCCTCAAGGTACGTAACGTCACCATCGCATACCCGAGAGGGACCTCACATCTGGATTAGGGTGCATATTTTGATTCCACTCTCGAGGCCTTTTCCCGTTGGCCGGTAGCGAGACTACACGCACTTTCAATCATTCAGGATCCTCTAGACCCCCTCAAAGCGCCGACGCACTTCGCCCAGCCGCTAGTGTTCTTCCGGCTCGACCCTCTGTCGACCCTCGTTTGTTCTCCCCTCCTCGAAAATCTTCTGCATTTCCGCCTGCGCATACCCGCGCGCCAGCCTACGCGCTTTCTGTACACGACGCCCAAGGCCCTGCCCAGCGTAGAGACACTCGACCTGTCCACATGCGGCGTGAGTTTGGCTGACGTCGAGGGCGTGCTCGCTCGCTTCACGCGTCTCAGAACGCTCGTGCTTGATCAGTGTCACATTGTCATTCCGCGGGCTGATGTCCAGCACGATGACGGGCTGTGGTACTGGGCGATATTGGGCAAGGCGATGGCAGCCGCGAGTCACAAAGCGGCAAAGGACCGCGAGAAGACGCTCAGGACGTGGTTGGAAGCACACAATGCTCATCTCGCGGGGAATGCGCCGGCTCCTGAGCCTGCGCAGGTGCGCCAGCGTCGACCGCGTCGGGGACGTCGGGGCCTCGCCACTGCTACCATATCGCTACGTAACTCTCCTCCGCGGGATCCAGTTCCCATTCCAGCGATCCCTCCGGGCCAGCTGCCACCGGGCGCTACAGTCGGCCAGATCCCAAGGATCCGGGTCTTACCGTCCAAGCCCTCCGTCGTATCTTTCACGGCCACCGCTCCCGTTCTTTTTGGACCAGACAAGCATGAGGCGATACGCGCCGAATTCGAGAGAGGGTGGGCGGAGGGCATTGCGCTGCTGCACGCCGTCTTTCGTCGGATTAAGGCGAGCTGGGACAACGGAATGAGGGTGATGAAGTTTGACGACGACGTTGTGGACAGCGAGGTTGGTTTCGCTGGGTTGGTTGATGTCGACGACGCGGAAGACTTTGAACTCGAAACCATCGAGCTCGACGAGAGAGCGCCCAGCCAGTGCCCCGTACTGTGTCTTGCTGGGCCTAGGCGAAACAAGCACCATGTTCTCGGTTGTGGACATGAAGTCGTCTGGGACGTTTGGGGGGATGAGCTGTGAGTGAACTGTCTATTTGTACAGCGGATAACTGGACATTGTACTGTACGGCATGCCATAAATATGTAGATCAACTAGACACGGAGAATAATCTGCACGAGCAGGGGTGGCGGTAATAATTTTGTGGCACGCACTATAGGGTTTGGAACCCACATGATATTCTACCCCTACCTGCGTCCATGCTACTGATTACGCCCGCACCCGGCCCTTCTGAATGATTATGATAGAAAGCGGAACCTCTTTCCTCGCCCAGCCATATCGCTCGCGATAGTCGGGGTCCCCGAGGTCGTTCGCCCGCCGGATGGCTTCCGCGTCCCCGCCTGTATCGGGACCAAAGGTGTTTTCCATATCGCGCAGCTCGCGACATTCGCTGCAGACCTCTGGGGTGTTCTCGTCGCGCCGCTTGAGGAGCGGTATACCGCCTTTGCATTCATGCACATACGCGACGCCGAAATCCACGATGCGCAACCGGTTCCTAGAGTCGACAACGAAGTGATGACCGTCCTTAAGCAGGCCATGGTCGACACCCACGCTATGGATTTGGGCGGTTGCGAGCATTTTCTGCCGGCTGCCTCTCAATTAGAGAATACCGTGGCCGGATGAACAGGTTCGATACGCACTTAAGTTCTCGAATATCTTGCGTAGGCGTCCCGCAGCACCACTCCAGGACAATACAGCAGACGGGCGTCACGCCAATTTTTGCAAGGAATAGTCCATAAAATTTGGGAACAAATGTGCCTTGTAGACGCTTTAGGTTACCCTCGTAAATGCAGGCCTCGTTATAGAGCCTATCAATGGTATCTGCTGTAGTGGCCCACTTGAGGGCCACAGTGAGTGAGGCCGTGTCTTCCGATGCGCCACTCCTACGCAGCTGGGCGCGGTATACTTTCCCAGTCTCCAGGTCACCGCGGATGGGATGATACTCTTGCTTTGTGATCATATCCTGTCCTGGAAGTCCCATGTAAGTCAGGCCTTCGGCTACCCAGTCGCAATCTATGTCGGTGCCAATGAGGGACCGGAGTCTATATATCGACTGGAAGTCGACATGGATTTCAAGGCTTGAGTACAGAGCTGACTTGTCACCCATCTGTAGTAGGCCGCTGAGACAGAAAGGTAGTCGAGAAGAACAATCGAGACAGCCGCAATATTTATATCGACACGCTTTGATGAATAGAGCGAGAAAGCAGGACGTCACCTTGATCTTGTCACGACATCCGCCAGCACCTGACACTAAGACCAAGCTTCCGGAAAGGAGACATAGCAACGCTCATTGTCCCAGGCCGCAAACGTCAGGGCGTGTGTGGAGACACTGTGTGGCGTGCATCACATCAGAGACATTGACGGACCGCCGCGTGAGAAAACTGCTTTTTGAGTAATGAGCCTTGATACTGAAAAGTAGAACAAAGCGGCGTACCAGTTTAAGTTATTGCTGATGCGCTTGGCGCTACAGCTGTGATCAAGATCTAGATCTGTGGTGACTCAAACAAAGGACCCCGACGCCTTCATCCACGAACTGGCTACACGAATCTTTTCTGGAGTGGCTCCAGTTCATCTTTGTGGCGGAGAGTCTCCCCAGGCTTCGTGCTTATGTACTTTAGGGTTATATGGCCACTGTGGCGCTCGGCTGTTTCCATTAAGTAATACTCGCCACAGCGGCTGAGTTGTCTTGTGTACAGTGGGCGCTTATATAGCCATCTTGTAGCCGTCAGCATACGCGCACTGAGAAACAAACAGGTGAATCTGCATCGGCGAGAGTGAATGCAAGGCAATGAGGAGGTAACCGGTTATATTCAACTTGAAACAATTGCGCTCGCCTGTCAATGAGATTGAGATCTGTGCATACAGCGACTTCTTTTAGACGCCAGCATACGTCTCATTCCTCAACATTCAAGGTAAACTCTGCCAGAGCAATCTTCACCACCGTCCTCAGGACCTAGTATACTCACGCGCGTATCCTCTGCATATCGATAACTTTGTTACAGCACATCGCAACTACACAGCACCCCCTGCTCACCCTGCCCTCCGATTATTTTACCCCCATGCGCCATTGACGTCACTGTTGCAGAACAATGTCTACTGCACAGAGCCATATCCAGAAGGGCAATTCTGGAGAGCGAGACTCGCGCTTCCGCTTCGCATGTAGCAGATCTTCGCATCGATGCATTCGCCCGTGCAGGCCGGCGAGCGGACAGAGCTCTTACCCTGGTACGTGTTGAACAGCTATAATCGAGACAAGGTTGGTCAGATGTCCTAACGTGCCCCACAAGAACACCCACCGTAACGAGAGACGAGTTGGCTTCCATGGCTGAGCGTGTCAGTAGAGGGCCAGTATCAGAATACAGCGGGCAAGAGTGCGGGTAAACATACGGACCTTCTGTCACTAGATGCCACCAGGTGGCATTTAGGGGGTCATTGGGGCCCCACCCGGTGATGCTTCCACCGTATGCCTCGCGGGCGCTATACTCGAACCTGTACGTCGGCCCAAACTCGGTCTGCCCGTCAAGTCCCCCAAAGGAGTTCACGTCCGCCTCGAACCTTATAGAACGGGTGATCAGCGTGCGCGCTGCGGAGACGGCACCCGCACCCTCGACGTCGGCAGGCGACTCACGTGTATGCGTCGAGAATATCAAATGTCTGATAAAAGTGGAGCGATTCATCAGCCGCGGTCACACGGCAGAGCACACGGACATGATACGCACCCCAGAATCGACCTCATAGACACGGAAGCCGGAGTTCAGATTCGTCAGGGGTGTCACGGAGGGAGCAATCTGCGTCGGGGGACTCGGTAATGAGCGAACGCCTGCTGCGCACATGTTCCCCGGGGATGACGTACCCATTGGACCGCCAAGGCACTTTCCGCGCTGATGTCAGTCGCGTTATTGGCGTAGAAGATCTGGTGTTTAAATGTAAGCGGGCGTGGATAAAGGTATATGTTTTCAGCGGCGTACGCTCAGCTGGTCTTCGTGCGAGTGTCCGAAGAATACCCCTGCAGAAGACTTAATTGAATGGGCTGAATTACGAAGCGGTCTACGAACCTGCAATGACATGAGGCGAGAAGCGGTCGACGCTGCGAAGCTTGGTTCAGTATTAGGGGGTTGTGCATGTAGGGGTGTGTGCATACATCTGATAGACTAGAGAGATGGCAGGTTATTACAACTTATCTTGAGATGTGCACAATATTCCAGACTCACATAGATTCGTAGGGTTCTTCAAGGGGTTAGTACCATCCCATCCTGCAAGGACATGTCCCAAAATCCAGACTAGAAGCTTCACTTAGCTCACGAAGCAATGGCGTGTCTGCTCGCTCACCTCGATCACCGGCATCTTCGGCATCCTGCAGCTCATCTGTGACGAAGCGCAGCATACCGGAGTTGTCTGACGATGATAGGTTGATGTAGGCATAATAGTTGTCCCTTCGCACTAATGTGAGCATATCATACCTCTCGCAAGATCTTAGTATGCCTACGTGTACCCTATTGGACACATAGACGGGTTTAGTGTTTGGGCAGATAAGGTTAGACACCAATAATCACTTACACATGTCAGTGTTCAGTGTGATGATCCTCAGCCCATCATGGCGTTGCACGGAATATGCCGAGTAATGAGTGCGAGCTTGTTGTGCCGTCTCGGAAGAAATCCAGCCTTCATATTCCCACAACGCTGCCAAATGATCATAGTCCCTATTCCGCCAGAATATCAGAACTCAATAATGTGGATAGACGCAAGATCGATTGACGGACCAGTTGAACTGATCCGTGAGCTCCGGGCCGATGTTGTAGGGAGAGTTCTGCGCCCTATAGCGGACCGAAAATCAGGCTTGAGTTACTTGTACAGTAAACGAGGAAACGACGCACTCTTGATAGGTGTCGTGGTTTCCGAGCACAGCATACACAGGCCCAGAATTGATCTGACGCTTCAACAGGTCGTACAGAACGGTCTAAGCATGCATTGTCAGCCTTCGACACGGATTAGCCCCAGGCAACCTGGGCCCACCTCGCTGTATACGGTATATTCCCTGATGGCGAGAGATTAAGTCAGACCTCGGCGACTGCCGTCGCAGAAGAAGCCTCACTTGGAAAGCTGATTGCCAGGGTCATGCGAAACCAGATCGCCGGTATAGATGGAAAAGTTGAATCCGTATTCCTCCGTGCCCGTGAGGACAGGAACAGATTGCATCGCCGCGAGGATCAAGGGGAATGGCGCATCACTAGTCAGACAATCAACAAACACCCAACCGCGACGCAGCGAGACACATCACCAGTAATAGGCTCCATAGTAGGGTGCAGGTTCCACCGTCACGTTCGGACTATGATCGTTGTAGCTCGACGGGCGACAACACAGGTACGCAGAACAGTCTGCCTCGGCGCCAACGGTATAACCTACGGGAGCATTTGAGAAACGTGCCTTGACGGGCCGAGAGCACGAAGGGGTACGTACGGGGGTCGATGTGCAAATCAGACATGTGCAGCACCTTGAGCCTTTGGCCCGTCGCCTTCCGTGAGGGCGGAAGGGGATTTGGCTTCGGCTTGGCGAACCAAGTCGTGAGGTCCAGGGGGCTTGTCGGCGGGTCCGGGCACAGGCCCAGGAACTGGTTGCAAATCGACTACCCGCGCAGTCACCACCACCACCATCAAAACCCACACCCACGCCCACACGCAGATCGGCCACCCAAAGCCAAACGGAACAGATTCCCTCGTCAGTTCCCGATCTCGCAGCCGATCACGCAATCGGGCAGCGTACCTGGCCGTCATAGCCTCCCGCGTCTGCGTATGCGGCGACCTGCGTGAGCGTCGCGCCGAGCGTGAAGATCCCGTAGTCCGCCGCGCAGTCGTCCGCGTAGTCGAAGTACTCGCAGAGCCGGATCGCGAGGTTCGGGCCCTCTGCAGGGGCCGCGAGCGCGAGGAACTTGGCGACCTCGAGCGAGACCTGGCACGCCGCGCAGGTGTCACTGCTAAAGATGGGACTCGTGGAGATCGAGATGATTTGTTGCACGGCATAGTCGAGCAGCTGTGACGAGGATGCGGTCGGAGGCAGAGGATGTGTCTCCCAAGTGTCTTCCTGCAGTAGGGATCAATTGTATGCTAACGCATATATAAGACGTGGAACACGGGCGTACCTGAGGGATCGTCTCCGGATTCGTCAACCAGTACGGGTATGTTACATGCTGGACGACCGGGTTAGTAGGTTTCGCGATGCTGTTCATGCGACATACAGTGATGGGGTCAGTAATGACCGGTTGAGGCTCAGCAGTCGTCGCAGTAGGGTCGTTGTAATAAGACTCATACACGGAAGTCGGAAACACGCCCGGAACAGTGTACTCAGAAGGACCCAGAGGTGTCTGAGCGGCAACAACGCCTGCAAGGAAGCAAACGCCTACGGCCTTGGCGATCCCGCGAGCCATGACTATAGCGCAGGCGACAGAACCACAGGAAGCAGGGTTCGAAGGGTTCGTAGGCCATTGTCGCCTCTAAATAAGCCGGCGAGGACGGGAGGTTTTCGGTTCGAAATCAGGGAGAACGGGGAACGTGCGTCGCGTAACGTTATCCTGTCAGTGTGCAAAGGCACAGAAGTGAGCTGATTCACACGAACGACGTTCAGGCATTCAGCCACCAGCATAATGAACGCCTTGAAACCGAGGAGATCCCCAGGATCACCGCATGATCGCATTCACACTCACACGCGACCTCGACAACAAGTCAAGTCGGTATATGATAGCCAAGGCTCAGCCAATACTTGGAAATTTGGTGCGCATTTTCCAATCGTTCTCTAATAATAGGACTTGAGAGGCATGTGGCGACCTCGTGGACCGTGGTTCTGACCCGGGTCGGACGCAAATGCCAGAGAGAGTAGTTCCAAAAAAAAGACCTGATGGCACGCAACGGTGACCGGGCGGCCAACCAGATTGGCACATTGGCCTACTTACTTGCCGGGAGTAGCGCACGTTTAAGCCAGGGCTGGACCGGTGGTCTAGGCCCTTTAGGACGAACTATATAAACATTTAGAGTTGTCCCTGATCGCGACAAACGTTGTTCGACACTCCGACTCAGCGACCTGTTCCTGCGTCGAGAACTAGCAGCTCAACGTTGCAGCAAGGGCATGCACGGCTAGTGTTTGTTTCAGGCTCGAATTGATGTACCTCGGCATCACGGCAACGCTCGATCACATACACATTCAGTGAGCACCACGTGCGCGGTCTGTGGGTGTATTCTGTACGGAGCACATGGGGTCAAGAGACGAAATAGATATAGCGTTATTGGACAAACACGGGACAGAAGCGAAGAGCGCACAACGAAAAGGGAAAAGAGGTATGTGGAGGTCAGTCTATCGAGCGCGACGAGGGGGCTAATCAATTACACTGGATGGGTCAGACCGACGAGAGCGAAATGCGGTGAAAGCGGGGGGTCGTGGTATGTACAATATTGCGAGGCCAATACGTGTGGAGGCGGATCGTCGTAAGGTAAGTTTCATCGTCCTGGACAGATAGCATGGCGTCGTCGTCGAAGCAGACGTGGGTGCTGCCGCACCAGTGCGGGCACGAGTATTGAGTACATGCACGGCGTAGCGTGGTGTTGGACGATCAACCGCAGCCAACGGAGACCTGACGTTCCATCGGTGTCCTCTCGTTCTTCTTCAAACTCGATTCCTTCAGACTGCGTTGCCGGCCTGTGCGGCGGGCTTCTTCTGTTTCTGCCTTTCCTCCTCCCGCTTCCTCACAGCGGCTATCTCCGCCGCACGGGCACGCGCCTTCTCCTCCGCGAGCCGGCGGGACTCCGTCCACAGCCGGAGGGTGTAGTCGTGGAGCGACTGGGCATAGAGGATGAACGGGTCGATGTCGTTTTGCCCGGCGTGTGTCGGCTGGGGGTGCGCGAGCATAGTATTGGGCCCGGGGGGCGGTGCAGAAAGAGTACGAGAGGACTGTGTGGGACAGACCAGGAGTCTGAACAATCGGAGAGGACGACGGGCACGGACGAGCGCGGACGTCTGAAGCCGGGCTGCTGGACGCGCAGAAGAGCGGAATGTGGGACAGGAGCAGCCGTGCCAGTCAAGCTTTTAGGCTTGGGCCACTTGGGAGTGACAGAAAAAGAGGGTGCGTTCGTGGTCGCGATGTCGCAGGCTCCATCGCGTCTGGTCTTCTGCATGTCGGCATCGCTCACATCCACAGGTCACTTCCGGCTCCGTGCCCGCGTCCGCCGGCGAACAGCCGCTGAGTATCCCATCCTATCACGCCGAGGAGCGGCTCGCTTCTCTGCGCCACCGGTGGCTGCACCGGGCTGCGTCCCAGACGCCTCTCCAACTCGCCTGCCGTTGGGAACCCTGAGGCTGTCTGCGCGGATCATGCGTGTGTATTTCTCGGCCGCTCGATGAATGGCCCAGACATGCAAAATTGGGGTGGCGGATGGTCCCACTGCCTGGGAGGACAGCGAGAGGTGGGAAAGGTTTTCGCCGATCATCGAGCGCGATATTGAGCCACCGACTCCACAGTCTGTGATGCGCTGTGACACCGGTGCGGTCACTCTCCGCCTAGCTTCCTATTTCCCCAGCCAACGTGACGTCGCCGCCCGCTCGCTTGCGAATCGCACCCGAGCCGCCGCCATCTATCGCGGGACTCAGCGGTGCGCCCCGCGCTCGCTTCCATCACCGCCTGATCCACACTTTTAATGACAGCACAGCGTACGGGGGCGCTATCGTAGTTCCGACCGTCACATCGTTATCGAACATATCTGAGGGATCTATGGGCATCCCGGAACCCTGGAGCGTTCCAGTATTTTCGGGGCGCCAACATGCTCTTGCGGCTCAGATGCCAGACTCGCATCGAGATCCATCTCATCGACTGCGTATCATCATGCGGTACGAACAAAAATGCATTCACCAGCCAGCCAGACAGTCGGCGGCTACGCGAGAGCCACCACCACACGGGCACGTCTGCATGTCAATATTTTACATAACGACATCTGTCCGGGAGAAGCAATCCTGTAACTTGGCTTATGCAGCGGTGGAAACTGCGGCAGCGGTACAGCATGCAGTCCGCAAACTAGCTCTCGGGCGTTGCAGCTACTAGATAGTGAGCGGGTTCGCAGCAACCCCATATGTCGTGATCGGCCAACTGGACATCCTCCCAATCGCGGCCTATGGGAACGAGGAATAAAGGAAGTCCGAGGTCTAAAAGATCCGCGGCCCACCTAGCAGGTAAGTTCCCCTTAACCTCGGGGCCCAACTGTATCATTGCGAAGCCTCATAGGACCAAGAGCGGAACTCGCTCTGCCCTATCCCTGCCACGAGGGCGCTAGAAGCCACTGCAGTCGATATAGTCGAGAGCTTCTGCAGCCCGGGCGGCTTCAAGGTCGGAGAAATAAGCTACGGCTGGGCAATATGCTTTCAAAGCACGAAAGGCTATCGGCGCGTGTCGGAGTCATTTGAGGGAGGACGCGCTGTAAGATGGACCAACGAATATCTTGATCGAGAGACATCTGGTCAATTTCTCATGCCCATATCGCACCTGCCTTCTCGCAGGGAAGCCAGAACCTCATGCTGCAAAACGGTGACTGTGCGAAGTGTATGATTCATCATGATCGATTGCAAAACACGCTGCAGCAGCGCGGCATTAGTAAAGGACATGTCCACAATATGGCATAGGGTATGGATCCTGTAACACATCAGTCATTCGTAGCGTCAACAAACAACTCGTAAGTGTAAACGAACTGTAATAAGGTATCTCCTTGTCAGTCATGGGCGTCAATAACAACAACAACAACAGCACAGAAAGCTAATAACAAACAACTTGCACAAGGCCCGAAACAAGGAAAACACACATCTACGGTTTGGGGCACCAATTACATCATGAATTCCCTTGTGCGCGGCGGGTTTGTGATGACCAGGAACGGCGGGACTGTGCATCATCTTGTGGACGCACGTCCAGGGTCACTGGAAGTTTATGGTACCGCTGGAGGTCATATGCCTCTGAGCGGCTGATGCCCCCGTTGTCGTGGGGCAACCAGATGACAGGTGCTGGCGCGAGCAGTTCTGGCGCGAACAGCACGCCCGCCATCTCCTCCGCGTGATCCGCGAAGGGCAGAGGAGGCAAATGCGGTGGCGCATCTGGCTGCGTACGTGCGGCGCGCTCCGTCGCGGTGAGGTCGTCTAGGGTCTCGGTTGCTGTTGGCGATGACAAATGCCACGGTCAGTTACAATCATGGCAGCAAACACAACAGACTCTCCACTCGCCTAAAGGAACGGGGCCCCTCGTTTCTGATGGGAGGGGCGCCACCGCCAGAGTTGCAGACATCATCTCCAGAATCGAAGCGTACGACCCCCGCATTCGCGTGTTGCGCCCGGAGCTGACGAGACTAAGACTTTCCTCTTCTGCTTCTGAGTGTTTTCCCGGGCGCGCCGTCTTTTCGAACGTCTGCAGACAGTCGGTTGTGATCGGATTCAACGACTTGCGGCCAGGCTGCCGTGTCCGCCAGCTACAGTAACTCTCGACAAAGATTGCAACCGCGAGCGCGAAGCCGCACAAAATCCCACCTTCGATCCACAGCAGCCGACTAAGATAAACCAGCCCCAGGATCAGTGGCTGGAATGCAAGGAGTGTGCCGAAACGGCGGAGCAGCCAGATGTGCAGGAGTCCTCCAGTGGACGAATGCGTACGGCCGTACACATAACCGATCAGGAAGCGATGTGCTGCATTAGCGCCTGTGAGCCCCCGCATGACGTCATTCGCATTAAGGGAACACGCACCAATGAACGTCAAAAGTAGCAAAAGCAATGCGGCGGGAGCGACCAAGGGGAACAGCAGGGTGAACGCACAAGCATAGGTGAACGCAAGCACTGTGCAACTGAGCGAGTATGACGGGCTGTACGTCCTGGGATACACAGCTACCTCGCTGTGAGCACGAGTCGGCTAATAAACTCGACAATCAACCTACCTCGGAACCTCTGCCGGGACGTAATGGCTTCTTTCTCGGCTCGGAGGACGTGCCACAACCGTATAGGCTGTAGCAGAAGCAGGCCAGGAAACACGACGGCGACGCACAGAAGCAGCAACAACGCAAACACACTCATGTAGATGATGCCATCCGCGATCGATGCCGTATCGCCCACGTTGATGCTGAAGGAGTGCATCGCGAACAGCACGGCGCCTGCAGTGAACAGAGAAACCCCGCCGACGAGCGTCATCAGGTAGAACATCGCCTTGAAGGTGAACATATGGCTTCCTGACAGGGAGACGGAATGAATCAAATACCCGGAATCTGAAAGGAGAGGTCAGCGTGTGTTGAACATGGCTACTAGGTGTTCTTACAATGCACGCTCTTCATCGCGAAAGAGATGAAGAGGATCGCTAAAAGCGCTGCCGCCAGGCACGTAGCAATGCCTGCACCAAGGTCATTCCCCTCGTCCAACCGCATGAGGAAAGGGTAATAGTGCGCGAAGTCAGGCGCTGTACTGAGGTACAGGCCCGCAACAGGAACCACTGACGAAGCTGTGAGTACAAGTGTGTGAACTCCTCCGCATGTTGGACCTACGCGCAATGGCAAGCATTACCGCAATCGTGATCGCAGCTGTCCAAAAACCCACAGTCCTCATGGAGTTGTTCTCGCTCTGGAGCTCATCCCATCGGATGTCTTCCTTTGCGCGGCCCTCGATCAGCTGGATACCACGGACGAACCTGAGTCCTCTGCCGATCATCAGCCAGCCCTTGATGCGCGCGCCGTCTGCGATATCTTTGTAGCACTCGCTCTGCACCTCTGCGATTTCCGCATTGATTATCTTCAGCTTGGACCGCCACAGACTGATGTCGGCGTATATCGCGCCCAGCTGGTCGTGATTGAGCCCCGACAGCGGACGCACGAACGGCTGGCGCGGCTGTAAACGCAGATGCAGCGGCACGAGCTCTTCCGCGCTAGGGCCTACTCGGGCACGCAGCGGGAAGGATTCACGGGGAACATGTACGCCTTGCTTCCGCGGAGGGCGAGGCCGCCGGCGTGTGTCCTCTGGGTACTCCTCGGCGTTCTCGAATGCCTCGGGGTCTTCCTGTAGGACATCATGCCAGTCTTCGTCAGACCCCGCGAGGATCGGGTCCTGCGACCCGTGCGGAATGTAGTTGTTGTACGGCGACGTGTCGTCGAAGCCTGCCGTGTCCCACGACGCGTGAGGGTGAGACCCCCATATCATGTTGTCCTGCGATACAGAATCGGGTGTACGCACAGCCTCAAGGCGCCCGCTCTTGTTCATAGTCACCTGGCTGCCCAGGGCACCCTGGTTGATCGTCGGAGAACTGCTGTTGACCTCTTGGAACCGGCTTCCCACGACGCGCTGGTTGATCGACTCGGCCAAACTGGGGCTTTGCGCTGCAGGTATGACATCCTTGTCGACATCGGCGAACTGACCCCCGCTAATGCCTTGCACGCCACGGAGCTTATAGTACTGTGACGGCATGACATACGAAGTTGGTGGAAGCGAAGACGAGCCGAAAGCGGGATTACGGCCTCTACGCCGTCTGCGCTGGTGCTTGAATCAAGAGTCATGAGATTAGCTACATTTCAGCGTCTATCAAAGCCCAATGTACATACTGAGGCACTCGCGAGTGGACGCGGACGGCTAATCGCGGGTTTCACAGGAGATCCAGGCTCCTCTGATATGGTGGCCAATGGGGGCTGGAAATCAGCGATCGACGGCTCAGGTGTTGAAAGCCGGAAACTCTGAATGTACTTCGTCTCCGCGATCTCGAGATTTTCCAGGATCTCATCTCGTTCGTCAATGAGAAGCGCGAGGTCTGTGGTGTCCCTGATATAATTGGTCAATATTTTGTTTCGTTGCGCCGAATGGAAGTTTATTTACCCTATGGAGAACAAGTTCTGAATGTCGACCTCGAATCGACCCTTTTCCGCGTCGCTCCAATCAGGCGTACGTCTCCGCCGACGGCGTGATTGTCCATCGTTGCTGCCGGTAGCATCCAATGATGAACTCAGGCCTGTCTTCACGATAAAATCCTTCAGGCGCTTCTCGCCCCAGCCAACGATGCCTGGCGCCTGACGAGCGCTCAGCCAGCCCATCTCGATGTTCTGGCAGCGGTCGTTCACCCAGCACTCTCGATAAGCAACCATCTTGTTGAACTCGCGCATGATCAGCCAGAGCGCAGGCACTAGAGCCAGCACGATCGCGAAAATGGTGAGTATGATGAGCCGTATACGAATATACGGCGCAGATTGCAGTCCGGCGTTAGAGGGACCTGATGATGCCGAGGCATCGTCTTGAGGCAGAAGGCTCAGGATCCTGAGGATGCTGAGATCCTGTAACGTCGAGTATTGTCCAGAGAATGCAAACGGCAAGGTTGACGATGCCAGACACGGTATTGCCACCATATACAAGGGCAATAGTCCCGCCAAACCGAGGAACGTCCACCCGGACACGACAAGGATGGTTGTCCATAATGTCCGAAGAGTCAGTTCCTCGTCTGACGGGTACACCTCGGTGTCCCGCGCGACAGACTTTCCTGCACGAGATTGCTCACCCAGAAGTTGTGGTATGAGGGGAACATGTGGGGTTAAGAAGGCCCAGAGAGAGCGTCCCAGTGGGCTCGGTCGTAGCCTGGCCTGAGTCAATCGCGCGAATGTATCACGATATTATGCGCCACATACCCTTGCGGCACGAACCACTCCCTCAGAGCATACACCTGGCGATAGCGTGGGCGTAGGATAGCGAACAATAGCTTGTGACGAGACAGATCAGACCTCAGCCCTCACATGGAGGAACAAATGGGGCTTACCCATATACAGAGACCGACAGCTGTCGGGACCACAAGGGTCGAAAGCACACCCAGAGCAGGAACATCCAAACCATGTCCAATACATACAGGTTGATCAAGTACAACAGCCCTCGCAGTCAAAATGTCCGGGAACTCATAAGAAGCGTAAAATGGAACGGGAACAGCGTAATCGGAAGAGTCATAACAGGTGCGATTTTCAGATACAGATACACAGCTAGGTTTAGGCACATTGTCGTGAAGATCGTCTAGTCGTAGCAGGCGCGTCGGTGGGACGGCGGTGGACGCCGCAAGAGAAGGCATTGGAGCCCAGCAGAGGGCTCGGGTAGCAGCCAACGAGAGTGTACAAGGCGGAGGGAAGAGGGAAATGAAGGACGCGAAGAAGCGTCTGCCGGGAGTTATAATGAGAACATGCCTACTCTTCGCCTGCCTTATTCGTCACCGCTTCCATGCGCCCGCTCACGGTCATCCCAACAGCGGTGTGAATTCACGGCTCCGACAAGAGTACCTCTTATATACACATCATCGATCTATTGATCACACGAACAGCAGCCAGCAGATGATGTGCGTGAAATAGCATTCTCAGTCAATACATGCAGGCCGTAAATAGGTCGTTTCGTCTAGACCGACGCAGAGTGTGAGCACCTCGCGATAAAAATAAATGTAAAGAGATAACAGAATACGGAGCGCTCAGTAGCAGCAGATGAAGTTATCTGATATAATGAATGACGTAGAAAAGCACGCCAGGATAAGGATAAAGAGGATAATTGAGGACTCTGTGATGTCGAAATCAGTGTAAAGTCCTGATACCAATGAACAGTAAGAATCACCGTGACCATCAAGACTCGTTATAAACTAAGATGACTGAGGATCCGTAGGGTGCGTTATGAGCCGAACGGCTCTGCCAGGATGATTTCCCCGTCCTTGTGCGTAAGGACGCGATGACCGTCTACCCACGGGGCCCGCTCTCCTTGGAGGACAGGGGATGGTGGGCTATTGTACCGACATCGCATGTTTGACTTGGCCTCGTAACTGCCACTCTCTCGGGGCATAAAAGGCGTGGACAGCTCTATCGTGCCATGGTAGCGGTCTTGTTTGCTCAAACAGCAACCCATGACTGCAAGGGTACGGTTCAGCACCCACAACTCTCAAGAGGACTGTGCGCAACTTACTGAAGAAGTGAAAGTGATGGAGATGGTACACAAGTGAGGGTCAACCTGCTGTTAGCGATCCAGAAGGCAGGCATATAAATATATGATCGCTCTACTGCAGCCGTTCGGGAATCCGGGATGACAAGCAACGTTGCGAAGGGGGTCTGATCGGCACCGTTCCACGGCTGGTGAGGCTGTGTCAATTTGATGGGAATTATCCAATTCCACAAAGATAGATATACGAAGGGCTTGGCAGGTCCGTTCGCACAAGAAACAGAGATATTTGAAAGGAGATACTGTATGTCATCCCATGCAAATTGAACGCAGGTGAGCAGGAGTGAACAACGCATGTTGTTGAGACCATCATGCTCGAGGAGATCATAGCTCCAACTTGCGCACAGATGGAAAGCTCACGACTACCCCATACTACCGAGGCAGTCCCCTGACACTATGCGGGACTTGAGGAGTTTGTCTCTGTCTATTATGATGACAGCAAAACGAAGATACGGTGACACGCGGTCTGGGGGGCCCTGTAAACGCGCTCATCACGGAGTAATCCGATCACCTGATCGCGTTCTCCAACTGCCCTCCACGTGTGCCGTGTACCGCAGTGTTCTGGACAGTGAGCTCATACATACCCTCCAGGACGAGAACGACTAGCGCGCTGACCGGGGCAGCATTTACATATTCTGCTCGAGATAGCGTTATAACTCGCCATGGCGAGTAGCGCCTTGAAACAAGTGTGTATGTTCTGCCTTGTTCGGGATCCATGACTTCCTCACATCTATCTTGCAGGTGACCTCGACACAGCCGACCCTTCAGGAGGCGCAGACCGCGGCTTTGTTGACCTTGTTGAACCTGAACAACCCTGTCGAATCTCCAAGCACTTCTACTTCCAGTGGGACCAAGGGCGGTTCAGCAGCGAATGCTAAGATCTCAGTGCCCACAGGCCCACCAACATGGAAGATCCTAGTGCTGGACCAGCATACGAAGGATGTTCTTGCGACCGTCTTGCGCGTACAGGATCTTCGTGATGTGGGGGTCACACTCCATGTGTATGATTCTCTCTGAAATGGCATACTACAAGCTGAACTCGTTGCAGACAGCTGCATTCCAACCGCCCGCCACTGCCCGACGTGCCCGCCGTCTACTTCGTGTCGCCAACCCTGACGAACATTAAGCGGATAGCCCAAGACCTCGAGAAAGGCCTCTACGAATCGTTCCATTTCAACTTTGTCGAGCCATTGCCGAGGGCACTGCTAGAGGAACTCGCCGCAGCCGTGGCGCGTGATGGGACCGGTGAACTAGTAGAGCAGGTAAGTCCTGCTAGTCCCACGAGGACTTCTGTGCATGTTAACACCTCCCAATCCATGCAGGTGCTCGATCAGTACTTGTCCTTCATTGCCCCCTCGCCATCCTTGTTCTCCCTGTTGCCACCGCCGGCAGCCCCCTCCGCTTCGACACCAAATGCACCTGCACAGCCAGGTCCCTCACAAACACACTCGACGTATGCCATTCTCAACTCGCCCACCTCTGCTGAGCAACAGATTGAAGAGGAGATCGAGCGGGTAGCAAATGGCTTGTTTAGTGTCGTCGCGACCATGAGTACGTGCCTCTTCCCTTTGGCGCCCCATGCGTCTAAAGTCTCACCAGGACATGTTCCGATCATCCGAAGTCCCAGAGGGAACGCTGCGGAGATGATTGCTAAGAAGTTAGAGACAAAGATTCGGGACGCCATACTATCTGCTGCTCGGTCTCACACGACGTCAATATTCGCTCAGGACTCCTCAGGACTGTCAAATCTGCAACGACCTCGTATGTTTTCAGACCCTTGATTATGAACCCCTTGATAATCCAGGACTGTCAGTCCTACTCATCCTCGACAGAAATGTCGACCTTGTGCCAATGATGGCACACGGGTGGACGTATCAGGCGCTCGCGTCAGACTGTCTGGAAATGAAGCTCAACCGCGTCGTAGTCTCACAGCCACAGAAACGCTCATATGACCTAGACTCGAAGGACTTCTTCTGGGCAAAAAATGCTGCGAATCCGTTCCCTCAAGTTGCCGAAGACATTGACATTGAGCTGAACCGATACAAACAGGATGCTGCGGAAATTACTCGATCGACTGGCGTCAGCGACGTCAACGATATTGCTCAGATGTACGTCCTGCCTAGCGCATTTCCTGAGACTGGACAGGAACTTAACAGGGTGGCAGCGATATGACCGCTAATGCGGCCCACCTCAAGACAGCGATCACAGCGTTGCCCGAATTGACTGCCCGTAAGGCAGTCTTGGACACGCATATGAACATTGCGACTGCGCTACTGGAGGAGATCAAGAGGCGCGGTCTTGATGAACTGTTCAGTACCGAAGAAGCCATCGGCAAGCAGGTGAGCCCTACTTGCATACTCTGTTCAGTTTGATGTCGCAAATACGAGTTGACATGATGTGCTTGGCATCCTAGACAGTGCAAATGATCCTCGAGGCGCTCCGTCATCCCAAGGACAGCACTACGCCCACTCCGCTCGACAAGCTTCGCCTGGTCCTTGTGTTCTACTTGTCATCGCCTGACAATGCCATCTCGAAAGATGATATCGCCGAGCTAGAAAAAGAGTTGAAGGCCGCCGGTGCTGATGTCGCTGCCTTCGAGTATGTCCGGCGGACGCGCGAGATCTCTCGGATGACAATATCGAGTGCTGTTGGGGGCGGTTCGACGCCTGTCCTTGGGGGCAACACGCCCGGCGGTGAGCTGTTCAAGGGGTTTAGTGCGCTCGGAAACAGAGTATGTTCTCATCCCTGTCACCCACTGTCATATACTCGTTGCTGACAGCGCCGCAGCTTACAGATCGTCTGAAGGACGGCGGCCTCGAGAACCTCATTTCTGGTGTGAAGAACTTCCTGCCTGCCAACAAGCTCCTACCTGTGACACGGCTGACTGAGGCGCTGATGGAATCGTCAGCAGCGTCCAATCAGTCGCTGCAGGAGACAGACGACTATCTCTTCCTCGACCCGCGAGCGCCTCGGAATGCGCAGGCCGGGCTCGGTATTTCCGGCGTCAGTGCGCCAAGCAATGGTGCCGGGGCGGGGACTGGCCGTGCCAAACGCATGGCGTTCACGGAGGGAACCGTGTTCGTGGTCGGTGGAGCTGGGTATGTCGAGTACGGCAATCTCGAAGAATGGGCGAAGCGGATGGGCAAGAGGGTTTCGTACGGTGGTACTGAGATTCTGGATCCCGGAGGATTCGTCAAGGTCCTCGAAGCACTTGGGAAGGCGGGCGCCCAAGGCTGAACATACTTACACTTCTTTTCTTACTGTTGTTATGATACCATGGCTCAGCAATCCGCAGCCGTCTACGAGCTTTGGCAAGACGTGAGCTGAGGGGTGCGAGCGGTGGATGCTAAGATACAAACAACATGCATTTATGGATACAGTAATGAATTGTTGGTAGTAACCAAGAGAGAGGGCCGCTACACCGCGAATCCTTCTACTTCTTCCTGTTCTGCATGGTCAGAATCTGGACAATGCGGATGCTGCAAGCAGGTACATCAGAGTAAATCAGGACAATGAATCCAACTGAACTTACAAGATGTTGATCATGTCAAGTTCAAGGCTAATAGCCTCCCGCATGGGGTCGCGAGGAACAGTGCCAGTCTCGGCCATGCGAGCGTGGTGCAGGATCTTTTGCGTACTGAGGATAGTTTGTTAGCACCTGACACCACATGCCATGCCAATGCCTTGGACGTACTCGAACAAAATGAAACCACCGAAAACCGCAAGACCGCCGTATAGTGAAATGGCCTCTGCGACAGCAAGACCACGCATGCCGAGGGGGAGTGCCATGGGAGCCAGCGAGCTGAGGGCAACAACCGTTACGCCAGCCAGCAGGGGACCGCCCATGTACAGGTACTTGTCATTCCTAGATGTCAAAGTGAGATACACTGAGTATTCTTGGATAAAGGACGACTTACGCAGCCGTTGCACCAATGTAGGAAAGAGAGCCGAACACACCCGCAGAATACAGCGCCGCACGAGACAGGATCGCAGGGCTCAGGAAGAACAAGGGGCTCAGAGTCGCAGCTTGACAGACGTTGAATCCCTGACAGCAGCATTAGTTCACGGGGTTATACATAACCTTGGTACCCGAGACACTACTTACCAACCAGAACGCATGCTTCAAGACTTTGTTCTCAGGTGAAGTGTACATAACACCCATCATGGTACCAATGCTGCCAACCAGACTGACACCGAGCACAACCCACGGGTTGGCGGACATGATACGGACTGCAGCGCCAGACTTGAACAGGGAGCGGGCGACCAGGGCAGTCACGCCGAGACCGCCACCAGCGTACATGAAGCTCTCGTGAAGGTACGCCTGCTCGGCTGCAGAAAGTGAATCACGCGTTTCACGGTTGAAGAATGCATTGACTGCGATGATTGTCCCCGCAACAGTAGCCTATGGGGTACCAGCTCGTACCAGCTCAGTAATATCATAGGAGCACTACACCCACCGCCGTGATACCATACCGCCTCCAGGCCTGCGCTTGGGTCGGCCTCACAACAACCGGCGCAGAGTCCGTCAGGAATGTGCGAGATTGGGTCTTGAAGCCAGAGGAAGGAAGGGGGGAAGCACGCCTCTGAAGCGTTGCGAGTACATTGGGGCGTAGCTGACTGAAAGACCGGAAAGATGGGGCCTGAAACCGTCGTGCAGCAACCTGCACGATGAGAGGATTCGACAGTGGCCGTATAGAAGAGACTATACCGACGCGAAACATGTCGTAGCAAGAGCGAGAGGGTGAATAGGTTGGGGAAGGCAGGCAAGCAGGATATATAGCCCGCTCCCGAGCCGCGAACACTCTCGGCATGCGCGTGACATCACTCTCTCACGCGCCCGCAAACCGACCGAATCCCATTCGTCAAGAACATACCAGCAATTTGCTGTAAATACCATAATAAATCAATGCGAGGCTACAGATTATGAGTATACTACACTAGAGGGTCTTCGGCGTGTCCATGACGAGTCTTGTCATTGTAATAGTGGTACTCGTGTAACGTCGACAACGCCGACTTGATTGGACTCGAGAGCCAAAGCCATCCGGTTGATGTTACCCGATTGTTGCCAGTCGATCTCGAAAATTCCGGGCTTTTCGGAGCCTGCGAACCAGGACCATCGTTTTTGCCGTGCCTATGGCAGTCACCGGTCATTATATGAAACATGACGAGAGACGAACCGCGCACCTTCACATCGTAGACATGTAGCCAGCCATCACTGCCTCCGGTCGCGAAGAATCTCGCATCCGGACTAAAAGCGAGAGCGTAAACGTGACGCTTGTGATCTTGAAACACGCGCAAGCATTCGCCCGTCACACTGTCCCACAGACGAGACGTCCCGTCAAACGACGAGCTATGCGCAATAATGTGTTGGTATCATCCAAGCTGCCAAATAGTAACACATACGTTGCGAGTATCTCGTGTTCCCCTTCGGTCGTTATCGGACACCATGCAATTGAGCTGACGGTATTCGTATGGCCGCTCAGTACCACCACGTCGTCATTTGGTGGGCGGGAATACACGACGTCTTCAATGTTCCATATCCGCGCAGTGCGGTCATCAGAACATGACGCGATTCGCGTCCGTGAAGGGCTACACTTGATTTGATTGACTTCCGTGGAATGCCCTCTGCCGATATCAATATACCTGCTCAGTCAGCAGGAATGAAACTCGGGGACAAAACGCAGGCGTACAGTAACGTCTTCGGTGGTGTTGATGACTCCAGACTCATGATCTGAATTTTGCCATCTGCTCCACAACTTGCAAACAAGTCGTCGGTGAGCCAGTCTACATCCAGACAGCAGTCTATCCGACGCAGCTATCAGCGGCTAGCTACATCAGGCAAATATCTTACCCACCTTTGTGGCAATTGAATTGTCGATGTAGTGTCTTCTTCGTGACGTCCCAGACACACGCCGTGCCGTCCAGACTCGCGGTGAGTAACCACTGTCCGTTTTTCGAAAAGCGCGTGGCGAATATGGGTCCCTTCTCATCAACAGTTCCCGACATCTCAGTCTAGTAGTGGCCCATGTCACAGCCGGTACGCCTACCTCATGTTGTGTATGCGAGAAATAGAGTTCGCCGCCGGCGGTGCATACTCGTAGAATCGCGTCGTAGGAACCGATTGCCAGTAGACTGCCGTCTTGCGTCCAATCTAGCGACGTCAGATCTCCTTGTTCCGACTTTGACGAGCATGCGAGGGTCAATGGTGGCCCAATTTTCGGCGGTATTTGTGTAGATGGTGGTCTTGCTTCAGGCACGTTCCAGAGATGTACCACAGTATCCCTCGAGCTGTGCGAGATAATATTCGACATACCCCCGCGATTCACTGAATGAGCGGACTCACCCTGACGCGAGCGTGCTTTTCTTTGCCGGGTTCCATGCGCAAACAAACACCTACTAACAGTTCAAGGCAAACTGCCACAAAGTGAAATTATTTGGACATACCTCAGTTTTGTGCCCCTTCAGCAGACTTACCACGTTGGGGTCTGTTGTGTCATCGGCCGGTCCAGGAGGCCTCCTGACCTTTGGAGGCTTCTTGAGATCTGTGGGTCCCTTATGTACGGAAGAAGCCTCATCAAGCTGCTTTGCTTTGTGGTCATGCTGATCAGATGCCGATTGCAGATACGCGCCCTAAAGACGTATAGAGAGTGACGTACATTCAGCCGTTGAGGAAGCGATGCTGTCAACCTCTGTGTTCTCGTCCGGAGAGGACGATGTTCTTGGTCGCTTTTCTGCGGGTGCTTCGTCTGCTACCGGCGTGCTGGCCTTTCTCTTCACATTGACATCAGTCATTCCATTCGTTCCGTTCGTCGGTGGCTCGAGTGCAGGTGCAGGCTGCTGTGGTGGCTCTGAGGGTAGCATAGCTTCTGAGAGGGGTGGTGGCTGGTCGTAAGTGATTGTGGCGGGGAGCGTAGGGTCGGGGGCGCAGACATGTCGTTCGAGCAAAGTGAACCCGCTCTTGCAGTTCGCGGTCATAACATTGCCCTTCCAGTGGGCCTCAACCTCGGTATAAAGCAATGCTTTGCTGAGCAGCTCTACGAGTTCCCCTCGCGGTATGTGTTTCCCATAGTTCGGGGAGTGTTCCAAGCGGCCCTCCGCGCGTAGCACGAATGCACTGTGCTGGAAACCTGGAGCGAGCGTCAAGTCAGCGGGCGCGCTGAACGATGGGGGGAGTCGATAGCTACCGGAGTCCTGAAAGTAAGCGTGTATGAGGCAGTTGACCGCGTCTGCCGTGATTTGTATGGGCGGTGGCATGTTTGCCACAAGTATAAGGACTGTGAGTGGTGCAAAGGATGAGCGACAGCGGATGGAGAACGAGAGACGGCCGTCTGTATCCATCACGTGCACGTTTCGTGAAGTCCCACGGACGCGTCCGACGCGTCCACGCATCTCTGACGATTTTTTGTCTCCTGCAACCAGTCTGTTGTTTGCCTGTGAATTCCTTCGACCTGTACCTTGAAATCACAATCCGACGCGTTTATTCTCGGGACGTTTCTGGTGCTCTCTTGTTCCATGTCTTTCCCATGTCTCACTGAGGCTCATCGCCGGCTGCAAATAGCGCGGTGCGAACTCTACCGACCTGCTTTTTAAGGAACTCTTGACTCCGTTTATATGTTCACCACTTTCCAATCGCGACATCACCTCTGGGTTCTATCAGTTTAACAGTCAATTCCGTCATAATAGCAAACAATCAATATTGCGCTAGCGGTCATCGTTCATGCACCCGTAGTTTTCTAAATGAATTGTCTGCGACCACAATGGACCCGCTGAACATACCTGGCTATTGTATATATATCAGGAAAATGCTAGATGGTGTGGTGGCCGTGATATCGAATTTCCTTATGGGCGTTCCATATCATGGCCAACATGTTCTCTCAAGACATTGGCAACATTGTACTCAACATACCGGTGGCTACCTGAGAGTTTAGCATCTTGGACTGTCCTGCTGTATGACTTTGCCCTGTCTCTCGTCTTGGGGGTTATGAGGCTTAATGGTACGCGTGTGACCAACGTCAACAGCGATCTCTGTTTATTTGTGTACTCATCAACGAAGCATCCTTTTGCCTCCATTCACCTCGGACGTAGAAGCAATAACCCCTACCCACATATAATTTCCAGCCATGTTCGTGCTGAGAATGTGGTACAATCGTATACGTGCCGAGTGACAAAGGTTGCTGACTGGTGAACTTTAGTCACCGACAGTACGCCTCTCCTCCAACACGCTTTATGTACACTCAAACGCCCCGCGCGCTGAGCATATATGTCATCTTGTTGATCACGTATTCCATTCAATGAAATCGGGCGCTAAGATTTGGAGTGACGAAGTAGATGATCTCGATCGGACGAGATGCCGGATTGCTCAGCTGGATCCATCATCGGCATCCCACATCGTTCCGTATTACACAAAGCTCTCTCGTGTTATGAACCTCGACGAGCTCCTCAACGGCTCTGACGGCGAAGAGGCATACGACGGTCCCGACGCATACATCGACGAGGACGACGCAGAGGAAATGGAGCTGGACGCCGAGGACGTCGCTGAGGAGCAGCAACAAGGCGGCTCGACCGTTGGACAGATTCTGAATGGTAAGTGCTCCGTGCGGGTGTTCGCCGGGCATCCCTGACCCACCGTCGAGTGCAGTGCTTTCTAGCCTTCAGGGGGCGCGACAGACATCAGGAAATACACCCGCAGGCGGGACGCAACAAAATGCGCGGCTTGCCAATCTTACCTTAGACGACCTCCGGCGGCTCCTCGGCCAGATGAATGGCCCAGTGACCGTTGAAGCCACAGATGAGGAAGAGGAGGACGATGACGGTGATGATGAGTATTACTTTGGCTACAACACAGAACCGCACTGGGACCGCTCCAAAGTCTTCCCCGAAGTCAAGGAACCCAAGGAGAAGGGACTTGAACTGCTCACGAGTGGAGAGTTTGGGCGACTCGAGCACCAGTTGAAGTCCCGTATAAGAGATAACAATACAGCGAGTATCCTACTTAATAGAGGAGCACGGCAACGTCCCACTCATAAGGAGGATCTAACCAGTGTAAGCTCGTGCCTCGCTGGTACCCTGTATTCTCTCACCGTGTGCTAGGACTTACTCCCCAATTCAAATGGCACAGCAGTTGCCGAGTATCATGCTAATGCCTATGTAGGGCAATATTCGTCAGGTTCGCCACTTGGCTCGCCGTAATTGGGCCACGCTGACTTTGCCCTTCAAGATTCGTCGTTCTATTACACATGTGCCCGAGGTCAGTTCAGTTATTCGCTGTATGGATAAACTATCCATATTCACATCATACACCAGACTTTCGCTTGCACGTATATGATACCACTGCACCCCTCGTGCCTTATGGGCCCCTTCGTTCACGGATAGAGGACGAGCAGCGATACGGACATGCAACAACCATGAAAGTTATGAAGACGATCAACGCACATCCAGGCCGTTGGACAATCACAGACTCCCATTTGAGTCCGGACAACCAAAGGTACGCCATCGAACGAAGTTGTAGAGTACGTGTGCTGATTGATAATGATGTCATATCGTAGAATGATATATGCGTCCATCGTGAGTTAGCCAGCCCAACGACCGGCATGTAGCTCACCGTGACGCAGTCAAACACGGTCTACATGACGACAACGCTGGATTCCTCGCCGGTACAAATCCCTATCCGATTCGCGGACCGCGTACGCAATCGGAGAAACAATATCTGGGACTACGACGACGAAGATCACTTCGGTATATGGAGCTGCAAGTTCTCTGCTGATGGCAATGAGGTCATTGCTGGGGGCAGCGGAATGATCTTCGGTTCGTTCTTGGCCATCATTTATGAACCTTGCGTGGCTGGATGCGAACGTACCTCATCTAGTGTATGATCTGTTGGCGGACAAGCGGACAGTCAAGATTATGGCACACAACGACGATGTCAACAGCTGTTGCTGGGCAGATACTGCGTCGGGTAACGTGCTGGTCAGTGCTTCGGACGACACTTTCATCAAAGTTTGGTAGGTCATACAATTGTGACCTAGCCTGATCCCCGAATGACGTGTACTCAGGGATCGTCGATCGCTTGGAATGTCCCCTAAGCCTTCAGGTGTACTCATAGGTCACACAGAGGGTATCACCTACGTGTCAGCGAAGGGTGATGGCCGTTACATAATTTCCAACGGCAAAGACCAGGTCCTACGATTATGGGACCTCCGCATGATGCGCACCAATGCCGAATTTGAGTCGGCGGCGCGAAGAAATTATGGTATTGCGCACTTTGACTACCGGTACGTCAGGGTATCGTGTGCACACGTAGTTGTGCATCACTCATCCAGAAACGCTCGCAGAGGCGGCACATACCCGAAACCTCGATTCAAGGCACACAAGGGACTGCAGTGTTATGCAGTATACTGGACATGAAGTCCTACGCACGCTGATCCGATGTCACTTCAGTCCTGCGGAGACAACAGGACAACAGTACATCTATTCCGGGGCCTCCGACGGGCGAATCCACGTATGCCGAACACGCTGTTGTTCTTGAATGTCACTGACATTTGTTTAGATATGGTCGCTCGACGGACGGATCGTGCAAATTCTCGATCGCTCACAAACGTTGCCAATATCGTTCGACCCGTCTGCACCGGACCCACCTTCTCTTGACGGCGTACGGCGCTCGCGAATATGTGTACGCGATGTCAGCTGGCATTCCGATGTGAGCAGTTCGCGCACCTTCTTTGATTGCACGTATGCTAAGGGCGATTCCAGCAACCGATTCTCATGAGCGCCGGATGGGTCGGCGGGCGTTGGAGTGCGCGAGAAGGAAGCGTCATCGCCCGACACGAGGTTTGTTCTCTGGTCCGCTGGTCCAGACAGGCTGATACTCATTTTGATCACAGTGGAAAGGCCTGTCGAAGATGCAGTATTCGCTCCGGGATTATCAGGAGAGGCGGAGGCAGGAGAACGCAGAGCGTGCGGCGCCCGGAGCGAGAGATAGACGGGCAATGCCCGGGGCTTTCGCCAACACGGATGACGAAGACAGTTCCTGAGGGACCCTGTAAGATTTCCTCTGCGTGATGTATTTGTACCTTTGTTGTTATACCGCGCTGTTCACTACCATATGGATCTTGGACCCTTGACATGCTGTGACCACACAGCACACGAGGACATGACCGCGTTCTGCGAAATTCACGAACAGACTGCGCCGCAGACTGGAGCGCCTCCGGCGCTTGTTCCTGATCGGAGTACTTGTACCTTCACCTGTACCGGATAGCTATGCTTGATACCCCTTTGGTGACCGAGTGCAGCGCCCCCCTTCACTGAAGCGATAGCACGGCGCGGCCTCATACTTATAGCATGCAGTTGACTCCAGAGGAGGCAGCGGCAAACACCCAAATCGCACCCATGGACGCCGACCTGAACACATACGGCTTTCCGCCAGGCTACTTCATCGTCCGCTCAGTGGCATCGAATCGCAATCTCGACGTCGAGCTCGGTCTGATAGATGACGGGACGAACGTGATTCTATGGCCGCAGACGGAGACGTCATTGGTGGACTGTGAGTCTCGTCGGTCTCTCCCGTAACGCAGACTCGGACTGAAGGGAAATCCATACAGCCATGCGAGATCCGAGTTGCGACAACCAGGTGCGTCTGAGTATGTTTTGCTCAGGGGGGCATACGCATGACGACAGATTTAGGTCTTCTTCATCGACACAAGTGGTGCGCTCTGCTCCCGCAGCTCCGGACATGCAATAGATGTAGAAGGTCGGCTAAGCCACTGTTCATCAAGGGCGTGTGCGCTGATATGCAACCTTTCAGACGAAAAGCTGGTGGTGCGCCACCGGAGACCAGTCTTCCATCCATTTCCCAACGCATATTCACACCCGCTACCCCGCTTTTCCTATGACCGCCAAACGCAGAACATCACTGTTACTTTCGCCGCTGATCCGGCGTATCCAAGCGATCCTAGGGCTATGGCTACGAGTGCGTGGAAAGAGAAGGTCTTCCTCCTGACCTCTATCCCAGCGCGGAAGCCGCGCACCATCGCCGACGATGCGTCGGCGCTGCTCAATACTGCCCTCGCTACTCCGATGGCATTCTTTGGGTCCTTCGGCAAGCCCTCAAGTGCTACTCCTGAGGATGTCTTCTCCAGCGGAGACATCGATCTGAGGGAGGACGAGATCCTGGAGCAGGATCGGTCGGAGGAGGGCGAGGTAGACGACTCTCCCGACAAGCTGCGTCGGGTCCGCATCGTCGCGCTGACCAAAGAGGAGCTGCATGCCGCAAGCTCAAAGGCGCGCTTCAGACAGCGGTGGAAAGTCATCCCGCTGCTGGCATCGAAGAGTCGCACCAGGTCGTGATTGAGGACCTGAGGTCTTGTCTTCTGCGTTAACACACTACGAATAATGGTCTTTTTGGCTACTGTATCATGGTAATTGTACTTGTACCGCATCCGTATCCCTCCTACTGTTCTCGTTGTGTCATCTCAAAGCTGTTTATTGCTTTTTTCGTCGTTCAATACTCCTTTGAGGTGCTGTGTAATCATTGATCTTGCTCTTTGAATTCAATCGCGACCACATGACCGCGACGAAGAGCGCGTCTCGCACCCGACAGGCGCCTGCTGTGCTATCTCTTCTCAGGATGCGGCAAATTATTAACGACTTCTTCTCGTTGGGGCTTCTTGGCTCTATATATTGCAGAGATAACAGCTTGACCGGTTCACAGACCCTCCCTTCTCCAAAATGCTCTTCAACTTCGCCCTGCTCGCTGTTCTCGTACAAACGGCGTTTGTGCTGGCTCACGAGGAGCAGATCCCACTCGATGATTTTGTGAAACCTGCTGCCGACAACTATGACCCCTTTGACACAGAGCTATGGCTCAAAAAGTACGGGAAACAAGTCGACCAGGTCTTCTCTGGTCCCCTATCGTTCTCGCATCTACCGTACAGTCTATGCCTTGAGGAAACTCAGAAGGACTTTGATATCGCTGTGCTGGGTATGCCCTTTGACACTGGCGTCACATACCGGCCGGGTGCGAGGTTTGGCCCGTATGCCATCCGCTCGGGGAGCAGAAGGCAGAGGGAGTCGCGTGGATATACAATGGCGTGGAAGGTGAACCCGTACGAGCTGGGGTCTAAGATCATAGACTGCGGTGATGTTCGCGTTCTGTACGACCTGTCGCCGTATCCCAAGCTTACGACAGTTTGCTAGGTCCCTGTAAGCCCGTTCGACAATGCCCTGGCCGTAGATCAAATGGAGGTCGCGTACTCTAGCCTTCTGGCAAGACCAATCGTGAGCCAGGACTCTGGCGTCCGCTCGCCCGTCGTCAGCCAGTTCGCAAAAGACGGCAAGGAGCACCCACGCGTCATCACGTACGCTATTCCTGCCATCGGTGCGCAGGACTACTGAACATAACTCTGCTCAGCTTGGGCGGTGATCATACAATTGTGCTCCCGATTCTGCGCTCCCTGAACAAGGTCTATGGCCCTGTATCTGTCATCCATTTCGACGCGCACCTGGACACCTGGCCGTCGTATGCCGGGCAGTCTACCGAACAATCGCGCGTTACGCACGGCACCTTCTTCTACCTCGCCCAGGAGGAGGGCCTCATGACCAATACGAGTATCCACGCCGGGATCCGCTGCAAGCTGTCTGTATGTGATGCCAAGGATTTCGCGTCTGTACGGATCTGTGACATCACTGCGCCCGTTACCAGGGCATAGGCGATATCGAGAACGACGAATCCGTCGGCTTCCAGCTCGTAACATCGGATGACATCGATGATCTTGGTGTTGCGGAGATCATCCGGCGCATACGCGCGCGAGTAGGAGACTCCCCCGTCTACCTCAGGTGAGCAGTCCCGCGCTAAGTTGCACGAACGCGACTCACGTGTAGCCAACAGTCTCGATATTGATGTCATCGGTAAGCACTAGATCACTTCGACATAGCCCCAGCGCATGTTGACGCGCCACCAAGACCCGGGCTTGGCCCCTGCTAGTGCGTACAGAATGTTCACATGCGTCTAGGACCCATCTTAATGCTCACTCTTCGCAGCTGGTACTCCTGAGGCAGGTGGATGGACCACCCGCGAGGTGAAGCGCATCATCCGCGGCCTCGCAGGCCTCAACTTCGTGTGCGTGGCCCTCTTCTCTTAACTCGCATGACCTCTGACAAGCCTGTGCTCTTACAGCGGCGCGGATATCGTCGAAGTTGCGCCTGCCTACGACACCGGTGCGTTCTGATCGAGTGCACGAAGTTACGGGCTATTGACAGTGCCCTGTGTGTGCCGTCCTCGCATTTGCAGCTGAGATCACCGCGATCGCCGCGGCAGACATTGTCCATGACTTCCTCTCTATGTTCGTCACGCAAGAACCGCCGAAGGCACCTGCAGATGCGGGTGCGCTCAGGGATGAGCTGTGACGAAGTGCATCTAGCCTTCTATGAATTTGTGAAACGAAGAAGGGAGAGAAGACTCACCATGAAAGCTAGGAGGGGGATGGCCACTGTGCATCAGCAGTCAAAAGCTTATTTGTACATCTTAGCACACGAATTTCAGGAAGAACACATGGCAAGCTGGGTCAATATCAGTCATACAGCCGTTATTAGGATGCTAGTCGTCCAGCAGGCTTGCGAGTAAAACATCATCACTCACCGTTCAACATCAACGACGATGCATCATTTATTACAAGAATTTCAGACCCTCGTCTTCCGACTGTTTTGTCTGTTTAGAGTCACAGGTATTCGTACAGTGTGTCGTTCCCCGACCTAGTCATACCAGAGCCATCGCTGACCATGACACGTGAATATAAGTGGTGCAAGAGATAGTGTAGTCCGTCAAACACGACAACCGAGCGAGTAGTCACAGCAAAGTAGTCTGCACAGCTAGGAACGGAAAGGAAAGTGGCGTTTGTCCTTCAATGCTTCGTCGCCCACATCCCCGGCGGCTGCGCCGTCGCAGCGTCGTACATCGGCGGGCTGTCCGCGTACTGGTGCTCCCCCTCCGGGATGCCCTCCAGAGGCGACTCGACCAGGTGTGTCGGGGACTGCGCGTGCGCGCCGCCCGCGGACACCTGTGTGTTTATCGGCGCCGGCGTCGGGTTATGTGACGACGCGGCGTACGGGTCGTAGTACGCCGCATCGTTGCCTGCGTACGCTGCGCCCCCGCCAAGCGTATAGCTGCGGTCCTGCGGCGCAGCGCGGCCATAGTATGGGTTCTGCGCGGCGGAGGACGAGGACGTGCCCACCGCGTGCATATAGCCTGATGCGTTGTACGTATTCTCGTCGAACGCTTGCGGCGTGGGCGCAGGCATGGAGTAGTTGCTGGCGTACTGCTGATGCGATGGCGCGCGGTTGTAGTCTACGCAATCCGTCAGAATCGCGGTATTTTTGGGACATGCGTGAGACTTACATGAAGATCCGCCGGCGGTGTGCCCGTACGCATCCGTCGCAGCCGTTGGCTGCTGCGCATGTCCGTACGCAGACGAGAGGTATTGGCCAGTGGCTGCGCCTGCCGCTGCCGCCGCCGCCGCACCAGTGCCCACACCCGCTGCATTACCCCCGTGCGAGTACGCGGACGCGGCATAGCCCGAGCCATCCTGCGTGTGCCCGCTGCCCTGTCTGCGCTGGGTCTGTGGTGGTGACTGCGGAGGATAGATGCTCGAGAGTGCTGGCGATGTATTCGGGTTGTAATATGCGTCAACCGCGCGAGTGCCGGGAGGTGCCTGGGAGTACCCTCCAGGGAACTGCGCGCGCGTCTGGCTGGGCTGGCGACGGTACGTGCCCACGCCTGCGTTCTGCACCTCGCCCAGTGGGACGATCTTGTCTCCGTCCTCGACGTAGTCCTCATCGGCCGCACGCGTGAGGGGCTGCATCTGCTCGAGTTCCTGGAAGGCTGGGAGACCGATCTCGCCCTGCTTTTGGCGTGCCTTGCGGTCCGCCTCAGCCTTGACGGCATCAAGACGCATCTGTTCCCCATAGCCATTATCGCCCGACGGGCCATTGCGGGAGAAACGGTCGGGCCGCCTGCGAATGCAGCAGCGACCGATCCCGTAGAAGCAGCCAGCAAAGAAGAGCAGGATCCAGGCGGCAAGAGTGAGCCAGATGCCGATACCCATGCTCGCCGAACCGCCCTTCACAGCGTTGATACGCGACTTGGTGACGAAGAAGAGGACGAGGTCAAATATAAAGGCTACCATGGCGACAGCGGCCGCAAAGCCAGAGATGAAGGAGCTGCAGTAGGCCATGGACACCTCGCGAACGTGCGCGAGGAGGCCGAAGAAGGCTGAGAGAGCAGCAAGTACGAGGGCAACGATGTGTAGGACGAGGGCATAAGTGACCCATTTGACAAGAACGTTGGGAATTTGAATGGGAAGATCGTCTCCGAGCAGAGCGTTCACGTCTAGTATGGCAACGATGAAGAGAAGTGAGATGGGTTTTGGCGACGGACTCACTGAGCTCGTAGCCCACCGAGGGTTTTGAACATGTTGTGCCGTTGGATAGGTTCAAGCAATAGCCCAGAGTGCCAAAGGTAATAGATCCATTTATGTTTTCAACACTGAGGGAGGCCTTCAGGAAGAAGATGGACTTGATATATGGAACGGAGAAAGTGACGACGGCAAGGAGGCCAGTTGCAACAAGAGTGACCAGAAAACCTGGGGTCGCGGGACGGATGAAACTCATCACGAGAAGATAATGAAGCAGGAGTGCATGCGACGGCGAGGCGGGTATTTAGCGAGAACTGGTGGACACGGGCTGTCCGGTGGGAAGGCAGTGTCCGCGACGCACAGAATTATCGTTCCGACTGCAACCCCGGGGTCCTCGTGACTACCGTCACCCCTCTCTTACGTAACAACCGCAGGGCAATGGAGGTGCAAACATGCTCTGCAGAACAGCGTCGTTCTGCGTACCGTACACACTCGCCATCAGCGCGGTCATGCAATGATCCAGGAAGAAACAACCCTGATCGATTGTGAAGAGCTCCTCGTCGGACACCAAATAAGGAAAAGGTGGTACCATAAGGGGAAGGTACTCGACGCCACCTAAATCTCTTGCTGTGGCAAGAGCATGCCCTTCTCCCTCGCCTTGTTGAGTCAATGCACGTGATTGGGACCTCGCAACGAGCTCTTCCACTTTAGCATGTGAGCATGCAAGAGGGCGTCACGCTACATCGTAACGGAGTGCCAGGTGAGCAAAACGGACCCCAGCATGACGGCCATAGGCTCGGCCCATTCCTGTCTCCAAACGCTCTGTCAGAGTGCATAGCGCAAGACACAAACGCACAGCAAGAGTTCAACGTCAAGTTTTTTTGCGTCCTGCCGTTTTACCCGGAAGTTCCCAATATCATGGCTTTTCACATGTTTGTAAGGGCCCATCGGTTCCTTCTGGCCGATCGCATCGCAGAGCATCTGCAAGTCCGGTACTTACAGCACATACAGTCATAGTCCACGTTCCCAAATCGGCGAAGAAATCCCAATTCTAGACTCTACGGATGCTCCCACCAGAGAATGCAAGACCCATGCATCGTCTCCCCCAAGCAGTTCGGATATTCCTTCTCCACAGTCCTATCCAGTACGAACCCATTCTTCTCGAATACGCGTACACTCCCGATGTTGCCTATGCGCACTTCTGTACGGATTCGTCGAACCCCCATCCTCGGGATCGCCCAGGCAGACAGCAGCGTGCGTAGAGCCATCGTCATGATGCCCCTGCCGTGATGCGAACTCGCAAGGTAATCTGGTCGTCGTACGGTCAGATCAGATCGTACAGTGCCACAGAGATTGATCTTCTACATACACGCTACGCACCAGACCAGCGCAGGATCGCCTACTGGTCTCCGCGCGTTCTCCTCTGAGAGTCGTAGTCGCTCCTCGGGAGCCTCGTGCGGGTATGTGCACCTGCGGAACGCGATGTCGCCGAGATAGACTTCACTGCCATCCTCCTTGATCTCTCTCAAAATCCGCACCGGACAGTCTCCAACAACCTTGAGAGGCGCCTCCGGATCCTTCGCGCTCGCCTCACGGAGCTCACGCAGGATCGCGTCCGACTCCTCTATGACGCTGGACACCCAGCTTTCGGCATGCGATGGGGTGTACGGGTACGGCGGGCCTCCCAGCCATCTGACAACGCCGGGGTCGTTCAGAATAGGCACGGTGAATGCAGCATCACCCGGCCGGTGCGGTGTAAGTATGATGTTCTCGAGAGGGCTGCCCAGGCGTAGATATGGTTCGCCCGTGGCAGGGTTCACCTGTAGAGGATGCAGTTGGGAGTGAGACATCTTGATGATGGGGGCATCCTCGCCAGGTCGCAAGGAGTATAAATGGTTGAGGTCGAGTCAGATCGAGTCAACTGCGCTCTGTCAATACTACATCAAAAAGATAGGTTCAACGGCGCTATACGAAGTCCTTCGGGACCGGATGTACACAGCAGCGGCTGGTATAGGGACATTGCCGATATAGACGAAAAAACATGCCCAGCAGTCGCGTGGAAAATCAGCGGCAAGTGTCGCCGCGCGAGAACGACTGAGGACGACGAAGAAAAGCACGTCTAACAGAAATCAGACTGGCCTCTGCACAATTTCGCGGAGCGTGAAGTCGACGGAGAGTCAGAGACGCGTCTCGAGGCGCGCACGTGATGTTAAATGGGCAAGCCTGCCCTTAAGTGATCGATAAGCCGGAAGAGTTGCGGGTCCTGCAAAAGTTTGCTATTCCACCGAGCTGTGCAGCCCAGGTTTGCCTGCGACGACTCCGCCTCCTCCCCCTTTGCATAGCGATCTCCCTCGAGGAAATCGCCAAATCCCTCATACTCCTTTTTCCTATTTCATTAACTTGTAAAATCTAGTCACCATGGTGTAAGTATCGGCGATTCTCCGCTTGACCCTTTCTCGGTCCTGATTTTTTCCTGCTTCTTCTCGATGACAGTAACTTCACCATGGGTGAGTAATCCCTGCGTGCGTTAACGCTCTAAGGGATGCTGAGGGCATGCTTTACAGCCCAGATTCGGGAACTTATGGACCGCCCGACCAACATCCGTAACATGAGTGTTATCGCTCACGGTGAGTCCTTCTTGTGAGTTCTTTATTCCGGTACAGGTCCTCCTAATCGTGCGCTTGCAGTCGATCACGGAAAGTCGACGCTCACGGACTCGTTGGTCTCGAAGGCCGGTATCATTGCGAACTCGAAGGCTGGAGACATGCGTTTCACGGACACGCGAGATGACGAAAAGGAGCGCGGTATCACCATCAAGTCTACCGCCATTTCCATGTACTTCGAGGTCGACAAGGAAGACTTGAGTGCCATTAAGCAGAAAACCGAGGGTGCGCGCTTTCCTCGGATGTTGTGCCTCATGTATCTGACAAATCTCCGTAGGTAACGAGTTCCTGATCAACTTGATCGATTCTCCGGGGCACGTTGACTTCTCTTCGGAAGTCACGGCCGCTCTCCGTGTCACCGATGGTGCCTTGGTCGTCGTCGACTGTGTTGAGGGTGTCTGTGTGCAGACGGAGACCGTGCTCCGTCAGGCGCTCACTGAGCGTATCAAGCCCGTCGTGGTTATCAACAAGGTTGACCGTGCTCTCCTCGAGTTGCAGGTCGACAAGGAGGAGCTCTTCCAGTCCTTCCGTCGCACCATCGAAAACGTGAACGTCATCATCTCGACGTACCACGACGCCGCTCTTGGCGACGTCCAGGTCTACCCCGAAAAGGGTACCGTCGCTTTCGGTTCTGGTCTGCACGGATGGGGCTTCACTCTCCGTCAGTTCGCGAACAGATACTCGAAGAAGTTCGGTGTCGACAAGGAGAAGATGATGGCCAAGCTCTGGGGCGACAACTACTTCAACCCTACCACCCGCAAGTGGACCACCAAGGACACCGACAACGACGGCAAGCAACTCGAGCGTGCCTTCAACATGTTCGTGCTCGACCCGATCTTCAAGATCTTCGACGCCGTCATGAACTTCAAGAAGGATGCCATTGGTCCCATGCTTGAAAAGCTCGACATCAAGCTGGCTCAGGAGGAGCGTGACCTCGAAGGCAAGGCCCTCCTGAAGGTCGTCATGCGCAAGTTTTTGCCCGCTGGTGACTCCATGTTGGAGATGATTGTCATCAACCTCCCCTCGCCCAAGACCGCGCAGCGCTACCGTGTCGAGACCCTCTACGAGGGCCCCATGGACGATGAGTCCGCCATCGGTATCCGCGAGTGTAACCCTGAGGCTCCTCTCGTCCTGTACGTGTCAAAGATGGTGCCGACGTCCGACAAGGGTCGTTTCTACGCCTTCGGTCGTGTCTTCTCCGGTACCGTCCGCGCCGGCCCCAAGATCCGTATCCAGGGCCCCAACTACGTCCCGGGCAAGAAGGATGACTTGTTTGTCAAGGCGGTGCAGCGCACCGTCCTCATGATGGGACGTTACGTCGAGCCCATTGAGGACTGCCCGGCTGGTAACATCGTCGGTCTCATCGGTATCGACCAGTTCCTGCTCAAGAGCGGTACTCTCACGTCGTCCGAGACCGCGCACAACATGAGGGTCATGAGGTTCTCCGTGTCCCCTGTCGTGCAGGTCGCCGTCGAGGTCAAGAACGCTGCGGATCTGCCAAAGCTTGTCGAGGGTCTCAAGCGTCTCTCGAAGTCCGACCCGTGTGTCCAGGCATGGATCTCCGAGACTGGTGAGCACATCGTCGCCGGTGCTGGTGAGCTCCACTTGGAGATTTGTTTGAAGGTATGTAGTCCCTTGTCGTCTCATGTGCTCGCAATCTCACTGTATGCGCTCTCCCAGGATCTCCAAGAGGACCACGCTGGTGTCCCCCTGAAGATCTCGGACCCTGTCGTCCCCTACCGTGAGACTGTCAAGACCGAGTCTTCGATCGTCGCTCTGTCCAAGTCGCAGAACAAGCACAACCGTCTCTACGTGAAGGCGATGCCCATCGATGAGGAGCTCACGCTCGCCATCGAGGCTGGCAAGGTCAACTCGCGCGACGACTACAAGATCCGTGCGCGCCTCCTCGCGGATGAGTACGGTTGGGACGTGACGGACGCGCGTAAGATCTGGTGTTTCGGCCCGGACACGACTGGCCCGAACATGCTTGTCGACGTGACGAAGGGTGTGCAGTACCTGAACGAGATCAAGGACTCGTGTGTGGCTGCGTTCCAGTGGGCGACGAAGGAGGGTGTCTGTGCGGAGGAGAACATGCGTGGTGTCCGCGTGAACGTGCTCGATGTCACGCTGCACACGGACGCGATCCACCGTGGTGGAGGACAGATCATCCCGACATGTCGTCGTGTCTGCTACGCCGCATGTTTGCTCGCGACGCCAGGTCTGCAGGAGCCCGTCTACCTTGGTACGCATCTGCACTTCGCTTTCTGCGCCTCTGGCGGAGCTGACGTCGCGTCGTGCAGTTGAGATCCAGTGCCCCGAGAACGCGATCGGCGGTATCTACAGTGTGCTCAACAAGCGCCGTGGCCAGGTGTTCAGCGAGGAGCAGCGTGTCGGCACGCCGATGTTCACGGTCAAGGCGTACCTGCCCGTCATGGAGTCGTTCGGCTTCAACGGCGAGCTCCGCTCACAAACCGGTGGCCAGGCGTTCCCGCAGAGCGTGATGGACCACTGGGAGCTGATGAACGGCTCGCCGCTCGACAAGGGCAGCAAGCTCGAGGAGCTGGTGAGGAATATCCGAGTACGCAAGGGTCTCAAGGTCAGTGCCGCTCGTTTGTCTGGCGATCCGCTTGTACTGATACTGATTGGCGGCGTGATTTACAGCCCGATATCCCGTCTCTCGACACGTACTACGACAAGTTGTAAGGTGTCCGTCGCCGCAGAAGCAAACCATCCTGTGTCATTACGGTGTTCCACGAGTTTCCTGTCAGCATTAGCCCGCACGATGTTGTATCCCTTTGACGATCCTTTCAATGCATTTTTTCTCTCTTCGTGTATTGCTATCGTGGGACTGATGTGATTTATATGCTGTTGTCCGCTGCCCCACTGGCTGAATTGCATATTTATGAGGCGAGGGTCCCGCATGAAAGTAGTACGCACGCGCTATACAAATATATACACGCACATTCTCCATCTATTGTGTGCTTTGAACAGGCCGGTCTATGAGACAGGCTGGCGCGTGTGATGGCCAGAATTCTATAACATTACACTGCATGCTCTAGAGTACACCGCGACGTCAGCTGCGGCCGAACAGCGCTTGTTCGAGGAGCCTGCCATAGTCGTTCGCGCCGCGTGTCCACAGAGAGAACCAGATGGGACTGAAGAGGAGGCCGCAGGCGCAGCCGGCTGCCACTTGGGGCCAGGTGTGGTGGCCGAGCCATGTACGGGAGACGGCGATGGTGGCGGCCCAGGGGAGGACGACGGCGGGCGGGACGATGCGCGTCGCCAGGGAGTCGGGGAGCGAGGGGAGGATTGGGAGGCAGAGGCAGGCGAGGGTGATGTACGCTGCGTAGAATGTGATTGTGGCGGAGTGCGTGCTGGGCATGCTATTGGGGCGACTCAGCACTCGACGGTGTCGCGCCAGAGCAATAAGAAGGCGTGATACCCGTAAGACGTCTTGCGCTTGCCGCGGATGGTCGCGACGGGGCGGGGCTGGCGCACGAGCCTCTTGACGACTTTGACGGTGAGGGAGCACACGACGGCGCCGGCCGCAAAGTAGGCGACGGCGGAGGATCGTGTGTAGAGGAGGACGCTGGCAGTGAGACCCGTGACGACGGCATTTGTCTGTGGACGGGGGGATTGAGAGGGCGCGTGGCAAGAGTGGACGCAGCGACTGACCTTGTCGAGGAAGCGCATCCACCAGGCGTTCGCAAAGTCCGGCTCGCCGCGCATGGCGAAAGAGGGAGAGCGTGCTGATGCGGGCGTGCTGATGTCACTAGGGGTCGCAGTGCACCCACCTTTTTTGGTAGGTCTTTCCAACCCCGACTGATCCCTCAGCCACCTGCGATCGACGCGACCCCGCCAATGTTATGCCATGATGTGTTGAGCTTGTGTTATATTGGGCCAATGATGCGGCCTTTGTACAAGGCTCTAAGGTATCCAAGGAATGATCTAGACAACTGTGACTGCCTGCAATCGCAACATATGAGCTGATTGTAGTATATTCTTGAAGTATGAAGATTGTTTTTTAGAATACATCTGTGTCGGATTCTTGACATCCGCGGTCGCGATCCGCGCTCCCTACGTCAATCCGATACCGTAGCTCATTCTCTGTCTACCTCCACGTGATACCTACTCTACATACTTATACCTCGCTCCCCCACTCCCCACTTCTCTCCTCAGTTGTTGTACCACTACGACTGAGGTATGTTCGTCTCGCCTTTTCCCCCCGTACCAGTACTGATTCGAAATTGTAGACTTACTCGATTCGGTACAGTTCCTAAAACCTGTGGTCCACTCTAATACAAGCTCAACACGTCGCGTCGATCGCGGATGGCTGAGGGAGCAGTCAGGGTTGGAAATACCGGTGGGCGCTCTGCGAATGAACGAGCGAGCGACAAGAATTGAGCACCCCTCCTCCTGCGGCTGCTCGGCGGCCAGCGAGATGTGCGTCGATCGTAATCGAGATCGCAGGCTGCGGAGGTGCGCACGTGGACGGCAGAGGACATATTCGATCGGCAACTGGCAAGCCGTGGCGAGGCGTTCTGCCGCAGGCGGTCTGCGCCCTCAGCTGGCCCGAAGCAGCGCGGTCTCTCTCTCTGTCTCTCCGTTCTCACCCCGCCCCGCACCGCAGCGCAATCCAAGCGCTCCTGCCCGGCGTCCTCTCGTTCCGTCCTCCACTCTTTGTCCCCGTACCTCACCATGCTCGTGTCCCTCGCATGTATAACGCAGGTCGTTCTCCTTCTGCTCCTCGTCCCCAAGTCTGCTGCGCATGCACTTGCTGTCACACGTGCTACTCCGTCCACCTGCAACGGCTACTCCCAGGTGAGTTCAAGGTGCACGCGGGACGTCCGTATTCCGCTCACAGCGCGCAGCTCTGTGACCGCTCGTACGGAAATGTCACCTTTGTCGGAGCTCACGACTCGTACGCTGTCTCGTCTACGAACCGTAAGCCCACTCGTTGCTCGCGCGAACGCACATCTCACGCACGGCTTCAGTCGCCGCTAACCAGGATTACAATGGTGAGCATTATTCCCCACCAGTGCTGCGAGTCCTGACCCATGTGTGTCCAGTCACACAGCAACTGAAGGATGGTGTCAGAATGTTGCAGCTCCAAGCACACAACCAGAGCGGTGTCATCCAGCTCTGCCACACCTCTTGCGTATGTCCCGGGCATAGGCTAGAGCCTCAGCGGTGCTGACCCAGTGCACAGGGCTTGCTGAACGGTGGTACCCTTGCCAACTATTTGAACAGCGGTATGCCATGCCGTCCGTGTGATTCGTCTGCCCGCGTCTCACTATCTTGCCAGTTAAATCCTGGATGGACGAGAACCCTAATGAAGGTGCGTGACGGCAGGCGTCCCGCACAAATTTGATATCCTATCACCGTTCGTGTTTCAGTGGTCTCGATGCTCATCGTCAACTCGTACGACAACATTCTCCCGGCGGCCTACGCGACTGTCTTCTCCGACGCCGGTCTCGACTCCGTGGCCTATGCGCCCACCAACGCGACAGTTGCGGCGAGCGCATGGCCCACGCTGGGAGACATGATCAGCTCCGGGAAGCGGCTCGTCGTCTTCCTCACGACACGGGCCGACTACCAGGAAGTGCCCTACCTGATTGACGGTATGCCCTTCCCCTCTATCCGCTGTCTGTCTCGTTGCGCTCACGTCCCACGGGTCTGCCGCAGAGTTCACGAACATCTGGGAGACGGCATACGACGTGACGACGACGTTTGACTGCGCGGTGAACCGCACGAACGGCAACTCGAACACGCAGATGTACCTGATCAACCACTTCCTGGACATAGACCTCGGGCTGGGCCTCCTCATGCCGGACAAGGACGCGGCGGCCGCGACGAACGGCGTGTCTGGTGCGAACTCGCTGGGGCAGCAGGCCGCGACGTGCGTGTCCGACTACCACCGGAGCCCGAACTTCATGCTCGTCGATGTGCGTGTCCTCCGCGCGCAGCTCGCTGCGTGGAAAATAAAAACTCACCCATTATATGTGCTGCCAGTTCTACGAGTATGGAAACGGCTCCGTCTTCCAGGTTGCGGCAACCGCGAACGGCGTGACCTACAGCCCGTCGACGCCCATCGCCCAGGCTGGCGGCAGCTCCAGCAGCAGCTCGGCGACGACCGGCGGTGCTCTCCCCTTCATGCGGGTCACCCCCGCCCAACTCGGCGCGTCGTTCGCTGTGACCGCGGGCGTATTCCTCGGCGCGCTGAGTGTCCTCTAAACGATCCGCAGCAAAAGCGATCTCGTTGATCCGTGTTCACTGGCAGGATCTGTGCTCACTGACAGGATCTGATGCCCCATCTTCAAGTTCGTGCCTGGACTGCTTTGCATCTGCTCTCCATCTTCATCTCCATCTCTATCAACACCAACACCTACCACTTCCATCTTAGGACACTCACAGACTATTCACGGACCCATCTACATCTATCTACGTGTAGCATTGCATAATAGCATTAGGACTTGCGTACAGCCTACAGGACTCATCGGGGGTGCTCACATGGGAATTAAATTCAATCTACTTATGGTCGCTCTACCCGATTTACGCGATCTATGAGGCGTCCCATTCCGCGTGTGTATGGCGACGACCTGCTTGCTCTGCAGACGATCAAACTTTCAAGGCTCACGTGGATCCGGAGAGCGTGATGGCTTGACGGGCGGATGGAAGTTCTGAACGCAGGAGCGCATGCATGGCTAGTGTACATACTGACTAGTACTGCTGCCATTTCTCCGCGGCCGATCTGGCCATACTTTGGAGACAATGTCAATCCAGACCGAGTGTGTGCGCCACGGCCGACGTAGTCCAAGTCCCTGGGAGCATCTCACACACCAGACCGCTCCATAAGAGTGTAACGAAAGCAAATGGCATGACATGGTATTGGTGTGACCGACAGTGCGTCACGCTGCGAACTCAGCCGCCCGCCGTGGAATGGGCGTGCCCGTTTCAGCGCAGCCACACCATGAGCTTTCAGAGCTTCAGGCTGCAGACACAACCCCTCCCCTCCTCCCCCGCCGCGGGCCCATCCTCCCTCGCGCTCGCGCTGCACGCACCCCCGCCGCCCCCCGTCGACCCCGGCGCGCCGTCCCCCGCCTCCGCGCCCCCTAACCTCGCGAAGAAGGGCCCGTACGGCTCGGGGGACGCGGACGACGGGTACACGCTCGTGTTCGCGTCGATGGCGGCGTTCCAGGCGTGGCGCGCGCGCGAGGAGGCGGCGAAGATGGTCGAGTTCGTCAAGGGCGACACGCACGGGAGCAAGGCGGTCCCGCCGCGCTTCAAGGACCACACGAAGCTCGTGTGCGCGCGCCACTCGCGCAACGGGCGCAAGAAGTACGTCAAGAAGTTCCCCGAGCGCGTGCGCAAGGTGCCCAGCCGGAAGGTGCGTGCGCTTCCCCCCCGGCTCGTGTGTGCCCGCCTCGTTTGCGTTTGCGTGCGCCCTGCTGCTCCCCCGCCCGCCCCCTTTTGTCCTCTGTAAAGTGCATCACGGCAGTCGCTCACGGCGCTCAAGGCAGCTCGAGGGGATTGGCTGCCCCGCCTCGATCAGCTACAAGACGTACTTTGACACCGACGAGGTGCGCGCGATGTGTGAGTTCCCCCCCGCGCCCGCGCCCATCCACTCATCTGCTCAGTTGACGCATCCGCCTCCGCCGCCCACAGACATCGACGAGCACTCGCATGAGATCGGCCCCGCGAACTTCCCCTTCACGAAGCGCGGCCGCAAGGCGGCGGCGGAGCAGCACGCCCGCGCGAAGGCTGCGCGCCGGCAGGACGGGGCGGACGGGACGGGAAGCGCAGGCGGCGCGGCTTCCAGCAGTCCCCAGGCGGCGTCCTCCCCCGGGGCGATCCCCCCGGCAAGCGCGTCCTCGCCCGCAGACGGCATCGCAGGGCCCTCCTCTGTGTCCGCGCACCCACACCAGAACCCGCATCAGCACCCACACCCGCACCCACAGCAAAACGGCCAGCCCACACTCGTGCACGCGCCGCCCGCGGCGCTCTCGCTCCCCGGACAGGCGTTCCAGGCGGCGATACGGATGATCGCGCCGCTCCCGCCGCCGCCCGGGCTGCCCGTGGACCTCTCGCAGGACCGGTGGGACCGCATGGACGTGCTGTTCCAGAGCATCCGGGAGAACGCGCGGAGCTTCGCGTACCCCGCGCCGTCCGTCGCGGCGCTGGAGAGCGTCCTGATACGGCTGTACCTCGAGAGCCCGGTGGCGGGGATGGGGCCGCCGCCGCCGCATGCGATGGGCGGGCCGGACATGAATATGGACGGCATGCCCGATGTGGGCAACCAGGGACATATGGGCACATAAACAAATGTACACTCTTCGAAGAGCTTCTCCTGCGATACCCCCTCTCCCCTCCCGAGATATAGCTACTAGTAAACTAGAGATCTTGGTCTATTAGTATGGCGCGGTCCACGTGATCGCGCATCAAAATGAAAGTTGTTACTATGTTTAGCGCGCTCGTTTAGAGAACCGTCCACTGCTTCCTGCGACCAGTCTGTCGCCAGTTCCTTGCCCCACACCACCAGAAAAGCCTTGAGTGTGCTGCGTCCTGGGCATCATGTCGTCCTTGCGAAATTCATTACACCGGCGCAACCACAAGGAGCGTTCGCAGCTCTCTCATCGAGCTCGTCTGGGCATCCTCGAAAAGCACAAGGACTATGTCCTCCGTGCGCGGGACTACCACTCGAAGCAGGACAGGATCACCCGCCTGCGCCAGAAGGCAGCAGACCGCAACAAGGATGAGTTCTACTTCGGGATGAACAGGCAGGGGACGCAGGTGCGGCTTGAGAATTCGTTTGGGACCGTGCGACGGCCGCTCACCCTGGATTCTCGGGACAGGGGGGAGTGCATGTGCAGGATAGAGGAAACGAAGCGCTACCGGAGGACGTGGTGAAGGTGCTGAAAACGCAGGACGAGAATTACCTGCGGACGATGCGGACGGCGGGGCTGAAGGTCAGTGGGCTCGGCAGTGGGTTCCGGATGCGTCCCGCTCAGCCATTCGTTTGCCGTGCACGCAGAAAATAGATAGGCTCAAGGGCCAGCTGAGCGCACTAGCAGACCTCGTCCAGCCTCTTGCCACGGACAATGACCCTGACGATGTAGAAGACGGTCTGGACCATGAGGAGCTCGAAGTGCTACGGGAGGCGGGTATCCTCGCCGCACCAGCGAAGACACGGAGGCGCAGATCTGGCGCCAGCCTAAAGGGCAAGCACATTGTTTTTGTGGAGGACGAGGACGCAGGTGTGTCTACCCGGTCTATGCATTGTCGAGGGAATTCTCAATAAAGCGGTATAGCCCGTCAGTATGCTGCTAACGCAAGGAATACGACTCGGCAACGGCATGACGACGCTATGAGCGTCGTGGCCAATGAACAGGTAGATCTGGGATGGAAATTACCCGAGGAAGACAAGAAGAGCAAAAGACGGAAATCACAGTCCGAAGCGCAGGTGGCGTTGGCAGAAGGCAAGGAAATGGCAGACGAGGAGCGGAAAAAGGCCGCCACAGTACGTCTGTCACGATCTGTAATTCTTACGTGCCTCACAAGCGTGCTCAGGAACATCGGACAAGACTCCTGAAGGAACTCTCAGCCCGCCTCTTCCGGGACAGGCAGCTCCGATATGCCGAGCGGGAGCTTGAAATGCAACGCCTCCTCATGGGCAAGGGCGGGGCTCGTAAACTACGGGGCGTCGAAAAGGTGGAGAGTGGTGACGACGGCGACGATGACGAGGAGTCGGAGAGCAGGGCAGTGAAGAAGGTGGACGAGAAGACGTGGAAACCAAGAGTGTACAAGTGGCGGTTAGAGAGGAAGAGGTGAGCCCAGGGCTGGATTTCCGCCTCACGACCAGGACGATCTGCATTTTATATTACAACTTGAGGGATGATGCAGATGAACTACCTGTCTTTTCTCGTGGCTGGATCTCTTTTCGTTTCGCATCGAGAAGTGTCCCATTCGCTGCGACTACTTACTCGTACAGCAAGCAGAAGACAGAACAAATACTGCTCAAGTTGGTGCCCATAGCTGCTGTTCTGTCCGAAACGCGAGAATCGAGTGAGATCTTCGTCTGCTCGCGTTAGTATGTATTACTGCATAATCGTACAACACCCCTCTCTTCCTGAATTGCTCGCTTCCATAGTTAGTCATCAGCTCTTCGAGCTTCAAGGGTCAGTGAAGGGATCGGCAAACGGATCCTCCTCTTCGGCAACTAGGCCCTTGTGAGTGTCGTGATGAACACCGACCTCCTCATCCGATCCAGTGTGTGCGCGACCGCGCGAGCTGGTCGACGCGCGATTGTACGTTCCCTCGTCTGACGACTCGTAGTCACTGAAGTCTGAGAGAGATCCCCGGCGGTACGCTGCGCCCTCGTCCGAAGACGTGCGGCGGGCGGACGATGGTCGGAGCGGTGGAGGCAGCCTGCTGCAAATCGCGGATAACGACTCAAGACACACCGAATACAACTGTGACAAGAACGTACCTCTTCTCCATTCCTAGCGAGCCGAAGCTCAGTTCCTGTAGATCTGGGTGCACGTAGGCGTGCCCTGCCTCCCCGTCTTGATCTCGCCCTTTACCTGCAGCTAGCTGGCTAATGCCGCCGGCGCGGCCCAAGGATCGCTGGACTGCTGCGCGCTGCTTCTCTTGCAGTCTCGAAAGCTCGGAATCTTGGATCTTGACGGCGGCGAGGCCCTCTTGAACGTGCTGCACGTCTTGCTCGGTGATGTTAGGTCGTGAGAGCTGGTGGAATGTCGTATGGTTATGGAGAACGGTGATTTCGAACGCGGACTTACTGTGTCGTAAGTTTCAATGGCGGCGATGATACGGTCGTTGGCTTCAATCAGCGTGCCGATCATGTCTTCGTTTTCCACGAGCTAAAGTGGGCTCGTTCAGCATTGCACCTGGCGTGTATGTCAAAAGATTTTATTACCTGAATATATCGGACGATCTGTTTCCTCGCGAACTTCGCCTTGTCAAGACACTCCTGTACGCGGACATTCGTTTGAAGGCTATCCTGCTCAGTGTTGACGAGCTGGATGGGTCGTGAGACCATGTCATGCAAATCATCAACGAACGCCATACAGTTATAGCATTCACGAGGTTTATAGAGGCTTGCGAGGCGTTGGCGATGGCCGTCAAAATCTGAGGCTTCTCCTGTGGACAAGTGTGTCAGTCGAACTATGCATTCAGGACACGCGTGGCCGCACCTGCTCAAAGTCGAAAGGCTTCCTCTGGACCTTCCCATTGCGCGCTGCCTTCCTCTTACCCTCCTCCTCCCGCTTCCTCTTCTCTTTCTCCTCCTTCGTCTTACGCTTCTCGTCCTCCTTCCTCCGCCGCTCCGCCTCGCGCTCCTCGCGCTCTTTCTCCTTCTCCCGTTCCCGCTCCTCCAGCCGGCGCAGCTCCTCCGCATCATACTGCACGGACGAACGGGTGGGGCGGTGCCCACCGGTGTGGCCGAGGCCACACGACTTGTACAGGTTCGCGACGAGTGTCATGGACGGGTCGTCCTTGAACTGCGTGTACCACGCAGTCAGGACGGCGACGAGCTTCTTCTTCACCTTGGGGTCGGTACTCCCGTCGGAGGCGAGCATCTTGATAGCGTCTGTCAGCTGCGAGTCGGCGAAGGAGGCTATCGCGCGTTGTGAGTATTGTTTGGGAGAAGCAAGCGCACAGCTGCATAGGACGTACTCTGGAAGTTGTGCCCTCCATTCTCCACGAGTGCGCGTAGGATCTGACAAGGGCTTTGAGTGACGCTCACAAGCACCCGGTATGGTACTTACGACAAGGGCGCGGTATTGCTGGTGTGGATTGCCATGTTTGAGTTTCTTCCGTATTGCTCTTGATGCTTCCGCCGGACTGCCAAACTGCTCAGTGGATCCGCGGTGCTTTGGGACGTGTCCACGAGACTCACCCGGTGGCTTGTATGCTTATCGCGTCAACAAGCTCAGGGATACTGGCAGCCGAATACCATGAGTCTTGAGGGCGAAGATAGAAAAGCTCTAAACGCACCCGTCATAGGCTTCATCTGCGTAGCCTGGTGATGTCAGAATTTCAACCCACTCCGTAATAGATGACTAGGAGAAGGTGATTGGATTGCCGCAGGTTACTGTCGGAAAGCACTTACGTGGGGCTTCTCGCGGTTGAAGGCGGTGTAGGCCTGCTTAGCCAGCTGAATGGCGGACATGCTGGCGAGTTTGTTGGAGGGCAGACGAAAGCAGGACGCTGCGGGACAGACTGTGGAGGCACTGGCACCCAGTGACAACTCATGATATCGCGATCGGGGTACATGAACGAATGCGGCTATCCGAACATCCCCTTGCTTGCCGTCAATGCATGCTGTACATTGAGTGATATACACCGCCAATTCCAGGAAAACCGGCAACCGGAAGCTTTTCACTCTCAGGAAACGAAGGACATGGGAACATGCTGCGGTGGCCGGGTCTCACAGGGAGCTCACCCTCTGATCAACCCGATCGGCGGGACAGCCACAGATGATGGCAAAGCAAAGCCACTCTCACATTCGACAATATTGTACATTCAGTGTTACATGCACATCCTCACGGCAAATCTCAGAGCATTTCAGTTGATGGAAATCCTCTTCGCAACCTGCTCAGGCGTCGTGCGAGGGAACATCACAGTCAACACGCCGTTCTCCATCATTGCCTTTATCTCGTTCGACTGCGTCTGCATGAGTACAAACTATAACCAGCCTCGAGGAGGTACACATACCTTCACGCCAGGCGGCAGCAGAATCGCGCGCGAGAACTTGCCGTAGCGGCGTTCGCGGACGGCATACCCGTTCTCGTCGTGGTCGCTGCGCTGCTTCGACTCGCCGGAAACGGTCAGCATGGTGTCATGCACCTCGATCGTGACGTCGTCCTTTTTCAGGCCCGGCAGCTCGAATATCGCGGTGATTGTGTTGGCCTTCGTGTCCTCGTGCATGTCCATCCTGCCGCGAAGTGTCAGTCAAGCCAGCGTAGACATGGTTTAGTGAGTACAAACGCACCTCGGCGTCATCATCATGGTCGAGTTGTTGCGCTGTGAGGCGACCTGCCGGTTGCCGTCCACGCGCCTCGTGAGTGCGTCGTCGAAGAGGCGGTCAAACTCCGACGTAGAGTAGAAGGGGTCGTTGAAGAGACGAGTAAGGGACATTTCGCGTCAAGTGGATGAAGACGATGTGTGTCGGGTGGTAGGTTGAGCTGACAGTTCTGACCACTGTGCCCTTGTCCAAGAGCCTTTATACTGCTGCGGGCCATGGCAAGTATAAGCTTGTGGAGTGAGGCAGAAGTAGCCAGCAGAGCCGGTGGGGTACTAGGCACTATTGCGCCCACCCGAACGGCCTAGAAATCAAGAGAATCGTCCAAGAGCTCCCAGTCATCACTTCGGACGCTGCCCAGAACTATGCAGCAGATCACAAGACATCATCTGTTGAACGTATATGTAAGTGAGAACGCTGCTTATGTCGTCTCGGATCATCTGAAGAGTGTCGCGTAGCTTTTTGTCCACCAACCTGCTGGTATCGTGCTGGAACGATGTGCCGTGCTGTATTCGCGCACTTCTCCAAGGCACACTCCGAGAGGGGTCGTCTCATGACAGACTAGTGGCAGGTCGATAAGTATGAGAAAAGCTGAAGACGCACATTCACAGAGACTCCAACACGTAGAGCCTCGTCGTCAAATCGCGGGCGACCGCCGGACATTGTGCAACCCACAGCTCTCCATCCCGCCACGACGGAGGAATGTTGCGGCTGAAAGTGGGGAAATGGGGATGCTTCCGGATGTCCCTTGACCGGAAGCTTATAGTCTCATGATGCACGCTGCGCTGGGAGTGCATATACTCGCCCCGACCAAATAGTGGATGAAAGTGGGCTATGCATCAGCCATACAGGTAGTCAGAATCGCAAGACGCCGCGCGAATAAGCTTTATTTCCTGAGCGGTGCGCTCTGGGGCGGCCTATCCATTACTCCGTAGTATGATAGTTAGAGGGAAGCATCTAGTGAGGTCAGGCTCATACCCATCTCATACCCATTGAATGGCGTTCGACTCGCCGCCCACCCAGAAGGGCCGCAGAGCCTTCGGGAGGTCCACTCCACTTACTTCCCCATTCGAACCGATCCGCGCGCCGTTCTCGAGCAGCGCGATGATAAGTCGCGGGATCGCAGCGGCCGTACCATTGAGCGTATGTGCAAAGGGCAGAGGTGCAGAGGGGGCCTCAGATGCGGGCGCAGCGTCCGTCGGCAGTGGTCGTCGGTAGCGGATGTGCAGCCGCCGCGCTTGGTAGTCTGTACAGTTCGACGTAGAGGATATCTCGCCCCAGCCGCCGCGGCCCGGCATCCAGGCCTCCATATCGTACTTGCGATATGCACTTGCGCCAAGTTCTTCGGTGGGCATGTCGAGGACACTACGCACATTGGGCAATTCACTCGCTGTATATACTTCAGTGGGCCAAGTGACTCACCGGAATGGAAATCGTAGTCCTTCGAATATTTCCACCTGTAGCCGTCTCATCTCCTCCATCATGGTTTCGCTCTGCTCCTCGGCGCACACGACAAAGAGCTCGAGCTTGGTGAATTGATGCACTCTGTACAAGCCGCGAGTGTCTGCGCCGCGTGCTCCAGCCTCTGCTCTAAAAGCCCGCCCCAGGCCGACCACTTTTCGGGGCAGGTCCTGCGCATTGAGTATTTTGTTGGCAAACATACCGGCAAGGGGGATCTCCGCTGTGCCCGCGAGGACGAGCTCTGGATGGAGGGCACTCGTCGTGGCATCTGGAGATGAATGAGAGAGGTGGTACATCTGCGAAACGGGTGGGTCTGCATTGTGGTCGCGGGGCTGGAAGCCGCAGCGCGTGGCAATATCTGAGCGAACCACATCTGGCGTCGTCACCGGCGTGAACCCGTGCTTGATAGCAATGCTGAGTGCGTAGTTGACGAGTGCAAGTTCAAGGAGGGCACCTTCATTCAGTAGATAGTACCATGAAGATCCTGTCACAGTAGCTCCAGCCTCCAAGTCCAGTAAGTTGAGTGCACGACAGATAGAGACATGATCCCTTGAAGGAGAGGTGGGGAGAGGCTCTGGGCCGTGCGTTGAGAGAGTCGCAGCCTCCGACTCGGGGCCCATTGGCGAGTCTGGGTGAGTGTCATTGGGGATTGCAAGAGCGAGTGCGTACAGGCGGTCTTCTACTTCCTCCAGCCGACGCTCGAGCTCAGTGATTTCTGCCTTCAGAGACTTTGCCTCAGCGAGCGCGGCTTCCTTGGCCCTGGGGTCTTTCGCAGCGGCTCTTACCCGTTCACCAACAGTAGAGCGGGCATGTCGTTTCGCCCCGACCTCGTGTAGCAGTTCCTTCTGCTCCTCGTAAAGACGCGCTACCGTCTGAACGGCCCCAACAGGAAGTAGTGCCTTGCGGTTGAATGCGTTATGCGACTTGAAGACGGCATTCTCGGAGATTGCGCGGTAGTCCAGGCGCGGTTTGGGCAGGCCAGACGATGCCTGCTCCGGCTTGGATGAATAACGGCGAACACTGCCGCCTCGATCAAGCGTCAACCTTGCGTACTTCCCTGGTACAGTGCAGTAACAGAGAGCTTACGGTGAAGGCCTGGGAGGAGGCGACGGATGCTCGCGAGCCTTGGGCACGGAGGGGGCATCCGCGGACTGACGTGACGGTCACAGCACAAGGTGTACGCAGCCACTTCAGCCACCAGCGCGTCTGGGTTCGTCGCGTGCCTCGACGCGTCTTTCTCGCTCTCGTCCTCGTCCTCACTGCCTCGACCGCCGGGCCTTCTCATTCGACATGGCTTCATCATCAGCAAAGGGCAAGGCGCCAGCTAACGGCAATGCGACGACCGTGCCATACGAACTGCCCTGGTCTGTATCATCACGTCCACGCCCGGCGACCGCTGACATAGCTCACAGGGTGGAGAAGTACCGGCCACAAGTGCTAGACGACATCGTCGGAAACGCGGAGACTATCGACCGTCTGAAAGTCATAGCCAAGGATGGCAACTGCCCACATATCATCATCTCGGTACGGTGCTGCAGTCATACCACGCGCGTTCTATCTCATGCTATGTCCGTGCAGGGCATGCCAGGTATCGGGAAAACGACAAGCATACATTGCTTATCACATCAACTACTGGGGGATGCATATAAGGAGGGTGTGCTTGAACTGAACGCGTCCGACGAGCGGTGAGTACAAATCCAGACGCGGCGTTCTAGCGTGCTGAATTGCCTTAGAGGTATTGACGTCGTACGCAACAAAATCAAAGCCTTCGCGCAGAAGAAGGTGACGCTTCCTCCCGGGAGGCATAAGATCGTCATACTCGATGAGGCGGATAGGTAAGCATAACGATGGAGCTTCGAACCGGACAGGTGCTTAATGCGCCCGCAGTATGACACCAGGGGCACAGCAGGCCCTCCGCCGCACGATGGAAATCTATGCAAATACAACGCGTTTTGCACTAGCATGTAACATGTCGAACAAGATCATCGAGCCTATACAAAGTCGTTGTGCTATTCTCCGATATGCTAAACTGCGCGACACGGAGATCCTCAAGCGGCTATTGGAAATCTGTGAGATGGAAAAGGTGAGCCGTGTCTGGCCACCGGCCAGCCTTCACTTGACGTGCATTCCCAGGTTCAATACAACGATGACGGTCTCACTGCGTTGATTTTCACTTCAGAAGGCGACATGCGACAGGCCATAAACAACCTGCAGTCGACACACTCTGGTTTCGGCTTCATCTCAGGGGACAACGTCTTCAAGGTCTGCGACCAGCCACATCCCATCATTGTTCAGAGCATCATTCGTGCATGCATCAAGAGCGATATTAATGGCGCAATGGAGAAGCTCAACGAGCTATGGGACCAAGGCTACAGTGCAGTGGACATAGTCGTGACTGTTTTCCGGGTCGTAAAGACGTTCGACGAGCAAGTCATCCATACCTGCTTTCGTTCAAACTTATTGACTTGATTGTGTACTCAGAATTCCTGAGTACACAAAGCTTGAATACATCAAGGTACGTCAGGCGATATACGACATCTTCAGCGGCTCATTATGGCATGCAGGAAATCGGATGGACACACATGCGCATTCTAGAAGGTGTGGGTACCCTCATACAACTGGGTGGGCTAATGGCCCGTCTTTGCAAAATGTAGGTCGCGACATACCTAGCCGCCCCCTTGCGCTCATCTTTCTCCTCCAGGAACATGAAGCCTGACCTATTTAGAGTGTAGAACGTACCTGTCGACTTTAGTCGAGAGCACTAGATTGCTGTGTTACTGCTGTCCGCGCACATTAGCTTGTTATTGTAATCTTACTACAGGGAACCGTAGTTTGTGTCATGTGAGGTCTTGAGCGTGTTGGGATTGCTGTATGCCTGGCCAACGTACTTAAAATCTGTCCAGCCACCGAGTCACATCGAAGAAGCGCCCACACCTCCCTCAGTCAGCGACCAGTCAGCAATGCGATCGCGGCACCATCGTGTCTACTCTCGTCCGGTTCACTCGCCGCGAATGCGTTGATCATCTCACAATACTCTCAGCATGGCGGCGGTAGAGGACACTCCTGTTAGTCGACGCTTGCGGAGCGTCAAGCACATCATCATCGTCTGCTCCGGCAAGGGAGGCGTCGGCAAATCCTCCGTCTCTACCCAGCTTGCACTCTCCCTGCGGGCCTCCTCGCCCACCGCACGCGTCGGCGTGCTCGATGTCGACCTGACGGGCCCATCGATCCCCCGGATGCTCGGTCTGGACGGCCACGCCGTACACCAGAGCAGCGACGGGTGGGTGCCCGTGTACGCGGACGGGAGCGAGGCCCGCCTCGCATGCATGAGCGTCGGCTTCCTGCTCAAGCGGCGCGAAGAATCGATCGTGTGGCGGGGGCCCAAGAAGAACGGGATGATCCGCCAGTTCCTGAGCGACGTGCGGTGGGGCGAGCTCGACTATCTGGTCATCGACACGCCGCCCGGTACGCACGCGCCCTGCTGGTTTCATTCCGCGTCCCCTCGCTAACGCGCGTGCGGTTCTTTCTGCGCAGGAACTTCTGACGAGCACCTCTCGCTTGTGGAGCATATGGCCCCGGTGCACTCGCGCATATCGGCCGTGCTCGTCACGACGCCGCAGGCCGTCGCGCTGCTGGACGCCATGAAGTGCCTCTCGTTTACGCGGGCGACCTCCATCCCCGTGCTCGGCCTCATAGAAAACATGAGCGGATACGTGTGTCCGTGCTGCGGCGATATCAGCAACGTCTTTTCCACGGGCGGCGGAGAGGAGATGGCTAAGCGGGAGGGCCTGCGCTTTCTGGGCAGTCTGCCCGTTGACACGGAGCTCGTTTCTCTACTTGACGCCGCTGATCCGGCGGATGCTCAGTCGACCCAGGTGCTCGAGGATGGCGGGAGCGTCCGGTCTTTCCGGCTGCTTGAACAGTACCAGAAGACGCCGACCGCACCGCTGTTTAAAAACATCGTGGACCAGGTGGTCCATGCGCTCACAGCCGGAGAGGGACGGACGGAGGCGAGTTGATCTGATGTTGTGGTACTGTACGGTACGTGATCTATGGATTTCTGAGTGGCTAAAGGGGCTAAATGTCGTGGCCATTGACAGGTATCCCCTGTGTATCCATAGTGCAGATATGACTGTATCCAAGACTCTTGGTAGATTTCTGGAAGTGGGCAGATCTCGTCTATCATCAAGCACGTTCGATCATCAGTGCAACATGATCGTATGTGCGTAGTTCGCTGATCGATGCCGATGAACCACGATTTGATTCCGCTTCGAGTCATGCCCACAATGGAACGAGGAGATTCTAATAGGCAGTCTTCCCGAGGCCTCGTTCCTGGCTGCATGTCACGCCTCGATGCAGCTCTCGTGTGCTCTCTCTCCCCACAGTCCCCAACGTACTTTGCTGGTGATTTCTCATCTGATAGCCGTATTCATAGCACAAGCAGTCGGTCCTGCCCGTTGCTCACAACGAACAGTTGGTGGCGAGATTGAGTTCGCGCCACAGCCGCCGGTAACTTCAGGGCTTGTCGAGAATCGTGCTAAATCCAGGGCCTTAACTCTAAGCAAGGCCAAAGGGGGGATGTAGCGTGGGTGGAGTACTGCCTTGTTTCGCGCTTCCCAGGTGTCAGTCCACGGAAATGACAGCCCTTGGGTGCGATGTATTCATTTTGTGGATTTGACCACTTGGAAGAATGTTGCTGGCACGGTGGTATATCTCTCACATCTGTAGTTGGATATCGTGACTGCGGTGGCTTAGTTGTGCACTATTCCCAATCCTGCATGGCTGATAACATCTGAGTACGAGGTTCGCCCTTGCCAATTTAACGCATGCATCTCACGGGACCTCGCCAATATCGGACAATGGAACACGAGCCGAAATCCGCAGAGAGCGGGCTAAGAGCGGGTCGATGATGAGAGGAGATATCGGGTTAGATTTGCACTGCCGCCGAGGTGGTCAAACACGTTGCGACCGGATAGGTTAGAGATGACACCCCGGATCGTGCATGCTGAGCGGCATGTTCAATTCGCATTTGCACGCTCCCGCCGGCAGGCCCGCCCTGGTTCTTAACCTGATCGTTCAGCCCGCAGTCACCCTCGAGCTCTGCCCTCTCTGTCACCATGTCCACCTGAACCACGCCAGCTGCGCCCTTTCCTCGACTTTCACGACCCGGACGACCCCTCAATGAACGACACCTGCCCTGCCCCATTTCCTGCTGCTACTGCTTTATTAGTCCCTCAAGGTGAGCCATACGACATCATGGATGCAACCAATACCTCTATACCAAGTACGTCAATCATGATGTAAGCGCCGCTGCCTCTGAGGCTGAACGATGGACGCCCGTGCTATGATAGCACGTCCCACGCAGGCACAAGACCCATTAATACAGGCCACGGCCGACCGTGACGACTCGACCAACGCCATGCTTCGCCCCCGTCGCGCCGGGGGAACACACCTCCGCCGCAAATCCAGCCATGTCGAACGGTGGCTTGACGAGCAGCATCGCATGAGTCTGACCGAAGGAGACGTCCCCGCGGGCGACGAGCCTGCCGACACAAAACCCCACCTCACCGCTGCCTCGTTCTGCAAGCGGGATGGCGACGACCGGGCGACAGTAGAAAGTTACGTCCTCGTTGACAACGTGCAGGCACGCGCGCCTCGAGACGCGGTATGTTCGGCCGCACGTGATCGCTGTGGGCGCGACTGGACTGACCGTCTCGGGCATTGCTTTGTGTCTGGTCTCGCAGGCAGCCTCCCCCGCTACTTCTCCCGATGCTACGCCTCACCCTTCCCCGCCGTCCACCCCACGCAAGGCCTCGCCCCTGCGCCAGACATCCGCCAGGCTCAACACGCCCTCACCGCTGAAAAACTTCCACCTCACCTTCGGCACCCGCCGCTCTTCCGCCGCGTCCACCATAGCGAGCTCGCAAAGCGCAACGCCGCCGCCCCCCTGGTCGCAGCGCCAGGGCGACGACGCAGACCAAAGCCACAGCCGCGGCTCGAGCTTCAGCACGCTTTACGCAATGGCCCGGTCAGAACGCAACACCTCGCCCGAGCTGCTGTCTTCCCGGCAACGGTCGCCGCCCGTATGGAAGTTAAAGCGTCCCAACTCCCCCGACCGTTCATCACCCGCGCACGCTCGGAGCGGCGACATGGCTCCACCGCGCCCCAGCCTATCCTCTTCCCTGACACAGTCATCAGTCACATCAGTCGCACGGTCCTCGATTGACGCGCCAGGCCTCTCACGCAAGCTCACCTTCGGCTCTGTGCGCGCCACCTCGCCGTCGCACTTTTCCGCGTCGTCGCCGTCGCTGTGGTCGCTCCCCATCGACGCGTCCCACATGTACGACCCGCCGGAGTCGACGAAGGTCATCGCGCAGGACAAGGAGAAGGCCGGCACCGTGCGGATCCCGCTGTCGCTGAAGGCCTCCGGGAACGGCACGGGCCTCGGCGCCGTCGCCGGTGTGCTCAGCAGCCCCAAGGCTAAGAAGAAGCGGAAGCTGATCATCGGTGGGATACATCCACAAGATGAGCGCCGCTTCGAGGCGGCCAGAAGGTGGTGCGAGGCGAGTCGCGTTGAGTCACTAGCAGTGTCCAGCAATGTCTGACCTCGCATTGCAGAGGTTCGGCGAAGTCAGCTCGTTTGCGCGCGTACCGAACGGGGACATCTACGTTGATTTCCGGAAGGCAGAGGTTGCTGAGACGGTGCGTGACGGTCCCCTGTGCATCTGACATGGCCGTCCTGATTTCCAAGCAGGTCTGTCGCGTAAAAGCGAGGGTCTACATCGACAACGTTGGCAGTGTCTGCCTCTCCTACTTTACAGGCAAGAGACCTTGACTTGTGAACCCACTACCACGTCAGTTTCCTCTGTCTATTGCCTCTCCCACCCTTCACTCACGCAACGTTCCAGTGTATCGAACACACTACCTCATTCTTGGTTCTTGGTTCTTGTTCGCGTAATCTAGTACATTTCTACGTCCATTTCACGCCCACTCTCACGTCCATATACATGCCCTATGATGATCATCTACACCTATGCACCCCCGCATTTGTACCCCAACGAATATGATACTCATCCGCATACCCGCTACATCTGTATACATTTGAACACCGCAGCTCGGACATTGCGTATACCCACTGATCCATCGCCATTCGGCTGTTTTTCTTGTACTATGTGTGGCTCTGCAAGGGTCTGTCTATAGTCTGCAATTGTACGAACTGTTACGCAGCTGGTTCATACGAGCCTTGGTCGACCCACATAGTGAGAGGATTTCGGATGCGCGTAGTATCTGGCATACTCGTAGTCTAGTAATTATCGAAATTCGCCAGTCTCTCTATTGTACATGATGCCAGGTTCATCGAATAATGTACACATATTTTCTACTTGGGCGGAGATCGATGGACAAATAATGAATAATTGACCGGCTTGAAGATGGCTGTTTGAAACCGTTGACGTATTAACCCACAACACGGCGTACAGTAGTATAAGTTGCTCAACACGAAAGGGTGAAAAGAAAGCGCAGGGCACGTATCCGACGGTGAAATGGGGACAATGGGGACCGGTGCCAACGCGTGCAGAAAAAAGCGAAAATATAATAGACGAAACCTGCGACATAAGGCTTGAGCTATCCGAAAGACACATCTACGGCCGAATTGCCGAAGGGCCTTGTGAACCGGTTCGGAGAAGCATGCGAATTCGGGGTACGGTAGCCGCTAAAGCCGTTATTTTGGTACGAGTTGCGCCGGTTAAGACGCCTCGGTGGTGGCGTACTAGTGACGCCGTTTCGCTGTCCTGCCTGCGAAGCACCAGGGTACGAGCCCCGGAAAGAAGGCGCACTGCTGAGGGTACCAGACGAACTTGCTGAGGGCATATAGAGAGGTTGATGCTGCTGTACCTGCGCCTGCGCCGTGGGCAGTATGAGGGGCGCTGAAGCCCATCCACCCTGTTGGGGCACCTGTGGCATTTGAGCAGCCGGTCCTGGGACAGCAGGCATTGGGACAGGGTACGGATACATAGGAAATGGAGGATATTGAGGCCAGCCTGAAGTCGGAGGGATGGCAGCGGGGGCTGAATGAGGCGATTGAGACTGATCAGTATTAGACATATACTGATGAAGCGCCTCAGGCTGATAGACGGGTATCAGCATCCCGTGCTCGCCTTGGATGAAGCCTGTAGCTCTAACAGGTGGCTGTATTGCTTGCGATGGGTTTTGCTCTTTCGGTAACGGTACAGCTGGAGGAGGGTAAGGAATATACGGAAACATGGGCTGCTAGAGGGTCAGCGAGACACCGAAAATTCATTCATTTGACATACTTTGTAGATATTGTGCATCCCAGGCCATGAATGATGGGAGGCCGCATTGCTGTTCAATGAATCGGCTGCGTTCGGCTGCCCTCCGCTCTGCTGAACGGGAGGTGGAGGAAAGGCCGAGTAGCCTGGAACGAACGGGATGGGGTATGGATAGTAGGGTGCATACGCATGCATCCAAGGCTGAGGCGCGAAGTAACCCTGCATCACATTGTGCTGCATACTCCCAGACACAGAGGTTGAAGGGCCAATCGAGCTCGCGGACGGTGACGGCGCCATGGATGTTACAACTGTAGCAAGCTGCTCGAATGAGGAGTCGGCTTGTGACAGCGACAGCTGAGTCGTACTTGAAGATAACGACGACAATGCAGACTCAGACATCCACTGGCGGGGAAGTTCAGAGGGTCCCCGGGACCCATTCGACATCGCTGAACCTTCCTTCCCGACAGGGCCAGGGGAAAACCCGCTGGGCTTCTGTAGCGTTGGAAGAGTAACAGACGGGGGTAAGACAGCACGAGATGGAAAGACCGATACCCCAGTAGAACCAGCTGTCATCTCGTTTGGGTGACCAGGGGAATTCGTGTACTGTCCTTGCCCCCCGTATTCGCTAGGCTCGCCATGATGCCTAAGATGGCCAGCAAATGGCAGTTGTGTCCTGCCACGTGCGGGACGCCATTGGCTACGCGGCGGTGCGTTGTTGTCTCGCAACTGCACACGCATTTGACGACCATTGTACATACAGTTATGCTGTGAGGAACGGTCAAGACTCGCGAGCTACAACGTACACAAGTGGCATACCTCATTCTCTATCGCACATGTAGCAGCTTCTGCAACATCGAACTTGATAAAAGCAAAGGCGGTGCGTTGGTTCACTGCTTGACGCATTAATAACAAAAATTACGACACGCTGGACTTGAGATACTCACGCGGCGAGACGAACTGCAGCTTTTCAATGGTACCGTACTTTTCGAAATGCGCACGAACCTTCGTCTCGTTCCAGGCGTCCGGGCCAAACATCTCGAGCCCACCAACGAAGACGGACGTCGGGTCGACCGTCCTGCTAGCGTCTCGGAGCGAGTAATCACTTCTCTGGCCCAAGTTTGGTCCTTGGTTTGGCATACGACAAAGACCCGCACCGTTCACGGAGCGAGGAGAGCTCATAACTCTGTTGAGACCTGGTGGCGTACGCAGGAATGATGGCTGATCCCCAGGAGTTATAGGAGCAATCGACGCTGTAGTGGAGTCCTGCGTAGGGGACAGCCGATTGGCACCGCGACCTGGGTCTGCAGAAGGCATTGTTATGGACGGCATGGTCCGCGCGCCAGTAGTATGGAACCTAGGATCATTTGGAGTCTTGCAACCCCTTTCTGCAGGGGTGCTCGACAGGTTCACAGACAGCGGAGAGGACGGTGACGCCGGTGATACTGTCCCTCCTATTTCACGATCCCCCCACGGCCGACTATCATGGGTATCGCCAAATATTGAGGCATCAAAGTCCAACGAAGGAAGATCGTCCTTATACCACTCGAGGCTCGTCCTGCGCTGGAGTCGAGAAAGAGATTCGCAGAGGTTTGGGGACTTGGCTACAACTGTAGGAATATTAGGTGTCGACGTCAAACCTCCGTTTCCGGAACATGATGGGTTCCGAACTTGAACTTGTTCCATCTCGGATTGGGGTTGACATGTCACTTGCGATCGCGCAACTTGCGAATGCTCGCTCCAGCGTAAGAAGTGGGGACTTGACAGAGACGAATAATGTAGCGACGACTGTTCGTCGTAGGATACCACTGGCGCAACATGATGCGCCCAACTAACGCTGATGAAAGGAATGCGACGCAGGGCCTGATTTTCGAGATGCGAATTTATGAATATGGATATGTCAGTCGAATAGTGACACTGTACCGTTAATGCAACAACACAGTCGTCCCGGTGATGCCACTTCACTTCCCAGATCTGAGCATCCATGTTTGATGCACGGGAAACATTATGAGGATACGGTTGCCGAGGCAGCGCCATTCTGCCATCATGCTTGTCGTCTGTAACTAGTTATATATAAATGCGACAGCTCTTGACGGAACGGATTGATGTATCTGCTACCGTACCTGTATACACATTGAAATGTTCCACGTCCCCAAATGTCGAGGCTATCTTCAAGATGGTCTGTTCAACTATGTCAGTATAATAGACGACGTCTGGAACCGTATACAGACGAACCTCTGCGTCAAATTCCAGAGGTTCAAGGAAAGTACCCGCTCCATTCAGGGGCTCTTGCTCCGTAGAACCGTCATTCTGATTCAAAACTATGGGGTCTACTATTTTTGCTTCGCTGTCGTATAGAACGACGGGAAACCTAATGCATATAATTAGTTGATCAAGATATGTCTCGCTTCGCGAGCGTAACTATTACCTTGAACCGCTTGGCTTCAAGATTCTCATAGCTGTGGGTACTCCGAAGGAGTTGCCCTGACCGGGAATCTGAGCTGTTTCGGATGTCTCGCGTGGCTCAGAGGCCATGAACGGTTTCGAGGGGATGCTGGTGAGTCGATAGTTAGTCCGCGATGAAGGACGACCGGGATCACGTATATGACAAGACGAGAACGACACCAAATGATCTATTTAGAGGAGAGACGATCATACCGATATGATATCAATAGCGTTCTGAACGCGCGAGCCGGCTCGTAGCGCAGCATCCTCCCCATGAACGGGCGAGGAGGCAGAGATTGAAGCGTGTGAATGAGGCGAGCCGCAGTCGACGAGTCCTGCACGCCGAAACGTTCATGAGCGATTAGATTACAAGCATATAGTGACCGGGAAGTCAAAAAGGAATCACCACGGCCTCGAAAGCCTACTCACCTCACACTGTACAAACGCGCATATGCCGCCCTTGCTATCACGCACGACCTTGATGCTTTTCACCTCCGCATGTTGGGACAAGTGTTCGTGGAGGAGACTTGTTAACTTGGGTTGTTCAATATGTGTCGGCAGGCTAGAACATCATGATTTGCTGTTAATATTGTCCACTGAAACGAGGAAACACAAAAATCATCACGAACCTACCGACAAAGATGCTAGCATCGTGCGGCATTTTCTCGGACTGGGTGGGTGGAATAGTATTTGTGTGTGAAGCAATCCTATCGCGGCGAGATAGATCATTCGTGCTTGCGACCACTGATGTAATTGGGATAGCAGAGGGGGGAGTAGGTTCCTGATCCTGCTGTTTTGGCGGTGACGGAGGCGGTGACGAATCTAGTGTATCGTAACGCGTACCCCACGCGCGTTCCTTCGGGACATGCTTCACGGGCATTGGGGACAAGATGAACGTGGACAGTAGCGTGTGGTGGTGGGGATGAGTGGAAGAGTCCCAAAGGGGCACGCACGAGAGAATGAGGATATAAGGATCCCGCGTGCAAGACGGGAAGGAGGGAAAAATGGAGCGGCGGGCGAAAAAGGACAGGCCCGGCGATCATGACAGCCTTCGTGCGCGCGCAGGACAGTCGCTGTCAACTGTGCCTAGCTGTGAAATGAGATACATACCCGCTGTATGCGAGCAGGCACATAGCCAGTATGGGGCTCGCAGAGAACGTTTACGCTTACACGCCGCCGAAGACTCACATGCACATCCCAATGCAGGGGCATCGTAGCGATGTCGGCAACATTGACTGAGCCTGAGGATGTGGTGCGTTTGGCGGTTGGAGACAATCAATCCGATTACGGCTAGTCGAGAAATCATCAAAGCGAACTGGGCTTCCGTTCAGCTCCGGACAATTATGCCATTAATTGTGGCAGAGACCTCTGGTAACCTGACACAAGACATAATGAGCTTCCCATCGGATGCCAATCCGTACCTACAGGGCTGACGACTTGCCCTATTCATCTGCAATCAATCTCTAGATGGCAGCCATGGTTCTACTGAATGTCTGTGGATCTGCGCCACATCATGCCTACCTGGCATTTCTGTTGCAAGAGTGACAGTGCCGGCGGGAGCTCCACATGGGGCACGAAGTTCGAACGAGACTGCTCAGCAGCGCCGCAGCGGTCTTTAATCAAGCGATAACTACAACGCTGCAAACAGGTTGCATTGGGATCGCATTTCGATTTTCAACATCAGACCCGTGAGCCAATATTGTTCTCCGCTTACCTCGCAGAGGCTCGCGAACACAGCGGCGACGTCATACGCCGTATTCTTCGATGTTGACAGGGAATCGGGTACGTCGCCTGTGTGTCAAGCATCACCAGGAAACACCTAGTTGATCCGCGGCCACGGCAAACAGAGAATAACACAGCCAGGTTTTAGTGAACTCCTCAATTGAACACTTCCGAGTTTAGTATTTCGCACAACTAAGTGGGAGGAATGAGACAACTTCGAGCACGGAATCAGAGAAGGAACTCACCTGCCAAATTGGGACCTTGGGGTCAAATTGAATCTCCGATCGTGGCACGCTGTGGCAAACTTCCTCCACCCGCGTTAGTTCTCGGTACGCTCGTCTGGTGCTATATACCCTCTGCCAACTTCTTTCCCGCCTCTCTGAAAATGTCTGACGACGAATTTGGTGCTGGTGGCGGCGGTGATTTTGATTACGAAAACCCAGCGTAAGTGGCCACTCATCCCAAAAGTAACTGACAAACCGGACGAACTGGCACTTGTCTTGTACAGATTCGCCGAAGAGACCTTCGTGCGTACTTCACGCGGATACCCGTTCTTGATCGCAGCTCTGAACATGGAGCCGCCCGCCACAGGACCAGGATTACGACGTTGCGAACGAGAATGCCGAGGGCGAGGCGGGCGAGGGCAGCGGCCAGGCCAACGGGATCGACGGCGTGAACGGCGTGGACCACGATCATGAGATGACAAATGGCGACGCACAGGCGCAGGGCGACTCAGGAGCCTCAGGAGCAGGCATGCGGGGGGAACGACAAGCGAACAAAACGAGAATAACGACGCCATACCTCACGAAGTACGAGCGGGCAAGGGTTCTAGGGACAAGAGCATTGCAGATCAGGTGCGTCACACAATCACTCTGCATTCCCTCGAGCGAAGCCCGTTAACATTGGCCGTTATCCCCCGCCCTTGGACTTGCCCTCACATCGCAGTATGAACGCCCCCGTGCTGGTACCTCTGGACGGCGAGACGGACGCGCTTCAGATCGCGATCAAGGAGCTCTCACAACGAAAAATACCGCTCATTATCCGACGGTACCTCCCAGACGGTAGCTTCGAGGATTGGAGCGTGTCAGAACTCATCAGCGACTGATGTATCGGTGCTGTCCATTGTCTTATATTCGGTGTATCTGGTATCCTACGTTATATTTCCGCTGTCAATGCATGTCTCTATCCCTCTAATACTTCGCAGGCGTCGCGTCGATCATGCAAGACAACTCAGAGTGAACAGTGGGAGTCGGTCATGGTGAGATGATATATGCGATGGTAATATACAAGCGGTACTCTGGGTATGGCACGGCGACGGTCCAGATCAAGCATAAACAGTCTCGGTACAAATCAATAGACTGCAGGTCTCACGCCCGCACGCCAGGACCTGTACGTTTCTTCGGCTTTGGTGCATCAATGACGACCTCTACCTGTCGCTTAGAATGCGGCAGCTTGGCAGTCTTCCTGCTCATAGACTTCGGCTTCGCTAAGTCTATGGCGCCCAATTCAAAGTCGTCGGGGACTTCACTCTGCTTCAGGTTAGTGTTGTCGCCGAAGAGCAGACCTCGTTCCTCAAAGACGACCCGCTCCTTGCTTTCGCCCGCGTCCCGCTTCTTCGAAGGGCTGCACTGAACATCGTAATGGCCATCAGCCTTACGACGCTTGCCTGGTGAAGGAGGGGACGGCGGCAACGGCGGCAGAGTCGATAGGTCTTCTGGAGGCTTGCCATTCTCACGTTTGCCACTCGTTTTCCGCTTGCCACCTTAGAACTCTTGCGTCAATAAACAGTGTATTTGCTCAGGATAAAAGCACATACCTTTGCCTTTTGCGACGGCGATGGTGTTGGTAATATCCTTGGCCACAGTGAAGGTTCCCGTGCTCTCGACTTCGCCTGTGGCGACAAGCTTCTTCTGCACCTCCCAGTCCGCGGGCCTCATCTTCTTCCACTCCTCAGTGACCCGCTCGACCCATGCGTCTGTCTCTCCGACTACATGGTAGTCGATGATGCCGTCCCACTCGCTCCCGGGAGCGGTCTTGTTCACAAATATGACCTTCCCCGCCATGCTTTTTGCACCTTTCGGTGGCGACGAAGTGGACGCAGACGCTGGCGAGGGTGCAGCATCATGAACGACGCGAGCAAAGTCTCTCACGAGCTTTTTGAAGCCGTGCACCTTCAGCGAGGTCCCCATGATGATGAGCATGTCCGGCTTGCGGTTGATGTCCGCAGTCTGCATGCTACCGATCTCGTCTCCCAGGGGATGTGGTTCGTCGTAGAGGACGATGGCAGGACGCAGGGTACCAATCTTGAGCGCACGAGCAGAGCGGGCAACGCGGGCTTTCGCTGGCGATCGTGGTGAAGGCATTAGTCCCGCTGCGAGGTATCAAAGTATAATAAGACTCACACCGTGTAACACACTCTGGGCAGTCGGGCGGAACTCCCGTGTTGAACCGATCGAGGTAGTCCTCGGTGCATAGAAGCTCGGCCGAGCAAAACGTACACCGCACGCGGTGGATATCACCGTGCAGCTGGACATTGCGGACTTCTTTCACCTTGATTTTGGCCTTGCCTTTCCCGTTAATTCTGACGCCGTCGCTGGAGCTGCCGACGAGCCCTGCTTTCTCCTCCAGCCCGTCGATGTTCTGGGTATATGAACGCAGAAGCTTGCGCTTGGTGTCAAGGGTCTTAATGAAGCGATGGGTGGGCGACGGCGAAGCGACGTCAATGGAGCGTTTCAGCTGCGAGATGAACGTGTAGAACACAGATGTAGATGTCGTGTCGCGGAATAATGACGCGTCAAATAGGTCGCGTCCTTTCAGCACGACGTCCGGATATTGCTGCTTGACTAACGCATACAGACCGTCTGAGGACCGGAAATCCTATACGCGCGTGAGCAATAGATTATCTATTACGCGTGAGCGTGTACCCACTGGAATACCGCAAGAGCATGATATGCCTGCGCCAGTAACCACGACTATCTTCTTGCATTTCGCCACAGCCAGGGAGAGGTTTGACAGCGTCCGTCTGGTGGTAGAGTCTACCGCGCTGTCATTCAAATCTAACGTGATGGGCATGATGCCGGCTCAATGAGATGGCGACCAACTAAGACGCGTCCCGCCACCAGGTAGGGTCGGTCAGTGTGGAAGCGATGGCAGAGTGTGAAACGCGAGAGCGTTGATATTTCGCGTCGCGTAACATGCGTCATGTGATCGACGCGTCTGTCCGCGCCTGTGGCGCACGCCGTAGGCAAGACTGCCAGTCCTTGAAAGCCTGCTTTTGTCACCTACCTCATCCTATATATTACACATCTATCTGGACGTCCGTTCTACATAATACGTATACATAGTGATAAACTGCAGGCGCATACACTCCCGGTTTTGAATTCCCCGACGGTGCCTCAACGGTGCCCATGTCCTGCACAGTCCAGTATCGGGAAGGGTCAATGCTATCCGCTTCGTGAACCTCTTCGCTCGCCTTGGTACGAATGAACGAACATCGATTTGACGAGAAGGACAGCACGATCCAAATCCCGCCAGGCCGGACGAGAGACGCGAGATGCAAGGCGAGGAGCTGGACCGGGTCTACCTTGAGGGCTCCTGCGACACGCGTATGTGAATCGAGTTGTCTCTTGATTGCGGGGTGATAGTCGCAGGAAGATGGGTCATCGAAAACGCAATCGTCGCCGCAAGATATCGCGTCAGAGGTGCTCTTGTCTACGACGATATCGAACAGTGCTTGCCGTCCGCCGCCATCCTTGCTTCCATCCGGGATCGTCGTCAGTCGCGCAAGGTCGGACCACTTGAGGACGTCCGCATGCGCCCACCGCATCCCGCGACCCCTTCCTGCCTGCGCCCTGGCCATCTCCCGTTCCATGCTCCTTTGAACAACTGTCTCGGAGAAATCTACGTTCACGATGGCACTCTCATCGAATCGATCTCCATACGTGTCGCGGATTGTATCTCGTAGTCGCTCTGATAGCGACGATGTCCCTGCGCCAATATGAAGGACGCGCGGTAGAGCTTCGACAAAAAGTGCGTCATGTCGCGACTGGAGATAGGCCTGGACGCAGGGAATGATGGTGTTCTCGCCGTCTCCGAGCCATTCGAAGCACGACTCTGTCTTGAACCGGCTGTCCCAGAACGATTGAAGATGGTACTCGGGCGGCATGGCAATCGACGAGTTGTCCTCAACGCCCCAGCTCTCCGGTGAGCTACAGTATACAGTAAGTTCTGTTTTGATCGGGAAGATCGCCCCGATAAAACTTCAGCCGCATCCTACGTCATCTTTTGTTCGTCCAATCAAGCACTACAAGAAATGTATCTAAGGCATTCGTGTCCGTCCTCACAATGTACTATTGCGAGATTCAGAAACCCGAGCACGGCTCTGTCCTCACTTCTCGAACGGATGTAGGAGTAATCTCATAGTACCAAATGCCCGCCGTTGTGTTGCAGGACGACTCAGTCGTCGAGTCGATGCTCTTGAACTGGCCGAATTGTTCCTACAAAGGGATCAGAATCTGACACAGTGTCATGAAGGAGAGCGAAAGAGCACGCACCGTCCCAAGAACGTGGTTGAAGTACCACACTTCCTCCAGGATTGTACCGTCCTCTCCACCACAGCCGAAGTATGGGATAGACCCAGTCTGTGCCGTAAGGGCATTTTGAATTTGGCTCAAGCTGTAGGTTGTCTTATTCGAGGGGAAAATGCCAGAACTTCCATGATGGGTGAGCGTGGGTGCTGGAGGAGACTTGAACGACACTTACGCAGCCAACATATCCCAGGTAGGGTACTTTTGGAAGGCGCGGACCACAGAGAGGTAGAAGTCGATGACGTCCTGGTGTTCTACATAGTCGGGGCCATAACAGGCCACGTCGTACGTAGACGTGCAAGTCGCATGCTTGGAGAACTGTATGAAATGGTGTAAGGTGCGTCCTCTCTTGACGATGGAGCGTTGCGTACCTCGTGAGCCCAGAAGACGTCGTTCGGTGCGCCTTGATTGATCCAGTACTTGTTCACTAAAGAAGGGTGCCAATCTCAGGAGTCATCACAGGAGAAATGGATGTGCACGGACTGTAGTCAAGCAGGTCAAACCTCTCGAAGGCGAGTATGAACGTCTCGACCGACGGGCCCTTGTACGGAGGGACCGGCGTCCCATCGGGCAGCACAGCCGGCGACGGGTCAGGGTCGTATTGCCTGGAGAAGTCGCAATACTGATTGTATGAACTGAAGCATGTCTGGATTAGTCGAGCAGAGCGCATGAGAAGAAAATATTTGTACCCATCGCAGTTGTCCGGCCAGAGGCCGTGAATTGTCCAGCTGTCCTTTGGCAGCAACTGACCTTGGTCTTCGAGGCCCGTGTACGTGCTCCAGAACTGCGTCTGGAGAACTTGGCCGCCGGGGGTTGGGGTGCAGCAACTGTCAGTAATGGCCGTCGTGTTCTCACACGAGTAGACGGGAGGCTGGCTAGCACAGGCCGTAAGATTGGGGAATGTGTTCGGGACGGAGAACCCCCAGTCAAAGGCATAGGCCTGTGCCGCGAATGCGACGGACGCGAACAAGCTCACTGCGGCAGCCATGGTCCCAATCCAATGATCTGCGCGGGAAAGGTTGCGGGGGAGAATCTCGGGGCAGGCCAGGGATGGTACCCACTGTCCACGCTATTTATACAAGGACATGCACGAACGTGTATTATCTTGCCGGCATGGACACTGTTGAAGTTGCACATGCAGCTCATGGCAGCTCAGGGGCGGTAATTTTGCACTCCATCAGAACCTGTAACGTCAAATACTTCGTCAATCGAGCGCGGAATGCATCTGACAGCCGGAGGTGATTTCGAGCCACTCCCGTCGCAGGTGGTCGCCATGCAGGGTGTATGTACGCTTGCTGAGAATACGATTGGAACGGCAGGTAAGAGTAGTGGACAAGTTATGTTTCCCCAGCCGAAATGCTCACGCACACGTGGAAGTGCCTGTAATGCTTATCGGCCAAAAATACAGACACTGTTACATGACGCTTCCGGGTGCCTGAAGGACATCATAAAAAGACTCTGAAGTGCCCATTTGGGTCGCTAATGCCTCGTCCTTCCCTGCTGCACGTCATCAAATCTAAAGCTTCCCACTAGGCCGCTCCCACTTCTTCAGGAAAGACATCACCCGACGCTCCTTCAACACGACATTCGCCATGATCTTCGCCGCCCACGGAGTCCTCAACGCCGCCTTGTACTCCTCGGTCTCGAAGACGTCCAGCGACGCCCACTCGTACATCGCCAGGTACTTCGGCAGCTGCTTCTTCTGCGCATCCTGCCCCATCTGGTTACAGTCCGCCAACACAAATCGCCGGCTGCGGATCCATCCCGGTACCTTCGCCAGCATGGGAAAGTGTTCTTCATCGTACCACTTGTTGAACTCATCTTCGAGCTCTGGTTTCGTCTCCACCCCGACGAAGACCACGTAGGGCGCGGGCGTCGCGGGGTCGTACAGCGCGGACGGCGGCGGGGCTGGTCCCTCGTACAGCTCATAATGTCTCCTGTCCATCAGCTGCATCCGCCGCAAGATATCCTTCTCCCTGTCACTCCTCGTCTCCGCGAGCGTGGTGTAGGGCGCCTGCTTGGTCGCTGCGTATGATTCGAGGTCATACGAGGCCCCGTAGGCCGGTTTCTCTCCATCTGCTGCTTTCCAGCGCGTCCAACTGAGGAATGCGGGTGTATCTACCCTGAGGGGTATGTGCTCATTGTTGTACCAATCGTTGTACTCTTCATCGGAGACGTCCGACCCTGGCTCAGTGAACACGAGTAGGAATGCAGGAGACGCCATGGTAATGTGGGGCAGGGTCGACCACGGTCTGCCTCTTCCATTGATTATATATGTGCCATCGGAACGACGGCGAGGTCAGCTCCGGCGAGAAGTACTGGCCTTACTCCTCCTCGGTCATATGTTCTTCTGTACGAGAATATAGTTTTCCCGATTTATAAGCATTTTCTATGTCACGATTGTGTCCGATAACCGTGACGCAGCCGCAGTTACATCATTCAAGTGAAGTAGAAATTAATAGGATAGCTGCGCATAACATACAGACACGCGGAGCGAGACACAGAGCAAGACAAAAGTTTGATTTAACATTGCTGCGATGCCAGAACGAGTGTCCACGAGGGGAGCATGACAGTCCACAGAACAAGAAAGCACATAGACAGCGAGTAGACAGCAAGAAACAGATCCGAAAGTAGACATAAGAATGCTGAGTCCAGTTGCAGAGGAGCTCCGCGAACGAACTTCAGACGTCAGCCCAGCCACCTTCATCGAGCTTGTGGGATGCCTCGCTTTCAGGTCTGTCGAAGTGCCTGTGATGCTTATCGGCCAAAGATGCAGACTGTTACATGACGCTTCTGGGTGCCTGGTGGACATCGTTAGAATTAATCTGAAGTGTCCATTTGAGTCGTCGGTACCTCGTCCTGCCCTGCTGCACGCCGCCAGAGCGTCCCACTAGACTGCTACCACTTTTGCAGGAGTGACATCAGTCGCCGCTCCTTCAACGCGACCTTTGCCATGATCTTCGCTGCCCACGGAGTCCCTAACACCGCCTTGAACTCCTCAGTCTCGAACGCATCCAACGACGCCCACTCAGCCACCGCCAGGTACTTCCCGGGCATCTCCTTCTTCTGCGCCTCCTGCCCCATCTGGTTACAGTCCGCCAACACGAACCGCCGGCTGCGGACCCATCCCGGCACCTTCGCCAGCATGGGGATGTGCTCTTCGTCGTACCACTTGTTGAGTTCCTCCTCGTGCTCCGGCGGCGTTTCCACTGAGACGAAGACCACGTAGGGCGCGGGCGTCGCTGGGTCGTACAACGCAGACGGCGGCGGTGCCGGCCCCTCGTACAGCTCGTAATGTCTCCTGTCCATCAGCTGCATCCGCCGCAGGATGTCCTTCTCCCTGTCACTCCTCGTCTCCGCGAGTGTGGTGTAGGGCGCCTGCTTGGTTGCTGCGTATGATTCGAGGTCATACGAGGCCCCGTAGGCCGGCTTCTCTCCATCTGCTGCTTTCCAGCGCGTCCAGCTGAGGAATGCGGGTGTGTCTACCCTGAGGGGTATGTGCTCATTGTTGTACCAATCGTTGTACTCTTCATCGGAGACGTCCGACCCTGGCTCAGTGAACACGAGTAGGAATGCAGGGGGCGCCATGATAATGTGGGGCAGGATTGACTACGGCCTGCCTCTTCCATTGATTACATATATGCCATCGGAACGAGGTCAGCTCCGGCGAGAAGTAATGGCCTTAGTCCTCCTCGGTCATATGTTCTTAGGTTTCCCGATTTATAAGCATTTTCTCCGTCACGATTGTGTCCGATAACCGTGACAGAGCCACTGTTACATCATTGGTGAAGTAGAGCTTACAGTATATATAGGACAGCTGCGCATAACATGCAGACAAACGGAGCGAGATACAGAACAAGACAAAAATTGACCCAACACAGCCGCGATGCCAGAACCAGAGTGTCCACGAGGAAAGCATGAGAGTTGACGGAACAGGAGAGCACAGGGTCAGCGAGTAGACAGTGAGGAGCAGGTCCGAAAGAATGCGGAGGCCGGTTGCAGAGAAGTTCCGCGAACGACTTCAGACGTCAGCCCAGCCACCTTCATCGAGCTTGTAGGATGCTTCGCTTTCAGGTCTGTCAGGACTGTCAACAAGCTTTGCAACACGTTCCTCGGCTCGGCCTGTCAAGAAGTCCATGAGCGATCCGTTTCCTCAAGATGATGTAGGAGGATCGAGTAGGCTGCATGCCGCGACAAACCTTTGCGGAGGAACATTCGAGTCGCTGATGCGTGCGAGAGGATGTGTCCGCCGATTGGTTTTAGCGCACCACCAGCCACGAAAGTCATGGTTGCGCCAGGGTCGGCTGGTTTATAACGAGGACCTCAGCTCACGTCAGCACATTTAAACTCGTGAGGAAGACTCACATTGGACTTGGTTGGTCATGAGGATGGCAATCTGACGGTCATGTCCTCATGAGCAATTATATCGCGCCGCGGCAGCAGATACTTACATTGTATTCTTCAGACAACTTGCTTAGTTTTGATAGCATCTATGGGGCTCCGCTCAACAATGACAGAATGGACGAGCTGTACACGAAGACTCACTTGTGCAAGCTGTACCACGATGTATAATCAGCAGTGACTGGACTTCGAATGGACACGCACCTTTTGTTGTCTCTCGCTCAGCTCTCCTCTTCCTGAGTAGTCTGTGCGGAAGCAAGCCATGATACTATCCACGATCTGCCAGTTTTTGAGTGCAATAGTGCATTGGCAGGAAGCCTTAGACGTACCAAGAGCCTGAAATCCTTATCTTCTGCAAAGCGTATAGAGCATTCGTTAATGAGTTCCATCTGCGCTGCAGCGTCATTGCAACGCATATGCTCCAAGGACAACTAGAACATACCTGTTGTTCGCTGTTGAATGCGCGAGCTATAGGCAAACTAGTCTCGTAAGATGTAGAAGATGTACTAGGTAGACCAACCATATAGGATGTTTTCGAGGGCCATGTCGCCGTCCACACCAAAGCGGTCTGCGATTGATCTTATTCGATCAGGTCGGAACGTCCCCTCTGTGTCAATGTAGGCGACCTATACACAAATTACAATGAGTTACGATCGGCATATGAAATTAACAAGCGCATATAGCCACCTTCCCGGATGCTCCGCCCATGTCCGGCGGGAGCTGAGCTATTACACTCATTGTATGCGCCATCTGTGTCTTTCCAGTACGAAATTCGCCGTATACTATTATTTGTAAGGCGTGAAGTTACCCTGAGAAGCTCAAAAGGTGGAATGTACCTTCAGTGATAGATTGAGATATGATACCACCTTGTAATGCCGGAGATGAACAAGTGTTAGCACATGATAGCAATGGAACACATACCGCCTAGGATTGTGTCGACGGCCTTGCTCCCAGTGCTGATAATGAGCACTCGTTTCCTCTTCTCCTGTATCTCAAGACCAGTGGCAAAAGATGACCCCTACGTAAAAGGGGCTGAGCATGAATATCCATAACTCCACAGTCTAAACTAACCAAAATCTTGTGCGCTGCTTCCTGGTGTTGCCGTCTGATTTTAGTCATATCACATGTGAATAATGAATTTCTGACCTTGATCTTCTCCACCTTTGCTTCAGACATGCCCTTCACCCGGATTCAGTACGGGCATAGCGTGAGCAGGATTGCCATGGCGCACCTTAATCTTCAGGAGCTGCCGCCGAGTCGTCATGTTCACACCAGAGACAGTGTTGATCGCCGCGGACTGTGCGTAATGTTTATATAGTAGCTCTATATAGTCGCGGTTGAACGTACCTTTAACTTTAAGATGTCCTGAACGTTGATTCCCTACAGGCAACCGATCAGAATATGCAAGTATCGAAGAGAAAAGTGCATATATGCGTGGTCTTTTTATCCAGAACTTACATGCTGCTGCAGTTCATCGACGTTGTCGAAGTACGGAGCCTGGTAAAGTGTCAACGAGACGGTAAATCTGAGGACAATCGAGCGAAGGGTGAACCTCTTCGATCTCCTCGCCCTGCGGACTGGCCGGACGTGATGGCTCAGGAGCGGCTTGCGAAGCGGTATGGCGAACCATGGCAAATGATAGTTGATACTTGTGAACGATGGCCTGTTTTCCCGAAAGAGCCCTGCTGGTGGGAAGTCTAAAGTCAAAACTCAAGCACCAAGCTGAGCACGGATGCATGGTACAATATGCACGTGATCGCGTCGACCGCACACGCCTCATTTTCACGGGCAAGATATTTGCTCCAAACAAAAATGCCAGGAGCGTGGATTGAACACGCGACCTCCAGAACTCAGATTGAAATCCAAATCTTCAGTCTGTTGCTCTCCCAGCTGAGCTATCCCGGCTTGTTCGATTTTGTTTGACTACAGTTCATGATCACCGGGAGCCGCCTTCCGCCCCCGAATGATGTCCCACCCAGGCTCGTTGTTTACACAATGCAAGGCCAACTCTTCTCTCAATGGCGCCCCATGTCTGCCCATAGTTATGCCTGGTGAAGCACAGTATTATGCATGCCTGAATGCAACCAAAAGGGCTGATGTCGCTCAGTCAGCACACTTCATATACGCTGTGGGAGGGTCTTGGGCAGATTGACGTTCGAAGATGGGTCGAAAGGTTGTTGTGACTGATAGGGCTAGCTATAATATCAATATAAAAGACAATGAATGGCCGCGATGTCTGACAATATGCGCGATGAATCGACGTCCACAAACGAAGTACGACGACGATGGACGAACGCGACGCCTCCCGAAGACACCGTGCTGTGCGTGCCCGAATGGCAACGCTCGAACGTAAAGATCTCGAAGCGGGTCCAAATGATCACGCGCGTATGTTAAAGATCTCGAAGCGTGCCCGATAGGCAACCCACCGATACGCGAATCACGAATCGACCGAAGCGAGCCCAAATGATCACTCACGTATGTTCACGTCTCTAATTGCCCGAAGAACATGACACTTACCTAACGCTTGAGTAGCTTCTGTCGTTCGTTGGTTCAGTTTGTGAGAGGATATGATGGGGGTTTGTGCGAGAGAGGGAAGATACATTTCTCGACGTCGACGTCGGCTTATAAGAGTACACAGAAACCCTGACAGGAGTGACATCATACCCTGTCTGCAAGGTGTGAATGACGCACACAACAGCAGGTGATCAAAATCAAGTCCGAAACAGAAGAAAAGGTGTATGTTCCCGACGCGTCATATTCACGCTCGCGACCTGCCACCCTCAGGTGCGTGACGACGCCGACGCCCTCGATCAGCTTACGACATCCGCTTTCTCTCCCCTTCAACACCGTCATTGCAAGCCTTGAGTTGTCAAAACAGAGACGCGTACGTACTTTTTATGTCGGTTGTTGAGAGAAAGAATGGAAGAAAATGAAAGAACGAAGAGAAGAAAGAAAGAAAAAAAGAAACGAGACCGAATCCGTTGACGTTATTCTTCTGGCTTCAGCGCACTTTCCTCCACCACACCGCTATGGAGTGTTTGGGGGCTCAAACCCGACTTACTTGAAGTAAGCCAAGTCATGCAGGACCTGCCACTGAATAGCATGTATCATGTTAACTTGAGTTCTGTGACTTGTCTGTATCATATACTTGTGCAAGTGCCAATTATTTTGCGCCTCGAGAGGTACAACTCTCGTTGGGAGAATCCATTCCACGGTGTGTCCCATGGAAGTCAAGACCACTGGGAGATGAGCGATAGGTATACCTCTTTACTGTGTCCAATCCACGGGGACTTTCGAGGGCGGTTGTAATTCTCGCTAATTGCTTGTAAAAACTATGAGAGTAGTCCCGACTCGAGATACAAGTACACAGATTCATCTATGTTCTCACCCGAATTCCATGAGGTCTCCGTTCCACTTGGACCGTAAATCCAATCATTCCTCGTCCGATCCTGAGCCAGAGCCAGGCTCGCCATCGTCATCATCTACATTTAGCAAACAGTCGTTGACAGAATGCGGGATGAGCGACATGAAACGAGCACGTACCACTAGCAATGTCATCGTGCGAGATGGCAGTCTGTGCCTGCGCTTTCCGCATGAGTGCGCGGATCTCTATGTCGTCGGGGCGCAGAAGATTAAACGCAGTCTCGCCATGCTTGTCCTTGATTCTGCAAAGGACAGGTCGTCAATCAGACATGACTATGCTAGAAGCTGTACAGAACAAGGGCGTACGACGTGTCGGCGCCTGCATCCAACAGACTCTCTGCCACGCTCTTGCGCAGATCTGCATCTTGGATTCGAAGCGCGAGATGCAGCGGCGTTGCGCGCTCCAGGCGGTTGATCGGGTCGACGTCACACTCTTCGTGAGACAGGATGTGTTCAAGTACGGTAGGATTGCCAAGGGATGCGCTGTAGGTCGTCCGGGTTCCGGAAAAGTAAGGCGGGATGGCTGTGAGCACCAAGAAATATTGGGCAGATGTAAGGCGAAGTACATACTTACGCGTAATGTAATGCTGATCACGCGGAGATTCGCGTTAGCTGAGTGATGTCGAGTTCAAGAATGTCCTAAGGAAGCAGACACACCCGTGTTGCCCAAGCTGCGAAGAAAGTAGCGTGAGATCCTAGAACCCAGGCTTCAGAATAGACATCGGCGCACCCATCCTGGTAGTTTATATCAAACTTTCCCTCCTCGAAGACTTGTAGGAGTAATTCCTCATTATCCTCACGCGCTGCAGCGAGAAGTCGTTCGTCTAGACGCAATCCGATCTATGACGGTCTGCGACCGGTCGGAGGGATCAAGGGCGACTTACTGTTGCTTGCGCCGTCAGACATCTTTAGCTTGAAAGATGGTATGTGTGGGTCGCAACAGGATCAGCGGTGAAGGAAGATTTAAATGCAACAAAGAAGGATGCGTCCAAGGCGTAGAACCATTGCCCATGGTAACGATGAGCATAACCGTGGGAAAACGGAAAACACACTGGACAAATCAAGAGAATTATAGTACTGAATAACAGCGGCCAACTGGTGATATCGTTGCGCACCGTACAGTGGACAAGACAATCAGTCATTGTACGGTATCAGAATTACACTGTAGAATGAGTTGTTGACTAGTGTATAGCAATTGAAGAACAGATAATTTGGCAGGTCGCTTGCCTAGACAAGCAGGTATCGGCCCGTCGAATTGAAAGGCCTATCAGAAGCGTTGGATTCATCATAGACGTCACCGTTGTTCACTAGTACTGCTGCACACATACTTGTGAGGGACTTTTGCATTGATGTTTACTTCTCAAAGGTAAGCCGTATTTTCGCAACAATGGCGTCCTCATAAAAATAGTGGGCAGGTTGCGTCGACTAGCAGAGAACAAATTACAAGTATGATCTGCGTCCTTACGGGTAGCGTATACTACGGTTGAAAATTGATCTCTTGCATGCGCCGCACGCTGAAGAACTAGTGTTAATAAAGAAGTAGAGCACAAAAGGGTCAATGGTCATACTCTAAGGTCAACAGATCGCCTTTTATGAGGAGTACAGTTCTTCCCTGACGTTGATCCCTGCGAGAGTGACTGTGAACAAAAGCCGCTTTGCACCGGCGGAGGGCACATACCAAGCTCTTCCCTCACAGGCTTGAGCTCATCCAGATACGCCTGATACTGCTGCTTGTTCTCCACCTTCTCCTTGATTCCCTCGAAGACGCGGACGGCGGTCGCGTAGTCGTTCACGCGACGCGCGGCACGCACGGCGGCTTCAATGACCGAGGGTGCAGGGACCAAGTCATGCGCGAAACAGTTGTTCAGGCCACGCTGCACCTCGAACAGGTCCTGGGCTTGCTGGAAAAACGTGACGTAGCGCTCGGTGAAGGACTCGAACGTCTCCTCATGTGCGGCATTGCTGGAAGGGCGTGCAAGCATGGGCGCAACGCGACGGACGGCGATGGGGCGGGTGCGGAGGAGGGAGGCGACCAACTGAGCACGCATGGTGGCGACGGTGGATGAGGGAGAGGAGGACAAGGTGCAGGGCGGTGGGTGAGCGGAGAAAAGGCAGGCTGGGGAGGTCGCGACCGTCCCGGATCGGGACTGACGCAGAGCCTGGATCAAACAAGCCGCCCAAATGAACCGGTTCACTCCGGCTGTCCATTTGATAGTGCGATATTCATGATAAGTGGCGAACGACGTCTGTGCCTCTGTGCACAAGGGGCACATTCATCTGCATGGCGGCAAGCAAACTATGCGTCCATTCTGTTGCTCAGTTGTGCGGGAAAATCAATCATAATAGCAACAGAAGGCTGGCGGCAGGTGGCTGAGAGCCGTGTGGTTGTGTTTGGCAGCGGGGGATTTGAAGTCCACGACGGGCGCTACGTTGGCTCTTCCACCCACAACCACCTCCAACCTCAGCAGAAAATCCTTCCGCAACACTCGCAGCAATGGATGACGGTACGTCTTCAGCATCAGCCCCGAGGACGCCTCGACGCCCACCGTACCGCCCCGTTCATGCGCCTGCCGGCCCCGCCATGTCGTTCCAGTACCCTGTATACTAGCGTATTGCCTGTACCGCCGCGTTTTCGCCAGCTGCCAGCCATAGCAGCCTTCAGCTTACAGTTGACGCCCCTCCGTGTTGGCGCTGACTATTTCGTTCCTTTGTCGTCTGTCGGCTGAAGGCCAACACGTGCGACCCTTCCTTCAGGCCCGCCGGCATTGGTTTTCCTGGCCTCATACCTGCCAGTTGCGCATCGGTTATGTTTGTCGATTGCGCACGCGTACACGCATCCATTTCGTATGGCCGTTATCCTTCCTGTTCTCTGCGAGTCATCCGGTACCACCCTCCCCACACCCCTCGCTTCGCTCTCGCTCCTCGTCCATCGCCACAATTAATCGACCTGACTTTTTCCACCTCTTCACCCGTTACTCAGCCTGGCAGTCTCAAGATATGGCCCCTCCCAGCAATGGCGGTGGCATTAGCATTCCCACGCACGACACTGTCATGGGTAACAGCTCCGCTGGTGGCGATGACCAAGCATGGGCAAATGGCGGAGGACGTTCTCCATCACGCGGGAATGGCGAACCTCCCAGGCGTTCGAGCAGGAGTAGGAGCCCTGGTCCTAGGGGCGATGACAGAGGGTCAGTTTGTACTTCGACTTTCGTTGGCCGAACACTGACACGTGTCTTTAGTGGTCGCGGTGACGGCGGTCAAAACCCTGGAAACAACTTGCATGTCTCCGGTCTGAGCCACAAGGTAGACACTCGCGAGCTCGAGCAAGCGTTTACCAAAGTCGGCCGGGTATGCTTTCTTGCATGTCATAGTGGCACTATGGCAGTAACTGAGATGTGGACCCATACAGGTTAAAAAGGCTCAGGTCATGTATGATCCTCATACGCGTGAGTCTCGCGGATTTGGGTTTGTGACGATGGAGAGCGTGGAGGAGGCAGATGCTGCAGTTACTGCCCTTAATGCTACTGACCTTATGGGCAAGACTATGACAGTCGAAAGAGTGGGTGTTCACCGATGACTTCATCGTGTTGCTGCCTAATGCGTCTCGATCTCTCAGGCTCGCCGTGCACGTGCCAGAACTCCGACTCCAGGGAGGTACTACGGACCGCCGAAGCGTCATGAATGTTTGTGTCCTTCTTCAGGGTGTCTGGATTTGACTTAATGCCCCGTCTTAGCAGATGAAAGGCCCTACGACCCTCGGCCTTACGACAGTCGTTACTCCCGCCACGACGACCGCCGCCCTCCGCGCCGGTACGAGGACGATTATCGTGGAGGCCCTAGCCGCGACTACGACCGGGGTAGCTACCGCGACTACGACAGAGGAGGTTACGGCGGCCGCGACTTCGACCGCCGCTACGATGACAGGCGCTACTAATCATCCGACAAGATCGTGCTATGGTCGATGCTCGGGTGGTTGAAGGTTGCCAAAATCCTCTGGTGTTTATTCCATTCTTGTTCGTTTGTCGCTATTGCTGTCTGTTCGTGTCTGTAATAGGTTATGTCCTTCGAGCAATCGGGTATGCGATGCGTAAAATCTACGGGTAATGCATTGTTCAGTGTCCACGATGAGATTTCGAATAATCGCTGAGCAAGGCCATTCAACCTTTTGGGCTGGTTAGGCTCGTCCCCGCGCTGCCTATACCCATTTCAACAACATATTTAGTCCGCCCTAATCTCTTCATCTCCTCCACCACTTCCCCCACCTTCTCGAACTCTGACCATCGTTTTTTCTCTATTTCCGCGCCGCGTTGCCTCTCTTCGTGGTCTGCCAATGACTCCACGAACCTCACTCGTAAGGCAAGCCACTGCATTGTTTTCACATTACCCACGAACTCCTCTACCTGTGCTTGTTCACCCTCGCAATAGATTACGCCTGGGTAGCCAACCTTAGCGAAACCATGGATAGACAGCTCGTGAGACCACTGCTGAAGGGAACGACGTTTGTTGGGTGATTTCAGGTGGTGTGACGTGAGGAGGGCGTGGTAGCGCACTGTGAGCGTAGCGGATGTTGGCGTGGAGAACGGAGATGTGGGGTCTGCGGGCGTGCTGACAGAGTTATCGTATTCGGCGTGGAGGCGGGGAAGTAGGTGTGCAGACATCAACTCGTACATGGGATATCTTCAAGAGATATATTTGTTTGGTCAACCAACCGCGGAAGGTTCACCGGGGACGTAGTGAAGGACGCACTCACTGTCTTGCACCTGCTCTACGCACTCTTGGATGACGGCATTCCACCGTGCCTGCTCCGTACGCCCGAGATCTGCACCTCTTGCAGAAACAGTAAGGTGGCCTTCCGTGCATGTAGTGCCGTTATACCGCGGATCAAGCAGGACATCAAACCACACGGGGATGGCCTCCGCTTTCACTTGGAAGCGCGCCGGATCTATATTAGTTGGAGCTTGACTAGATATGTCTGCGCCAGGATCTGCTGCGTACGTAGCAAGGAGTGTGGACCAGTCGGATGGGGCGTCCAATAACGGCACGAAGACTATTTCTTCTCCTGGAAGTAAAGAGCATTTGAGGAGATTTAACTCCTCAAGTTGGTGAGCGAGAATCGCGGGTTGATCCATTCTGTGTTGCGCCGTCAGATGCAGAGTGAACACATGCAGTAGTTGAGAGTTGCTCAATAGACGCCATCATTGAAATATTGAGGGTTTAGGAAGTGACGTACAGTAATTATCAGCATGAGCTAGCGCTGAAGATCCGGATCTGCGCTAAACACCCACGGGCAGTGTCACCATCTACGCTCAAGCCACCCACTTGCTGCACTGCGTACATACAGCTTGTTTTCAGCTTGTTCTCTAGAGCGACTTGGGCCTGTGAAGACTACTTGCTCCCTTGACAGTGGTTCCAGTAACTGTCAAAATGCAGTCCCTACGCAGCCGGAAGTCCGAGTCCCAGACGAAAGTGCAACGTTCGCCGAGCAAGCTCATCCGGCAAAATGGTCGTAGCACAACCCGTGTCGATGAGAAGATGAAGCGGCGCATGTCCATGCGCTATGCTGAAATATCTTCTCCCACCGACGCATTAGTGCCTGCGGTGCCCGCTCTTCCCATCGGTCTACAACCAATCAGTCCGAGTGGTATCATTCATGAAGGGATACCAGAAGTGGAAACTCCCAGAGAGGACCCGAGGCTGGCGGAGCTGAGGCTTCTGGACAAGGATGATTTTGATCCCGATGCATGTGCGGACAGCTTTACGACACGATGGATGCTCGTTGACATTTCTAGGAACAGATCTCAAGCAGAAGATGGCAAACTCAACAGAAGCACAGCTGAAGACTATGCAGTCGTCGCTGCGATCTCAGAGGGACGGAGTGGCTAAAGACTTGCAGCAGGACGTCTTCCGAAAGTGCGTCCAACAACGTTGTTACCTGACTACCAAGAGCTCACGTGTTCGTGCTATAGCTACGCTGAGTTTGTACAGATATCCAAGGAAGTCAGCGTGATCGAGAACGAGATGCTGGAGTTCAAAGACTGCCTCGCCGAGTGGAAGAACATGCCTTCGCTCCTCCACATTGAAGAATCTTCCTCCGCTGCAGGTATTGTTCCTCTCTGATTTGACGTTGGCCCACTGTGAGTACTCATGTTGTATGACAGAGCGCAGACGAAATGTCCGCTCTTCTATTGCCGACCTGCGTGTCCTATACGCCAACCAGATGCAAACATTACACACACAGATCGAGGGCTCGAGCAAGTACGTGCCAACGACACCGGGGCGACATGTCGTTGCAGAGATGGACGGCATCCTTGCGTTGAATGCAGCGACGTACAAAGTGGATCATACAGTGCGCTTTGTCGTGCTGGACGATGCGGTACTGGTTGCACGCATCAGGAGGAGGCGGAATAACGCGGAGAGCGATAAGCTGGTTGCAGAACGGTGTTGGCCGCTCAACGAGATGCTGGTGCTAGACACTAAAGATACAGCAAGTAAGCGTCATTCGTTGGTGTGTGCCATTCAAGCACCTGATCTCCGCTATCAGCGATGTCGAACGTGTTCAAGATCAGACATGGCAAGGAGACGCTTGTGTACCGCACAGAGGCATCTGCGGACAAGAAACATCTGCTCTCGCAATTCCGTCAGGTCGCCGAGGAACTTTCTGCTAAGAGACGAAAGGAGCGCGAGGTAGAGCACCTTGGTCGGAAGAGTATATGGGGTGGCGATGTGTGTCATATTCACCTCCAAATATGCGCAGCGCTCACTTCTGACTGCAGCGCGGCTCGATGGCCTTTAGCGGCGATGCAGTCCCGCCTGTCCCTACCTGGATGGCGGAACTCGTGGGGCAAACCGAGATGGGGTCGACCGCGAAGGAGAAGGCTGAACGCGATGGGCGGTGGATCAGCGATTTCTGCGACGAACTGACGGTGGCTATCGCACTGAGAGAGTGGGACAGAGCTGTCGGGCTGGTCGAACAAGGTATGATTGCTTTATGACGTGTTACTGTAGATGTGCTCACGCACGAATACCCACGCAGGGGAGGCCCAGCTCCCAAAGATGCCTGCGCTAGGCACGAAGCTGACCCCACTGAAGGCGTCGCTCACCTCACTATTATTACAGTCGCTGTCGAGTCCGTCGAACCGCAAGTCCGCCGTCACGACGTTGATTGCGCTGCTTGTGCGCCTTAAGGCGAGCGCAGCAGCGCGGAACACGTTTCTCACGGCGCGTGAGGAGCTCATGCGGCGGCGCGTGCGAATGATCCGGTTTGAGGGCCATGTAGGCGTGTATGTCGGCGACCTAGCGGTGGTGTACTTCACAGGAATCAAGCATACGGCAGACTGGTACTTGTCGAGTTTCAAGGAGAATGAGGTTGCAAGCTGTATGTGTTGATTGGACATCCGCCTGCATTGAGTTGCTGACTGCGCCTTGATAGTCTTCATTGAATGGGCAAAGAAGCAAGTTGAGTTATATGCGGAGCTCTTCAGAAAGCAGGTGTATAGCTCCGATGTGGACAAACAGACCGTTGAGGATGCAATCAAAATCACACATATGCAGAGCAAGAAGGTGTGTTTCTCACCATTGGTGCTCAGACTCCGAAAGAACTCATTGTATCGCAGTCTCTCGAGGAATATGGCATTGACTTCCGCTTTCTAATTGATAAGCTACTCTCTGAGCAAAAGGAACCGTCGGGCGCGCGTCGACTGCCTGTCAGGCATTATGAGAAATCCTCAGATCTCCTCACACCTGCTAACACTCCCATCCGCGTACGTTCTCCGGCAGCACCCGTCCGCCCCGAGCCCTCTCCCGTCCCACCTGTACCACCGCTTCCTGCCATCACCACAACCACTTCCAGCCCCACGACATCAGGCATTCCTGCTGCTCGTTCTACGCCTTCCCCAGTTTCGCCCACTCTGCGCTCCCCTACCCCGCGCTCCCCTGCGTCTCGCACGGCGTCTCCTGCGCCTCGTTCTGCGCGCTCGCCCACACCCACGCCAGCAAATGCCAGTCTGGACGGAATGCTGCGTGCGGCGCAGATGCCGTTTGTGAACCCTGCGCCGCCACCACGCTCGAAGGAGAGACCAGGGAGCGCAGCGGGGCACCGTCCACCGCCAGTGGCTGTTCCAAAGAGAGAAGGAATGTTTTGAGGTGCAACATCGCCATGTGATACCAGTACGCTATGGATGGATGGTAAATTATATGCTCTCGTTGATTTGTGTATGGTGTGTACACATTCTGGCATGCTATATGCAAACAAAGGAATCTCCATCCTTGGCCGCCCGGATGTTTGTTGCTTGTCAACCACCTCATTTTATACTCATACGCCCTCAGGACCAGCCCACTCTTTCACCGTTACTACGTCGCCCACCCTGACTACCCCATGCCCGTCGATGATACCGTTGACCCCAAAGCAGGGTTTGCTAAAGTCGCGCGGGTCCTTTCCCGTCCGGAATGTCATGAGCAATTTGTAAGGTACTGCGGCATCGCGTATTCCGGTCACCGTGTCGACGTTAGGAAGCTGCATGTAGTGACCAGCAGGCACGATAGTTTAGCACTGATCAGGCATGCGTACAGAGATGGCTAGCACTTACCAGGCATCGCGCGCACTTTGATATTAGAGTGATTTTCAACTCGGCCTGTTCGCTGTCGGTCTGTTCCGGGGAGTTGATGACAATGCGTCGCCAGTAGTCCTCGGCAAAGGGTACCCCGGCACCTCCGAATACGATATTAGGACGGAACCTGAGCAGGAACGAGTCAAAGCGATCTCAGCGCGCTTCGACTGGTAACGGAAACTATACGAACCGCTCCATCTCGACCGTACCCTCGCTCCACCGCTTCTGGTCGAAGCCGCGGACTCCCGCCGCCTCTCCCTGTTGAGCCACGTCCTTTACGACGTGCCTGAATGCAACCAGGCTTTCGTCGCTCGCGACGAGCAGCGGATACCCGTCCTGTGCCGTTATTTGTGTCAACACGCACGTTAATGTATAATTGGCAAATATCACCTGCAACTTTGCCGTGTCCTGGAGGTCAGGATAGTCGAGCGCCGGCGGCACTGTGCGCGGCGTAGGGCCCTTTATCATGAGGTGCACATCTCGACCGAGGAACGTAGATAAGACGGTAGAGGGTGTGTTATATGGGGCGGAGAGTGACTGGCAGACGTAGCCATCGACGTGGTACACGCCATGCATAACAGCATCCTCGACTCTATTGACATCAAATTATCGCACGTTAGTAGTGATTCGCAAGGTGTATGTCATACATTGACGCTCTGTCCTTTGAGGGCTGCCATGTCTACCATCATGGTTATGGCATGCGCTCGATGTACATGCAGAGTCGCATAAAGTCAACAAATATACGTACAGTTCCCACGAGCGCAGCATATCTGGTGTCGGCTCGATTGGTACAGCAAATGACTCGCATCCCGATCCCTCAGGAAATGATACGACGAGCTGACCACCGTACGCAGAGGACGGGTCCGGTTCAAGTTGTGGCGTGATCAGTACCATCTGCGACCGTGTGCGTCAGCTATGTGCGTGATGCAGCCACTTTTATATTGCCATCGCGGCTGGACATACATTGGCAAATCCTCTGGCGGTAAGAATGGTGCGTTTTTGCGCATCTATGATGCACCATTTTCTGTCATTCTGCAGAAACAGAAAGATCAGATTTATGTTGGTCGTGAGCGCGAAGACGTATTGTATGGTGATTTATTGGACGAGACAAGTCAGCATGACTGCAAAAGCAACGCCTGGCGATCGGACACACGATCAGAGACATGCAACACATACCTCGAGACCTTCGGGGTCATAGCGCACTTCCTTAACCGATGTCCCTCGGCAGCTCTAAAAGAGATACATCTCGTCTACAGACGATCAGTAGTAATGACATCTATGTATCGCACCTTGATAGGGTGTACATATATTTTTGTAACATGAACTTCCCCGATCTCGAAGGGTACTTCAGTGGGACCAGTGCCAGGCACTAGTCTCTGCACTTCGTGTTGGATGAACTCCTTTCTATATGCACCGGAACGTACCTCGTCCTCATCGCCATTCACGGGCTGAGCAGCGCCCGCGTCTGTCGCCCCTAGCGCAGTCTTTTGGAGAGATCCCCACATGAGATAGAGCGCGGATAAGACGAAGGGCGTTAGCACGAGCCAAGTTGACTGAATGCGCTCAGACCACAGATACGTGATGACTGAATAGGTAGCCATTTTACAGCATGCCACTTAAGCTCTTCTGAGCACTGTTATATATTGGCAACCAGGTAGCGGCAGCCACGGAGCTCATTGGAGCCATCGACCAGAGCGCTAATTTGATTGATGGTGTAAAAAGACGGTCGCCCCTGCATACAAATGACTAAGCGTTACGCAGCCGTGATTCGACGTTCTCGGCTCGCGAAGGGCTGACCAACCAATCAGGTTGGCGAACCATGCAAGCGTGACATGGCCGTAAGCCGGAATCTGCGAGCGTTTGCGACGAGCAGTCGTATTTGTCGCTGTTCAATGAGGGGGGCTCAGATTCTGCTCGCCGCTTTTGGCCGCTTCAATGTCGCTTGTTTTCCAGCGAGATTTAAGCGGCAATTTCGACTGCACCTTGTGCTGCATTTTTCGACAATCCACATGCAGCTTTTACCTCGATCACTCGCAACGATAGAACCGCAGCCTTCCCACCTCCACATCCATCGGATTCCAGATGAGCTCGAGTGCGCGCATATTGTCCTCCGAACTGGCATCTTTATAAATAGCCCTCCCTGCGGTTGGGGCCCAAAGGCACGCGTACGCGTAACCATTCGCGCTTCCCGCCCTGTCCCGCTAAGAATGAGGTGATGCATCATGCCAGTGCCGTGCAAGACCTCGTACACCGCTGAAACGATCTTCCCCTGCTCAGCGTGAATTTGTGGCATCTACTCGAACGAGCCCCAGCCCTGCGACTTGTCAGTGTACACTTTCGGCTTCTTATCTTCCGTCAGCTGTACATACACCCGGAAAACCCGCGTAGAGAATTATCCCGGGGAGACGATGAGCACGCGGATGTCGTATCATTGGCTAAGGCCTTGGAGAAGGACTCGAGTGCAGCCTTCGACGCATTGTACGCACTCTAGGACGCGAAGCCGTCGAATGTAGCAGTGTAAGTGACATCGAAAATGTGTCTTGACTCTGGGCGCGAAACGACGGTAGCAGTGCCTGGCTGAGGGCGAGCGCGCCGAAGATATTCGCCTGGAATTCTGCGAGGAGCTCGTCCAGGCTGCAGATAAATCAATTCTTGTCCTGAGGGGACACACAGACATATACTAACTCTAGCTCTTCAGCTGGCGCAGCCAACCCGTATCCGGCATTGTTGACAGACACGTCAAGGTGGCCGTAAGACCTCAAGGCACTCCCCCCCCCCCCGGCTTTGCGGATCCGGGTCGAGCAATACCGATTGTGCATCTGCAGTCTTGGAACTTCGAAAGGGAGCCCACCGTCATGATGACATAACACAGTCCAGGTCCATTAGCTCCGTTGCGCGCTCGACAATGGAGGTAGGACCCACGTCGCCTCCTTGAGACGTGCTCAGTAAAAACGAGATCGACGCCAGAGCTAGGTCCGGCGATGAGCCAAACTTTAGCAACCATGATATGCTTCGCCGGGTTCAGTAGTCTAGCCATCGCTGCAAACATTTGCTTATACACAGTGATTTCTACAGTGTGTCTCCCAATTGCAGCATAAGACTGATATTTTGCGGCAGAGAATGCTGGTTCACAGCGACTTTAGTTACTACCAAGGCAAGGCAAGGCTTAAGAGACTTGTATAACGTGTTAAATTTGGCCATGAATAATGGCGCGATACGCCAATCTGCCTCGAGAAATACACAAATAACGTGTACTGAAATGAGGGGGAATGCACGTTTGCAAAGTATTGTGGAAATAATCTGAGTATTGCTCACCATCGAGTGGATCACTAATCCGAACTGGCTGGAAATCGGATGGCCCGCATGACGATCGGTGCCGCAGAGCTCGAACCTGCCCCGTCTGTTCTAGGTAGATCAATAGTAGAGTCGATATTGTGGGTGCCGGATTTGCGCCGATCTGGATCTAGAGAACGGCAATCACCGGGTCATGTTGAGTATCGTGATAGAGCTTGCGATCACACAAGTACGTATATACGCCCAAGCACCCACATATAAACACTGCGTCCTTAAAGTTTTACAGTCTAAAGAACAATGACTACTCTTTCCCTTGACTCTTCAACGATCGCCTCAGTCTCGAAGCTGCCCGTTTACGATGCTACTGGAAAAGCCTTCGATTTTGGGTCGCTTTACCATGGAGAGAAGACCATTGTCGTGTTCATCCGTTGTGTATCCTTCAATTGATTGAGCTAGAACTGCGCATCTAATAGTAAATCCTGGCCTCGCGCTTGATTGCTCACTGTAGGGCATTTCTTCTGTGGAGTACGTTGACGTCGTGTAGCATCGCATCCCCATTTATGATAATTACATTGACTATAACACATCTTGTCGAAACCAATAGAGCTGCCAGGTCAGAGACAGTACTACGGATTCTCTAGCTGAGACACTGACGCTGCTATAGCAATATGTGATGGAACTAGCGAAGGTACCCCAGGAAGCGTTGCGACAGGCTGCCATACGACTTGTCGTGATAGGATGCGGCGATTGGCACCCAATTCAGGATTACTGTGGTAAGTTAGCGTCTTTCGACTGCGACCGATGCTTTCCGTTCAAGGTATAAACTGTACGAACAACTGTCGCTTACTTCCCATTTTCTCGCAGACATCACCGGCTATAAGGGCGACATGTTCGCCGACCCTTCAAGAGCGCTTTATCAGTGCCTTGGTCTCACAGAGTCGCTGGAGCGCACCCCTGCCGGCCAGGAGAAGCGCAGCTACTTGGCGGGTAGAAGTTTCCTTGGGAACTTAGTTAGGAGCATTTGGGTGGGTGTATGATGATCATCGTCTCGCACCTAACAGAACAACCGAGTCTCGGACAATAGGAAGGACCGTTGAAGAATCCGAAATACATCGGCAAGCAGGGAAATCTCTCTCAGCTTGGGGGAGATTTTATCTTTGGACCAGGTACACTCTTAGATTGAGCTTGTGACAGCCTTCTCATATTATTCTCCAGGTGATGAATGTTATTTTGCATCTCGTATGAAACATACAGAAGACCGTAAGCTGTCTAACTATATCCTGGGTTCACATGAACGTCAACTGGTCTGTTAGATGTTGAGGTTTCTGAACTGATGCGTCGTGCTGGTGTTTCCTACCCTTGAGAAATACAACTGCTCCGACGTGTGGATCTCCCGTATTATGCCCGCAGGTCATCCGTATATCAGCTCATCTATTTCTCGGGATGTGTAGGACGCGCGTGCGCTACCTTGCTCTACTTACCGACATTTGCCTCCTTTGTGGATCCTGGAGTGGAATCAGCGTAAAACTGGGTTCTTATTACATGCGCTATAAAGTGCCTGGTGCGCGATGTCACTCGTCCCAGTCATCTCGACACATCTCGGTGATCGCTACCATTCCGCGACACTCCCAAACCTTCACGAGCCGCAGGCCGGCCTTCTCCGCCAACGCGCCTAACTGCTCTGGCGTACGTTCCATCCCGTTGAACAACGCCATCATGTTGAGGTCGCGCGCATTCGCCAGAACGTGAGCAAAGCCATAGTTCGCAGGCAACGGCTCGGGTGCACGCGTAAGGTACGCGGAGCCAGCAGTCGTGTGGATCGCCTGGTCCGCGGTGAGGATGCGCGAGGTGCGAGACATGGCCGCACGGAGCTGCGTCAAGATGGTTACACACTCAGCATCGGGCCAATCATGACTAAGTGGTGGGCTGGTCAGATTTTTTTTGTGAATGGTGAGGGGAACACGCGCAGACTCACAGAACATAGCGCATGAGATAGACGTCCGCGTTTGCGACAGGCTGCGGCGCGAAGAAGTCGTGAGCCATCATCTGTATACGTCCGGACATGACGGCGTCGGGCATCTCGCGCTGCCAGAGCTCTCGGGCCTGTGCTATCGTAGGCCGACGATCCTGCAGCACGAAGCGTAATTCGGGGAATCTCCTCGCGAGGTCGAGACTCATGCCACCTGACCAATGTTCCCTTAGTAGTGACAGGACGTCAGCATATAGCCTCAAAGCGACGCACCAACGCCTCCGCCGACGTCAACAATTGTCGCTGTACCGAGTGCTCCCCATGGGTAATCTGTCGCTACCTTATGAGACTGACCCCCCGCGTTGCCGGGCGCCCACGACACGTACCAGCATATAAAGGGGGAGCATGCACACGGCCGCCGCCGACCATCGCAAGGCCGAATACCTCGCGTTCTTGGCGCCGCTTGGCTACTGCATCGGGTTCTCCAACATCCGTCTCAAGGTACTCCCAGTACGAGGTGTTAAATGCTTCTTGGAAGGCGGTTTCTTCGAGTGAGTAGGACCTGCTTTTGACTGGGTTGAACAGTACGGCAGGTAGCTTGTCCGAAGCGGTATAGATAGCCTGGCCACTGGCAGAATACCAGATTCACGTGAGTATGTCAATATACCACCAGACGTACGGTGAAGTCACTTTGTCAGGAGCCAACAGCACAAGGGGTCATTGTTGGCCAGAACCTGGCTTGTGACACTGTTGGCGAAGTGCAGATCCTTGACCTCAATGAACACATGCACGGTGCATAGACAGCGCAGGACCCTCGCTAACATACACTTTCGTGAAATGCCCAAGCCTCCTTCAGAGCAAGCACTCACCAAGCTTTCGTTCCTCGACATGAACAGTCTTGGCAATGTCCGTGATGGGCATGCCTTCCTTAGGATCGATAGCGGCGAGGACGTCCGCGATGCGAGCTTCTGCCGCGATATGCAACGCCCGCGCAACGTATTGATCCATAGCCATTTCCATTAGGCGGCTTTGAGGCTCCTGCACGATATCGATACACATCCCGCAGGTACCCACGAGCGTGCGCCGAGCTTGGTATAGCTTAGCGGAAGGCAGCAGAGGATCATAGTGCGAATTAGCATCATCCTCGGTCTCCCACTCACGAATGACGACCTCGGCAGCCTCCGCAAGTAAGTGAACGAGCGAACGAAGTTTCTGTGCCCTCTCAGCCTTGGACATGATGGGATCGATATGCAAGATAGCTGGCGTGCGCTCTCCAAATGTGAATGAGTTTTGCTTGAAAGGCGAGGGCGTTGCTTGATACGAAAGCTGCAAGCGCGGACAAACGCCATCGCGCGCGGGTTGATGAGAACAAACTATCTATTGTCCTGTCTGTTAAAGTTCGTCCGAGACCCGAAGCGAGAACGATCGACAAGATATATCGCGTTTGTCTGAGCTCTGTCAAACGCGTAAGGAACATACAGAACGGCTCTCGGAATTGCGGGACCCCGAGCCAAGTCGATATCTGATTGTGTAATACCGTACAAAGCTTCTCCTGTACGAGACATGCATCACTGCAACGCTATTTGAGAGCGAGTCTTCTTCATCTCCGCAACATAGTGCTGGCGTTTCTCCAGATCTGCGAGGAGGAACAAGATTTGTAAGCATACAGACCAGAGCAACAGAAGCTTGGCAAGTGATCAAATTACCAACTGCCCACATCGCTGCTCCAATACGGTTAGACACGGAGAATACCAGCCCTAAGAGTGGAATGCGCTCTAGAAGGGCGGCAGCGAACCCAAATGCTCTGTAATCCCACTTCCGCTCTTCCATAAAGACAGAAATCTGCTCATGCGTCATGTCCTTCGCTTTGAAGTACTGTGTAGCAAAGAACGTCGATGACTGGATTGTAAAAGAATTCGCGACATGGTAGGGAGACTGACTGTCTTATGAAGATACCGCGATGTACCCAGTGCACGAAACCACGCCGAGATCATGATCCCCACGAGTGGGACGGTCTCCACTGGCAGCAAGAGCACTATAGGGCCAATCTCGTCAGCAAGTGTCCGCCAACGGAGCGTTAAGAGACGTACGTTTGAACGCAATCCTGCCAAACACGCCGGAGACGAGATGGCCCATACCGAACCCACTCGGCTGAGGCGGATTGTCCCACTCCTCCACATAGGGTTGCCAAAAGTCTGACCCCTTCCCTCGAGATTCAATGGTTTGAGCGTATGCCCGCTCACGAGCAATGCGGAGGCCATGAGATACGAAGTAGGTGATGATTGCGGTCAATTGGGTGGAGACGAAGAACAAAGTGGCATCTGTGGGCAGCTGTGAGTGCCATCCGGGGTTGGCTGACGCCGCTGTATAAACGTACAAGTTGGCAAATCAAATGGCACATGAAATCCGAGGATGGTTTCCTTGGATATTAGCCCTGTGACGCGTGGGGAGCTGGCCCATAGCAATCAATCTAGTGACGTCTCGTCTTGAGCGGCGCACACGCACTTCATAAGGAACAGCTCGACAAAGTATCTCTGAACCTTGAATGTCGTCACAGTCTACGTTCAAGTTGGGACATCGTATGAGAAACACAAGCACACAGGATGGAGGGACATACCCAGAGCAACCCAACTCCCAGACCGCGAACCACCCCATGTTCACACTTCTTCCAGGCGGGAACAAACAAGTTCTTGTCAGTCACTAGTCGATACACACCGACAATAACATAGGAGGAAGGGAAGCGGAGGCGAGCGGTCGCTCTTCTTAGGTGATCAGGAACATGTTCTGTATAAAGTTGCGGAGTGTCTGCGCCGAATTCACCGGGGATAGTAGAACTCGCGCCCGCAGTGGACATGGCAGTTCAGTGTAAACGTTGTGGCTCCTCTTGGTTGTTGCTGCGCGCCGCCAACTGATAGAACGCTAATCCACTACCAATACAACTCGCATACATTACCACAGCAATGTACAATATCTTTTCTATACTAGAGAATGTGACAGGAGTCCGTGTAACATGACGAGAGGTAGGACGTCTCCCGTACGTCGGACTCGAAGCTCTCGTGTGTGTGTGTGAAGTGCAACAAGTCTATGTCTTCCTCTTTTTGTAGGCACGCTTATTCGGAGCAGCCGCTGCGGCCGTAATGGTAGGCGTTGACGATCGTGAGGGTTTCTTCTCTTCCGACTTGTCCACCGCTTCGATGCCTCTCTTCTATAACGGCGTGATATATGTCAGCTATAACGCAGAAGACCTTCCACAATTTAGCAAAGCTCTACCTTGCCCTTCGGTCCCTTTGTCTTGATCTCCTCGGCTTGCTTCTGCTCGGCCTCCTTCTCAATCATACCCAACAACGTGTTGCACCTACGCTGCAGCTCTTGTGGGCTCCGACTCTTGAAGAACCAGTCGAAGCGGAAGACGGGGAATTCTGTAATATCCTTCTTGATCCTCTCGTATACGTCCTCCGCGCGCATGCCATAGTGGTTCAGTCGGCAGAGGAGATACCTGTCCTCCTCTTCCGAGTACACCTTACCCTTTGTCGTGGGGTAGTTTAGTTCTAGCTCCTGCATGGGGTATCGCACAGACGCGATCTTCTTCGATAGCAATGTCTCGAGATTTGACCGCTTGTTACGCTTTGCTTCCCCTTCTTCAATGCGAGCCTTGATACGAGGATACTCTAAGGATACGCAATCTTACGCTGAGGGAACTTCGCAACATTCGATTTCACGCACCGGCAAGCTCCTTCCACTTCTTCTTGAAGACTGGATAGTACGCAGCTACTTCATCCGGTGTCTTGTCCTGGATTTCAGACGCGAGCAGCTCATAGTCATCCGTCCTATTCAGGCGCGCGACCGATCAGAGTACGCCGAGACGTTCCAAACAGCAACTCACCATCCATATGTTTCTAATGCACGGATGAATTGCTGGAAATCACGCCTACTCCAATCCTCAAAGCCCTCAGCAGCCAGTTCTTCCTTCTCCTGTTGTTGCTCCTCCGTGAGCGGTTCGGCTGAGATTTTACATGTTAATGAAAGATCAACATGGTAGGCAATGACTAACTCACCGTCGTCGATGGACTGCTGGGCTGCCTGTCGCTCGGCCTCGAGCTTCTCTGGCGTGTCTTCGGGACCAGCAGGTTCACGCAAAGTAGCGGGGATTTCGTTCGCCCGCTGCCAGCAAACAGAAAGTGAGACAGGGCATGCCGAGGAACTTACATCAGAGCACTGACCTTGTGCGCAGCAAGCTCCTGTTCCTGGAGCTCGGCAAGTCGTGGTGGGAAGAACTGGAAGTCTTGCCTGTACTGATGATTAGGGAACAACGACGACCAAGGGGAGGCAATTGTGCTTACATTTGAATCTGTTTCGGTGCCCGTGGCATCTTAGGTGCCTTCTCGGTCTTCGAGGGTCCGGCTCGCATCGTCTCCTTGAAGTAGCTGTCGACCGAGTAGTTAAGCTTCCGCTCACGCTTTGACAACGCCAAAGGGTTGAACTGCAGAGTTTTCCGCTGCTGAAAACTCAGTTCGATCAATATATCCTGCCCGTTTCCCAGGAAGAGGTCACTCACTCCGGCACGGAAGTCCTCGCCCTCCCATTGTTGCACAGACGCCTCCGATTTGAAGTTGCTGAGATCCTCAAAAGTCAACTCTTCATACTTAGAGTTTAGCTCAGTCGTCCGCGCTTCGCCTCGCTGAATGATAGCTTCGATATCATCGTTGATCATCAGGCTATTTGAATGTCAACTTAGAGCTTAAGATGCGAACACATGGACATACTCGTCGTTCGAGTTCACAATGTTTTCGGCACCATGCGCAATCATCTCAAGAAGCTCCTCTTTGTTCGCCGCTGACGGTCATAATGGGTAAGTTGTCGTATATGGAGAAAAGTGTACTGTGATCGTACCTTTCGTGTTCTGCGTGCGACCCTGCTGGATGACAAGCTGATCCAGGCGCAATTTCTGAGCGGCACGTTCAAGCATACGCTCCTCCACGCTGCCCTCGGTGATAAATCGGAAGACGTAGACCTGCTTTGTCTGGCCAATACGGTGTGCACGGTCCATGGCCTGCAAGTCAGCCTGCGGATTCCTAGAGCGGGTATCTGTCAGATTGAAGCTCGCGACATTAGAGACAGCACAATTCACCAATCGCTGTCATAGAGTACGACAATGTCCGCGGTAGTCAGATTAATGCCAAGGCCACCAGCACGCGTAGTGAGAAGGAAGATGAACTTGTCGCTATCTGGCTTATTGTACTCGTCGATAGCCACGATACGATCCTCGTGAGCGGTTCCGCCATCAATACGACAGTACTCTGCAGAACATGTCTATTACTTATGGATTCATGGTACTGAAGTGACAATGACTTACTGTAGCTTCGGAACAAGCAGTAGTCCTCGAGGATATCAAGCATCCTGCTCATTTGACTAAAGATGAGGACCCGAGAGCCTTTGACCTTCATTGAACCCAGGAGCTTGTCAAGAATAACCATTTTGCCGGAGTTTTCGACGAGGTGCTCGTCTGTCGTGTAAGGAGGACCGGGTTCCTGAGACAACGTCAGGGTGGATGACGTACACCAGAATGGAACGACATACCGCTCCGTCGAAGAGGTATGGATGGCAGGTGACCTTGCGCAACTGCACTTTATGTCAGCATTAATAGAGGTCAGAAACACGAAATGTATTACCTGCATGACCATGTTCATCAAGCGGGTCTTGCCCTCTTTCTTGCCGGTCAAACCTGCGCACGTCGATATACGGGCTTAAGGCAATTCGAAAGCGAGGACATACCATTGACGGCATCAATGTCTTTCTCCAAGACCGATCGGTACCACTTGCGCTGCATCTCAGTAAGACCGACATAGATGTTGATTTCCTTCTCTGAGGGATAGCGTCAACTCTACGTGAGCCAAGAGTTCTATTGGGCCTGTTAAGCCACTTACTAGGTAGCAGGTTCTTCTCTACATCGCTCTTCACTCGTCTCAACAAGAACGGCCGCAAAATCTTGTGCAATGCTTCCACTACCTTCTTACTCTTCGCGTCGTCGCCTTCAGCTTCAGCTTCGTCTTTGTGCAGGAAGCTGTCAAGATCGGCATAGTCGGAGAAGATTTCGGGACAGATGAAGTTCAGGAGCGCAAACAACTCCTTCAAATTGTTCTGGAGTGGCGTTCCCGTAATGAGAAGTCGCCCACGCGACATGAAGGAGCGGACGATCTGTGAGAGGATAGAGTCGACATTCTTGATACGATGCGCTTCGTCGATGATGATGTACTCGAAGGAGAACTTCTTGAGTGCTGACTTTTCAATCAGACAAATCTCGTACGAGGTAATGAGCACGTCGAAATCTTGAGGAATCAAGCGGTTCGCTATAAGCTCGGCGCGTTCCTCTTTGGAGCCAGTCAACACGATCGTGTTCACATCGGGCGTCCATCTTTCAAATTCGCGTGCCCAGTTCTGCAACGTTGACTTGGGCACCACAATCAGGTGCGGTCCAGGAGTATCCCGGTGTTGCTTTAGGTATGCCAGGAAGGAGATGGTCTGTAGCGTCTTGCCGAGACCCATCTCGTCGGCCAGAATGCCGTTGAGACCGTTGTGGTGTAGTGATACCATCCAGTTGAGGCCTTGAAGCTGGTAGGGGCGCATCAACCCGTGAATGACTAATGGAGTGCCTGTTGAGCAGACAAAACTAGGTGGATCGGGGGTGCACAACTCACAGCTAGGCGACTCCTCAAACACAAAGGGCTGATCATTTCCATCAGCAGCCATCTCACCATCCTTCAGCAACTCCTCGTCCTCCTCTTTCTCGGACTTCCGGTGACGAGCATTGTTGTCACTGAGCACAGGCGGGCGATCAGATATGCAATGAGGTTCAAACATACATATACTCACACAGCCTTTTTCCGCCCTCGCCCCTTGGGTTTCGGCTGGGCGTCCAACATAGCTGCGTACTCCGGATCCCGAGCTTTCTGCAAGTACTATAAGCCCCGGCTCTCTAGCCAATCTGCACCGGTACTCGCCTTTATGTCTACAAAATGCTTGAAGAGCTCAGTCTGCCCGAGTAGATACGAATATCGTTTCACAGCATCCGTAATCTATTACAAGTTGCATTAGGCCTCGAAGGACCAGTGAGCGAACTGTGCACGCACCTTTGCCTTGTCCATCTCCTGTCGTTTCACCTGCAGCTTTCCCTCCTCTGCCTTTCGCTTCTGCTTCTTTTTCTGTCGGTCAGCAGCTGCCTTCGTCTTGACCAGCGTCTGAGGCGTGCTCGTTCCCTCTCCCTGAGGCAGAAACACGCGTCAAAGAGGCTATGTCGCGTCGCATTTTGCTGGACACACCTTATCATCTTCCCCATCCTCGCTATGCAGCTCGTCGACGTCGCTGGCGACCTCCTCAACGTACTCGCTCTCTCCTCCTTCACTCTGTTGGCGTGAAACAATGTTACTGGGGACGACGTCAGACAGAACATCTTCATCCATGGGGGCACCGAGTGTCTATGAGGGAGCGTCAGAGATATGCACTTCTTCATTCAAGAAAGTAGACTTGCACTCATTATGCCAGGGCGTGTATGAGAGAAGGAAGTACAAGGGTGAGTGTGGCTGCAAACGCGACGCGCGCCACTGGACATAATCCTAAGATGGAAAGCGTGTAATATTATATAATATGATTATGGACATAAGAGGTCTTCCCCCTCAAATTCATGCGTTTTCTCTCTGTTCTCAACCTCAGCTTGACTGGTATAGGTCCTTGTCCTTGTCCACCAAAACTATGCGCTTCCCTGAGCACAATTCTCATAATAACAAGTTGGAAACTCTCCGGTCATTCAGTATCTATCGAGTGTTGTCCGCCTACTGACTTGGATGACTTGCGCTTCGACGCTGGCGGAGCTCATTGCTGTGTTCTCTCTTGGCGGCACTCTGTAGTGCTCTACTGTCACCGTGACATCTTTGTGATGATCATTCACCATGTCTCAGCTCTCTGCTTTAGGCGGACAATCGAACAACTGGGGGGGAAGCACAATATGGTCGCGCACCACGAGGATACCAATCACGATGGCGCTGACATCCCGCACCTTGTTTCATAATCGGTATGGCATCTCAGAGAACTGCATGACCTATTGTTCTACTACTAGATATATCGTGGCGGCCACAGCCAGCACCGCTCTCAGGTGGCTCGTTACATTATGTCCTCACCTATAAGTCATGCCATGTTCTGCGTCTTGCATCCGGACACGTCTTTTGCCACCCATCGTCAACATCTCCAGGCGACGCTCGCAGTATGGATAGTGACGACGACGCGCCTTTGGTCGCGTGGTACGAACCGAAGCAAACGGAGACACCTCCGCCTTCCCCTCCCAAGCCATCTACTATCCGCCGAGCGCCCTCACCACTCTCGGACGTACCTTATTGGGGGTATCTGGAACCAGTCGACCCAAAATGTCGATACAAGGATTGGTACTTTTTCACAGATCAGCCAGTGTATACTCTGGGTGCCGGCGAGGATGTAGATTTACGCGTGATTGGCACTTCTATATGTGAGTGACGTAGAAGGACGAGTTACCATGCTCGCGGCTCTTACTGACCGAGTTGACATCTGGGACACAGCTGCCGAACATCACTGTACGATTGTATGGGACGGTACTGACACGCCGTACGCCGTACATGTGGTCGACTATGCCGACCAGACTTGGGGTGCATGGGGCGGCACCTTTGTACGTCGGTCCTCGAGCCCTGCTTCATATTTGGCAGTTGTTCATCTACCGTTGCCACAGATAAACGATGTTCGTCTCTTACCGGGTATCCTGTCACTTCTTCGACATGGCGATCGGATCACTTTCCTGGGAGAAGAGCCTATGGCCACTAACGAGAATCTGAGTGAGTGAATAGCTACAACTGCATTTCCATAGAGGATCGTCATATCTTGAAACAGGCTTCACCTGGGTGCAATGTAATCGTCAGGGTTGGCGGAATACTCCCACTGGCCTAAGCAAATCGAAGAAGCAGCAAGCGTGAATCCGATTGTCACCCTTACATTTTCAAGACCGATGTTCAGTGTAGCAGTGACTATGTAGCATCACTTTATCCGTTTCTATGTATCAACGTCAGTGTTGTAAACCATTCCATGTTGAAGTCGGTAAAGCCTATTTTGTCACAAAGTTCTAGGAGCGTCTTTCGCGGAGAAGGTTAAACGCCCAAGTATGTCATAAGTGGCTCAGTCGGCCGAGGGGTGTTCCACCGAGCTCCGGACCCGCTGCGTGAGCTAACCCTGGCCCCGAGTCCTCTCCGTTAATGACCGTGACTGCGGGCTGGTGTTTATAATATGTATCCACCCGTGCTCTCATCGTTCACCCGTGAAACCGTCCATGGCTACCGCGACGTTGTCCCACTACGGCAAGGGCGCGCTCCGAGTAGCAAAGAACTACACCAAGGGCTACTCGCATACCCAAACAAAGGTCCGCGATGTGACCTCGAACGACCCTTGGCCGTCTTCTGGCAGGCAGATGCATGAAATTGCGCAGTTGACATACAATCAGTAAGTATGAACATGCAGTGTCGCGCAAACCAGTCGATCAACTGTGCAATTCGCAGGGAAGACTTCATCGAAATCATGGAAGTTCTCGACAAACGTCTGAATGATAAGGGGAAGAACTGGCGACATGTCTTTAAGGTGCGTACTTTTGCTCATAGTCAGCACCTCCCATAATCATGATGCCCGTAGTCCCTCACGCTCCTAGACTACTTGCTTCACACCGGCTCTAAAAACGTCATAGCCTACTTCAAGGACAATCTATATGTCGTCAAGACTCTCAGAGAATTTCAATACATTGACGAGCATGAGGTGGACGTCGGCGCAAACGTTCGACAGAAGGCCAAAGACATCGTCAACCTGCTTCAGGATGACTCGCGACTAGGGCATGAGCGGCGGACTCGTGCGCAGATGTACGAGCGACTTGCACACCCTCGGTCTTCGGCAGATTCAGATATCACGGATGATGAGAACGTTGCAGGGCGCAGCACAGCAATAAGGAGGGGCCCAGACGTCGAGGATGAGGACCTGCGGAGAGCAATCGAGGAGAGCAAGCGCACTCTAAACAGGGACCTGACTACTGCCGAGGAGCGGGACTTGCAGCGGGCAATACAGCTGAGCAAGGAAGAAGAGGAACGGAGAGCAAAGGCTGTTGCAGATTCGAGCTTGATATTGTTTGACGAAAACGGTCGGCAGTGAGTATCCCAGGAACTCTGAATCTATTTACTGCTCACTGGTTCGTTGTCACCAGGCAGCCTGCGCCTCAGCCCCCCGCCCCGCTCATAGACGCTACACTGCCGCTGCAGTATGCGGCCACCGGCATACAGCCTCAGTATACGGCCATGCCACTGCAGCCGCAATTCACCTCATTCAATCCCTTCCAGCACCAAGTGGAGCAAGAGATGATGCAGGCAGCGTACTTGCAACAGCAGCAGCAGTGGGCTCTACAACAGCAAGCCTTGCAACAGGCGCACAATTTTGCGCAGCAGCAAGCGCAGCAGGAAGAGTGGCTGCGTCAACAACAGGTCCTTCAGACGCAACCGCAATGGCCTGTGGTGGCTCAGCCCACTGGCGTGCGCATGGGGTACGTCAACGAACTGGCAGTTCCTTTCGGCCTCTGAGCTCGCTTGACATAACAGATCCAACAATCCGTTCGCATCAGCCCTCGCGTCGTCTTCATCCTCGCCGCCTCGTGCAATCGCCTCTGCTGGCCCGCAGCTCCAGCAACCCACCAGCTCCGTCAGATTCAACCTCACCGGCACGTATGCGCAGCGTCAGAACGCCGCCAGCGCGCCGCCCTCGGCATTCCATGAGCAGCCCTTGCGATCGCCGCCAACACAACCACTCACGGGCACGACAGGGGCTCCCTCGTCCAAAGCAGACCAGCAGCACAGTCATCTCGCGAGCTTGTTCGCGAATCGCGCAGATGACGGCATCGACACTTTTGGTAACATCGGTCCGCTTCGGTCCGTACTCTTCAGTGACTTGCGATAGCTGCTTGCTGATCTTGTGAATTCAGATTCATGTCGACGGAGGCAGGACGTGTGGTTGCGCAGAAGACGGGAACGGCTAGCCATAACCCCTTCCTACAACAGCAGCCCAGTCAGCAGTCGCAGAGCGATGAGACTCTCATTCAACTGTGAAGACCGGCATGTACTCGTTATCTATCTCCGAAGACCTCCCCGAGCCTCGAGTTTGTATATCCCTCCCTGTTGTGTTCTAGGCTGTATCCCTATGGATCCCTCGCTATGCGTAGTTCTCCTTAATCTGTAAGCCCCCTAATTGTTTCGTGCGGATATACGGAAGCACTGCTTGTAGTAAACCCGACTCTAGCATATAATTTATGGCAATCTGAATGAACGCCTTTAATGAACACATACCGCCATTTCATCAGTGACATCCGGCGCGAGGATGTGTGATCACGATCAGACGAACTCTGTTTTGCAGATAGCAGATAGCACTTCCGACCTCCAGAAGAAGGCGCTCCGAGGCAACCTCGACATACGCGGTCATGTACTGAGTAAGAATGGTGGGTGCGCGTCTGGCAGCTGCGTTGTCATTTCTCTGTATAAACCCCCCGATTGCTCAACTCACTTCCACAGATTGTACACCCTCTTCTACCATGGCTCCAGTTGTGAACTCTCCTCGAGAGTGCTGTATCAAGACCGTTGAGCACTCTGGGACAGCGGGCGGGACGACTGAAATCATCGCCGGCGTGCCCACATACGTGTCTCGTCCTCAGAGTCAGGGAGAAAGCCGGAAGATCGTACTGTTCTTCGCCGACGTATACGGGCCCTTCTTCCTCAATTCGCAGCTGCTCATGGACTACTGGGCGTCTCATGGTGCGATGCTGTCCTGCTGACCATGAGCCTGCAAGTACTGATGATGTGATTGATTGGCAGGATACCTGGTCCTAGCTCTGGATTATTTTGAGGGCGACACAATTGACAAGCACTTGCACAAATTAGGACCCCACTACAGTCTCGTAGAGGATTATGTCCCTGCGAAAATGACTCGCGCAAAGGAAATCACACCACTGTGGATTGACGCAATCAAGGAACAATTTGGTAGGTGATGTGCCAAATGGATAGGAAGGTGCATAGGTTGAACCTGTTTACAGGTACGGCGGATACGAAGTGGCTCATTGTAGGTCGGTGTGATCATTCTGTTTGCATATTGTGGCGCTGTGTCTGATGGTAGGGAAGGATATTGCTTTGGCGGGCCGTTCGTCATGGACTGTCTTGCAGAAGATTGGGTCACAGCGGGTATAGTGTGCACGACTGTGTCTGCTCCACGTCTGCTCACATTTTCCTATTGAACCTGTATTGCAGGCGCTTTCGCTCATCCGGCATGTCTCGAAGAAGCTCACTTCCTCAGACTGAAGCGTACGTTGTTTTAAGGGATATTTCGTGTAACGTGCTCCGAGTCTTAATCCAACCTTTGCAGAGCCTCTCTTGCTGTCTCTGGCCGGTACTTCGCATCGTTTCCATGTTTCCAGCTGTCCTTCTGACAGTGCAGTCTTATAAGAGGACGATATAACGTTTTCCAAGGAGTTCCGCGAGAAAGCGGAAGGTATTATGGCCCAGAAGAAGGCCACGTATCATATCCAGATATTCTCTGGTACCGTTCATGGCTTCGCTCTCAGCGGGAATGTCGAAGATCCGGTAGCGAGTAAGTCAATCGTGCCCTCGATGTCGTAATATTGTTGATTCGCAGTTAATTTCGTCAGAATGGGCCAAGGAGCAGAGCGCGGCTACTATCAAGAGCTGGTTCGACTTGGCCTGCAGCCGGACGTAAAGTGCATTCTTGCGGGGTGTGTTGACACAAGTTTATAGAGGGGCCTGTCCGCACGCTGCTTGTGTACAATGTGTATCATATCAAACATTGCTACAAAGATTTCCTTCATCGTGGCAGGGATTCGGTACACCTGAATCGCCGTGAGTGTGCGACCTTCTGGCCTGCTGAGACTTTATCGCTGCCTCGATATCTTGTGCTCAGGCAGAGTAGCACCGAGATGGGCGGCAAAAGAAGCATAAATATCCGTGAGTTCTATCGCGCTAGTAGAAAGCATTTAAAAATTCATACATACGATTCATCATAGATCTCGACATCAACTTGGGACAAGTCGGAGATCGCTCACAACCACGATGTTGAAGATTATCGACCGGAAGATCCTCGTTCATTCACGATCGATCTCAAGATTGTGTTCAATGGCAACCAATACCGTAGCATGTCATAGAGGTCCGCGCGGCGCGAAGACATCTGGGGCGGGAGGCCGGCATCCCACACACTCGGTCATATGTCTCAGCTCCATGCCACTTCCGATGGCATTCTCTCTCAATTAGGTTTATGCTATACTTACAGAGACATTCGTATTGACACCGTCGATAGCCTCAAAAGGACAGGGTGCCTGTGTTACCTGAACGAGCTTGAGTCCTCGACCCCGTCCCAGTTTCCCTTTACCTCACACGTAGCCGACTAGCCCTCGCAACTATGGCCACCATCGCAAGGTCCCCAGGCGACTGCTGTATCAAAACCGTCGAGCACAAAGGAACGGCTCGTGGTGTGACAGAGACCATCGCTGAAGTGAAGACCTACATCTCGAGCCCTCCAGAATTGGATGAAAAGAGGAACATCATCATCTTCTTCGCCGATGTATATGGTCCGTTCTTCCTCAACTCACAGCTCATCATGGACTATTGGGCTTCTCATGGTGAGTAGGAAGAAACGTCCTGCATCTATCCACTCAGGGTGATCGCGCTGCGTGCATGGAACAGGATACCTGGTGCTAGCGCCGGATTACTTTGAAGGCGACCCTGTGCAGAACCACCTGAGCAAAGTCGGACCCAACTACAGCATCGAGTACGACTTTGTACCAGGCAAGATGATCCGCGCCAAGCAGATCACGCCACCGTGGATCGACGCCGTAAAAGAGAAGTATGGTTAGTCTGTCGAAGTCCTAGTATCCTTCGCGGGATCGTAATAAAGTATGCGCCTGAAATTGGCGATCAGGCACCCCGAGCACGAAATGGGTGACTGTGGGTGCGTCGGAAGTATTGGTCAATTTGCAATGAGCTGACCCTATCGCGTTAGGATATTGCTTCGGCGCACCCTTTGTTATGGAGTCTCTAGCAGAGGACTGGACCACTGCAGGTGAGCGTCTCTCATGCATAGTGGTCGCGGATCGCCGACCCGTTCACCGTAGGCGCCTTTGGGCATCCCGCTATATTGAACGAGAAACACTTTCGCAACCTGAAGCGTAAGCTTTCACCGCAGCACATTGTTCCCACACCGCTCACCTCCTCCTTCTATGCAACAGAACCCCTTCTGCTGTCTTGTGCGGGTAGGTGTTCTGTCCGATAGCGTCGGCCGCTCGCTCACGCCGCCGCAATCAGAGGTCGACCACACGTTCCCACTGGACTTCCGCCGGAAGGCGGAAGACATCCTGGTCGAGAAGAAGGCGACGTACCACATCCAGGTCTTCTCCGGGGTCACACACGGCTTCTCGCTGAGAGGCAACGTGAACGATCCCGTAGCAAGTCAGTATGCCGCTCCATGTCCCGTACGACAATCGCTGACGCCGCTGCATTCTGTCGCAGAGTGGGCGAAGGAGCAGAGTGCCACGGCGATCAAGAGCTGGTTCGACGTGTTCTGTGGCACGGCGGAGTCTACGCTGTGAACATGCGCGCTTGTCAGAGGACGCCTGACAGCAAAATTTATTAGCACGGAACCTGTACGAGCGAGAGAACATCATACGCCCTATGTGTCGATCATGAATTCATGTATCATGAAGAGATGCGCGATAGTGGCAAACCCATGTGGAGTAAGCTGATCCGCCGAGGGTCCTGCACCGCTGAAGGAGCAGGCGCATTCACGAACGAGGCATTGCAGGCGTGTTTGCACGCCACTTCCGGGATAGACTGTTTATAGATTTGTTACAGCTACATCTACATAAGAGGGGCTAAGGATACGTAAACTACTCTGACATTTAATGACCTGTGAATAAACATGTACCGTACGGTATCCCATAGATACAACAAACCCAATAAGAACACAACACGCTAATATAAATTCGGATGCAGGAAGACCGTGGACGGAAGGGCAACATCTATGCTGTAAGGTGCTTCCCGTCGTTCATCCATAAGGATATGACCTGCCGTCTTGCCGCGTCTCTCTGCATGCGACCCCGCTGCTGGACGTCCTCGCAGTCTTTGGTGCAATTCTGTATGCCGACAGCCAAGTCGGTGAGCATACTGAAGACGGCGAGTTGTTTGCGCAGCATAAGTTCGACTTGTTCTGGGACAAGAGCAGAGGATCAGTGAAACCGCAAGGTGGCTGCGTGGTAATGCTGACACTCACGAGTGATCCCAAAATTCAACGCTTTCCCGCCATACATGAGCTTATACATCTGGATGGCTTGCAGAAGACCAGATGTCTGCAGCTCTTCAAACGCATCTTTCTCCGTTTGTTGGAGGACGTCCAAGTGAGGCGTTAGCACGCGCAGGCACTCGTTGAAGCACACTTGAGCTCTTTCCGCCCAGCTGCCGGCTTCTACATTTACGCCGGGAGAACCCATCAGAACGGAGACGGTCGCGTATCACGGACACCGACCTTTGTATGTCTGCTCCTTGCTCTGTTCGTCTCCTAAAATAGACGTCCAGGTGCCGCGAGTGGGGCTGCACATGCCCTCCACGAGATCCATGGCCTGATTATAGTGGTGGTGTGCGGACTGGATGAATGCACGGGCCCGCTTAAGGGCATCAGTAGTAACGACGCTCTACACTCGCATGTGAGCGAAAGACGACTGCGAACAAGGCGTAAAGGACGGACATGGTCGTAAGCAGCCTCACGGGCAGCCGCGGTCTTCTCCGACTTGGCGATGGCACCTTCATTGCCCCTACAAAGAGTCTCAGCCACGCGAGTGGACCGTAAGAGCAGACAATCTTACTGGTCGAATTGCCATGACAGAAGAGGACCATTATCCAGCATCCCGCGCAATGCGGTATAGCAATCATCCAGCACCGCTACTAGCTGTTGAGTCTCCTCAATCTATGTATTATGAGCCGGTAAAGGTGAGTTGCGTGAGAGATACAAGCATCCTACGCACTCGGTTGGTCAACTCGTGAGACCGCCGCTCAAGTTCGTATACTGTGATACTAGCTTCAACGAGTTCCGCGGTCGCATCTGGCGCTATCTGCATAGGCAGATGCGGCGCGCTCTCGTTCTTGCTCTTGCCAATGATCGACTGGAGCAGGGAAGGCTTCCTCTTAGCTATCCGTGGGCGACTGTTGACGCGCTCAGTTCACATGAAACCATTCAACTCAACCGATCAACTGACCTCTCTGTGCGAAGGTTCTGAAGCATCTTTTTCGCTGTTGTAAGCTCTTGCTCGCAATCTGTAGTTTCGCTCTCCAGTGACGCCAGTGCTTGAGCGGCCTCGTCCGCGGCTTTCCACTTATTATACGCTTCACTTAACGATTGGCCGAAGGAACGGGAGGTCGATGTTGATAGATTGGACCGGACCGATGCGCCGCTGGAGAGGGAGTAAGACTTCTTGCGGGCCAAGTCGCTCTGCACGAACGAGGACGGCGGTGTGGAAGAGACAGAAGCGGACGACGAAGACTGCCGCGAACCATCGGTTTGTGAGCGGGGGCGACTCGCGCCTAGATTGAGGTGGGCAGGAGGGGGGAAGGGGGCCATAGTGACCGGGCAAGAGATATCGAGGGCCATAGAAGAGATAGTTTAGCGTTGCACCGGCAAGCACGAGATATAAGAGACCCGAACGCCAGAGATGCGAGAGTATCAATGGGGAACAACCCGTTGAGGGCGAACAGTTACATGAGCAGAATGTGGTAGGCAGATATGTCGCGGCGGTACTGGCAGCATCTAAGTCTGAATGCTATCATCAGGCCTGGCCTGGGTGGTTGTTTGGTGGCTGTCGTGGGCAAAGAACTCTGCGAATGCGTCAGCTTGGGCCGTATTGCGGCACTCATCCACGCACGTTGCTCGTAGCGCGTACCTAGTTCGCCCCTAGCCAAGCGCCCGTGTGTCCCCAGCCATGCCGTGTTCCCAATGTATTGTCCGCAGCCTGCCAGTGGGTCAACAGGTCTCTCCTGCAGACAACCGGCGGTCTCTACACGCTGAGCCTTTGAATGCTGTTGTATGTTTCTTGCGTAGCCATTCACGTCACACCGCCTAATTGACGAATCAAGCCACTGCAACGAACGTGCGTGCTCACGGGAGCCAAGGGAAAGACTAAACCGCTGACGTACGGAAAATGAGTAGTACGGACAACATTAGACATTGGACTGCGATAAAACGTCCGAACGTACAAATACAGACATGCCAGACAAGCAAAAATGCTTCTCGCGCCAGGCACTCAGTAACGCGTGATAAATACGGCGAACATTCATCAACCCAATTCCACGCCCCCGACTTTGACAGACATCTTGATCGGAAAGGGCGAAATGCCTACCGCATTTGTAATGAGCGGCACCGCAGACCGACCTCGCTCTGAGGATGCGTAGCTCAACATCGTCTCTAAGCTCTTCGTGAGAATAGAGGCGAGGTCAGCATTGAACTTCTGGCGTTCTGTAGAACTGACCATGAGCGACCTGGACCTACAGCTTGAATTACGCATCACATACCTCTATCTGAGATAGGGTGTCGGATCTCTGCATTTATGATCCTGTACAAGTGGATGAGAATGCCGAAATGAAAAGCCCGTGTCTAGAAGCAGGGCGAACCATTGTTCCCAAGGTACCTCTTCCTAAAGTCCAGTCAAGTGAGATCCTGTGTAGATTTCGCGATGACGAACCTCAGCCGTGATAAACCCAAACCCCCATGTCTTTCGAGGACGCTTCTCAGAGAAGGTAACCAGTATCTACGGCGGCTTAGACTGTCCGTTCGCTGTTGAGTGTGTCTTCGACATACCTGACCGCGCTTGTGTGCACCACTCTCCATACCCTTCCAGAAGATGTCCACTTTATCGTCGACAAGCTGCTTCATTTCAGGATCATCCACGCCGGGCTACTTTTCCGAATTGATTACGTCTCGGACAGCACATGAATGATACGCACCATCGTCACATCGAGTACTTCATGACTTTGCTCTTTGACAGTACCAAACAACCTGTGAAAAAGAATAGAATGTAGGACTGCACGCAGGACCTCCTTGGTAGTGTTGCGCTCGAGGACCTGACTATCCATGCATCAGCAGCAATGTCAAACAACCTCCATTAACAACTCACCAAGTTGATCGTGATCGTTGGAAGTGTAGTGTTCATCATGCTCGCCGTTGCTAATAGCCATACGATCCAGTGCTTCTCTGCAAGAGCAGTCCAGTCTCACAGGCTGATGACGTTGCTGACATAAGCATATATCCCGAATTGGCAGGTCTTTGTGGGCGCCAATAAGTCCGAGCAAGCAGGTCTGCGTCCCTGCTCAGTCGCCTTTCTTTCCGCCCTTCCTTGCTTTCTTTTCTTATCAGATATTCAACATGCAGGCCGGCGGTCAGACACCCGTCTTTGTTATGAGTACGTGCAATCCGAACGATCGTTCATCTGTTTCTTCTGACATACCAATGAAGACACGGCCCCGGAGAGGCAATCCGGTCGAAAAGCTCAGATCTCCAATATTACCGCTGCTAAGGTCGTGTTTGCGGCTTGTAACCATGTTTTTTGCACTGACATCCTGTTTTAGACCGTCGCGGATGTTATCAGAACATGTCTGGGCCCGAAAGCCATGCTGAAGATGATACTGGACCCAATGGGTGGTATTCTGTTCGTGCGCGCACATGTATTCGCGCAGAAGGAATCTGACATACGTCGGTCGTAGGCTGACAAACGACGGCAATGCGATCCTGCGAGAGATTGATGTTGCGCACCCTGCTGCGAAGAACATGATCGAGCTCAGCCGGACCCAGGACGAGGAGTGCGGTGACGGGACCACGAGTGTCATCATCCTCAGTATGTCTTTCATCCTTGCCCTACAGGCGCGTTTTTCTCATCTACTGCAGCGGGAGAGATTCTTGCCCAGTCGCTCTCTCAGCTTGAGCGCGACATTCATCCCGTGGTCATCATCTCGGCGTACAACAAGGCTTTGAAAGAGGCCCTCGAGATCGTCAAGCGCATCTCCGTCCCGATCGACACCAATGATGATGCGCAGATGCTGTCTCTCATCAAGACCTCGATAGGCACAAAGTTCGTCATGCGCTGGTCCGACCTCATGTGTAAGCTCGCGCTGCAAGCTGTGCGCACCGTCGCGATGGAAGAGGGCCCGACGAAGACCGTCGACATCAAGCGCTATGCGCGCGTCGAGAAAATCCCGGGTGGCGAGATCGAGGACAGCAAGGTGCTCAATGGTATCATGTTGAACAAGGATATCACGCACCCGAAGATGCGCAGGAGAATTGCGAATCCCCGTATTGTGCTCCTGGATTGCCCCTTGGAGTACAAGAAGGGAGAGTCACAGACCAACATCGAGATCTCGAAGGAGTCGGATTGGTCGAGAATCCAGGAGATTGAGGAGGAGCAGGTGAAGGCCATGGTCGACAAGATTCTGGAGTTCAAGCCGGATCTCGTCATTACGGAGAAGGGCATTTCTGGTACGTCTTTCGTTCATCTCGGTCCCGTTGGTGACTGACATCGTGCCAGATTACGCACAGCACTTTTTCTACAAGGCTAACGTTTCAGCGATCCGCCGAGTACGCAAGTCGGACGACAACCGCATTGCTCGGGCAGTGGGGGCGACTATTGTTAACCGTGTCGAAGACCTTCGTGAGTCCGACGTCGGAACACAGTGCGGTCTTTTCCATATTGAGAAGATCGGCGACGAGTGAGTTTGGTTCTCGTAATTTACCCTGTCTCCCCTCATCATTGTTCATCATCATAGATACTTCACCTTCCTCACCGAGTGCACGACGCCAAAAGCATGCACCATCCTCCTCCGCGGGCCGTCAAAAGACATCCTCAACGAGATCGACCGCAACCTGGCCGATGCGATGTCGGTCGCGCGCAATGTCGTATTCAACCCCATTCTAGCACCGGGCGGTGGTGCAACTGAGATGGCCATCAGCGTGGGTCTCCATGCCAAGGCGCGCAGTATCACGGGCGTCGAGGGCTGGCCATACCGCGCAGTGGCGGACGCGATGGAAGTCATCCCGCGGACGCTCGTGCAAAACGCTGGAGGCAATGCCATTAGGGTTCTGACCGAGCTACGGGTATGTATCAGTCTTCTGTTGCTCTTCTGCTCGGACTGATATGTGATTCCCCCATGTAGGCCAAACACGCAAACGGCGAACACTCGTGGGGCATTGACGGTGAGACGGGCAAGATTGTCGACATGAAGACTTACGGCCTGTACGAGTCTGCGAGCGTTAAGGCAAGTCATCTTATTCCGCGGCACATCTGATGATGTCTGACGGGGTCTCTAGATTCAAATTCTTAAAACGGCTGTCGAAGCCGCACGCGTTCTTCTTCGTGTTGACGATGTGGTGCAGGCGACACGGAAAGACAGGGAGAGCCAAGGCGGAGGGCCACCACCGGAAGAGATGGAAGGTTAATGCCTCGTTGATAATGACAAAATGTGTATTAGGTGCGCTCAGAGGTACATTAGATTACTTTGCTGCATACCCTGGCGCTTTGTGCAGAACGGGCTTGCCAAGGCAGAGCCAATGAGACGGTGCGTCGGGGTTCGGCCCAGATACAATGGTCGCTCTTCGGGGACGATAGGAGATATGGGGTAGCCCAACGATTGGATGAGGTGCGGGTATCACATGAGTGGTCGTGGTCTCACTACAACTAACGGAGTGTGCTCGTGCAGAAACCTGACCACAGTGCGGTTAGAGGCGAAGCGCATGGCTTTGGAACTCTGTGCCCCGAGCTATTTTGAACACGGACTTGTCGGCTTCTGTGGGATTGAGCGGTTGCGACTAGCCGGGTTTGTCTTGATGATAAACCCGTTGCTTCGCAGCTTCAAAGTGAGAACAAGGTTGTCTGGCATGGCATGGCATGGATGCTGTTTCGAATTTGCAGTCGGCAACCAGACGAAGGCAGGTGCGCAGAAGTTCATTGCTTTTTTTGTGAATTAGAACATGACGTACTGTGTGCGGCCTGGGTGCGAGTAACAGATTCATGTCCATAAATCACCACTAGCATCGCCAGGCTGGAAGTAATGGGCTGTTGAAGCTTGCCCTCATGACCCTCTTGTCGGCCTGCTGACATGCTTCCAACGGCTGTCACTCAGAGATGTGGGTAATAGGCAGATGACCCCTACCCATCGTTCTCTCTGATGCGCTCAGAACCCGCTCCCGTATCCACTGCGCGACAACTAGAGCGCGCATCTCTCGGATGTACATGTAGGGAGATCTCACGCTATAAGTCGCCGTGACGGCAGGGCACCATGTGAGTGACGAGTTGGTTCTGATTGATGACTAACGTGGTGACCCAAAGCAGGTGATTAGTGAGTATTTTTGAACGTATATGAAGAACCTCTGACAGACTTTACACTTTCCGATGGCTTCGGATCCGGGTCCGACCTGGCCAGTTCAGCCACCTTTGTTGGGCGCAACACAAGAGCGACCCGTGTGCTCAAATGACCAGCATCGATCAACAATCATTGGGCTGCTGCATTTACCGTCTTCTCCGATCGATACTCCGATACTATTCCTGTCGAATTCGTGGGGATAATGCGGGGTATGTGCTGCGATTTGAAATGGTATGCGTCCAGCGGCTTCGTTTAGGGCAGGTTCAGACTGCTTCCCTTCGAGTACTTGAGGCCTTCTGGGAGCAGAAGCAATCTTCTGGTGACTGGTTGGCATCACAGCCCTGGTTGGATAGATGCAGTGAGCGGTCCGTCATACGACGTCTGCATGGCTGACAGACACATCGTCCTGGTCAGTTATGAGATCTTCATTCTGATTGGGATCTGCCGCCAACGCTGTAGGGTCTGGGTTGCAACCGTCATCCGTACCCGTTGTTTCCTGCCGTGCGGTTCTTTTTTACCGCAGTTCGAAGGACCATGCTATGCCGCTCGCCGAGCAGAGTCCTCTGGCACCGTGGTCAGTTTCGCGACCTTCCGCCCCTTTCGCACAGGGGGAAAGGTCAGCCGCATTGTTCGGGTGGCGACGTTGGCATTGGCCACATGAGACGTGGTGTGGCGTCGGAGGATCTTGACACCGTCCGGAATCTAGTTTGACTCCTAAGCTCCTCGTTGCTCGGCCCAGTGCAATCAAGAGATGGGCATGTTGGACGCTCAATTCAAGGGCTATGAATCATGCCCTGAAGCAAGCGAAGCGAGTTTGACTAGTCTCGTTCGAAATAGCTTATGTTGTGTTCCTGCGTTTGGAGTCGGTTGCAGCTCTAAGAAACCAATTTGAGTTCTTCGATCGCAATAATATCCCACATATAGACATCCGCACCTGTGATCTGTATCCGCGCATCTCCTGGCGCTCAACCGATCTTCTGGCGTCCCCGCGTTGAGTTCCGTCAGCACGGACATCTCGATGCGAGACGCCCCTGTCAGCCTCCTGTCTATAACTACAGACATTGGAATTGTAGGCGAGGCGCCCTGTTTTGCTCATCGCGCTACCCATCATGCCAACCGCTCACATCCCTCCGACATTAGGTGCGGTCTTGGTAGGCAGCTTAGTGTCCATATTGTGAGGAGCTACTAGCCATTTCAGGCTAACAATATCGACCTCACTGCAATATTCTCCGCAGCCTCTCAGGGACCGTCTCTATGCAAACGGTCTTGTATACTTCTGTATACCAGAAAGACCCGCTTCGACTGAAGATCATGGTCCGTATCCTCATTAGACAACTCGGGCTAGATGTATGTCCTCACACCAATTGTCTCTTAGGTCTACTGCACTTGGTTAGTAATATGGCCTTGTGTGGTCGCTGCTCTGACTGTTTACCCCGACAGGATGCTGGATTTCTTGCATACAGTATTCATCTGTGTAGCCGACTGGAGCTACCTTATAGCGCACTGGGATGATCCCAACGTGGTCGATTGGATACCATGGTAATCTTTCAATTCACCCACTCGTCGAAGTGCTGACAGTCTGCCGTTCATTCAGGGCAGTCGCGGTACGCCTTTGTTCGCTTTGGTTATATGTTTCCTGATGAAATGTTGTCACGCAGGTCACAGTAGCACTCACAGTAAGTCATTATTGTGCAGCTCTTCTATCTTATTAACTGTGTTATAGGCAATCATGACCTTCGTGGTACAGTGGTCAGTTACGCCACCGCAATGATTCATGCGAAGATCTTGACAATTAGCAGTTTCTTCGCATATCGCGTTTATACAGGTAGGTCTACCGTTGAAGAGATCGCTGTCATTCTGACCTTGGTCACTAGTCAGTCGGCACAAGTGGCATATCGCTTTGCCCTTGGTACGTCGATTGTTCGACTTGTTTGATTACAGCCCTCATGAATACTGTCGTGTAGGCCATCATTGCTTTGGCTAGGCTAGGTAAGATACGGTGTTAAAGCCGTAGTCCTTCTCTGAACAGTTCCTCAGTTGCGGCATTGGTCTCCACCGCAATGATGTAAGATGCTTAGTCAATCGTGTGGCACACCTTTGAATGATACTGTCCGCAGGATACGGCTGAAGAGCTATACGGCCTTCAGACATCACGTCGGAGTGAGTAGCATGGTTCCTGCATTCATCGTATGGCCTTCTCATTCATCATTCAGTGGGTATTTACCCTCGGCCTGTCTCTCTCGGCGGCTCTTGATGTTCTCGTTGCTGCATCCCTATGCTATTATCTACGGAAAAATCGCAGCGGGTTTACCTCGTGCGTAGCCAAGCTTTGCTATTCCTGGGATACTATATCGAAAGGGCCGAAGCAGGATGGATGCTCTTATCAACGCCTTGACGTTCTACACCGTACAGAACGGTTCTCTAACTTTGTAAGTCAGCTGCCTCATCCTACAGCATATTCTAATTACGGCTGGTAGCATTGCGACAGTGATCGCTCTAGCATGCGTAAGTTCGCGTTCGAAGAATCCGAACCTCCAGCCCTGATTGAAACCCTTTAGTGGGTATCCTTGCGAAATCTCGTGTTTTTAGCTCTCCATTTCATAATCACTAAGCGTAAGTTCGGTAAGCATCCGACGGAGCATATCACTAATGACTCACGAGCAGTCTACGCAAACGCCCTTCTGTCGACGTACGTTTCCCCTGATGCATTTGTCACCACCCACGCTGACAACAAATACAGGCTGAACGCGCGGCGGGGCCTTCGTCTACAACATACATCTTCTGACTTCGAACCCTCACTGCCTGTAGTATTCACGAACGTGGAACATAATGGGAACTCAGAGACGGCAGCAGTGCGCAACCGTCACAATGTATGTGCGCCTTGTGCCGCCAGAGTTTGATGCATGCTTATATGGTCTTCAGCCACACTCCGAGAGTATCCCCATGGCGACGAAGGTCCGTACTGGTCCTCTACATGTGTCATTCGCTCATCTGTGTTCATTGCAGGTGCATATCAATGTCGAACACACTGTTGAGATCGAAAGTGACACCGAGCCCGACAACGATGCATCGAAAACGACGTTGTGAATGTAGTCCTAGTGGCCCCTCTTCCGCTTACTCGCTGGATTTGCTGCCTGGGTAGACTCAATTCATTCCTGCGTTGTGGCGGTGGCTGACTATTATATAGTCGTATCTGGCCGAAAGCGTCGCATGAGCGCCACCAATCACGCCCACCAACTGCAAATACAGAGTATATCTGAGACGCCGCAGAATCCACTATTCTGGTGTCACACTTCCGGGATCTCCTGCACATCGATGCTGAGCAGAACCCGTCAACGCTACATGATGGGAGAGTGTGCCAGGCCTAGGCGTGTTCTAGTCTGAAGCCGATCAGTGGCTTTCAGCCGAATGAATTTTGCTAGGTCCGCAATAGGCGTTACGATCTCCTTTCCCCCCCTGGTGCTGGTGGCTTCAGAGCAGCCATCATTTTGGAATATGACAGTCGTATGAGTGCAAGCGGCTCAGTGTAATAGTACACTCATTCAATCCCAAAACGATCTGAATGGAAGGTGCAAGCTTAAATGACGCGCCACTTTGCACCTTCTAATGGTCAGACTCCTCTTGATAAGTTTATTCAATATCTGGTGAATCGCTCAACATCGGGAAAACATCGGGATAGACAGTTTTGTGCGTATTTTCCTCTTCTATCTTCCCATGTATCTCCTCTAGAGTTAGAAGCGTATACTACGCAGCACTCGTCTACCGACACAGGAGGGCCGGTTTTTTATAGATTAGTTTGTCGCTGATGGCCATGTCGGCATTGTTGCCCCGAACTGATGGACAAACCGGAAGGGCCTTAGTTGCAGCGAGCGAAAAAACGATAGGCGCGACCACCTCCAGCAACTGTTCTTTCCGGCCGATGATCCGAGATGCCGCAGCCACAGCAGCCACAATGTAGCCATCGACTTATGCAGATTATTATCTGGCACACTGTTCATTTTACTCATTCATACTCATTTTCTGTAGACCTTATGATTCTCCTGCGACTCTAATGAGCTGCAGCTGCCATGTTCCGTCAATACCAAAGAAGGATGTCGTGCTAATGCGCGGTCGCGGTTACTCCAAAACAAACGAGATTCCCACACCTCACCTTGAGCTGTCATGCAAGCCATATGGCTTTCTAGGTATCTCTCGCCGAAAGGATGCTGTACATCTTGTAAACGTGTGTGATGTAACTGCTGGCTGCAGTGCAGAAGTATTGGACTCTAGAAAAATTGTAAGTGCTCTCGAATAACATGATTGATCTTACAAGAATGTATGCTGATTACCTATATATGGGCATTCCGGTTCTGGGATGGACAGGCGGCTCTACGACGAAGTGTAGTACAGTGGCCAGCAAAGTACGTACAAATTGATGTATTCTAGTATGTCACCTGTGTTTCCCGAACATCGTCGAACCTGCTGTGGCTGCCAGCCTGTAGATCTGTGGCTGCTGTGGCTACGGCATCTCGGATCATCGGCCGGAGAGAACAGTTGCTGGAGGTGGTCGCGCCTATCGTTTTTTCGCCCGCTGTGATGGCTGATCGGATATCATCACTGTTTGACGGTGAACGCAAGTAACGCCCAAAATCGTAAGGATCTCTCCTAGAAACAGACGGAATGGCCTCCGAAAACACATAATATCGTATCCTTCAGCCCGCGCCTTTCTTTGAACAAACGATTTCCTCGGCAGTACATTCAAGTTCGAAAACACCAAACAGCAGACATATGCAGACATATTCAAGTGCTTTTCAAGTGTGCCATATTCTACCGGCTCTTTGCTCCCGCAATAGGATCAGACGGCGCGCTAGAAAATATAGTGAAGGATTTATCTACCAAAGTCGAGGCGTACCGGTCACATATTGAGGGAGTTAAACCAAACCTGTAAACACTGGCCCCCTCTGTAAAGAGGAGTCCAATCATAGTAGAACGGCGAATGCCATGGTCAGCTGCGATTGAGCAGTCCGGTAGCTATGCTTTTGGCCCTCTCGATGATGGCGCCGTTCTGATCTGCCTCCCACGAAGCCTCGCATCACCCGCCAATTTGCCTTCGTGCCGCCGGTAAACATCAGGGCTACGCGATGTCATATATGGTCAGTGTGTCACCCCGTAAATTGCCCGCAAGCATGAGCGCCGGGTTTCTTCCTCTCCACCACGTTGAATGATGGCCAGCGATGTAGTCGAAATAAGGTCTACGGTAGGTGCACTGCTCATTGGCATTCTACTGTCCACGATGTACGAAACTTTTGCTCGATGCCTAGTTGGGTCGCACCGATTCTGACTCGCTGTCTATCGTGTCAGGTTGTCCGGGACGATTACAATGCAAAGCTTCATGTACTACAACGGCTACCCTGAAGATTCATTACGCAACAAAGTGATGGTAGGCTCATGTTGTCGATACTGTGACGCAGCCTTCTCATTAACGAGACTAGGTTGGCGCACTTTGGTCGGTTATTGATACAGGTGAATATACAAGTGCACTGAACAGCCTCCAAAGGTTACTGGACACAGTTCATACCGTTATGATTTGGACGGCTCTCTGGGTTTACGTGGTCGACGGTTGGGGTCGTGCCGAAGCCCTAACTGAAATTCCTTGGTGAGTGATCATTCTTATGAAAACGTCAAGCTATTGGGATTGACAAGTCCAGGTCGGTTGCGGTATGTACATTAGTCACGGCTGGTATTGTGGCTACTGACAAGAGGGTCAGACCACTATAGCCTGCACGGTAGGCCAGTTTTATACTTGTTCTGCGAGCGAATTTCACGTAGCCATTCAGGGAATCTCTACCTTCATGGCTCATTGGTGCGTATTCTTTTATTCTATGTTCGCTCATGTCTAATCTTACGGCGTCGCAGTTTTTTTGTTTACCGCCTTCACATTCGTACGCCGAGCTTTCGCTGAGTATTCACGACGGCCTGCGCTTACTCGTCGTTTAGTCAATCATTACTACTGGTTTGCCACGATACCTATTGTAAGTGTGTTTTCTCTATTGAGCTGATTTATGCTTAGCATAATCAATAGTTGTTGAGCGCGGTATATAGAATGGGTGCGTCAATTTATTAATTAAAATGTGCCCTTACTAATAGGTTTTTGGGTTGAAGCAACGACCATAAGTGAACTTATGGCTCCCTACTGTGTCTCATAGTTTACTAATTTTGCCAACTTTCCAGTCTCTACCGGGATGATGTACGTGACTGGATTAACGTGCTGTATGGATCATACTTACTTCGCCATCTTAAAGGGCAGCCTTCCGGACTTACGTGGCTTATATGCAACAATGTGGCGTAAGCATGGATCATAATGGTGTACTGCGAACAATATTTAATGTCTTCAAGTGGCTGTTCACCTCCGGTCTTAGCGTATCAACAGGAATTGATATCATACTGACGACTTACCTGACGGTATTGCTTCGGCGTAGTAGGACTGGCTACTCGACTTCGTGAGTATGTTCTTTTAGTTGATGGCCATTGACGCTGACGTACTAGCCTTTCTAGCACCGACAGCATGATTCGCGTGATAGTAGTGTACACAATTCAAACCGGTGCGGTCACTTGGTATGTACTGAGGATCTCGCTTGGGAACAGGCGACGTTGATATTGGTAGTACGCTAGTATCACAACTATTGCGTGTCTTGTCTGTGTAAGTACCTTTCATCCTTGCGTGGTCCTCGGCACTTATGCGATTGTGCATGTAAATCGCAGTGGGTCGTCATGCCGAACAATCTCATTTTCCTCGCCATCCATTTCGCTCTTGGCAAGTGTAAGTGTCCATCCCGAGTGTCGTTGCAACTCATTACGGATACTGAGAACTCAACAGTGTATACGAATTCTCTGTTGGCAACGTATATCTCTTTCAGCGATACATGCTTCCATCTATTGATTGGCCCCACTAGATTGAACACTCGCAAGTCGTTGCGCGATAGAGGAATACGGTCGTACGGATGCAACGACCTTGGGGATTTGAACTTGCCGCCTATAAGCCCTCGACGCTTCGATCGCCCATCTCGTCGGCAAGACAGCTTACAGCTATATACAGTACTATATTTACTGTCGCCCATCTACGGATATTTACGAACTCTCCCAGGATACGAATGTTCATGTCATACCCAGGACGGAGGACGGGCTACCCCGACCCAACGACGACTCCGAAGAGCAGAAGGTACGTATCAAACATTCCTCGCTCCCGATTTCACTCAGGCGTTCAAATTACAGGTGGTACAAGCCCCGAAAAAACCAGCGCTAGAAGACACAGACACGGCTGTGTCAGAAGAGTCTTGAAGACCCAATGATCTATCCGACCGATACAATCATTCACATTCCTTCAATATGGTGGTATCTGATATTCGAATCAGTGGCACGTTGACGGATTTTGGACTTCAGTCAATCATGAAGCTATTGTCAACCTGCATTACGGAGCGATTGACATCACTGAGATTGAACCTATCTCTTGTCTGTCATGTTCGAATTTGTGAACGCGTCACCACTTAAACGGTCCTCATCACCAAATTTGATGGCTTGTATAACTGTGTTGCGATGATCTATGTCTCGCATTGATGTACATTCTATTGTTTGCTGGGCCATGAGGATTCGCCGGAAGCCCAAGGTTATGTAGGCCATAGGGCTCACTGGAGAACTTGACTGCATCCGGGATTCTAACCTAAGTTAGTGGAGTGCATGTTCACCAATCTTGACATGATGGCTCAGATCAGCGCGAGTACGTGGTAGCAGGATACATGAGTGTCCTATGATCAGAGTTAGTTAAGGAGCAGGGCTCCATGCCCGCAGGAGTCTGCCACACCTTCTGGGAGGCCTGCTCATTCTCATGTTTGAACTCGTGACAATATGAAAGTGCGAGGAAACACTATCTGGGGTTATGTTGTTGAAAGTTATGAATCACTCGAACAATCGATGGGGTGACATTTAAATACCCTTTCGCTATTAACACTATATCAAAGGAGCGATGCGTTGAGGAGGATATTATAATTTGGCTGCACGTAATGTGTTAGCACCCAAAATGCTCGCGGCAGACGTGTCGATGTGAGTGTCACGACGCGTCGTGCAGATCTATATACCACGTGACTGTGACAACGCGCGACACGGGGATGCGGCGCGTCAGCGCGTCTTAGACTTCTAGCCGTGAGGTACCATCCTCATCTTCCCATGTCTGACGATATCCTCCGTCCTGCCAAACGCAGAAAGCTGGGCACGGATGATGCATCATCTGTATCAGAATACTCAAATGATCCCAGCGATGTCACACTGACCCCTCTGCCACCCGCCGTACTTCTTGTCTCTCTCCCCAGCTTGTTAGCGCATCCGCCAAATCATCGCTTTTATATTCAGTCTCTTGTTCTCTCCCTTGCTGCTCTGCGGAAATGTCTCTCTATACCAGCTCTATCTCCTGAGGTTGAATGTCGTGCTTGGACTGGATTAGCGGAAATTGGGATGAAGGTGATATCAGGTGGCTTGAGTCAAGATGTCGCTCATCCATGGGCGGAGCGAATTGAGGCAGAGGTATGCGGTGGAACGCGACAATATTGAACGCTATGCTAACATCTGAACAGGTTGAGAAGGCGTTGAGCAAAGGGGTGAGTACTAAATTGTGGATTGCGTGTCAGAGTGCATATATGCGCATAATGATCGCTCATAATGAACAAATTCTCAGGCTATTATTGCTCAGAAGGTACTTCCAATATATCAAAACTGCTACACTGCTCTGAAACGCCTAGTAGCATCCGTCTCTTCGCGCATACAAGCATCACCTATCACTCCTTCAAGCTCAGCTGTCTCATTGGCAACACAAAACCAAGTTCGCTCGTAACCAGATCCGCAATATTCTGGCATCTTTTCTACCAACAGACCCTCCGCACATAATCTATTCCGCTCATCTCGCATACATCAACCTTCTCACCACTCCCGCAACGCCATCAGTCTCCACTCTTCCGCCCCGGTACGCCGCCACACCTCCGTCGCAGAATCCGCAAGATATATATGCGGCTTTGAATGCCGTTGAGGAGCTCGAGACTTACTCTACAAAGCACGGACATAAACATGTCACGCTTCTCGGTCGCGTTCTCCGCTTGCGCATCCTCGTCGCGGCTAGCCTGTGGAGAGATGTGCCCGCAGCTTTACAGCAAGCAGAAACAGCACTTGGCCTCACATATGAAGCCAACGCCACGCCTAAGCCACGCAAAGCATCGCAAGATGGTGTGGCTGCGGAGCCAGAGGCGTTCGTCTCATTTGAGGACCCCTTCGAGGCGGCAATGGCAGCACATGTCCTGATCATGTCTGTCATATACTTCACGCACATAGGGATTGCAGCGGAAGGATCGCCACGGCTCTCGCATCTCCACGCGTTACTAGATTCCGGGGCGCTGGACACGTTCCCAAACGGGACAGCAGAGGTAAGCGCAAAGTACATCGCTTGCGGGCACACATTTCGGAGTTCAGAGGAGGCGTGTAATATATCCTTTCTGTCTTCAGTCGTAGAGTGCTGTTTATCCGTACACGAATGATCACTTACGCTTTGTTTCTCATCATAGATCACATTCCGCAGTTCGCCTTCACTCATCGTTGAAGTCACTCATCCCCGTGTTATCTTCATGCTCACATTCCTGGTAAGCGCAACTGCGAAACGAGACGCAGTTGGACGGAAGCCGAAGCGCAAGGTATTCGCGTCAGAGGGATTGAGCATATGGGAGAGCGAGGCCTCTCGTGAGATAAATTGTATGGCGTCCTTTGACTTCCATATTGCTGACAGCATGCTAATTCGATCCCCTTAGTTGCATTGTGGGCTGGAATCGGAGACGTGGAGGAAGTCGAACAGCGTCTCGCGAAGATTAAAGCAGATTTGTTGTGCGAGTTGATTGCAGTACGTCCTGGATATTACCTGTGAAGCGGTATGGACATTCACGAGAAATCAGGCTTCCATAATGCGCAGCGAATTTGATGCGGCTGAGGAGGTACATTTTGTTATTGAGCCGGCAAAGTATAGTCTTACCTTATTGAACGTTAGAACCTCGATATCCTGATAGCCCATACTCGAACCTTCGACTTATTTCCCTCCTTCGCCGCGCGGATCGCCTTACATTACGGTCATCTCGCCCACGCGCTAGGCCAGTCCGCTCACGCGCTTCAATACTACAACGTCGCAGCTCATCTCGCTGAGGACGGCAGTTTCGTGAAGCTAACTGCGCGGGTGGGCCAGATTGCCCTACGCATCGGCTTGGAACGCCCCTTGCTCGGATCCGAAGATGATGATGGCGTCAAGGTGAACCTGGAGCCGGAGATGCAGGTCGCAAGGGCGTGCCGAGAGATGGGCAGCAACCTGGAAGCCGTCGGTCGAGTGATAGAGGCGTGTCTAACATCTGAGATTCTCAAGTCCAAGTAAGCACCAATCAACTTCCCCAGTGCAAACCTAGGCCGTACTCTTACACTCATAATGTATATCACGTACAGGCAACATCTGAAGGTCGCGCTCGGACTCGTCACGAAAGCGCAGGACAATCATCTCCGTGCGCTTGTCTTGGCACTGATCGCGTCGCAGTACTTCCACACCGCTGGGGACCACGCGTTAGAAATGCTACAGACGTGTGAGCAGCTAGCAGCGGGGCTCGGCGCACCACCAAACAAACCTGCGCCGAAGGAGCCCGGTCAAAAGCATGCGGCACCTGTGTTGGTGGGCAACGCGCCGTTGGGCCTATGGGTCGGCGAACGATTCCTGGGTAAGATCGTCACGTCCATCCTTGGCAATGTTTGCTCAGACAAAATATCAGAATTGTTCAAGCGAGCCGGAAAGGAATCCCGTGTGCAGAAACAGACAGCCATTAATGCACATCTGGCTAAGGCTGTCGAGGATTTGGCGCGACGTGCTAGCGTCGCGACCGGCCTATCCTATTCGTAAAGTGCATTTTTTTCTCTCTCGCCGCTCTCAAGGCATCCTCTTTCCACATGTGACACATTGGTAGTTTTCACAATCTACATCATCCAAGAATCGGTCTATCCCGCATAATGTTCGTTCTGCCCGTAATGCTTTGCTTTGCTCTGTAGATCTTTGAGTCCATTATCGTGTTTTATTGGGTCGTGTAGCGATAGCAAGAATCAGACTGTTTTCCCGACGCCCTTCGCTGAAGAACGAGGTCCCTGTGTCCTCGACCGTCATAGTTCACGCAGTATAAATACAAGAATTCCAAATAGACACATGAACGATTGCGTGAGGCTAAAAAGATAAATACAAACCAAGCTTGTCCATCAAGATGCCACTGCGCTCTGAGTAGTCTTGCTGGAGAACACATTGTAGCGGGTTGGGGTGGACAAAGAAACAGTTGAGCTCCGAGAGTAGGGCATCGTGGGCATTGCATCCAGTTGGAGGTTCGAACGAGAGCGCGCCATGACCTCAGCGGCGACATCCACGCCATACTGTTCCGCCAATTGACTAGAGCGAGGGGTCAACCAGGGCTTAAACGGAGACTCGCTGCTAAACCAACTAGAACCGACCTTGCGTAATTGTCCATGATGATCGCAAGGCTGTTCATGTCGAGTCGGTACGCGCGGGGCATCATGCCCTTGCCGAAGCGGTACGTGACGTGGTTCGCGCACAGCAGGCCGACGGCCATGACCGCGATCTGCGCGGGCACGAGCGCAAATACGGCCGTGTACCACCACCCCAGGATCGCGCGCTCGAACCTGAGGTACGGCGCCTTGCACCCCGGCAGCACGCTGCGCGCGTAGCACGTCTGGCTCACGGTCGCCTCGACGAACGGCGAGAAGTACCCGCAGCAGTGCAGCACGTTCTGCACGCGCAGGCGGCCCGCGAGCCCGAGCGCCTCGCTCCACTGCTGGTTGAGCTTGCCCTCGAGGTTGAACGCGCGCCGCTTGTACGTGATGTAGCCCGGCGCGACGAGCAGCGCGAAGCACGCCCACGTGAGCACGCAGTACAGCGAGAGGAATGCGCGGTTGTTGAGCAAGATGCCAGACCACCCGACGAGCGCGGTGAGCACGCCGAGCGCGGCCGCGAGCGTGGAGACGACGAGCTCGGGCTGGTTCCCGACGCGCACGATGTCCGCCTTGCCCCAGACGTTGAACCACAGCGTGAGGCAGACGACCAGCCCCGCGATGGAATACACTGTGAACTGCGCGCGGCGGCTGAGCGCTGCAGGATGAACACTCCAGGGCCAATACCGGACGACACCTACCACCAGGTTGGACACGAACAACGCCCATTTGAATCTGTTCCAGCGAGCCTGGGGCCTTGTGCTCCCGCCTTCGCGGGCGTCGAAGGTCATGCAGTCGTAGTCGTCGTCTCCTTCGCCGGGCATGCGGGCCTCATCGCGCCTGAACGCTTCCCGCCCTCCGCCGCGCTTGGGCAGGGCGGCTTCCGCGGTCTTCCAGACCTTGCGCCTCTTCGGGCCCCCAGAGAGCATAGTATTCGAGAACTTTGAGGGCAAGTAGTGCGTACTGAGAGAGGTAGGGAACTCCTTCGAATCCGAGGTAGTGCTGAGAGGCGTGTCGGGGCCGTCATTCTTGGTGAAGGACGCGAATGAACGCGGAAGACCTGCGCGAGAACGAAATGCAGCGTTGGGCGGGTTTAGCGGGGTGCTTATGTTCGGATCCATTGTTTCCAGTCCGAGTTCAGGCAAGCGCAAACCGTCGACAATGTTCTGAAGAAGGCCGAGGAAAGGTTGAATTGGTCTTGAGCGTACACCGAGCAACTACAGCGCCTCTAGAGACCCAGACCTGAAATTGTCTGTGCGGTGGCTCCAGAAAACAAGCGAGCGTTGTGACATATTCTTGCCAGGTTCGAGCCGGTATAGAACCTCTTGCGAATCGGCATGACGTCGAGTCGACTTCCGAATCGTCGATGTCCAACCAACACCACGTGCGTTTTGCAAGACGAGCAGAGTGCGCTCACCGCTGCTTTCGACATCGGAGGGGACTATTTCAAGTTCCTAGGGTTCTGCTGGCAGCAAAAGATGTGATGAGAGGGTTAGCCGCAAGCTGCTTGAGTTCGGACTGCACGGATGGCCAACCAGAACGCACGCGTCATCTTCCTTGCAGGACAGCTTCTATAGCAGAAAGAGACAGGCACTCGTATTGTCTGAGCTCAAGAAAACATCGGAGAGCAGCAAAAGTATCATAGTACATAAAGTGTGAGAATCCCCGGCTCTGCCCCTCCTGCACCCAAGGCCAGGAGGCGACGTGACGAAGTCGAGCACTTAGACATCCAGTTGGTGTCCGCCCTGCTTTGGCACAGACCGGCGTAGATAACAGCGAAGGTCTGTAATTTGACGTGAGGTGCGTTGCAGAGGAACAAGCCCACGGCGAAGACTTTATACGCCTCCACGTGCCAATCTCAGATGCCATCATATCACACGCCACCTTCACAAGTGTTCGCACATACTCTACGAGAGCAACTATCATAGGATTATCGGGCTTACAGATTCATGGCATAACCAGAAGCTAGTTGTACAGTACAAGACAGGACGGCGGAACACCTAGCAGAAGGTAGGAGAGGGATGGAAGAGACATTGCTCTAGTGATACAGCTTTAAGACCTCTCGCCACGGAGACGACGGGCCAACGCCTACAAGAAATATTCAGTCGATGTGTATGAAATGAGAACAGGATCAACACATACCAGATCCTTGGGCTGGATGGTGACACGCTTGGCGTGGATAGCAGCCAAATTGGTGTCCTCGAAGAGGGAGACAAGGTACGCCTCAGCGGCCTCCTGGAGGGCCATCACAGCAGAGGACTGGAAGCGCAGGTCGGTCTGTTCAAAGCCAGTGAGCAAACATAGCACGACGGCGGACGAGACACCAGCCATACCTTGAAGTCCTGCGCGATTTCACGGACCAGACGCTGGAAGGGCAGCTTCCTAATGAGGAGCTCCGTGGACTTCTGGTAGCGCCGGATCTCACGGAGGGCAACCGTGCCGGGCCGGAACCTGTGGGGCTTCTTGACACCGCCGGTCGCGGCCTGCGGAAGAGTAAACAAAGCACAACAAACAAGTCAAGGTTCCACGGAGGAAACACCATGCCCATAGCCCACATCAGCGCACGACCACAGGAGAGGGGTGACGAGGACGTACAACCGTTGCGGTCTTCCTAGCTGCCTTGGTGGCGAGCTGCTTACGGGGTGCCTTACCTGCGGAAGATGTCCTTCAGAATCTACGCAGTAAGCGTCGTCACACATAGGGGTACCCACCACCAGTGGACTTGCGAGCGGTTTGCTGAACGATGGCAACGACGATGAGCAGCGGTTCTGAGCGGATAGGAGATAAGACAAACTTTGGTACGAGCCATTGCTATTCAGAGAGGTGTTGGACAAGAAAAGTGATGTGCGAGGGGCGGGATAAGGGCGGCGTCGATTGCGGCGGCCTGGTGGGCGGTGGTGGTTGACGACGAAGAGCGGGGGAAGGCAGTGGGGCCTTTCGCTGAGAGAGCACCCGTTGTTGGAGGTCCGCTTCTCCATTTCCCACGGTCAAACTTCCGTCCAGCACAGGCCACGAACCTTGTCGCTTTGACGCGACTCTCCCGCGGAGGATTGGGCTGGTTCTCATCAAAATTCGATGTTTACGATGTTGAACGCTCAGTTACACCCCATTGTGCTTGAGACGTTCTCGTTTTGTCTAGCTCTACGCATACCAACAGTTGAGGCCCAGTAGAAGGCAGCAACGATGAAGCAATCCCTGCTAGATAGTCGACTGCGCACATCGGAGGTGCATTGACGCGTGCGAACTACATGGGCGTCTACTCGATTACGATTGCACGCAAGAAGTATAGCGACGCAATCGTTACCGCTGCGTCATCATCCTATGTTGTTCCTAAATTCCAAGTTCCTGTGCATCCAGTGAAGAGCCTATGGACTTTCTGATCCTAAGACTTATACTAATCACAATACGGAGTTCGTTCTCTAGACTTTGTACGATTGATCACGAGCCCTTCATTGTACCTTTCGCCGAACACTATCGGGACCCAAAGCATATTCTGCATTGCATTGACTTACCTGGGGCGTCCCCAGACGCAGCTGGATGCCTGAAACGATGCCGGGAGCGACCGAGAAGAGGCTTGGGCGGCCGTTGCGGTCGAATGCGGCGAAATCGATAAGATCTGCGGCGCAAAGGGACGGGTGGGGGACGAGTGCCCCCTCAAATCAACGTCGAGAGCGTTCTCACCATCTGCGACCCATAAAAGACCGCCCGGTCCCCCAGCCCCGCACATACGCCCGCCATGGTCGCCGTCAAGAACAAAGTCTGCCTCATGTACGGCGCGTTCGTCCCGGGCGCAGAATGGCACTCACCACGCTCACGCACACAGCGTCCACGATGGCTGGGGCATCGCGCCCGAGCCCAACATGAAGGGGGATGCGATATCCGCCGGCACCACGACGAACATGGACACGATCGCGAAGGAGCACAGCGTCCGCACCCTCCACGCGCACGGGATCTCGGTCGGCCTGAGCGACGGGCTGATGGGCAACTCGGAAGTCGGGTACGTCTGCTGCCGTCCCCGCCCCCCGCCGCGCGCTGATTCTCCGCAGGCACCTGAACATCGGCGCGGGGCGCATCGTCTGGCAGGACATCGTCAAGATCGACGTCTCGATCAAGAAGCGCCAGTTCCACAAGAACGAGGTCATCCTCGAGAGCTGCAAGCGGGCGAAGGAGGGAAACGGCCGCCTGCACCTCCTCGGTCTGGTGCGTACCGCACCAATCAGCGCCCAACTCCTCATTCCTCACTGAACATATATACCCTTCCTGCAGGTCTCCGACGGCGGTGTGCACTCGCACATCAGACACCTCTATGCGCTGCTCGAGACGGCTAAGGAGCAGGGCGTGCCGCACGTGTACATCCACTTCTTCGGTGATGGGCGTGACACTGCGCCGCGTTCCGCCGCGGGGTATGCGAAGGACCTGCTCACCTTCATCGAGAAGGAGAAGTACGGCCAACTCGCGACCGTCGTCGGCCGCTACTATGCGATGGACCGCGACAAGCGCTGGGAGCGCGTCAAGATTGCCGTCGACGGGCTCGTCAAGGGTGAGGGTGAGGAGGCCGCGGACATCGTGCAGGTAATCGAGGAGAGCTACAAGAAGGACCTGACGGACGAGTTCCTCAAACCGCTCATCGTCAACGGCGATGAGGGCCGCGTCAAGGGTGCGTCGAGGCGTGCGTAGATGCCGAGAACCAACTTATGTATCCGCCCTGCAGATAACGACACGTTGTTCTTCTTCAACTACCGCTCTGACCGTATGCGCGAGATCGCGTCCGTCTTCGGTCTGCCCGACAAGCCGATGGAGGTGGACGTCCCGAAGAACCTTGTACGTGTCGCTGTGCCGCTCCGCAGTGTTCTAACCGCTGACCGCGATGGCAGCACATCAGCACAATGTCGCGATACAACGCCGAGTTCCCCTTCCCGGTCGCCTTCCCCCCTCAGGCAATGACCAACGTCCTGGCCGAGTGGCTCGCGAAGCAGGGCGTAAAGCAGGCGCACGTCGCTGGTGCGCACCGCGTCTTCAACCCTAGCCAATGCTCCGTGCTGACAGCCACACAGAGACCGAGAAGTACGCACACGTCACGTTCTTCTTCAACGGCGGCGTCGAGAAGCAGTTCGCTGCGGAGGAGCGGCACATGATCCCGTCGCCCAAGGTCGCGACGTACGACAAGGAGCCGAAGATGAGCGTCCAGGGCGTCGCGGACAAGGTCGCGGAGATCGTCAAGAAGGGCGAGCACGAGTTCGTCATGTGCAACTTCGCGCCGCCGGACATGGTCAGTGCCACCTGTGACACCCCCCCCCCCCCCCCACGCGTAGAGATTGACTAGAAATGCATACGCGCAGGTCGGCCACACGGGCGTGTACGACGCTGCCGTCGAGGCGATCACGCATACTGACGCAGCGGTCGGGACGGTGTACAAGGCGTGCCAGGAGGCGGGCTACGTCCTGCTCATCACCGCGGACCACGGGAACGCGGAGCAGATGGTCAACCCCCAGACGGGCGCGCCGCACACCGCGCACACGACGAACCCCGTACCGTTCATCATGTCGGGCGACCCCAAGAAGCTCGCGTTCGCGGAGGACAAGAAGGACGGCGACGAGGAGGAGGGCGCACTGTGCGACGTCGCGCCGACGGTGCTGGACATTTTGGTGCGTGCAAGCTTTATCGCTGGGTGGCAGTGGCAAAAGACTGACTGGAATTGATGTATTGCAGGGTCTGCCCCAACCCGAAGGCAAGTATTCTTCGACTGTGGTGATTGTGTCATACTGATGGTTTGCAACAGAGATGTCTGGGCGCACCTTGCTTGCGAAGGGCAACTGAGAAGACACTGCTGACAAGAAGTAAAGAAAGACGCTGTAATTCCAACGTTGATGTATCACCCTGAGAGGAAGAAGGTCGTAGCAAATAGATATGTAGTTCTAACAGCGTTACATGGACTCTAGAATGACGGTTGCCAATAGACTTCAGAGAAACAATCTATATCGACGACGTTGGCGCCGAACCGGCATCGTAAGTTGCACGCAACTGGAACGAGGATGTATATAATAAGTCAACTGCAGTGTACGCATTGTCAGCCGGGGTTGCAGTTAACTTCAAGTATGGATGCATTCGATCATCGCGCGATTTGTGATTTGTACCAGGAAGCATCGCATATTGCACTATATAAACGTACTCGCTTCTACATACTAGACGCCAACTTCACAGTTGGTTGCGCTCAGTGATTCCCGCCATACCAGCTGTCCTATAGCGTACTCCTCTCAGTCGGCTATTCTGTCCCACATATTGAGATAACGCAGTGGTTTCTTTTCCGTATAAACATTAAGTCGGCCTTTGGTATGTACGCACGAGTACGCTAGAGTGAAGGCTGGTTCTAGGAACCTGGGCATGATATTGCCTGGAAGTATGGGCATTTATCCTACAAACTATCGCTACAAATCAATCCTAGAAATGTGGTATGTTATAGATAAGCAAAGCAAAAACAGCGTGGCAACTGGAAAGCGATATTCAACGGCTCAAGTAGTGAGAAAAATTGTCAAAGATGTCAGGTGCTACAGTGTGGTGGAGGTCCTCCGTACGATTTGAGTGTCTCCTCAAGATCTGAGTAATTGCGTTGGCCAGTGAAACAGTAGATGCAACTGGAGCACATACCCGCAAGCACAAGAGGTTTGGGCAAGAAATGATCCATGCCAGCTTGTCGACAGAGGCTTTCGCAGTCGGTCGTGACATTGGCAGTCAGGGCAACGATAGGCAGGTGGCCCTGTAGCGTGCCCTCGCTCTCCAACTCGCGGACTTTGCGAGTAGTCGCAAAGCCGTCAAGGACTGGCATCTGCATTTAGAAGCCCAGTGAGAACATGGCCACGATGCAGATACCTAGCATAGTCACCTGGCAGTCCATTAAACAACAATAGAAAGTCGACCTCGAGATAGCGTCTAGGGCTTCTTGACCATGGTTGGCCGTGACAACAGCATACCCCAGTTTTTCAAGAAGCCGGCATCCTAAACGCTGATTCACCTGAATGAGGCCGTCAGCGTCAATCACTATGCAGATCGCGTTCAGAACTTACCGGATTGTCCTCAACCAGCAGCACCGTCTCCCTTCTGTTCCTCGGCTCCACTGTCATCTCGATCTCCTCGACAGGTCCCACGTATGATTTAGCTGGCCTTGGGAGAACTGTCTCGTTTGGTGACAATGTCTCCGCATACTGTGCGGGAATCGCAAAGCGGACCTTCGACTGCTCTTTCAGTACATGCACACCCATGTGTGATTCGGGCGACTCAAGCAGGTCACGCAGCGCATGGAGGACCACTGGCCGTTTCACCAGCACAGCATTCCGCGCTCCACTCCATTCTGGCTCGAGCGCGGCCAAATCGCTCTGTTCGTTGTACGCGATGTACACAGGGAACGGACGGGGAGTCTTGGAACTCAGGAGCGCACGCAGCAGGGGCGACACTGCGACGCTCCCGACGTCAGTCCATACTGCATCAGCAGTATGAACCAACTCTGCGACAGACTTCGCTGCAATGCCACGGGATGTGATATGCCCGTGTTGCGCCCACAACTCGACGAGTAGTGCTTCTGTGCGCGGATCGGAATACACGACGCAAATTCGCTTGGGTGTCGGGGTCGAGGGAATCTCCGAGAGGTCCAGAAGGGGGATATCGTCGGAACATGGAGTGTTCGTGCACGAGGGGGGAGCGACAGGTAGCTTGACGGTAAACGTGCTGCCCAAGCCTTCAGTCGACTCAACCTCCACCGAGCCCATCATGCGCTGAACGAGGTGTTTGATGATGCTCAGTCCGAGGCCGGTGCCTTCTCGAGAACGAATGAGCGAGGTATCTGCTTGCCGGAAGGGCTCGAAGATTGCGCTGCGAAAGCGGGCAGGGATGCCGCATCCTGTGTCTCTAACCTGGAACACAAGCTGTCCAGGTCCATTCATAGACACTGTGACGCATATGTAGCCTTTATCGCAGAATTTCTGTGCATTGGAGAGTAACTATCAAACTCATTGTCAGCTGCCGGCGCTTCTGCACACACTGTGTGTATACGCACATTCATGAGAACCTATCAAAGTTGGATCGCGTCAGTACAAACTCTAACCAGCCATTGATCATTGGGTGCAACTTACCCGGAAAGTATACGTCTCATCGAGGTAAACTGTCACCGGGACGTCGCTCGCAACTGAAATGATGATGTCCACGCCCGGTACATTCGATTGTATGCGCGCGAGGTCTTCCAGCACTTTTCGCAGTTGCACGAGCACCGGCCGCGCAGACTGTTCTACGTTGTTGCGATCAAGCTACGAGAATAATGAGTCATACCATCTGATGGAAACGAGCCGAACAGACCTTGCTAAAATCTGCATAGTCCAGCGAGGACGAGGTTGAGCATCATGAATGCTAGGAGGTGTTCGCCAACACGTACCGAGAACATTCCCAGCAATCACGTTGATGGCATGGCATGCTTGCTGTATACTTGCGATATAGACCGTTTGCTCTTCAGTCAGCGGCGTGCGCGCCAGAAGTTCACAATACCCGTTCACAGTGTGCATCGGCGTCCGTATCTGTACAACACCAAGATCAGCACAATATCATAAACGAGCTCATACTACCGCCTATCCACTCACCTCATGGCTTGCAACACTGATGAATTGCTGCTTCACCTCGTTCGCCCGCTCTGCTGCCTCCTTCTCAGCCATGATTCGCCACAGACGCCGCTTTGTCAAGATCATTTCCGCCATGCGATTGCGCGCGGTAATAGCATTCTGCGCGAGCACGACGTTCGAGACGACGCACACACATACCGCGATGCCGATAATTGTGCTATGCAAATACTGCGGGTATCCCGCCTCTGGCGGCCCCGGTGGACTGGAAGTGTAGAATGTTGCTGCGGCCATGCCTAGGTGCATTCATAGATTACTTGAGAGTGACCTCAGAATTGAAAGAGGGCTAGAACGCACCAGTGTAATGCATAGAACAGCACCCAAACGCAGCAATAGTACTAAACGCGACTTGCCGTCCAAAATGCATATCCATGTGCTCCATGAAGATGCACGCGACAAGACACATCGCAAACGCCACCCCGTACGATAGTACGACGATGCCAGGGTTCCACGAGATATGCCCTCCCGGAATGTGCATCGCCCACATCCCTGTGTACGCGTATATATGCACAGACATCACGCATCGTGAGTGCACTGGAATACGGGCATGAAGAACACGACGCACCGCAATAGTGCATAAGCACCAGCGCCATCCCCCACACCGCCGCCCGCAGTGCAAGCAGCCTCGTTACCGTCTTCCAATGGGTCTTCGCCCAGTATCTCCAATCGAACATTGGCGGTGGCCGCTCCTGTGCTTGCGCTGTGAGGCGCAGGCGCGTCTCCCTGCTCAGCCCCGCGTGCAGGCTCTCGTCCCACGACGGGTGGCTGGTGCCCGATAAGCTCGCCGTAGATGCGAGCGTCGTGCCCGAGAATGTACTCCCCGAGCCCGATGCGACATGCTGCCGCATGTGCTCTGACGAATCTGACCTGGTTGAGGAGCTCGAGGTTGTGCTTGACGTATCGTGCTCATCGCAAGACAACCGTCGCAGCGGCGTTTGCGACCGCTGGCATGGCCCGGGCTCCATGTTCTCCCCGACATCCCATTCCTCCTCTGTCCAATCTTGGGATGTTCGGGGACACGGGTCGTCGTGGTGGCCCTCACCGTCCTGCTGTAGTGCTTCGTAGGCAGCCTCGGGGTCGCGCTCCGGACAACGCGAGTATATGCATGCGCGGACAGCTTTGTATGCTTGCGAGACAAGAAGCGTGACGTGCGGGTTTTCGATGGTCTCGGAAAGGTATGCCGTCCAAAAGGCAGCGAAGGTGAACGCGACCGCGACGACTGCGGAGAGAATTGTGAGAGGGATATTAAATCTTACGCGTATGTCGAGGCGACATGCTAGCATGCCCACTGTATGAAATTGTGAGTCCAGATAGTAATGCATATAGGGTATAGAGATGGAGAAACAGCACATGTTTGAAAGATCTGCCAGCAAACGGTCTGGCAGTCGGGACACTTATCGACGTACTCTGAATATGACAGCGCCCGAAGCTCAGGTAGCTCGTACAGACAGAGTTAGTAGAGCAGGACAAGGAGCAGACGGCCACGGTGCGGTGCTGTATCCAATAGTCTCGTACTCCGACACTCCATGTCTGCATGAGACCACCGCAAAGAGGTTGAGGCAGAGGACCACCTATCACTAGCTTTGACCGCCAACTGATCTCACTGACATGGAGTCTCCATGACCAAGCACGGACGATGTCGGGTATTTCAACCACCGTCAGACAAGGAAGGGCGACCCACAAGTCATTATTGACCGGGTTTACCCTTGTGACGATGAAGCTTTTGCGAGCTCAACCGCAAGTCATCGGTCACTAGGACCGCGACCGGCACATTGATTGACCGTTCATCACTACAGGAGACCATGCCGACTTCGACCAAGGCTGACGAAGACATACCGAAGTGCATACACCATATTGCGCAGAATCCATAGACGAGGCTTGCGAGAAGGATCCAAAGCACCTTGGTCCACGAGTTCCGCGTGTACTTGGCATGAATGAAGATCTGGGTGCTTGTGTATGCGCCGAGCCAGGAGATGCAGTAGGACAAGGCTACGAGCTGTGAGTCGGATGAGCATTGGTGAGGAAAGAGACTGTCCATGACAAGGCTACAGTACCTCGGGGGCCCAGTGAGGGACGAGCCGACGTTGCGGAAAGTCCATCAAGGAGTGGACAGAGGAAGCACAGGACAAGCCTCAAGGATGCTCTAGACGCTCGGTGGCTCCCACAAAGATGCTTCCCTCGCCTCATGACGGCAGCTTAGTCAGCACTCAGATTAATTAATGCCGTAGCAGGTGGGCCTCTCCATCCGCCGCTCCCCCTTCCCCATGCTCACCTGCTGGAAATCGTATTGCTCGACTTACGGTGGATGTTACTTCCTTCCAGGCCGGCGGTCGCAGCTGAGCGCTGAGCGGCCGCCCGGTTCCCAATCAGAGATTGTCCCTATCTGTTCTTTTTTGGATACGTTCCAGACCCTCAGGCCTCAGGGGCGAACCTTCAGCGGATCAAAACATTCTTTCTTCTTTCCGTTCCAGTACGCTCTCCCCCGACTGCCCGGTAATGCACATCATTGTACGATAGGTATGCGACGGCTGCTAAGTAGTCGGTCTGAGATGGGCGTTCATCGTCGCCATCTGGTAAAGTAGGCCTGTAAATTCCCATTTATCCCATGCTCATCTAAGTACTGATGAGTCTAATTTGGAGACTCGGAGCCCCACCTATATTCGTGCATGCCAACCAGAGCAGGCTGCAGGTGATATTTTGGCCGTATTGCCTAACATCTAATATATCTCAAGATCATGACGTCTCGGATCTCAATGCACATGTCCGTATCGTTCCCCCGATGCATTGCTCGCCAATTAGCGCCAATTATCGCTTATTACAGTAATTGCTACCGTGGATAGTCACGACACGATCTACGTCCACGACGTCGGCGCAGCCGCAGCACGGTAAGTATGAGAGGGCGAATCTAGCTAATTTGATCATGTGCCGTCACGCGTATGCGCTGTGCGCAAAGCAGTAGTCAGTGTTTTCAAGTTACATCATCGCCGGGTACCACATTCACGGAACGTGATCGCCATCTTACCGGAGATGTGTGCGACAGCGACAGTAGTCTATCAACATTTCAAAGCCGAGGTGCCCGAAGAAATGCAGAAGCTTTACGAGATATGGGGCAACACAAAAGAAGCGAGACTAGTGTAGCACCGCATAAGTCTCAGAATTTCCCTTCTCCAGTGCCAACAACGCTATATCCCGCCTTCGCTTTCCTTCTCCCGTGAGCCAGCACCGCGAAAATCGCGATCAGGAGCACAAGCACAGCGCCCAATCCACCCATGATTATGTACTCGTTCCGCAGCAACGCATCCGCGTCCGCCTGAGAAGAACCCACCGATGGTGACGGCGAGCTAGCTACCGCGCCCTCCATGAGCGCACCGCTGTCATGCACAGACTTAGACGTTGCCGAGGTTGAGGCCAACGACACGGATGCGGTGCCGCTTCCGGTCATGTTCTGCCCCGTGTAGCAGTACCGCTCGAAGCACCCGTCGCACACCTGTGTCCGCTTCGCGCCCGTCCTTGCGCGGGCCCGCTCCACCGTCGCGCACGCGACGCACAGGCCCCACTCGTCGTCGTGGTCAAGCAGGTTGACATTGTCTACGTACCCACGCGACGCGAGGATCTGGCCGTGCGCGAAGATGTCCGTCTGGTTCGCAACGGGGAGCACCAGCGTCGCCGTGCTGATGTTCGTGACGCCAGTGGGGTCGTCGTTCGGGATATATACGAAGAGCCTGTGGGCCGCATGAGCGAAGCCAGGTGTGCTGCAACGTAAGGACTTACGGGAACGCCTCTTCCTGGTTGGTCGGCCCGTCGCAACCGAAGAATACTGGGCGTACGTTCAGCCCCTTGGAGATAAACTCGTCCGTCGAGTTAGGGAATGGCGTAGGGAAGTTGATTGTTCCAGAGGGAAGGTCAACAGCCTTTTCTTTTGTCGCGAGCAGCGATAGTCCAGAAGGCTTCGTATCGTTGGTTTCTCCAGACTGGCATACAATATTCACATCACGATCCACCAAAGCGAGACATGAAGACACACCGAGTCTAGGACAATCACGACGTCCAGTCTTCTTGCCTTGACCAGCAATGGCAGCACGGGGTCATTCTCCACATCCAGCGAGCCGTCCAGCAGGCTAAGGTTCGTCTCCTGTGCATCCTGGTACGTGCCCGCGTGCATCCCATAGAACGGGTTCGCAACGCTCGTCACGTCCATTTCTTGCCCAGGCTGGTGCTGACCGAACACCTTCGTCAGGTTCGCGATCAAGGGCTCGAACTCGGCCTTCCAGTAGACATTGTCCGTGACGTTATACTGGTGGAAGTCGCACGACGACGTGCCGATCATGAGCCCCGCGTTGTCGAAGCTGTTCACGCAAGACGACGGCGCGCCGCCATGGAACGTCGAGCCAAGGTAAGGTAGCTCGACGAATGCGGCGAGCTGAGGATCGTAAGATCCAAATCTACACACAATTGAGTTTCGTCAATTCATAGGTATCACGACAGCACAACAATGTACTCACTCGAATGGCGTCAGCTCGTATACAACGCTGGTGAGTGGCAGGACGCCTGTATCGCCAAACGCATTACCCTGTGCTTGAGGCGAATTGACGTCTATGAGCACGATGGGAAACGGCATGGTCTGGTCTTTCCATGTTTGCCTGAGACGTAGTTTTGTTATTCACTTATCTAGTGCGACAAACAATGGCAAGGACGTACAGCTGTGTTGCAGAGGAATAGGACAAACTCGCTGCATGGTTTCCTGCAGTCGTGTTGGATGCAAACGATTCGGTTCCGTTCGTCCCCGGAAGGAAGTGATAAGAGAGCTGTAGTCCCAATGCTCAACGATGACTTGTCGTCAGAACATCGCAACTACTCACTGCGCGTCCCCAGAAGTCACAGAACGTCACCGGAAACCCCTGGGATTGCTTTGCACCCAGGTCGTCGTAAAGGTGCGTGAAGAACGTGGTAGTATATTCACCGGATGGCCCTGGCTGGAAGAGGTTCACATCCAGCTGCCAACCAGGGATGCCCAATGTATCATTGCCAAAGACAAGGTCGGAGAGCATGGGGAACTCGTTAAACATAAGACTTGTGGATAAATACGACCCTCTGCATGCAATGAGTTACAACTCGGTCCTGTTTGTGATAATCAATATAGCACATACCCTGACAACGCTGTGATGTACGCAGAAGACTGGAGAAGCCCGCCGAGGCCTGCATCTACGCTGCTACGCACCCGAGCATCGAACGCCTCCAACGATGCCGCACCGAAAAGCGCTGCGCGGAAGTTACCACCAGACACAGAGATGGCGATATTTGGCGCGTCATCCACCGAGAGCTTGGAGAAGTCGCCGCTGTACACCTTGGTCATGTTGGAACCCAGCCAGCTCTGCATGCTCTGCTTGGCAATCTGCTTGCGAGCCCGAACATACTTTTGCTCGTTCTACATATACAATGTTAATCGTGTATATGGTGTTTGTAACATGCCGGTACATACCGGATGCAAGGTCTGATTCTTTGCCTGCGGTGTACCAGCCTGCCGGATGAGGCTCTCGCTGGGGCAGCTCACTTGTCGGGGGGCGTAGTAAGTCGCCATATTACGCGTGAATGGAATATTATCGAAATCGGAAAAGAGATGGACAGCGATGCCTACAGTATGCCCCAACAAGAATCGTAAGAAAGGGGAAAGTCAGAACGTGTTTTAGAGCACACCTGCATTGCAATCTTATATACTGAGATGATATTTCAGCGTCAGCTAGCCGATGAGGCGCTATCTGCAATGGAAGCTAAGCCCACCGCCCTGTTACTCATCATGCGAGTAATGTTAGCACTGCTTTTGAGAACAGCGCCTCGCTAAAAAAATCAAGATCGTACGCGAATCAGATTGATCGCCCTCAGCCCAAGTCATACGCAACACTTAAAACATATTCGAACTCGCCGGGTGCGTTTGAGCATCCAGTTGTTGTATTCGATGTTTCAGCCCAAAAGATAAAGAGTGACCATGACCTTAAAGCATCCATAGAGTCTGCCCTGTGCGGCTGGCTGCCCATCATATGCAAGGAGATCAATTCCTGTCAGAGATCGTCACTGCAACACGGACAGCTCGGGTTCCAGCAGGAGTACAACTTTAATTCTTGTGGCCGGCACGATACTGCAGTGTATCGGCGCGGCGCCCGTCGCGGACCAGAAGGTGGATGCACTGGAGCGATCAAAGCATCATCAAAAGGGCCGCTCAATTCTTGTCGCTGGTTCGTTCGCGGAGCGCCCACCTTTTTGGTAGGTAGTTCCAACCCCGATCCGACTGATTCCACAGCCACTACTCACAAAACCTTTACGGCCAATGCGGCAGCCTTATACGAGATTCTGTGGTTTAAGGAATAATCTCAGACACACAGATGAGACTACCCACGAATGACAGATACCTAGTATTGAGCTTGCAGTATGTGAGTTGACTGCAGGATGACTACAAAAAGATTATTTCTCCGAGTATGTGTGTTCCCTAACAGAATAAGAGCTAAACAAGTCGCGCGCAAAGGCATAACATTGGTTAAGCCACGTTGATCGCCGGTGGCTGCGGGATCAGTCGGGGTTGAAACCACCTACCAAAAAAGGTGGACTCCGCAAACGAATGAGCGGGCGACAGGAATTGAGCAGCCTTGTCTCGTACTACTCGTTTTCCTACACCTTACCAACGTGCAATCAGCGGTGGTGGGTGGGGTGCGGGATTCAATCGGAAAGGATACGAGACAATATCAGCCCTAAGGACGTGCGGGATTATGAAGCTGCGATCACAGCGGGCTCCCACAATCAGCTCGCAATCCAGCCTGAGCTCCAGTTCCCTCTGGGTCTGCAGGCGCTGTGCCACTCACGCGTTATCGTTGACATTGCCTGTGGTCTCAGTCCTCTCTGGAGGACATCTAGAACAATCTGGTTTCTACGTCTCGCCCACAGCACGCTGTACAAAAGGCTTTCAGGCTTCAGAGCCTTGTTCCATAAAGTTCCATCTACGAACCGCTCGACAAGTCTAATATCAAGCATGGTGGCCGCTCCCAACTGGCTCAATGCCCTGAGCCTTGCGCTGGCCCTGCCCGAGAACAAGAGTCAACGACGTGAGCTGCTTCAACTTCACCCGGCCGCCGGTACTCTCAGCTAACTTTCTATCTCCGTCTCGCACAGTCTATCAACTCGCGACAGTGGACAGCAAAGGCTTACCTCACGCGCGCACAGTCGGCTACGTCGACTTCCTCGAACCCGAGGACAGCCCCAACTTGCCGATCCTGCTGGGCATGACCGATATCCGCACGCCCAAGGTTGGACAGATGCGCTCGCAGCCGTATGTGGAAATCTGCTGGTGGTTGTCTGGCTCGAGGGAGCAGTTCCGCATCGCAGGCCCACTGCAGGTTGTCGCCTCGCCAAACGTGGACGTAGACGTGGTGCCGAAGGGGGAGGGCACGCTCGCAATCGACAAGTTGACCAGACAGGGATTCGATTGGGAGACGAAACGGCAGGAGACCTTCGAGCGGATACCTGGACCTATGAAGGCGACGTGGTGCAAGCCACAGCCTGCGAGCGTGATAGGCTCATATGACGAGGGCAAGACGTGGCCTCAGACATTAGCGCCAGCGGGGGAGGAGCAGAGTGAAGAAGAGAAGCAGAACAGAGAGACGGCCTTGAAGAACTTTGCCCTGACACTCATTGAGCCCGTTGAGGTGGATTGGGTGCAAGTCGGCACCAATCCTCATCGCCGAACGAAATTCACGAGGAACGGGGAAGAGTGGTCGGAAGAGATTTTGGTTCCGTAAGCCTTCGTCAGCCCGGTAGTAATATTGACGTGTAAAATTTGTACGTTTAGTTGTAGTTTGCGTCAGTCGAAAACATTGCAAGTTGAGTCGCCTAAGGGATCAGAAGAAGAGGCGCCCAGGAACGGCACTCGCCGTCTGCTCCTTCAACTGATTCCCCCGCTGAACGTCTCGTCTACTGGTGCTGGCACGCATGAACAAGCTCATCATAAGCTCCTTAGAATACTCATGTCTCGCTTACGGCATCGTCTCTCTAAGCGCGAGCTTGGGCCCTGTTCCCGGGGGAATCTCTGTGTATTCGTGCCCGATTGCCTCATTCGGAACTGGCGAGCGCAGCCGCCAATATCAACCAAGTCGGTTGATGGTGCACGCGAAGGAGCTCGCTGATGTACTTAAGCGTGGCGGAACTTGCACAGAAAACACTTTCTACGGTGTTGTGAGCGACAATGTCGCGTGAAGACGAGCTGACAGCAGTGTTTTCGACCTTGGCGCGCGGGGCCGGCGACTTACTGGACGCGATGTATCACACGCCGAAGGAGCATCGGGAGGATATGGCGGTAAGAGCACATTGATTGGACCGACTCATGCGTTGTTTACGGACCGTCTGTCAAGCTTGTGGGAAGGACCTGGAGAAAGAGCAGATATGGGAGGATGCCCTGGCAGTGGCGGAAGATATATTGAACGAGGAGGACTGGGGCAAGGTTAATTTCGTGTGGAAGTCGACAGGCCCGGCGAGGGTGAGTACGGATATGAGATTTTGATGGTAATATTTTCGCTCGGTGGGGGCGGGGGGCGATGCACTTAGGCGGTACCCTGCAACCGGTGCTTGAAGGGCGGTCGACGGTGCTGGGAGTACGTGCGGCGGCCGAACAAGGGCGGGCGCGTCGTATCGGCATGCCTGGACTGTCACCTGCTGAAGGTAAATTGCGGTGAGTGGCTGAATGTTCATATTGATCAGAGCAATGAGTTGCTGATGCGATGGGGACAGAGACCACTGGGCGGATGGAATCAGTGACAAGCACATGAGACTTCGGTGTTGTCTACTGTGCATTACATCTTGTCGAGAAGTCGCCTGTGGACTGTGATGTTTTGCATTGACAGATAGATTGACTTCTATTCATCGAGTTGCTCCGTTGTCAGTGGCCTGCCACGATTCTAACCTGTTATGTAACTGTACGCCTCGACGTAGATTCTATCAATCTCATACCAGCAATTTGGTGTGTTGACTGCATTGACAGGTAGGATACCATCCCCGCTGGAATGCAGCAATTTTAAATCTGTTCGTCAGTTCCTGCATTTTCTCGATGAACAGCGTTGCTATGTCACAGACTCATCTGATCTCGATACATGATTCAAGGTCGAGTTCTAGCAGTCTATTACTGCCACAACCCATGATTAGTGCGATATATATAGAGATATCTGACAATCACTCTGAAGCTGTGTAGGTGCAGCTATAAGATATCTATAAGAAGGCCGCGAAGCTGCAAACGGTACGCCGACGCACCTCCGCCGTATTTATCCACCTTGTTGCTTGCCTCATTGTGAGTCTGCACGAGCGCGTTCAGTACATTGTCTGTGGAGCGTCTACTATGCTGATGACTCTGCAGGGAACTCGACACTCTTTTCTAATCCAATCATGTATTTCTCGACTGTCCTTGTTGCACTTCTTTCAGTCGGTGCTGTGCTTAGCACTACACACAATATCATGGTAGGTCAAAACGGTACATTGACTTTCAGTCCAGACCAGTGAGTCCCGCCAATGTTCTCAGGAATCTTCGCTGAGGTTTTCAACGCAGCCTCGACGCATCCATCGGCGACATCCTTGACTTCCTATTGTGAGTGCGGCTCAATTTCTCGGCCTGTCAATTCGAGGCTGATCCTGTGCTCTGCTTCCAGCGTCGATGGTAACCATACGATCACTCAGTCGACTTTCGATACTCCCTGTGATGTGCTCACAGCCCCAGATGGTGTTGACTCCGGCTTCAAGCCAGGAACACCGAGCGATCCGGTGTCGTTCAGCTTTGCTATCAACGAGACAAGCGCGCCACTCTGGTTTTACTGCAGGCATCCCGGGTATGTCTTCCGTCTCGTGCACTCGAGGCTTGCTACATATTCTGACGGCTTGCGCGAATACAGGCATTGCCAGCAGGGTATGGTGTTTGCCGTGAACGCACCGACCACCGGAAACAACACCTTCCAAGCGTTCCAATCGATCGCGAAGGCGGGGGACGCCATTAGCACGGCGACGTCTTTGTCCGCCACATCTACCTTGTCTCGTACCTTGTCTACGCTCTCATCTTCGTCCACATCAAACGCATCATCCTTTCCTTCCCCGTCGTCCTCGTCTACTCTCTTGTCCTCGACCACTTCATCCTCATCGACATCCACGCCCTCGACGTCGCTCGTTTCTTCGTCCTTGTCATCATCTACCTCATCAGACTTGTCCACTTCCTCCTCCTCCTCCTCATCATCATCATCAAGGACGTCCGTATTGACTTCGAGTAGCCCCACCTCGCCGTCACTCACGCCGGCAAACACTACAGCGCCCGCCAGTGGCGAGGTTGCTCTCCGCGCTGGTCTTGGGACCGCCTTGAGCGGTTTTGCTTTGGTTGCTGTACTGGCTCTCTGGGAGTGATAGTTTGGGCTCGTGGGAGGTGGTGTACGCAACTGTCTTGCACCTTGGATTCTTACGGACCTTGTCCTGGACATATAGCTACAGTGGGATAGAGTTTCTTAGTGTAGCATACACCGACTGTGTGAATGCAGGACTCCAGTCGACAGTATGTACCAGACTGTCACTACAAAGCATGATGTAGCGCTCCTGCATCCCATGTCTTATTTCCTTGAAGTCAAGACACGCTATTTACAAAACATCATACACTGGTAAGCTGAGTTCGTCGCCCGTTGTCTTAGAGGAACCCATGGCGGTCGTCTTTTGTCCGCTTGCACTGGACTCCATCACATGGGGATTCACGCATCCAGATGAACATCCGCATTGCAATGTAAACGACATAGATATCCTTGCAATGTTACGTCAAGACATTATCTACTATATGCTACTCTAAAAGTCCTAACAGAAAATTCAGATATATGCATGCATACAACCCAGTGGGTCACTCATGAGTGACTTTCGTAGTCTGCCACTCGATCGCGGCAAGCTGTGCTTCGTACTTCGCCTGCTGCCCACGGACCACCTTCTGCAGAGCAGCCTCGAAGTGCTCATCGCTCCACGGACCACTACTCTCAACAGCTTTTCGCCACAAGCGGAAGGAGCGACCATCGACAGTCACCGTCTCTACATCCTCTAGTCGACTCGTGCCCTTCCGCGCAGCCACCTGCCGCTGGTTGCTGAACCAGTGCTTGACTTGCACGAACGACCTGACGCACCCAGACAAACTCCCATGAGCGAGCCCGCCAGATTCATGATACTCAGCCCAAGATCAACACAGACGTACCTGTCTATGGCGATGGCCACAAGGGCTGCCCATGCATCGTCTGGGTATGGCGTCACCTCATTTCGCACCCAGCTCATCACGAATAGATGGAAGTCGTTTGCCTGCGTACCGCGTGGCGTCTCGATTGCCTTCGCACGAGCCTTCCACTGCTCGCGAATGGCATCCCGCTTCTCACGCGCCTCCTTGCCTGGCCCTCGGTGGCTGGCCTTTCTGCTCAAGCCACTACTCGTTGAGGACGGAGACCGCGTGGCCCTTGCCTTGCCTTTATTTGACTGCAATACCTGTGATCCTGTAGACCCCGGTGAATCCGCCGACGCCGTGGACTCGGGGCTGGCATCAGCAAGATTTGATGTGGCGTCCTGCGCCTGCCGGACGGCGTGGTGGGCTACTATGGGAGGGACAGGTGCTTTGGAGAATGACAGAAGCGCGATGGCCGCAGCTTGCTCATCGCGCGAGACAGCAGGGAGGTAGTCGCGGTCACTCTGAATCCATTTATCCTCATGCAGGATGACCGACGAGCGTGAGCGTGTCACGTTGATGGGTTTGATGTGGCGGACCGATGAGGACGTGGGGCAGACGACTTGCGTGGACATTGGTAGAGGGTGGCGTCGCCTTTGTGTAGTGCTTTGGTGGTATGTGACGAAGAGAGGGAAGGATATAGTCGTGTTGAAGCGCGAATGATATGCGCCAGAGGCAGTGGTGGATATCGGGATAGAGCTGGGGAAGGGATGGTCAATGGCTAACATTATATACCCCGCGACATGCGGACACACATTCTTGTGGCTGAGGACGCCACCCGTGAGAAGTGTTCATTGTGCGATGTAGCAAGGCAATAGCAAGGGTGGCTCAATGGCGGTTGCCGCGTGGGCGATCCGCCACTGAGCCCGGGAGGCACCGCCACTCGAATGTCTGAGTAAGAATAATGTAACGTCTAAGAATGCGCTTTCGTATGCGCATGCCACGAATCAAACAGGCGGAGCAAAATCTGTGCTAGGCATGCTGCCGCATCCGTACTTGGACATCGATGGAGAATGCGAAGCAGGCTCGTACCGATTGATTATGACGTTGCTGCAGATGCCGCGCTACGTTGGTATCTGTCGCATTGATGCGGTCATCTCCTTGGGCGAAGTGTAGGCTATGTGCTGTCTTGTTCTCGACGGCTATGTTCAACTTGGTCGCGAAGACATCTCGTTACGGGACGGGTATGTAACCTGCAGTCGCTCTGATGTAGAATTTCTTGAGCAGAGGACAGAGCAGTTGAACGTCGTCTCCTTTGGCTTTGATGCATCATGGGTGCAATTGGTATGGTTCTCGATCTCTGATTGGGTGCGAAGACCGCACCCAAGTATAGAATAGCGCCCAGTCTGTTCAGCGCTCATTTTGGCTGAACGATGCACTCACTCTCTCTGAGATGACCTTGTGGAGTCTTCCCTCTCTACCGACTTGAGCATCCTCCGCAAGGACTCTCTGGAGCGAGCGCGCTTGTTTTTTTCTATTCTAAGTTGACTGCCTCCCGCCGAAAATCATCCTCCAGGCGACCTGGCCATCCCGCCAGTCGCCTGTGGCGCAAGACACTCACTCAACAAGCCCAAGGGACCCCCACTTGAAGATGTTGTTGGTTGGTTTTGGATGGGAGGGGGAGGGGATCTGGCAGAGATTATTAGAGCACCAAGACTGATACATCCACCGTACTATGCGGTAAGTGGTCCAATGCGCAAGTGCATATTATACGCGTGGTGTTAGACATATAATCATAACCCATATGACGAGTCGTGTGGCACGTCTGCAGAGACTGGGCATGGGCCGGCGATGTGCAATGTCCATGCCAATCCTTGAGCTATGTTATCCACACCCCCACAGTGATACGGACATAGCACATAAGGTGAGCCCCTCTGAGCGCGCCGAGCGCATTCCCACCACTTCCAAATCTGACCAAGATGACTTGGAGAAGGAACGGTCCACGTCATCCGGACTTCTCGCTCACCGGCAGCCCAGTGTCTCAGGACTCAGGACTCAGAAGGCAGGCGGCTCGATCTCGGCACAGCCGATATGGTTAATTGATCCACCGGGTCGTGAGTAATGCTCAGATTATTTCCATTATGCGCCGTGTACATGTATACATTCCATTTCAAATCTACATATGTCAGTCGTGTATCCTGCGAGACAGATTGGTGTATGGCGCCAAACCATAGCTAAAGGCAGTACGTCGGACAGAGTGCTTTATGATGTAGACTTATTGCCTAGATTTACTCGGAGTCGTGGTGGGTCTAATATTCTTTGATGCATGGGAAATGTTTAAGCTGTTATCACGATGCGCCCCATAGGATCGCGGAACCGCACCTCGACCCGTCCTACTAGTCATCGACGGCGCTGGGAAGGACGGTTACAAAGACACCCCGAAACAAGGACTGAGATCGCAGACGATAGGGCGTAATGTAGACGTCATGCGCAGATTCTAGAACGATACGCACTTCATCAGCCGTATATAAGCAAAGAGTAGAGGTATCCACTGGCAGCACTGGCTCGATAGTGAACGCCGTAATCCTCACATTATGACTGGAAAAGTCTGGCTCATCACTGGAGGCAGCTCTGGCATTGGCCTTGCTCTTTCTGAGTACGTTTTGTCTCAGGGTGACAATGTAAGCCGTGGCCATTTTCATGAGCGCACTGAATCTGGCTGACCCGTATCTTGATAGGTCATTGCGACAGTACGCTCCCTGTCAAAGTTTTCTGAAAGTCTCAAAACCGCAGGGGCAAAACCGTTACTGCTCAACCTCAATGGCTCCGATGCGGAGATCCGCAAAGCCGGCGAGGACGCCCTGAAGATTTATGGCCGCATAGACGTGCTCGTCAACAACGCTGGGTATGGTGTGATTGCACCAATAGAAGAACTAAAGTCGGTCTATCTCTCTGTGTGCCACATCAAGATAAGGACTGATCGTCTCCACAGCCTGGACGAGCTCCGCGCACAATTCCAAACGAACGTCTTCGGCGCACTTGCTCTAACGCAGGCGCTGTTGCCGTCGTTCCGCGCCCAAAAGTCGGGGCACATCCTCAATGTCACCTCTATTGCTGCGCTCGTCGGCTTCGCGTCCTGGAGCGCGTACAACGCGTCGAAGGCTGCGCTCGAGTCCTTCTCCGAGGCCCTGAGCCAGGAAGTCGCGCCGTACAACATCCGCGTGCTCATCATCTCCCCGGGATACTTCTCTACGCAGTTTTTCCAGGCGTCTGCGCAGCTGACGGACGACAAGAAGTCGAAGGTGTACACGGACGAGTCGCAGGGCTGGGGCTCGATTGAGCGGATCCCACGAGCGCACGTTGCGCAGCGGCAGATCGGCGACGTCGTCAAGCTGGCGCAGCGAGTGTACGAGGTCGTGCATGGCACGGGCATGGCGCAGCACCTCGTGGAGGGACAGGGCGGGAAACGCGAGTGGTTGCGCGTGCCGCTAGGCCCTGACTGCGGAGAAAGATTATTACAAAAGATCGCCAGCCTGGAGGAGAATGTGCGAGCGTTTGAGCCTATCTGGAGGTCGACGGACGTAGAGCCGGAAAGGCTGCAGTTCTTTCCCCGTGGGTGAGTTAGGCTAGGTCAGGATAGAAGCCTATATGTGAATTATTACAGGACGAAGTACATATCTCGAGCCAATGCGATCTCTGCATCTACAGCTCTGCGGACTGACTTTAAGCGCACGACGTAAGACACAGCATCGTCACGAGCCAAGACATGCGATGGAAGAAAGACTGCGACGTAGAGCTCTCGTTATCCGGAGAGTCTGGTTGCTCGCGTTCGCCCACAGGCCCTGAGCATTGCATATCCTATCTCAGCGCTACCGGCCTTCGTACAGGACGAACAAGAACACACCGCTCGCTTGCATTGGGTATTCCAAGGCAAAGGGTGACCTTGAGCCCATGGCGGGCGGCGAGGTGCGTGGTGATGGTGGGAGTGGGGCGAAGCTGTGCTCCGCTACATCTGTAAACTCACCATCCGTCGAGCCATGGGGTTTCAAAGCCAAGCTGGTATCCATCGTATTGAGAGGCGAAGCCGTCACAGAGCCATGAAGCTGTAGATTGAACAATATCGCGCATTATCATTATCAGTCAGAGTGACGACTGGGAACTTCCTTAGACTTCTAAGACACTTACACCAACGGTCGAAGTCATCTGAAACGGGGTTTTCCTGACAAGATCTGTATGAGACACAGCTGGCCAGAGGAGTTCAATGGGCATAACGCTCCTGTGCACGCACCCACAGGTAGTCAATCGGTTCGTTGGTGCAATAGGCGATATAGTTCAAGGTGAGGACAAGTGGCCAACAGCACGTAGGACGGAGTCATGCAGCGCAGCGTCGCGCTCGTTTAATAACTCCCTTTCTCGACGGATAGGAACGGACCTCATCGCATCCCCTGATAGACAGCACAAAGATAGATGAAGGCTGTGTGCAAACGAATCGAAGTCGCTGACTTCTTGATCCATTGCTCTGCAAAAGGACTGCAGCGTCAACAAGCCGAGCTCATCGGACGATGAACTAACCACTCCCCTAGTAACGTCGTAAAGTAGCTTGAGGGATCACTGATCAGGTAGACAAATGAAGGTCTTCGATGCGTTAATAGCTAGTAAGCTCCTCACCATTTTCAGGAGGTGGGGGTCTATCCGACCTCCAAACGTCATGTTATTTCATACTATTACCCGCCACATCGCAGCCACAAGTCAGCGACATCCAATCAAACTTTGATCCCCGCTTACTGTCAATTTGAACTCACAATCTTATCCTTCACATCGCTGCGATTCATTCGGCCAGAGGTGCCCGAGAGCATAAGACAGTTGACCATCTTGAGGCAGTAAACCTGTGAGGACTTCGGACGTGGACGACGATCGACCTCAGTGCCTCGGGCTGAGGGTGGCATGGGAAGGTCATCACAGATCTAGGCGAACACTGCATTCTGCGCGCCATAAAACTCATTTTGCAAACAATTGTATTTACGATCGAATTTATTATTTATAACATCAGAATTAGTCGGTAAAAATTACTGACGTCGATCGCTTCCTTCCATCAATCGCAAGTTTCCCGATGACTCTACATACATGAGCCTTGCCGCTTGCAACTTTGTGCCCGTATAAAAGTGGCTGCCGCTATCTGAATCGCGACCAGTCTGGCTGCTAACGTACAAGTGTGTTAGAGCCTTGACCAGAGCGCAACCGGTCTGACGATGCCCTCGTTGAGACTCCTCGCTGCCGGCTCGAACGCACAGGGCCAGCTCGGCACAGGCTCCTTGGAGGACGCGCACTCGTTCACACCGTGCCTCTTCGCCGGCTACCCCGCCGGAAGTCTTCCTCCGGGTACACTAGCCATCTCACAAATTGCCTGCGGCGCAAACCACACACTCGCTCTTCTACAACGCCAGGTGGAGCCGGACGCGACGCCGGTCTCGGAGCTCTGGGGATGCGGCGACGGCCGCAGAGGGCAGCTGGGCCCGTCGTACCTCACCGACGTCGGCGCGAGCGCAGACAAAACCTCCACGGCTGTGTTCCAGAAGCTAGACTTACAGCTAGATCGCACTGTTGGTGCGGACTCGCTGCATGCATATGTGCCGCGGCTGGTCGCGGCGGGCTGGGAGACGTCGTATGTTGTGGTGTCCCGTGCTGGGTGCAGCGACGTACTGATCTCTATGGGCGCGGATGACTATGGGGACCTCGGCGTGGGTGGCGCGAAGGGGAAAGGCGTTATGGGGCGGCCTGTACACCTTGTCGATCTCCGCGGCTTGTTCGCACAACACGCTGGGGAAGCCGAAGTCGACGGGGGCTCGTTCACTGTACGCTCTCTTGCTGCTGGTCCACACCATGTGGTGGTAAACCTGGAGACCGTGCACGACCACGAGTTTATGCAAAGCCTCCTTGTAGGCTGGGGTGCAGGCAGACATGGTCAACTCGATGGCTTTGAACGCACGCCTGGCAAAGCATCGCCGTTCTATACCGCCCCGCGACCGATACCTCTTGCACCGAACGCCCCCGCCGTTGTGTCCATCGCACTCGGGAACCAACATTCTGTCTTCCTTGATGCCTCTGGACGACTCTCAGGCTGTGGGTCCGATCGCAAGGGCCAACTACGAGATCTACGGACGCTGGCTAACGTCACGGATGTGGCATGTACGTGGAATGGGTCGTACCTTGTGATGAAGGATATCGAAGGATGGCGTATACTTTCCACTGGGAGCAATAACAAGGGACAACTTGGGCGTGGAGACTTTCGAGACGCGTCCTCACTTGTCGGTGTTCAATTCCAGTGCACGGATCACACTTGTCAACTAAAGAAGATTGCGTGCGGGAGTGAGCACATCCTCTGCTTGCTCACCCGGAACGCAGGAGAGGCAACACAGGCCGAGGTATGGGGATGGGGATGGAACGAACATGGGAACCTAGGACTCGATTCGACGGAGGACCAGAACCGTCCACTTTGCGTTTGGTCCTCTGCGAGCGCAATTGGTACCGCTAGTCATGCGGTTGGTATATGGTGTGGTAATGGAACTAGCTGGATCGCCGTCGAGCAATAAATGTACCGATTTGCCTATGAGGCTCGATTTGCACCGCGTTCCTATTGTGGTAATGTACCTTCCCTTTTTGATGTTCATCTCGATCACTCATGTATTCGTTCTGGGGTTGGTGTTCCGTTGTTCAGGTTAGCCTATGTTTGTATCGACACCGTTCTGGGATCACATCGGCTGGTTCTATTTCATTTTGTGGTATCCTCTGGGTCATCTTGTCGATTACGTCATAAGTGGCCTCCTCCCACCGGCGTCTATGCTCTACCAATGCCCGTCGACAGCCCCACGAATAGGAATCACTCGATGAGTTGTTGACAAGCGAATATGCGAAATCGTCGATGCTCAAAGGAACAATTAACAGTCATTGAGATACACAGCGGCTGGGGCGGAGCGGCATTCGATTTGACCCTAACTGTAGTCACCAGAACGGCTGCCAAGGCTGAGGAAGAAAAGGAGCTGATGGATATGGCAAGTCTTTGTGCGGATGCGCTGTGGAGTCGAGGCGCGCAAGGGACGAGTGGATCCTAAGCGGGCGCGCCTTTGACACTTCCCGCGTCATCCCGTCGTCGCTGCCAGTATGTCATTTGGTGGGGCTTTCCAATGCGTCATTCCATACGGCCATTAGGACAGTACATATAGCAACCCCCCTCTTCCAGGCCTTCATTTTCTCCCCCACAATTGTCACTTTTCACGACTTGAGACGACAATCTATCTACGAAACAACACACACACACACCATGGACCAGAGTGCTTCTATCATTGCTGCTTTAAATGCAGGAAAGCTGCCCAGCTCTCAGCAGGCCGGCGCGGCCTTTGATTTGATTCTTGACTCTAATATTCTCAATGCTGAGCCCTCTGCGGACGGAGGCGAGCTCAGTGCCCAAGGCAAGGTCCTGCAGAAGGACTTGCGCGATGTTCTATCTGCTTACAAGCAGCTCGGCCAGAGCAAGAACGGTATGAGCGCCTCACATTGCGACAATAGTCCTTGCTGATGGTCAATTGTTATCAGGCGATGACCTCGTTCAAGAGTCGCTATGGCGTCTCTCCGAAGTCGACGTTTCCTCGACATCGACGCAGGCCCCTATAGACATCGACTCTGAACAAGCTCGGCAAGACTCGCAAGCCGTCGCGCGTGCTGTGCGAACTGTTGCTTCCCTCGTCTGGGAGAACCTCTCTCAGGAGGGCCGCTCTGTCTTCCACGACTTCGCCTCCTTCATGCGACTCGCGCTTGCAGACGCCGCCGACTACGTTGCTCATGGTGCAGAGGCTACTGCCGAGTCACTTCGACAGCTTGATACGGAGGTCCAGGAAGGTCAGAGGAACGACCTTGGTGTCAGAAAGCGCAAGGCCGAGGACGAGGACGTGGACACGAAGGTGAAATTTGAGAGAACCATGGACAAGACTAAGGATGTCGGCTCCAAGACCATTGGAGCTGGCCAGGCTGCCCTTGCCACGGCGCAGGAAACAGCTGACCGCACGTCCTCGCGTCTCCAGGATACATTCTATACAGTGAGTATTCACACGGAGATGTGTCACGCGCACACGGCACTAATTCTATGCGCGATTTTCAGGTCTGCGATCGCGCCCAGGACGACGAACAGTACCACTCGGCGATTAACACCATCTTCGACCTCGCACACAAATGGGTGCATCGCTCACTCGATACAGTGGGCGATATCAACCGCGCAACTTCTCTTGACGATTTCATTGACGACCCGACCCCCGAAAAACACCTCATCACGGCCATCCGTGGCCTACGCACCGTCTTGGAACGCCTTGCGGGTGGGAAGTCGCTCGACGATGTGTTTGGCGCCTTGCGCGTCTGTGGCGTCGACATTCAGCAGGATGAGGAGCTTCGCCAGTGGTCGGACGACTTCCTCGCGCACCTTCGCAAGTCTGTCGACGAGCGTGGCTATGTCCGCTCCGAGGAGGCGAAGCAGAAGAGCAAGGAGCTGCGGGAACAGTGGAAGAAGATCGTTGATTCAGACACGGAACAGGGTCGCAAGTGGAAGAAGGACATTGGCAAGCTCAAGGAGGAGTATGCCACATTCCAGCGAGCGATGGATCGGGACGAGGAACTGAGGAACGTGCGCCGCGCTCACACGAAGCTTGGCGGCGACTTGGAGGAGACCCTCCTCGTGGCAGGCAGCTCCGGGCTCCAGGCCACGATGGACAAGGCCCCGTGGTTCTGGCAGGACCTGTTCAATGTATACCTGCCAAAAGCCGTGGGCGCTTTCAAAGATATCCCAATCCCAAGGTAATGTTCCTGTTGCATTTAGCCTTTCCGACTGATCGCCGACTTTGCTCTAATTCACAGAACCGAGTACAGAGATAACGATGTCGAGTTCGTGCTAGAGGACCTCGACATCTCGTCCTTTAACCTTTTGCCAGGGCACGCATACATCCGCAATATCACCGATATCGACATCAAGGCACCGTCTGCTGGACAGGCAGATACCGCGGTCGGCGCGCTTACCCGGGTGTATATCCAGGCTCTGCAACTGGCCCTCCGCGAGGTGTCGTTCTACTACAAGGACAAGACAGCATCCGTAGGCCCTGCTGAATTCACAGGCTTGCTCGAGTTCACGCTTCCGCCGCAAGGAATCGACGTTGACGTCGTCGTGCGCACGATTCCGAACTCTCCAGAAGGGCTGAAGGAACGTGCGCGCCGAAGCCGGTTCCTGGAAATACAGCGCGTTGACGTCCATGTGTCGGAGGATGTGGACCTGACGATCCGCGAGTCGAACCACCCGATTCTCGTGTCCGTGTTCAAGCCGGTCATGCTCTCGCGCTTCCGCGAAGCGCTCCGGACACTTCTCGAGCAGCAGGTCCGTAGCGCTCTTGACTGGCTCGACGCGCTCGCATGGGACGTTGGGCGACGCGCCGAGGTATTCGGCGACGCTGGGCTTGGGCGCGGTGCGAGCCTCGTCGCGGGCTTATGGAGCGAGCTGGGACACCTGCAGAAGGGCGAGGGTGGGCTGTTCTCGGGATGGACGGCGACAGGTACTGGTGTGTTCAAGAGCGACCAGGAGGGTACGCAATTTGCAATGGGCGCGGAGCCTCAAGTGCTATTGGGCGAGAAGCGCGGCCCCAAAGGAACGCTGTCAGACTCGATTGCAGAGCGGTACGATGTGGACGCGGAGATGGAGGACGCGCGGGGCATCGTTGAAGAGGCAGGGAAGAGCGCAAAAGCGGGCGTGCGAAAGGCGAAGTCGTTCAAGGATAGCGTGAGCGCAAAAGCGGAGGAAGAGAAAGCGCGAGAGGGATGGCAGAGCCCGGCGTTTGACATTTCGGCGTGAAGCAGAATCTAATACTGTATCATATGGTGGCTAGGATAAGTTTCTGCACCATACATGTGTGCATAGTAAATGTATAATAGGTTTCCAAAAACTCGAGTATATTGTGTCCCGCTCAATCTGACGGGCATAGCAAGAGGCGACTGGCAGTTGAAACGTTGATCTCTGGCCGATCCTAGTAACATATAAGCGCTCAGCTGCCCTCATCTTGCTATCCGCACCGATGTAGTAGTGAGTCGGTGCAACGACACGGGTACTTTCCTCCGCAGAAGTCACATTCTGTCGGTCGGACGTAGAGCCGTCTCAGTTAGTATCCAAGATTAATTCAACTCTATTTGGCAGGTATCTCCGCTGAACATCCTTGACAGCCAGGGGTGAGAATATCCGCGTTGTGTTTGCCGCCAATATCCGATCGGCTGTTTGCTTTCGTGTTTATGACGAGTATCTACGCTGCATGGGTCCGTCGGCCGTAGAACTGTGCATCTGACCACAAAAAGAGCTCACGCGATTCTGCAGCTCAAAGGCCGAACATTTGCGTCCCTGGTTTCTGTTCGCAAGGGCGGTTCGTACTTGTTAAGATCCGCCAGGGCCGGGGGATCGTCGAACATCAGCCCAAGTTGTGCCGATGTGAGTGTCATCTGGTCGGCTTGTTGGCTCCAGGGCCCAATGGGCATCGCGGAAGTATATGTCTGCCCATTGAACCACGAATCATCTGGGAGACGCGCGCGGACCACGAACGCGCGTGCCTGGCGTCTTATCCTCGCCGTCCGTGTTTTGTCATTCAATCTTGTCGTTCGTTCTCTTGATCAGTCAGTGGGAGCTGCGCCGTGCAGCGGGGCTACGGTGCCTGGTGAGCACTTTGCTGTGTATGCTCACGCTGTCGGCTCCCAGTCAGCGGCTTCGTGTCAATGCAGTGGCTACCGCGCGCGATGGTGCGAACTGACAAGCGAAAGCTTGTTCTGGACCTGGTGCTTTTGAACCGGGATGGATCATGGCCGTGGTTCCACCGGCACAACACAGCACCAGGTCCAGCAATCGCGCTGCTGAGTATTTTCGTGAGTGTACAAGGTGAACATAATGACGTACGGAAAGCGAGCGGCTCCTGCCTTCTCGCTCTATCTAGCTACCGCGTTGTCCTGAATCTAGTGACGAAATCCATATATTCGTCAGTACACTCTCGATCTTGATCCTTTCTACCATGCAATATGGACCAGTGGATTGACATCTTAGACAGCGCCTTGAGGCGGAAGCGTCCGCACACGGGAAGCCGGACTTCACAGCGTGCCTGCTCGTCTTAGCTGGGACTGCTAATGCCAGGCCGGGTTCGTATTGTGCCCCGCAGAACGATATTTCCGCGTCATGTTCATTTAAAAGCCCCGCCCCGTTCCTGGTCAAAACATAGCATGTGCGTGATGAGGCTGTCCATCGCGCGCTCGACCGTAATGACCGATGTCATCGCTGGGGCTGGTGCTAGGAGGGGCAGGGTCCGACCAAAGTTTGACTGCGTCCAGACAGCCTCGTGCCTAGCCTGCTTAAACCCCTTTCCGAGTACGCAGAATCATGCTGTGCGCACGGAGATAATCATAGGCCTAAGTAAGGTTTCTAGGAATGCATAAAAGCACGCAGATAGCCTGTATGGAAGGCAGCACAGTGCCCTTCAACATCTAGCCTCTCCATCCTCTCCGACCTCTCGCACATACATTTCAGCATGTTCGCCCACCTCCCCTTCACCACTCTCGGTGCACTGGCTCTAGCAATGCTTGCTCAGGCCAACCTTTCCTCCCATCACCGTCGCGGCTCACTCACGGGCCAGTCTGTCGCGTTTGCGTGCTACGGCGGCGGTGGTGACTGCGAATGCCCCACCGATCTCACCGGCGACAGCGCAGGCGTGCTCATCAACGTTTACCCCGGCTACCAGTGCGCGTACGCCGGGGGCGCCTGCACCTGGGACGATAAGGTATGTATTTTTCGTCTCGAGCACAAAGTCTTGACATTGACCTTCCCGGTTCCTGTGCTACAGACCGGCGCTCTGCAGAACGTGGATCAGACGAATTGCCCGACGGTCGCGGCATGCAGCACTTCTGGCGGCTGCGAGTGCCCGACGGACCTAAACGATGACACTGGCGTTCTCATTAACCAGTTCACGGGCTACCAGTGCGCGTACACCAATGGCGCGTGCACCTGGGACTACGTGCGCGGCCAGTTAGAGATCTCATTTGTGCTCAGACACTGACGCATGATTTTGTGTAGACCGGAGCCCTGCAGAACACTGCTCAGACGAACTGCCCGACGTCGGCGCCTTGCGCCCAGCTCGCTGGGGACTCTTAAAGAATGAGCGTGAACTATAATAGACTGTCTATTGTCCCGTCTGCGATGATGATCTAGATACCGGTTGGATTTTACTTAATGGGTTGACACTTATCGGGCAGATGCTGTATGTACAACGTACGGCAATAGATGGTGCCGTGTATTCTCGTTTGGGGCTATCCTACACATCTTTGTTTGACGACAGACCCATGATCATGCCTTAGGCACATTGCAGCGACTCCGTGTGAGTTGGCTAATCGCCATGGCATGTTTTTTATTTTTATTTCTTACAAACATCCTCCCGAGACGAAGCGCACGACGGCGGTACTCCCTCTGCAGTGCCACACGCGCGTTACGCGACTTGTGTATATTAGTCACATGACCGCGTCCCGAAGCCGCTAAGTGTCAAGGATAAGCTAAGATCATTACGTGATGTCTACAGTACGTTGTCTAGCTGTAATCTGGTTCTTCGCCACATCCGCTTGGGGCCCAAGCTCAAGGCCGACAATCAGGCTGTCTGGTTGAAGTTGCTTGATGATATCTGGTTCGGCGGGCATCCAAGCCGATTAAGACGGACATCAATTGCAAAGACATATATTCAAACACAAAGCACATTCAATAAATAGCATTGAGGTTCACATCTACGCTGACCACCGCTTGCCTTCGCCAGCTGCAATACTGCAAGCCTAGTTCTGCACCCACTTCCCACTCGCCAGTCGGCGTACGTCGGCGAATCCTTGAGCCAGCGCACAAGCTTGTTTCGGCGCACCTTCACACCCTTATCCGTCGACTCGATCTTGACCTTCTTCCCATCGACGAGCTCCCACTTCTGCTCCTTCACGGTCACGAGGCCCTCCTTGAGCTCGCTCTCGCCGAGGATCACTTTGCTGTGTATGCTCACGCTGTCGATTCCCAGTCAGCGGCTTCGTGTCAATGCGCGATGGTGCGAACTGACAGGCGAAAGCTTGTTCTGGACCTGGTGCTTTCGAACCGGCATGGATCATGGCCGTGGTTCCACCGGCAAAACACAGCACCAGGTTCAGCAGTCGCGCTGCAGAGTATTTTCGTGAGGTGTACAAGGTGTACACGATGACGTACGGAAAGCGAGCGGCTCCTGCCTTCTCGCTCTATCTAGCTACCGCGTTGTCCTGAATCTAGTGACGAAATCCATATATTCGTCAGTACACTCTCGATCTTGATCCTTTCTACCATGCAATATGGACCAGTGGATTGACACCTTAGACAGCGCCTTAGGGCGGAAGCGTCCGCGCACGGGAAGCCGGACATCACAGCGTGCCTGCTCGTCTTAGCTGGGACTGCTAATGCCAGGCCGGGTTCGTATTGTGCCCCGCAGAACGATATTTCCGCGTCATGTTCATTTAAAAGCCCCGCCCCGTTCCTGGTCAAAACATAGCATGTGCGTGATGAGGCTGTCCATCGCGCGCTCGACCGTAATGACCGATGTCATTGCTGGGACTGGGGCTAGGAGGGGCAGGGTCCGACCAAAGTTTGACTGCGTCCAGACTGCCTTATGCCTAGCTTGTTTAACCGCCTTCCCAAGTGCGCGGAAGCATGCTGTGCCCACAAGGGAGATCGTAGGCCTAAGTAAGGTTTCTAGGAATGCCTAAAAGCACGCAGATAGCCCGTGTGGAAGGCAGCACAGTGCCCTCCAACATTCAGCCTCTTCATCCTCTCGGACTTCTCGCACATACATTTCAGCATGTTCGCCCACCTCCCCTTCACCACTCTCGGTGCACTGGCTCTGGCGATGCTCGCTCAGGCCAACCTCTCCTCCCATCACCGTCGCTCACTCACGGGCCAGTCTATCGCGTTTGCGTGCTACGGCGGTGGTGGTGACTGCGAATGCCCCCCTGATCTCACCGGCGGCGCAGGCACGCTCATCAACGTTTACCCCGGCTTCCAGTGCGCGTACAAGGGGGGCGCCTGCACCTGGGACGACAAGGTATGTATTCTCCGTCCCTCGGGCATGAAGTCTCGATATTGACATTCCCCATTCCTGTACTGCAGACCGGTGCTCTGCAGAACGTAAATCAGACGAATTGCCCCACGAAGGCGGCATGCAGCACGTCTAGCGGGTGCGAGTGCCCGACGGACCTGAACAATAACACTGGCGTCCTCGTCAACCAGTTCGCGGGCTACCAGTGCGTGTACACCAATGGCGCATGCACCTGGAACGCCGTACGCAGCCAGTCAGAGATCGCATTTGTGCTCAGACACTAACAGACGATCTTTTGCAGGCCGGAGTCCTGCAAAATACCGGTCAGACGAACTGCCCGACGAACAAGACTTGCTCCCAGCTCGCTGGAGACTCGTAAAGGACGAGTGTGAAACATGGATTATGATAGACTGTCTGCTGTCCCGTCTGCGATGACGAACTAGATTCCGGGTGATTTTTACTTCATGGGTTGACATTGATCGGGACGATGCTGTATGTACAACGTACAGCGATAGATGGTGCCGTGTATTCTCAGACCCAGTGCTATGCCTTAGCCACATTGCAGCAACGCTGTGTGAGCTGGCTAATCGCCATGACGTAGATTTTGTCTTTATCTACTATCAACGTCCTCCTGAGATGAAGTGTACGGTGACGATAGTCCTGCTGCAATGCTACACGCGCGTTGCGCGACATGTGTATATGGTCACATGACCGCGTCCCGAAGCCGCGAAGTATAAGTGTCTAGGAGAAGCTGAGGTCATTATGTGACATCTACAGTACCTGGTCTAGATGTAATCTGGTTCCTCACTACATCAGCTTGGGCCCAGGGCCGACATCCAGGCTGTCTAGTTGAAGAAAGTTGATTAACGATGTTTCGGCGTGCATTCAAGCCCACTGAGATGGACAGCAATTGCAAAGACGTATATTCCAAACACAAAGCACATTCAATAAATAGCGTTGAAGTTCACATCTACGTTGACCACCGCTTGCCCTCGCCAGCTGCAACACTGCAAGCCTAGTTCTGCACCCACTTCCCGCTCGCCCAGTCGGCGTACGTCGGCGAATCCTTGAGCCAGCGCACAAGCTCGTCTCGGCGCACCTTCACACCCTTGTCTGTCGACTCGATTTTGACCTTCTTCCCGTCGACAAGCTCCCACTTCTGCTCCTTCACGGTCACGAGGCCCTCCTTGAGCTCGCTCTCACCGAGGATCACTGCGAATGGCACCTCGTCGCGCTCGCCCGCCGCGAACTGCGTCGGCAGCTTCGGCTTGTTCTTGAACAGGAAGTCCGTCGGGAGTCCCGCCACACGCAGCTCGCGTGCGAGCGAGATGCGCTCCCCGAGCAGCCCGTCGCCTGCCGCCATCACGTACACCATCGTCGCCTTGCTGCGCATGCCCTTCGCGACCCACTTTGGCCACACGATCGCGAACACACGGTCCAGCCCAATGGATACACCAATACAGGGCAGCCCTGCCGTCTTCTTTCCCTCGCCTGCCGCCGCGGCTGTGAACATGCCTACGAGATTGTCGTATCGCCCGCCGGCGGCGATCGAACCAACGCCCACCTGCGACTCGTCGATCTCCTCTTCCTCATCGTCGGCGGAGCTCTTCTTCGCCTTCTTCTTTGGTGCGGGGGCAGGCGCAGGAGCGGCGGAAGAGTCGACGGTAGACACAGTAGAGGAGGTTGAGGCGAAGGCATTCGCCGCTTTGAACCCAGGCGGCGCGGATGCTTCGACAATGGCTTCATAAATGATGCCAGTGTAGTAGTCGAGGCCGCGCGCTAGTGACATATCGAAGGAGAGCTGCAACGAATGTCAGCATATCCTAGCAATCGCTCAGAACGCCAGGTCCACCTTATCGATGACTTGGTACGCCTGTAGATAGGTAAAGAGGATACCCATCTCCTGAATGCCCTGTTTCGCGCTCGCGTTCGCCATCAAAGCCTCATCCGCCTTCAACTGCTCTAGCAGCGTAGGCCCTCCCTTATGCTTCACGTACTCGCCGATCTTGTCGGCGACGGCGGGGTCCAGCCCCTTTTCGTCCGTCATCTCCTTCTTCACGTCCACCCACGCCATCTTGTCCAGTTTGTCTACCGCAGAGGAGATCGTGCGGATCTTCTCTGATGGGACGCCACACACCTCGAATATACCGTCGAGAATTTTTCGGTGGTTAATCTGCGCTGGTATCAGCACCGACAAGCAAATAATAGTATTCCGCATACCTTGACTGTGAATTCGCCAACGTCTAGTCGTGTAAGGATGGTGCACAGAAGGCTGATCAGTTCAGCGTCGGGGATCATGGGATCCCAGACACCAGAAATATCGAAGTCCTAGAGCATCGCACGTAAGTCTCTGGGTTATCGTGGACCATCCTGCAAGCGCTGTGTGCTGCACGTAATGACTAACAAGAAAGATATTCTACGGCATGTTCCCATATTACAGACGAGTGACCCCAGTTAGATTTGACAAAACATCGAAGAGTCTGTACACCGCTTGACATAATTAAAGGCCTGTTGCCTAAGGTTTTCACGATGCCGTGGTCGCAAAACCTCCGGGCAGCAGCACCAATCCATGTTTTGGCATGTATAGTTTCGTGATCCGGGCGTCTTGTTTTATGTGTACATTTTAGACGCGCTGTCGTTGGAGAGAAATGGAACGAGAACACAGAAAGGCGTGGATTCGCTCCACGTCGTAGAACACAGAAAGCATGCCACAAAACAACGCGACATATGCGGCCTCTGCTTGGCGCTGCGCGGATATCATTGCAGCAGAGCTCGGGAACCATCGGGTGGCGCGAGAGATCTAACAGAAAGAAGGGTGGATGAAACTCACTGCTTGTGAGAACTCCCGCATACGGCCTTTGGACATGACGGGATTATCTCGTCGGTAGACCTTGCCGACCTGCCAGAGTTTCGACTGCATATTGACGGCGCCGTTCATCGCCAGGTAGCGTGCGAGTGGGACCGTGTGGTCATACCGCAACGCAAGCTGCTCGCCACCCTGATCCATCAGGTCGAAGATGAGCTTCGCGTCCTCGCCATACTTGCCCGCAAGGATGTCTTTGCGCTCGAAGACGGGCGTGTCGAGGCAGCCACCGCCGTACATCGTGAAGCATTCCTTGACGGTGCGCTCGATGTGCTCGCGACAGAACATCTCGTTCGGGCCATAGTCGCGCGTGCCCTGCGGGCTTGCATGAGTTTGAGCGGCCTGCGACGCGGAGCGGTGGGCGGGCGCACCTTGGGTGTCTTGAGCAGCAGGCGTTCCTTCTTTTTCCCGCCGTCTTTCACTCCTCCAGAAGCTTGCAAGTGCAGCTGCGCGAGCGCGCGCTGGAGATCTCCGAGCTTCTTCTTCGCCTCGTCTACGGTGGCGGCGTCGGCCTGCTGTTTTCGGAGGTCATTGAGGAGCACCTTCTGCTGTGCGATCTCCTGGTTGAGGGATTCGGTGCCGGAGGTCGCCATTGATAGCGTGCGGGTCGTGTATTTCGTTAAGGTAAGTCTAGGGGAGGGAAATCGATGAGCGGGGAAGGCAAGAGCGCGTCTCGCGAGGACAAGCATTCAGAGGCAGTAATAATTTCTGCGCGTGACGTCCTTCAACGCTGACTCGATCGCGATCGTGATTTGATCCAATCGGCTGTGTGCTCAGCAGCGGATTCCTGTGTCCTTTGCGTTTCGTGTCCTGATGCTACAGCCACGGCCGGATGGCTGGCCGGAACTTAGACGTATACATCGAGTTAACCAAGTTGAGAAATTGCAAGCCAATGGCTATTTTTTGGATGCTTCTCTAGCGTAGATCAAGCACACATCTCGTCTAACTCTCCCATTTCCACTCGTCCAAAGGTCGTAGCATTGGGTCTCATCACGATTGCCGAGAAATCCCCCACGGTCATCACGCCACCATCACATCCGCTTTTCGTTTACCGCAGCTGCCTCGACCCACTCTCCGCTCCTGTCCTTCTTCCGCACCGTGAAGCACGCGATCCCCAGGAAGTTCGTGATGTCGCGGATGACAAGCGTGCAGAAGCGCGCGTACGAGAGGAACGCGACGGCGAGCGTCAGGTAGACGAATAGCGCCGTGCTGCGGAACGTGGATTGGATCACCGGCGGTCTGCAGCACACTATCAGCATCTTCTGCACGACACATATGTATAGCAGAAGAGCAGGGAATGAAACCATACCTGTCCAGGAGATGCGGTAGATTTGCGTCGATAGCACCTACGATGCTCCACACCCACATCGCATCCCACCACGGGAACGGCTGCTTCGTGACGTGTGCGAGGATCATACGCGACACTTGGTGCGCGAATTGCAGGCCCCATGCACACATGAACGGCATGAACACCGGTGAGCGCAGGATCGTCGACTCGCGGAACGTCGGCGCACCGAGCCATGCAAGCTCGAGCGCAACTGAAATCGGGAACGGTAGTAGGAACACCAACGGGGAAAACGGGTTCTGTTTAGACGCTATGCGAGCCCCAAAGACGTTGATGTAGCTAGCAGCGAAGGATCAGAATTTCGGCATGGCAGCAGCATGAGTGGGCACATACCTGACAAGAATGTTGAATGCGAGGCCGAAAGCGCCGAACACCATGAACGCCTCGTTCAGTGCGATGTTGGGGATCTTATCTGCAATGGCTGGTACATTCTCCAATCTCGTGAATGTCAAGAATGGCTGGTCCCAGAAAGAAGGACCTATGGGGTTGTTGAGTATTGAGGAAATGCTGCAGCCTGCCACGACCATCTCACACTCACCGAATATGCCAGTCACAAGATATATCACGACAATCATGAGTATGCCCTCAACTGGCCCTGAGAAGTAGCCTAAGAAAAGCTGGCCTGTTTGGTGCACACAGTGTAAGTATGGCTGCTGAATAAGCATCGAATAGTTTGGCACGACTTCACACCAGTGTGATACTCCTCCCATGTCGAAAGATAGAAATTGGCCAGCGTCGCGATCTGCGATGCGACGGTCCACCATGACCGTCCGAGGTTCAGTGCTCTGCAAGCAAGGATCGCCTCGAGCTGTGAATCGCGCGTCCGATCAATCATTGACGGAAATCGGGATTCGTCAAAGGACACCTACCGTCGTGTTCAGTGCATCACAGCCTATCCGTTCTGATCAGGTACAAACAGCAAGGTATGTTGACACTGGCATACCATGGTCAAACATCTCTCCTAGGGGACCAGCCATGCCTGTCCTTCTTGCCTGTTTCCTGTGTCATGGTCAATTGATGGCAACGATATGCAGAACGGACGAGATATTACCCGTCTATTGCGTCAAAGGTCTGATACAGGAATAGCCCTGCTGCCCATCTAGCATGATCTAGCATCAGCAATTACGTCTTCATTTATGTGCTGTAGAAGAGAACACTTACGTGAGGTATATCCATCGCGGGGGCCCAGCGCCCTCGTGGTCAGTTAGATACGCGGGGTCGAAGTATACAAGGGTGGCAAAGTTTAGGAGCACTAAGCTCAGCCCAGACAGGGTGATCTGCGATGAGTCGTCAGTCCTCACGGACGAATGCAAGCGGGATGCTAGCAGCGCCCATACCGTGTTTGGTGCGACCCATGTCGGCCATAGCGTCACGAACCAGTTCCAAAATGGCTGGAGGAGGTACCGCGAGGTTAAAGATCTGCCGCACAGATGCTGCGCTCAGCCACTGGGTCCGTGGACGTGCTGGGCATCGCGACATACTTATCGACCCCTTTGTAGGAGTATTTTCGCAGGTTTTCGAGTGCGTGCTGGGAGATGTAGCCCATTGTCGTCAACTAGCCGTGTTTAACGTATGGCTAGATCGTGTAGAAGAGACGACGGTGGTTAGATTAGACAGAGGTAAACATGCATGCGATTGCCAGCTGGCTGGCGGGGGAGAACGCACAGTAACACCGTCGGCGAATTGCTGAGCGCGTCGCGTCGCGCTATGTCACACGCACGTGTGTCGGGGACTCAAATTAGGTCTCGAGTTCGAGGCCTTGAGGCTCCGAGTTAAACAAGCATTGCTTTGCGTGACACTGATAGAACTTCGTCTGCTTTTAAACCCGAATCACTTGCGCCGGACTACGTTCATGCAATACTAGTCGAATACTATGACCAGTCCGCCTCCTCAGATACTAACGGCGGAGAAGGTTAACCACCCAATCAGGACTCAGGATTCGGGCATCATCCCAATTACACCTATCATCAAATTCAAAGTGTATGGCCTTGATGAATCCTCATATCCTCTTCTGAAGTAATACCGCATCGATGGAGCGACAGCTGCTAACTGACGGACAGCTCAACTAGCTACGAATCATATACGCTGTGTCCACGAGCTGACTCCTGGACTCAAGGAAGGAAGTTGTGTGTATTTGGCACCTCGGATGACAAGAGCACACATACCCTGGACATCTCCCAAGGAGATGACAGCCGTCTCACTCATCGATATGACAGACACCAGCGTAGCGCGGCATCTGCAGCGTCCTAATATCTATCTTACATTGAACTTGAACAACGACATAACCAATCGGTACGAACCTGCCTCACATTCTCCATGTCCAAGTACGGATGCGGCAGCATGCATAGCACAGATTTTGAACATCCTTCGCCTGCTTGATTCGTGGCATGTGCATACGAAAGCCCATTCTTTAACGTTACATTATTCTTACTCAGACATTCGAGTGGCGGTGCCTCCCGGACCCTATGATCGACTGCGTGGCTCAGTGGCGGATCGCCCACGCGGCAACCGCCATTGAGCCACCCTTGCTATTGCCTTGCTACATCGCACAATGAACGCTTCTCACGGGTGGCGTCCTCAGCCACAAGAATGTGTGTCCGCATGTCGCGGGGTATATAATGTTAGCCATTGACCATCCCTTCCCCAGCTCTATCCCGATATCCACCACTGCCTCTGGCGCATATCATTCGCGCTTCAACACGACTATATCCTTCCCTCTCTTCGTCACATACCACCAAAGCACTACACAAAGGCGACGCCACCCTCTACCAATGTCCACGCAAGTCGTCTGCCCCACGTCCTCATCGGTCCGCCACATTAAACCCATCAGCGTGACGCGCTCACGCAAGTCGATCATCCTACATGAGGATAAATGGATTCAGAGCGACCTCAAATACCTCCCTGCTGTCTCGCGCGATGATCAGGCTGCGGCCATCGCGCTGGCGTCGATCGCCGAAGCACCTGTCCCTCGCGCGGTGGCCCACCACGCCGTCCGGCAGGCCCAGGATGCCACATCAAATCTTGCTGATGCCAGCCCCAGGTCTGCAGCGTCGGCGGATTTACTGGAGCCCACAGGATCAAAGGTGACGCAGCCAAACAAAGGCAAGGCAAGGGCCACGCGGTCTCCGTCCTCAACGAGTAGTGGCTTGAGCAGAAAGGCCAGCCACCGAGGGCCAGGCAAGGAGGCGCGCGAAAAGCAGGATGCTATTCGCGAGCAATGGAAGGCTCGTGCAAAAGCAATCGAGACGCCACGCGGTACGCAGGCGAACGACTTCCATCTATTCGTGATGAGCTGGGTGCGAAATGAGGTGACGCCATACCCAGACGATGCATGGGCAGCCCTTGTGGCCATCGCCATAGACAGGTACGTCTGTGTTGACCTTGGGCTGAGTATAATGTATGTGGCGGGCTCGCTTATGGGAGTTTGTCTGGGTGCGTCAGGTCGTTCGTGCAAGTCAAGCACTGGTTCAGCAACCAGCGGCAGGTGGCTGCGCGGAAGGGCACGAGTCGACTAGAAGATGTAGAGACGGTGACTGTCGATGGTCGTTCGTTCCGTCTGTGGCGAAAGGTTGTTGAGAGCAGTGGCCCATGGAGCGATGAGCACTTCGACGCTGCTTTGCAGGAGGTGATCCGTGGGCAGCAAGCGAAGTACGAGGCACAGCTTGCCGCGATGATCTAGTCGCGGAGCACAAAAGCCACTCATATCTGACCTCTTGCCTTGTATGTATGCATATACCTGGATGTTCTGTTTGCACACCTCAAAGTAGCGTATAGTAGGTAATCTCTTGGAGTAAAATAGGGTAACTATACAGCATCCATAATCATGCGGACATCCATTGACCACGGGGTGACTCCGGCCAAATTTGCCCACACCACGGTGGATTGCACCCGTCGCTCACATTGTCGAGGCGATATGGGTGACTATGGACTGTGATGGCTAGGACAAGCATTGTCACAACGTAGCTTATGCATATGCATGTAGTATGTAGGATGCGTTCGTCCAAGCTCGCGACCAACTCGCGACTAAAGGCGAAAGCAAAGGGCCCTCCGACGGTGTCCAGAACTGATGTAGGGCCATTGTGCCACGGTGATTCAATGTTCGGTGCTCAAAATAGTCCATGTGGCCCCGCATTGAAACCCCTTCCCATTGTCACCAATCAATCACGTTGTGGGGATGTTAGACAGTTTGGCAGTTCTAATAATGTCGTTGCCCCAGAAACCATGTTCATTCAATTTAGTCGTGATTTCGAGTTTGAAATTGATGGCTACAGTGCAATGTGGGGAAACACGTCGAACAAAGAAGATCAGAAGCTCCAGCGATCTATAATTATCGACCGGTTGCTGTGAGGGCTGCAACCCAGCTGTGTGGTCTCTTGCGATCGACTCCCTAGCATGAACAAGTTGCACTGCACGAAGCCAGAACACTCATTTCCCCGAAGTCTTCTTTGACTTAGGCGAAACCGTCCTTCAGCGTCAATCTCGAGCTTGCACAGCAGTCTGATATGCCAAGAACCTCCGTCACATTTTCAAAATATGTCCTAGTAAAAGTCCCGAAATGAATGTAGCCAAGGAAATAACCGACATCCCTTCCCCCGCATCTCCAGAGCAGTGAACCTAGAGCACCAAGCCGGCAAGCAGCCCCGCGAGTCCCAAGATGGCTCCAGCGCTGCCAGCCCGAAGCACACCTGCACCGCTAGCAGTAGACGTGGTGCTCGGTGGCGCGGTCGATGATGAGCTCGAGCTACTCGCAGTCGACGACGAGCTCGACGTCGTGTTGGCGTTGGTTGCCTTAGCGGCCGTCTGGAACGCCTCGAATGTCTTTGCTCCCGTGATAGGCGCATTCACCGCGAAAACCATACCCTGCTCGCAGTGTCTGCGCTCACACAAACGGGCATTAGATAAAGTACTTTGTGAAGGTCTACATCAGAGCACGTACCCAGGATGCCGGCAGTAGAACCAAAGCGGCGCGCTGGTGTCATTAATGGCAAAGCTGAACGTTGCGGGGTCGGATTCTGTTCCAGGCTTGTAGCCCGAGTCTACACCGGCACTGCCGTTGGCGGCCTTGAACAGGCTGCAGGGCGTAGCGAACGACGACTGCGTGATTGTGTGGTTGCCGGAAACGCTGTAAGTGACGCGAGGATAAGCGCGATACATGGGCGTTGAACAAGGCTGTGCACTTACAAACTGAAATCAAGAGTGTCTCCGACGGTCGCGTTGATACTATATTGAGTATGAAGTTAATAATGTAGTGCTTGGTTGATGGTACGCTGATAAGACATACCTGTCTGGCGTGAACGTCAAGGTACCATTTAACCCAACAGTGATGGTGTGGGTGGCGGCAAGGGCAGCACCGACGGGGAGGAGGGCAGCGATGGCAGTCAAGAAATGCATGTTAGACTAGCTACGATTGAAAAAACTGAAAGGTGCCGAGTCTTACACAAGGTCGTTAGCGTTACAACTCTCCGCCGAGACGCTGAACTGACCTTGCTCGTCAAAGCCCACAATTAGGGGAAGGTTAAAATCAAAGGGAGGGCGAAAATGCGTTGGTGGGGTTGTTGAGACCCTATGGGCATCTTATAGGCATGCTCACAGCTTATGCGAGACACAGAAGATCACATGAACAAACAAAATGCTCTGCAGACGCCTTGGTGTGGGGACGGTGGATCTATACCTGGTCGTGATAGTTACACACTGTCAAGGTCTGTAACAATGAGATCAGACACCGAGACCACACGTCGGGCGTGCATAGCAACGCTGTTCATCTCGAGAACGGGATTATGGCTAAGATCTATTTTTGGAAGGGATATAGATTTCTCTTTGGTAACGCGGGATCCAATGAGGTGAGGAGCATAGTTGCCAGTGGGACGATGGCATAGCTCGTACCTCGAGATGTCAAAAGAATGATAGGCGGCGTTTCGAGATGAGCGGATTGTGCGGGAACAGATTACTCAAGTAAGATAATATGTTATACTTGTTGTGGTGCTTCCTTTCCAAATTTCCCAAAGAGCCCAGGCAAGGCGACGTTGCTTCAGCCATTTGTACGCGTCCAGAAAAGCAAACTTGGTTAACATCAACTTTGAGTCATAGCAAAACTATCAGCTATCACAGACTGAAAATAGGGCCGCTTTAGACTGCTGTGCTGCAATTTGAAAGAGAAGGTTGTTGGTGACAGATGGTGGTAGGCGGGCAATGCAATGCGGTCGTAGCAGTGACAAGCGATACCGGTAAAACCCGGGAGCGTTCGAAGAGGTAAATAAGCTTCCCTATTTAGTATCGTTCGCTACCGGTGACGACAGGTATCCGTTACATCCCTATCCGTTACATTCCAGTGAGATGCTCGTCTGAGACCATCGATCACCCACGAACTTGACACTTGGCAGACCAGATTCTGGACCAGAGTAGCCCCACCTTTATTGTCTCGCATGGTGCTCTGTACAATGGTCAGGCTTGTTGTGGCAGATGATGACGAGACAGCGATGCACCGCCTGAGGTCCTCATCTACGGTACCTGTGTTTGCATCGCAATCATTAGCGATATATGAAATCCTGCAGGCTGCAAAGGGCTTTTTTACAAACTGAGGACGTTGTAGTAATACTAGTATTCTCTTCAGGTAGGATATATTTCCTGGTTCACATCCGAAGGGCCATGTACAGGTCATCCTGGTTTACTGGGCCAGTTCCACCCCACCTGCATCAGCCGCTTATGCACTACGCGAGCATCCTTCAGGACCCCCGCTCGAAGGCAGCATAAACGTGGAGAGGATCAACTTTTCTGGCCCGAACCAATGACGATAATATATCTATTACTCTTTATATGATTCAATGCTATGCTCCTGCATATACGGATAATTACGAGGATCCCTGCATTGTACAATTCCAAAATATATAATTATACCATGATTATGATGCTCCATTGCACCTGCTGCATAAGCTACACCTAGGTCCTGATGAAGAGTACTATGGTCCCAGGGTTGATAGCGTTAATTATGCACCTTATCTCACTGTGGAATGACAATGTCTTACTACCAGAAGCGAATGCTTCCTGGTGCGAAACCATTGGCCATCCGTAACATGCTGATTTGGCCAGTAAGACTCGAGAACTGGTAATTGTAGTCAGCTTGTGCAGTCATCTTGTATCAATATATGTGAGGTACGCACCCCGTTCCCAATAAATACCTGTGCGCGCTGCCCGATGAGCATGTCCACCGCCTGTTTCACGTACTTCTGCTCCGCATTCACTATGATATCCCTACTCGTCGCGATGCTATCCCAGTGTCCCTCGCGCGCCAGTGCGGCCTTCAGCTGCTGAACCCATGGCTCTTCGCCGTTTGTCATGACATACATATGTCTCAGACCTTGCCCCGCCTCCGATCTCCTGACCTCCTGGACCTTCCGCACGATCTGCGCGATCTCGGGGTAGCAGTGCGATTGGTAAATATTCTTGCGATCAGCCCCCTTCGTGTCCGGCGGGACTTGCAGCGTGTCCGGGAATGAGTGGAAGCTGTTGAAGCCGACGTATGTCGAGCCCCACTCCGCGAGACCCCTGCAGTGCGCTGCAAAGTCACCGCGCCTGACGTGCAGTGCGAGCAGGCCGGGAATCGGAGTGTATCGCGCGACGTGCGTCGTCACCGGCTCGGCAGTAAGGTAGGACTCAAGCACAGCTGTTGGCGCGAATACCTCACGGTTCTGATCAAATGCGAGCTCGATGAGGGACGACCAGCCGAACTCGGTGAGCACGGGGCTCGCGGAAAGCGAGGGCCAGATGGCCAGGAGGCGATCTCGATTCCCGAAGACGCTGCATTGAGATAAAAAGTTAGAGCAAGAGAGACATGGACGTGGGACACACGAACAATATGTCGAAAATGGGGCTAGAGTCCTGAGGGACCTCAACGCACGGGTCCTCGGTAGATGTGAGCACCTCGACCCAGGCATCGAGGAGCTCTTGGGCGGATGGTTCCCTGTCAAAGCGCGAGACAACATCCGCATTGCGAATCAACTTTGGATGTGGGCACACTTTGTCCCAATACTCTTTCTTGACCGCAAGCGGCGCCTCAGCGTCCCCTGTTATTGAAGCTCCCGCAGAAGGGCCTGTAACTCTCTAATCAATTTGAGAAGTATACCAGAAAACAGGATTCCATACCTCTTATCAATGCAGACACAGGAATAGTGGAAGGAATGGATGATCCATGGAAATTCGAATACGGTTTACCGGAGTCATCCCACGTATAATTTGTGAAAACAAAGCTAAACGTCACACATGTCATCAGCTAGAATCGTCGATCTGTGTTACAAGAGACTTACGAACGCCCAGCCTTAAGAGCCAACTGGTGGTTGAGTAACATCTCCTGCATTACATTCCCCCACCCGACCCCTACGCTGGTCAGAAACTTCAGTGTACACATGAGAGCCAAACGGCTAACCGCGAGCATGGTTGGCAACCCATAGATATTTCCTGTCGCTATGTGACAACGAATAGTTGGCCTGATGTTGAGGCAACTGCAGTTCGTATCGGTGAAATCGATCATATAGCGGAGGCAGATCCTCAATCGGGCTCCAGGCGATGTAAGGTAGACGCAGTGGGAGCCCAGCAGCAGCGTTGCGGTATATTCGTGAAGCGATAAACGCGGTCGTGAGTAGCACAGTCAGTGCAGCAGCGAGTTTTGTCCATGTCCTTCCCGATAGCCCACATGACGGTCTACGTTTTCGTGAAGCATGCGCATCATTACCGGGTAAAGTCCCAGGGAGTTGTTCGTACCACGAATACCTCCCAGAGAGCCTTTTGAGGGAGAGCCACATCGTCTATAAGCAGAAAGGATGAAAGAAAAAGGAAACGTGGCGAGTGAAACATGTTCACTGCGGGCGCGGTGTGCGTCAATATAGACGCTACAATGCCCCACATTGAGACAGTAGTTTGAATAATCCTACGCCAAAGCCGGACGTGACCGCGGGCTGTGCCCGATGATCAGAGAAAGCGGTATAGTCAACCGGTCCTGGGAAGGGAGTTGTTCTACCCCTACAACCACGAGCACTCGGTGGAAATGCACCTAAATTGGCACACACGCCAGGGAGGGCTGCGTGCGGGCATGGAGAAGTCACTAAGTAGCATGAGCACACAGCAGCACCGAGTACAACTCACCGTCATACATATCACAAGAAACCGTACACATGCCCCGGGCGAGGCGCGCTACTAGCGCTGCCAAGGACGTCAGTTCATCAAAATACTGCGCCACCCCAAAAACAATACACCTCGGAGCACACCCATCATCTAGGCTTTGGAAAACACGTCCATCAGCCGAATCGGAACCGCAATTGTGGCTGGCAGTAGCAAGCGGCGTCGGATCTCAAGCGAGAACAGGGTTCTTACGGTCACGTTACCGCGACGTGACATAGCCGCGCTTCGAGCGGCGCAAGGTATGATTTCATTCACGCTAGCTGCTAAGTTCGCAACCCTGACGACTGCATAGGACGATCCGGGATGCTAGAAAAATGACATCGCGTTCCTACTTCAGCGCCGCGTTCTGTTTACTTTCAGCGCTGTTAGTTTCGGGGCTTGACTGTGCAATGAAACGATCAAGACTGAGCTGTGCGCGTTGTGTTTCGTGAGAGCACAGCGAAAACTCTGGGTAGGCGGTATAAGGTTAATGAAATGATACAACACGGAGGAAACTCCACCTGTGTATAAGGCGTCTCAGTCCTATGGCAAACCTTATCCCCCGCCATCTTTGATATTCAGGGTCTATTCATATTGCTTGTCTGCCCCAAACCTGTGGCGCATTTACGTGTCACAGAGTGGCATATCTCTATATGTACACCTCTCCAGCCATGATATGGCCAGTAAATGTCCAAGCCCAGCCGCGAGGCTGGACAGACTGAAGGGCGATTTTGGCACGTGAGATAGAGAAATCATGATACAATCATGACTTACGAGCGTCCGATGTCCACAGCGCAGATGTAGCATTCTGCTTTTTATAGGCCTAGGGACAGCATGTCACGAACATTTGTCGTGATGGTGATGGAGCACATCGCTGTTGTTTGACAAAACACCACTTCATTGGTTCCGCGCCAAAATACAACATCACATTACAGTCTATTATATCAGCAGTGGACTTCTCAGCATACACTTCGCGATTCGATCCTTTTTACTTCTTGAGCAGCGCCGGCGCCGTGAGGCCCGCAGACAGGCCCTTCTCTCCTGCGTACACACCATTGCCGAGCTCCTCCCTGCAAGCACAAAGCCATCAGCAAGCTGTGCAAGGGGAGCACATGAACAAGAGATACTCACTCGATGCGGAGAAGCGCGTTGTACTTCGCGACACGCTCGCTGCGCGCGGGCGCACCGGTCTTGATCTGACCGACACCGAGGGCGACGACGAGGTCCGCGATGACTGTGTTCTCCGTCTCACCGCTACGGTGGGAGACCATGACACCCCAGCCGTCGGACTGTGCGAGCTGCGCACTATGCCACGCAAATGACGTGAGTCAGCAGGTCCCAGGAACAGGGTAAACCGTACTCACGCCTGGATCGACTCCGAGATGGTACCGATCTGGTTTACCTTGAGCAGGAGACCGTTGCACGCCTTCTTCTCGATCGCGGTCTTGATGCGCAGGGGGTTTGTCACCGTCAGGTCATCACCGACAATCTGGATGCCGCTCTGGCTCGTGAAGTGCGTCCACGCCTCCCAGTCATCCTGGTCGAAGGGGTCTTCGATCGACACGATCGGGTACTTCTTCACGTAGCTGAGGTACAGGTCCGCGAGCTCAACACCTGAGATCCACTTTGTGGGGTCCGAGTTCGGGTTCTTGAAGTCAAGGTCGTACTTGCCGTCCTTGTAGAACTCGGACGACGCGACGTCGAGACCGATCTTGATCTTGCCCTCATAGCCCGCCTTCTTGATGGCCTCGGAAAGCAGCTCGAGCGACTCCTCTGCGCCGGACACGTTGGGGGCGAAACCACCCTCGTCACCGACGTTGACGGCTACGAACTATGTCCTCAGCCTGCTATGCAAGGGGAACAACACACATGTACGCACCGTCAATACCGTACTTCGCGCTGATGACCTTCTTGAGGGTGTGGTATGTTTCCGTCCCGATTTTCATGGCCTCCGTGAAGCTTGATGCGCCCGTGGGCAGGAGCATAAACTCCTGGAACGCGAGCTTGTTGCCGGCATGCGAGCCACCATTGATGACGTTGAACGCAGGGGTAGGGAGGACGAATGGCGGCTTAACACCAGCGAGGTCCGCGAGGTGCTGGTAGAGGGGAACGCCCTTCTCCGCGGCACCAGCCTCAGCGACGGCGATGGAGACACCAAGGATCGCGTTGGCGCCGAGCTTTCCCTTGTTGGGCGTGCCGTCGAGCTTGATGAGGAAGTCATCAATTTCCTTCTGCTGGGTAACCTTGAGGCCAGACTTGATCAGCTCAGCCGCGATGGTGTCGTTCACGTTCGCGACAGCCTTGAGGACACCTATGGATGCGCGATAATGATAAACAGAATCAGCGACTCAGATAGCCACAAGGGAATCGTGACATGGAAGAGATCTTTAACAACAAACACATAACATGAATGGACAAGAGGACTAACGCCTAAACCGATATCAGGTGCATATATGCAGTCACAGCATTTTTAAGATTCATTCTGACTGTATTCAAAACGGAAAGGAGGTCGTAACGGTCCCAATAGAAAAACGGGAACTGAAAAATGAAGGAAAGTTCTCGAGTTATTAAATAGCGAACGTACCCTTGCCCACATAGTTGGCCTTGTCCCCATCTCGGAGCTCGACAGCTTCGTGGATACCAGTAGAAGCACCGGACGGCACGGCGGCACGGAAGCGGCCTGCAATTATAGTCAATTAGCTGGCCTCGCGAAATGAACGGAGAATGTTCGCACCCTTCGCCGTGTAAAGGTCGACCTCGACGGTGGGGTTTCCACGGGAGTCGAAGATCTAGCCGACGATTAGATCGGCGCTGGCGTACATGATCGACGGGGGTGCGTCAGGCAACATACCTGGCGGGCGTGTACTTTTGTGACAGACATGATGGTAGAGGAGGAGGGGAGAAGGACTGGTGTTCACGGAGGTTGGGGAGGGCTTTATGGATTGGCGGAGGCCGCCACGTGCTTCGTACCGAGGTCCTTCTGTGCGGCGACAGGGACCCATCGATGACCCGTTCGTGGGATCGATATCGCCCAGGCCACCTGCTCCGATTCTTGCTTTTCCAGAGCTGACCACTATGATGACACAAATCGGGCCATATTTCACGCCCCCAGTACACTCCAGACAAATCTCGTACCATTCGAGTCCCCATTACCCCATTGCATACTACAAACACTCCATAAATGTCGACCATCCACACTGCCCGTACTATGTGCTGCAATTGAGAAGTGCACACATGTGATGACTCTCATGCTCTTCGATGTATGCGTTCATGTGCGGCGGGGGAAGAAGATACTGAGAAGAAGTTAACCTTCCTGAATACGTGCTTCGAGCTTCTTTCGCCCACTCAAAGTCCACATCTCCGCCGACGCATGTGACCTATACCGAGATGCAACTTCTTATCAAGTAAGGCTTCGAGAGCGGCGGTGTTTTGTGAGAGAGAATGCGCGAAGATGAGCTCACAACCGGTCATCGCTGACGAGAGGAAAGGCACGAACGCGCTCGGTTGGCCGCGCCGAACTGGGACTCTCGATCATATTTCCAGATTGGGCAATGATCGAAATGTGCACCAGACTTTTCTCGCTTGCAGAGTCTGCTCCCACTTAGCATTGACCCCCTCTCGCCATGGCTCCCTCAAAAAAGACAGCGTCGTCGCCCAAGACGCGGTCCTCGTCGTCTCAGGTATCTCTTAAGAAGGTCAAGGGCGAGAACTTCTACCGCAATGCAAAGGCTGTCGGGCGACTCAAGATGCTCAACGGCGGCAAGGCCGTGAGGGACAAGGACGGCAAGATCATCCAGGCCGCAGCCTTTCAGAAGGGCGAGGACGAGACGAAGCCGGGGAGGGTGCAGCCAGACAGGCGGTGGTTTGGTGCGTGATAAATCTTTGGCTCGCGCCGCAGCGTGTTGACGACCATACAGGCAATACGAGAGTCATCTCACAAACTGCCTTGGACCACTTCCGCACCAGCCTCGCATCAAAACAGCATGATCCGTACTCCGTTCTTCTGCGGCGGAACAAGCTGCCTATGGCGCTACTGGACGATGCTGCCAATCCGAATGTGCGCAAGGTTTGTGTCGATGGTTCTATTCTCGTGCTCTCATTATCTAACGGTGGGGGACAGCGGTCACACATTGTCGAGACGGAGCCTTTCAAGGACACATTTGGTCCGAAGGCTCAGCGCAAGAAGCCCACGTTGGGCGTCGGGACGTTCGAGGAGCTCAGCAAAGTGAGTACCGCAGCTGTGGACGAGGCAGCGGCAGCGGTGGAGGCAGAGGAAGCATTAGGTATGTCTTTTTTGTTGCATATAAGTGGTTCGCCTTGGAAGAATCGGTGGACGCTCTCTACCCCTGCTGTCTTGAAGGGGGGGTGGGACCCGTCAGTGCTGCTTTGCGTCAAATTTGTCCCTGGCATAATGTCGTCTAAGATGCCTCAGGACGTTCGAGAAGAAGGAAGCTATTTTCATGATGTACCGATGGCACGCGAGGCCATATCGGGTTCCTCTACCTCTCGATGCGACTTATGGAGCTTCCGGTTGTCATTCTGGTAAACTTGGGTCGTACATGCACAACGGGCAACCAAAAACCGGTTCTGGGGTTTCTACGCAAGTCAAGCTCTTATCCCCCGTCTCACCGCTCTTTGTAGTTCCAGTCCCATCGACATCGACATCAACAGCCATTTTTGAGCCAACACACGCCGACATCATCGAGCCTATCTACGCCAAGGGCACATCGCGGAGGATTTACGGCGAACTTTACAAGGTGATCGATTCATCGGACGTCATCTTGCACATTCTCGATGCGCGAGACCCGTTAGGCACGTTGTGCGAGTCTGTCCTAGAGTTCATCCGCAAAGAAAAGGCACACAAGCAGGTCGTCCTCGTCATCAACAAGTGCGACCTTGTTCCGAATTGGGTCACGGTGCGTTCACTTTCTACCCTACTCGATCTCCGCTCACAATCTTGCTGCAGGCCCGCTACATCCAGCACCTCACGCCCCGATACCCTACCCTCGCGTTCCACGCATCACCCAACCACTCATTTGGCAAGGGCTCGCTGATTCAGCTCCTGCGGCAGTTCTCGCAACTGCACTCCGACAAGAAGCAAATCTCCGTCGGCTTCGTTGGCTATCCTAACGTGGGCAAAAGCAGCGTGATCAACACGCTCAAGAGCGGTAAGGTGTGCACCGTCGCGCCCGTGCCCGGCGAGACGAAAGTCTGGCAGTACATCACGCTCACAAAGCGCATCTACCTCATCGACTGCCCGGGGATCGTGCCGACGTCGGCGAGGGACTCGCAGACATCGACGGTGCTCAAGGGTGTCGTGCGCGTCGAGGCGCTCGCGACGCCCTCGGAGCACATCCCCGCGCTCATGGCGCGCGTTAAGCCAGTATATCTCTCGCGCACGTACGGCGTGCCCCTGCCGGACGAGGCGGACCACACGACAGGCTGGGAGCCGGAGAAGCTCCTGGACACTCTGGCGCGCATGAAAGGCCGCCTATTGAAGGGTGGGGAGCCGGACATGGAGGCGGTCGCGAAGATTATGCTGAGCGACTGGGTGCGCGGGCGTATACCATTCTTTGTGCCCCCACCTGAACGCCCTGATGCGCTGAACGAGGCGGAGGCCAAGAAGGCCCAGCGGGCGGCCATTGAGGCGAGAAGCAAGGGCAAGAAGGTGGCTGCGAAAGACGAGGAGAAGAAGGTACCGGGTGTGAAGCAAAACCTGGGATCCATCATGCAGAAAAACACGTTTGTAGCCGAGGACATCAGGCCGCTCGAGATTGACGAGGAGGAATCTGTAGCAGAAGAGGAAGAGGAGCAGGAGGAAAATGATGATGACGACGCGAGTAAAGGAGAAGAAGGCAAGGAACTCACCTGGAATGACGTCTTCAAGGGTGATGGCAATGCGGAAGAAGAAGTGCCTACAATCTTCAGCAAGGTCAGCGACGACGAAGACGCTACCGTGTCGGAGCAAGACGAGCCATCCGACGCTGAGTCAGAGGATCAGCCAAAGAAAGACGCACGCATGAAGACGAATAAGGTACAGTCTCTCTCGATTACATGGATTGTGTATATCATATAACTCTATCAACAGCGTAAGGCGACGAACTTCTACTCGTCCGCCAACGTCAAGAACAAAAACCGCCACAAAGCGTCTCTCATGAAGTCGCTACAAGGCGGCGACCGCGACGCGCGGAAACGTAGGAAAAAAACATGAACGAACCCTCCACATATGTAATCGCGAACGTGCATTGTTAGCGACATCTCTCCCTTTTGAATTCATTGTCTGCTACTCCGGATCATGCTGTGAGCTACCGATCAAGTAACGCTATGCACGTCTGGAGCGAGTGATGTAAGTCCGATGACTGCCAATAGTCTGACTTGGGTCTACCGTCCCTAAATGTACTTTTGTATCATCTGGTCCACCACTGTCATCGATGTCCCAACTGTTGTCAACGGTTCGTTTGCACTCTGGCCCCAAATCTCTTGATCCCACGCCTTCCCAATGTTCAGCAGCTGCGCCTGCAGCACGGTATTATCGTATGCCGTTCCATTCCCCGTGATGTCTGCCAGATACGTCACAAACGTCTGCCACCGGGAAAGGTAGTACGTCCCCACAAGCCCCGCCCACTGCTTCGACGCGTAGTCGTTGATCTCGCCGTCGGGGCCCCATAGCGTGATCTGATTGCGGGCGTTGTACTCCAGGTAGTCCGCGTACGTCGTGTTACCGTTCGCGAGGCTGCGCGCGTCCGAGATCCAGTTGCTCAGCAGATAGTAGGGGCTTGTGTATAGTAACGTGTCGAGGTCCGTTATGACGGTGAGTAGAGGTTGTCCAGCTGCGTTGACAGATGCTGACGTCGCACCAGATGAATAGTACTCCGACACCAGCACGGTGTAGTAGCCGATGAACCTGTTCACGAGGAGCTGACGCGTGACGTCGACAACATCGTAAACGAACTCGGGGACGGTAAGCAGGAGCGGGTTCTGGGCCGCAGCCTGGACAAGATTCTGCAAGGCAGGTATAATCGATGTGTTCGTCTGGTACGAAACTTCGGTCGGATGATGACCAGTGGCATTGGTCAGCCCAGAGATGCTTGGTGAGAGTTCCACGATGCTCTTGATGACCGCCTGGGTATTGGGGTTGGTGTTGCTGTACACCGTCGTACTGAGTATCGTCCAAGCCTCTTGAGCTGAGGCAGGAAGGCTCGCCACCGTGTAACGGCGGGAAACCCAAGCCTCGACGTAGGCAGTGATGTTCAGCGAGGTAGACGACCATGCCTGGTCGAGCAGGAAGTCATAGACAATCTCGTTGCCCTCCTGCCCCTCCATAGTCAGGCCCATGCCTTTCATCGAGCTCCCAGCGGTATTCAATGCAGCGAGCGGGGCAGATGCCAGCTCAGGCAAGTTGCCCTCCATGCCCATGTTCCCGCCGTAGTCGTGCAGCTCGCACCAGATCCACTGCTTGCCATAGTACGAGTCCGTGCGCTGCCACTGCGGCGCCGCCTCGGCGTACAAGTCGAGGATGATCATCGAGTCGGAGCCAGGCACCGCGTTGAGGAACGCAGAAATGCGGTCGTCCGTCCAGAAGCTTTCGTCGGCGAAGAACAGCCAGCCCTGCATCATCCACACTGCCTCTGGGTCGGCCTCACGCAGGCTCGCGAACGTGCCCGCGGAGATGTTCGCGAGGTATCCCGTGTCCCCACTATACGGGCTGTTCTCGTTGTACTGGTCGAGCGTGTACACGTGCGTCAGGTTGGCGCCGAACGCCGCCTGCTGCTTTGTGATGAACGATTGCTGCATAGTCGCAAAGAGAGGGTCGAACGGCTCCAGGAAGGACGTGTCAGTCAGGCTCGATGGAAAATCTGACCACTGACTGCCGTTCACAATTGACGCATTCGGATAGAGCCTGGCCATCGCGTGAGGGACGAAGCCTGTGAATGCGGGCAGAACCGGTGTCATACCGAGGTCGGCCATGCGCTGAACGATTTGTTGCTGCAGCGCGTACTGGTCGTTGACCCACTGCGTAGGCAGGTCGCCGCCCCAGCTTCCCTGGATGTTCCCGAAGCGATTCCATGCCTGAAAGGCCGGCCCCGAGAGGAACGATGCAATGTCGGTATCCGTGAGGCCAACTTCCTGGAACACCTGGGTGAGGATGTACTCGTAGCCGACCCAGGCGAGCGGTAGGTTGACGCCGCGCAAGGCGAGCCAATCGAGTTCGGCCTCCCACTGTTCCCAGTCCCAGAACGCAGCGGTGTAGTCGAAGGTGACCGTATTGAAGTGATACCTGCGCATACGGTCAGTATATAGGCATGATATAGAGGGCACTGCCCACCTATATGGCACAACGGCGCTGCCATCTACGGGCTGGCCAACCTCCGGGAGCGTGGCAGGTAACTGGTTCAAGCGAGAACCTGTCCACCAGATGTCAACGCCTCCGAACTGTGTCGCATACCTGGATCGTTCCCCGACAATTATAACCAGCACCTCATTGGACGTGTTTGGGAACTTACGTGTAGAGACCGCGCGCACACGCACTGACAGTTGTACACTGAACAGTTATCCCCCCGCTTCCACCAACAGTATCACTGATAGTGAACGCGTCGCCGTCACCTTCTATCAAACTGAAAGTGAACGAGTCTTGATGCTGAGGGATCTGACGCTGCACAAGCGCGTATATTCCGTCCAGGCTCGTCGTCGCTGCATGTGCGGGCGCTGCGCATAATGCTGCGACGAGCAGCGGGAGAAACCACTGCATTTCCTGGGGGAGCGCGGTATGTGCCTCGGTGACCACGGTCGAGCTTTATATAGTTCATCGTCGTCGAGGGTCCCGAAAAGCATCAGCGATAGCAGGGACGTCGACCGTGACCACCATTGGACGGGTCCATCAGAGAGGCACAAGCAGCACATGCGAGCGATAACCGAGAGAGCGCAAGTCATTGACACGTTCGTATTTAGATGGCTGAGTTCTATCGAACGTTCATATTGACCACGGCAGCCTCGGAGCCTTGTCGGCATATGAAAGCGAAGTTCCTGCGATAGGTAGTACATTGAGTGTATTGTTTCGCCTTGAACGACATTGGCAGCACATGTTTTTGCATGGCGACAGTTGCCCAAGAAAATAGTAAGAAAGTAGTTTGGATTACTGCGAAAAGTGTTCCATGCATTGCGCTGCGGAGTACATCGTAAGAGTAGACAAAAAACATGTCACAGGGATATGTCGACATGCCGTAACATATGAAATTGAATCACGACACTTCCTAACCTGCTTAGCCATAGCCAAATCTCGAGAGAACAGGACTCGAGAGAGTCACTGGCACTGTCTCAACGGTCGAGCGATCTAACATCGAGCAGCGTGGCATATCTCTCTGAGAGACAACAAGGCGGTTCAGCAAATTTATATACACGCGACCGGCGTCTACTGTACGTATTCCCACGATTGGACTTTTGGGCGCTTCGGGATCATCTATTTCTTGACTCGGAGCTCAAACCATGGCGTGGGTTTCCGCAGAGTGGCCGCGGGGTCAAGTGTGCTGTGGTCAAGTGTTCAATGTGCCGTGATCTTAATGCTACGATAAGGTAAAGTTCTTAACATACAATAAAATAAAATACCACCTCATTGAAACCATCGAATTAGGTGCATAATGCGCTCATCAAGCACGAGTACGCGGACTGCTCGCACAGGATAGCGACAAGGGATAGCTTAACGCATGGTATACACGAGCAGCTTTATAGATGGGTCAAAAGCGCATTGCTAATCTTTCCCTTGATTTCCCGTGGCGCAGAGGAAAGTGAAAGTGACTCCCTGAGGCCACAACCTTCCCTGAGAGAGCCCCCATGTCGGACGAGATCGACCTACCTCGAACTGGTGGCGCACCCATGCCCGGATGTGTGAAAGTGAGACCTTTGTTTATGGATGCATCGACAGACGAGAATGCTGTCATGTGCAAACGTGATACGACGCGATCCTCATCGCGTCCATTCTTCATCTCGAGACTACTGGACTTGACATATCCTCTACTGCCATTGCCGAAGCCAACGCGTGAGAATCAGTCGCACGTCATCTATTCGGGTCTACTCAGATTGACAAGGACTGCAGTCTCTCCAAAGCCTTCGATCGCGAAGATGTGCGCCATGATCTGATCTACGACTTACACGTGCATCTCGCCTTGACTTTGTGTGAATCACTTGGCGAACCTCCACTACATGTTTGTTTCTCCAGGTTCTTGTGGCTATATCTCCTGCACGACAGCCGGGACGGGGCCGTCAAATGTGTGCGCTCATGAAGCCTGGAGGCTACTTGATCGCATTGGTTTGGCCGATTGCGAACCAGCCTTCGTATCTCAGGCCGCCATTCCTTGTGCAGCTAGAGCATTACATCGATGCCCGTGGTGAAAATTGAAACAGGTGCTTGGCAAGGTAACAGATCACGTCCTAGGCTTTCATATTGGCCAGGAGCGATCACTCGTTCACAAGTTCGCCACGGTTGACGAGCTTCCAGCATCACACAGGAATCCCTTGTACATTTCCATTACCATTGACATTCACTAGTCGCTTCCTGATGCATGATGGTCCGAATGCTTCTGCTACAAGTCCGGCATTTATGTCATGCCCTTCGTGGGTCCGAAAGACCCTTTCTGTTGCTTTTTCTTCTCCAGCGCAGCCTCGTCCTCCTCCTGGAGCTCCGCGTCTACCTGTGCCCCTCGCGAAGGCTTGTGGCCCTGTCTCGTCGCGGGCTCGAGCGGGTTCGTGACAGTCTTCGACTCCGCTTTGCGATCTGCGTCGCGCTCACGCTTCTCTTCGCGCTGGCGGCGGTTGTCGAGAGTCTGGTCATCTCTGAAATGATGCGTCAGGCCGTCGCAGAAACGTCAGTTATCGACACGACTGACTGGGGGTCGAAGATGTTGTGCGCGTGCTGTTGGCCGGCTTCGTACCGGGGAGGCGCCTCAGTTCCGTGAGGCCTATGAATAGATGAACTCAACACCTGGCGTGTATGTTCCTGCCAGCTATGGCGTACGTACCTCTGGTCTCCATCGTTGTAGACCTGAGGGTTGCCGACCTTTGATTGCATTGCTCCGGAGGACATGATGAGTGATGATGCAGATGTAAGAGATTGCGTCTGGATCTGTGACACGTGTGGTACTAGTTCGTGGAAGAGGTGGGGATGCAGGTGCGAAGTCCAAGCTTTATATATGTCCCTGGGTGGACTCGATCGCGACGTCACAGTGAGCCATGCTGGTGACGTCATCTGGAGTACTGAGGGGGCGGCGCGTCCGCGGGAGGCGTGGGCTTGGTGTTGGAGACCTGCAAAGGACGTGTCAATTTGTCAACTACCATTCTTGAGCGCGACTGCCAGGTATACGTGCCTATCAGGTCGACCTTCGTACCTTAGACTTCCTATGTGCATCGTTCGTCGGCAGACTCAAACTCTTGACGCGTCCAAGAATATGAAGCCAAGTAGTACATTCTAGTATAGTCCATATCAGGCTGTTCAATTCGTAGAATAGGAATTGGATAATAACCGAAGACTCGATATACTGTAGCGCTGAGTGTGACGCTATTATTTGTATTTGTGGTACATAGAATTCGACGCTCAATAATCACCCAAGTGGGGCAAAGAGTAGCAAGTATAAGGCGGCTATCTGTACTATAAACATCATCTACACCCAGTCATCATAAAAGGGCCGGAAAACAAAGTGAGAACGAACTCTATGCTAGGCCCGAGAATCACTGACGATCGGGTATTCGTGGCGATGACGCGTTCCAAGACTGGGGTCAAGTGCATATCAGAGCGTCTGAACATAGTAGGCGTTTTAATATATAGTTTTATTTTCGACGACAAAATATACATGGTGACAATTACACAATTACACAGTACAGTGTCCGTTGCACGACTACTCGTCTTGGCACCCACTTTCGTGGAATGTGCACTCACTGTGGAAACCATGGGTATTGAGCACATCGCGCAGGACGGCTAAGCGAAGAGCTCAGATAGAGTTCGAATAAGGAGCAATAAAAAGACGCTGCGAGTTAAATACGACGTTGAAGATATGCGAATGTAGTAAAGTCCGTGAAAATTGGGCATGCGGCGATCCTGCTTGTACCGGAAGGCGAGCTTCTACTCGACGCGCGATAGTACGAAGTTGAATGCGATGTATGTTGACTGAGTACGTGAAGCTTGATGATGCGAAAGATCGATTGATAATTGAAGCTTGCAGTATGATGCGATGCGAGATAATGCATTGGGAGGTTTTCCGAGTTTTCAAGGACTGACGACGTCGCCGCTGATCTTGCCGCGTAATATGTCGATGCAGATGTTGCTTAATAATATAGAATGCTAGGCGAACGACTCCGTAACGCGCTTAGTATCCGTAGTATGCGCGCTGTGAAGATATTTATTAGCAGGGCAATAGGCCGACGAGAACGTTACCAACCATCCGGTCGCTAGAGGAGGCGTAAGTAAGCCATCATGTAGATGGAATGAGGGGGTATAGCTCACAAAAGCCAGATAACCTTCGAGCCCGTTTTGCAGCCGCGGAGGGTCACAATGTGCCCGCGAATAGAGTCGTACAAGAGCGCGCGCTGGTCTTTATCCGCCTACAAATCACAATTAGCTTCACTCTGATCTACACGATTGGGCGGAATTCGTACGTTCGGCAACACGCTCGCAATCAACTGACTACCGGTTACGGAAAGAGCCAAGTCGACGATCATAGCTCTGCGACCGCTATACGGCCATGCTTGTTAGCGACCAGCCTGACGCACCAATGAAAACACATGATTACCTCTTGGAGGGCTCGCACATGCGGGCTATGATCTTGTCCAGTGTCTCCTTGCCTCCCTCCTTCAATGCCTTCGTGACAGATTTAACACCTTGCTCGTTAGTAGCAAATTCGAGCATCCCGCTAAGGAGATGTTCAAGAGTCATGTTCTGATGCCTTTTCGATCCGTGTTCCAGAACTGAAATTCGGGTCAGTGAGCAGTTGCAAGAAGTCATAATCAACGAACTGTGTTGGATACAGTAGGAGCCCCACTGGCTCTTGGCAACTTCAGAGAACACAGCAAATCCTTGGTTGAGCAGTTCTTCAACGATCCCGTCTTTAGCTGATTCTTCAAGGTTTTCGAATGCATGCTAAACGAACGAGTTGAGCCTCTCAAGTAAGATTTCATATTTAATTGAAGGACGTGCCTGAACGACCAGAGACCCTGTTTCGTGGCAGGCTAAAGCTGCCCATTTCCCTTTCAGCGACTTGTTGACGCTAGATCCGCGTGTGAGAAGATTGCTAGCTTCAATAAATTAGTGGCGCTTACTATGCGAAGATGGGAGGCGCAGGAGGCGTCCATGTCAATTCCATGATCTGTGAGAGAATCAGCGGCTAACAGAGGATGGATATTGTCTAGTCGTTCGCACCTTACTCCACACATGCGATGCATGCTTATTGACAAGTGTCTGGGCGGGGTCGTCCAGGAGCAACTCCGAAACAATCAAGAGACGAATGTCTTCTTCGCAATCGAGAGCTTTCTGGAGAACATGACAACCGTAACAGTTGGTAGCGAGGTCCACAACTCGACCTCTGTCGATTCAGTGGAAGTGAGATGGGCATAAACACCATGCTCAAGGATTGACAAACCTCATACAATTCACGATTTTGCGTCGCTCTTCCGGACTTGCGGACGCCTCGAGACACCTCTGCACGGCCCAGTTGCCAAAGCTATAAATTTGTGAGCATCACGGAAGCGTTATGTGAGAAGCGACTGCATACCGATGAGCCATCATCTCGAATCCTCTGGTGCATATAGCGTCCACGATCTTCGCACGTTCAGTGCTGTCGGCTACCTTGAGCTTCTGCTGCAGGAATATGGACGCTTGTTGATCGGACGACTTGGTGATACGTTGAACGAAAAGAGGGTACGGCGGCGCGGAAGAAGGATGGAGGAGGGAGAGGAAATTGATGGGCTATGGACAAATATGTGTGTTAGCACGCGCAAATGCAGAACGCAAGTAATCTTACCTCGTGCGACTGTGACTGTCCGCTAGAATGAGTCAAACGTGCTACAGGGTCGCTTGTCGCGTTTGAATGGAAATCAACATGTCTCTGCTCCGGCTGAACCCACTCTGAGGAGGTGCGAAGGCGCTGATGCGGCCAGGTCTGCTGAGGCAGAGGCAGGTTCTCGATGCGACATTGCACAGGCTGCGGAATGGACTGATAAAACGGCTGAGTTGTCTGCAGGGGAGAAGACACTTCGGAGATCGGTTCGAAAAACGGGAACACGCTCGCTTCTCTCTGAAGAGACGGGTTGCCGTGAGAATGGCGGTAGGAAGCGGACGAAGCGACGTTCTGCGGTCCTCCTATGAACTCGTTGTATCTATGCGAGAAGTCCGTCTCATAATAACGGTCGCTCTGAGGCCCCGGTATTATGCCGAGGCCGTAATTGTCGGTCATTTTGGAATCAAACGTTTTGGCGGGACTGAAGTCGGTCGGCGTCAAAAGGGCGGACGAGTTGGAGACGGGCGACAGATCTGGCGACGTCTGCAAGGAGAGAGGGTCTTCAGGGAGACTTGCAGGTGGGTATGGAGCAGGTGAGTGGAGGTTCAGCGTTCGCAAAAGCTGTTCGACGTGCTAGAGAGACGAAGACGGGTGAATATCGACGCATATATGCACCAAAATCAACACGAACGATCTCGTCGAAGGTTGGAGAACCCTTCTTGCGGCCATCACCTATGGCTCCGACGTTCTTGCGAAGATGGCCGTTGAGACCAACCGGACCAAAGACATCCTCGTTACCATGAACAGAAGGGAACGAGCTAGCGCGGCGGGCATCCGGGCGCGTTGAGATGCCATTTGGGTTGACCCGAGTGAACGAGTCAATGGCTTTTGACCAGGCGGTCTCAGAAGGCTGCGGCTGAGGAGCCCATATAGAGGAGGAAGTGCCGCGCGACTGAGCGGGGAGGTCGAAGAACGGGTCGAAGGACGCAGTCTGTGCGGTGTGCTCCATGGCGACAGTGAAGAGCGATGGTGAGAGAGGACGAGATGGGGGATGGAGAGACGAGTTGAACCACGGCGTCGCGCGCCTTATATGGGGCGGGCGGGGGTTTGACAGGCCGTATCGTGACGCCGCCACAAAGTGATCGAATTTGCACCCGTCGACGTCCAACTTTGGCAGTGGGCATGCCTAAGATAGAAACTTGTTGCGGTTCTCGCGAGGTGATGAATTTGAAAGGAGAACATACGAGCACAAGCAACGTCCATCAGATAGAATGCCCTTTTGGGGAGTCACATTAGCCTCCAAAGAAGCACCGCCGCGGATCCCTTCCATACCGACGTCAACGTCCGAAACGCGCCCCGCCGCCGTCGTCCGTGCCAGGCTTGGTCGCAGTGCCATCAATGCTGGGAATCTCTCGTCGTGTTGTTCGTAACCTTCCTCTTGCGCTGCGAAAAGAAACAGATGCTCCCCATGTGCACTCGCAAAGTCTCCAAAGCGAGCCGCGTGAGACTTGACATGAATCATGCTCATCAACGTCGGTTTGACAGCTGCCAGACAAATGTACCACTCGGCTCACGTGAGACCTCGTACAACAAATGCGGCGCCGCCGGCACGTCAGTAAATTATTTGTGGCGGACACAAGTTTCAGGTCCCTCTACTCCGAAGACCTCTTCAAAAGAAGAGGAAGCCAGTCTAAAGTCTGGCTTATCGAGGTGGACATGACGTACATGGTGTATTGCCGCATATTTGCCAGTACAGAGTACACGTGGCAACACACCCGTAGACGTATCATGCGAGCACGGAGGCTTAGATCGGGACCGCATGCAATATTAATCGAAGCCATTGTAGGAAACTCGAAGGTACCGAGATCAGCGAATTTCGATGGCATAGTGTATCGAGATCTCCTGGATTTGTGACGCGGGCCTGGCCGGAGCATCTGACGCCGAGAGACCATCAGGCTGCTCACCTTCGAATTTGAAGCTCTCCGGTCAGAATGAAGCCGTCACGCGTCGACTGCGTTGTGCTTGCGCCTGATAGTCCCTTGCATAGGATCATCGCGGTACAAGGAGTTGTCGTCTGCCCGGACGAAGATGCTTCGCGAAGGAATGAATCAGAAATGTTGCGGAGCACGACTGGATTGAGGTAAAGGCAAAGAAAATTTCAGCCAACAGGCACTTGCGAATGCATTGTCCCCCCTTCCCATCAATATTACCAGTGGCGTTGCGTGACGGCGAGCCAACGGTGTCCAGAAGGCGTCCAGACCGCACACGACTAGAGAGCTTCTTCATTCCATATGGCATATTCATACACTTCGACTCTCCAGTTAGTAGCTACAAGGATATCATCGGGGTAATCAAATGAGTAGCACAGGCATAGCAGGATCGACAGCAGAGAAAACTCGCACGAGATACCAAACCTCTGAAGGCATGCTACGCGCATCGCAAAGCACCCACTCTACAACTTCACGCTTCCGATCCGCCAGCGAGCTCGAGTATCAGCCGACATGCGACATCCATGAAGACGAATGGCGACACAATCTCATCCTCGCGCATGTTGAGCTCCTTCAGGGAGCGACTCGACTCCAGTGATGCTGTCTCCGACATGCTCAGATCGGGGTGTGCCATATCGAACTTCCCCGCACCAGGCTCGGCTGAGGCCTTGTACGTCTTCTTGTGGTGAAAGTCGACGAGGTAGTTGATCGAATCGACCATGTACAGTTGGAGATTCATCAGAACCTGGGGGCCAGAATGCGCGGACCCGTCAACATCGAGCCCTACACCTGAACCGAACAGCGTCAACATAAGTTGGCACTCACCACAACGTCTTGTACGCGCGCCCTAGTCTCAATGAAGTATATCGAAGAGGCGGCTCGCAGGTCGACATATCCGGGCGAGTCGTACTCGCGCGCACGCTCAACCTTCGTCTTCTCCCCGCTTCGCTTGTCCCTCCTGACGTCGCCCAGGCCGCCCAGGTCTTTCTTCGCCTTCCATTCCATGCCCAGTGTCCTGAGCGTCCTGTAGATCTCGAGCATCACCTCCATCGGTGGCGACCTGCTGCGGATCCCGAAGTGCCATTTCGTTCTATGCTGCTTCTTCTCTTTCACAGGCCATTGTCGCTTCGCGCTTGCGTACGATGCAAGATGGTGTTGTTCAGGAAGCTGTTCTGGAAGAGATGAGTCGAGGACAGCAAAATTGTTGATTTCAGCTTCGTTCTGAGGAGTCGAGAAGTCGAGGCCGTCGTCATCTTCTTCGTCGTACCCGATGAATTCTGACTCGAAGGGGTTCTCTTCGAGTTCGGCTGACGACAGCGCATTTGGCGAAAGAAGATTCCGAGGCTAGGAACAATGTCAACAATATGCCAAATAAGCACGGTATAGATCGACTCACGTCCATTACAGCCAGCTGTGCATCTCGTTCCTGCTCTTCGAACTCAGCGACTGCGAGAGATTGGCTTTAGAGATCGTTGCTTCGAATCGACAGATGATACGTACGATCTCGTCCCAACCTCCGTTTATCCCGCAACAGCATATATGCTACCTTGACGGCGTTGCCTTGGGGTCCGTCGTCTCGCCTTAGTGACTCCCAAACGTCATCCTTGTCCACTCCCTCCATGCGCGTGGCGAGTTCGTCCACAACGTCCTCCTCGATACGCCCCAGACCGTCTATGATCTCGAAATCGAGGGCTTTGGGTGGGGGCGTAACGAGGGAAGACAACGTGCCCAAAACAGGTCCTGGTCGTGGAGGCAAGGGCTGGAGGTACCGAGGCAGGTCGGTCGTAAAGAACGGATGTTGTAGAATCTCAGGGATTGTGATGCGCTTGACAGGGTCAACGGCCAGCATGCCGTTGATTACGCTGCGTGCGTCGGTGGTTAGGAATGACGGTATGTGATAAACACCCTCTGTTCAAATGGTCAGAGAGGCGACACGCTGGAGCAGGTGAAACGTACGGCTAATCTTCGTAAACAGCGTCTGAACGTCTTCATCCTCGAAAGGTAGCCGACCACAGAGCATCACATATAGGATAACACCACAGCTCCATACGTCAATTTCGGGCCCAGTATATAGACCTCCTCGGATGACTTCTGGCGCAGCATAGTTGGGGCTTCCACAACTTGTCTTCAGGAAGTCACCATCCTTAATCTCATTCGAGAGACCGAAGTCAGCGATCTTGACATTCAGGTCTGAGTCGAGGAGGACGTTCTCTGGCTTGAGATCTCGGTGCACTATCTTTAGGCGATGGCTGTACTCGATACCAGAGATGAGTTGTTGGAAGAACCGCCGGGCTTGGGGCTCTTCCATACGCCCATTCTCGACGATATAGTTGAACAGCTCGCCGCCGGCGTACTCCAGAACGATAATGATATCTGTTGGTGTTGATATCACTTCGTACCTGGTCGGTATGCATGCGAGTCAGATCCAGGACCACCAAGCTAAAGTCGGCTGGGACGTACAGCTTGATGATATGGGGGTGTCTGAGGGCTCGCATATACTCAACCTCCCGCTGCACTCGTGTCTTGGTCTTGGTCGCCACAATGACCTGCTTCGAGATAAACTTCATGGCGACCTTGTGCCCTGTAATCGTGTGAATAGCCACTGTAATTTCCGGTGAGCGCGATGTCATTTGGATTTGCGCATCGACAACGCACTCTTGACTTTGCCAAACGTCCCCTCTGCAATCTCATCAATGACCGTGTACTCTCCCAGCTTCGACGCTGGAAATGATTCAAGTATTTCAGCCATGATGAAACCTTGTCGGTATGAGAGCTCGTGAAAGATGGCAAGCAGCAAGGAGTGCGGGGTAAGCGGTAAGTACTAGTAGCCCTCGTGCCAGTCGGTCATAACGTATTTGTCATCATTCCCTCGCAGATGGCGGGATGCCCTAGATAGGTAATAAACGCGGAGCGCGCTAGAAATATACATTATTCTTCGTGAAATAATCAGCGGGATACTCAACCATTCGAATACAGCGCGAGTAAATGGCGATGCATATGTTGTAGCACATCGCAATAGACTCCCTCTTTTTCGCCGCTGTACGAGTACGCAACCCCCGCTACATGTTGCATACCAGCCTTGCATACATACAGGTAATATTGATCTGTTCACGCTGAATCTTCACATCACGCACACTCAAAGACCGTGATTAGGCGGAAGGATTGTCCCAGATAGACAGCAATAAACTTGGAACTCAATACAAGGATAACTGCTGTGGAAGATATGTATGTCCCAAAACTACGAGCACAGACTAAGAACTCCACGAAGGAAGGACCGCACTCAACTCTACTGAGACGTGACGTACGCGAGTCCCTGTGATCCACCCGATTTCATGACGAAGCCTGGCAGCAGGACGCTCACGACGCGTGATATTCCACGACCGTAACAGACACAACACGTAAGACAGTGTGGAGGGCCTTGACTTGGTACGTGGATCATTCGCACTCCGCGGAAGGAAAGAAGGCAACGGTCAGAGGAGAATAAATCAGACTAGAGGCGTCGAGAGGTATGCAAACCGTGGGCTGGGTGCCATCCTGTAAGCTATGACAGATAGGAAGGTGAGGCCTGTGAGGTCTTGCTGCTATCCTAGCGTTATTGAATCATCTGTATTTACCCATGAGCAAGTAAGTACACGGTCACTTGTCACCACACAGAGCAAGTTCATTTGGAACCCCAAGGAAAAGGAGGAAGAGGAGGAGCGAAGAGAGCGCGAGCACAGAGAAAAATTAAACGCAGGCCCATATGTAAGCAGTTCCCACGCAAAAGTGATGACACCGCAAGTACTACAACTTGCTGCTAAGTCCTCCAATGTGTCTCTGGTCAAATATTTGCTTTGAGTATACATGTTCTTGTTATACTAGAGGGAATAAAGCGAACATAACAGCCTCTGTAGTATAGCTCGCCTGGGCCGCCTGTCTTTCGCTGGAAATAATGCACGGTACGCTACCCTTACTTGTCATGTATTCGAACCATCTCAGGTTTATAATGACCTACTGTAGGTCTATCATAGCTCGTCTAGTTGCAATGCACTCCTCTTTACGCCAGTCGGCAATTGTTGGTTCGTCGCCTAGGCGCGATCGTAGCAACTATAGACGATAGCGACTTTCCTCATAGCCCTTTAGTCGTTGGCCTTGCTCTGCGCGGAATAATCTAGCAGATGAGCGAAGGCAAGCTAGAAAGTCTACTCACTTGGCAACCGGCGTGCGAAGGTTGTCGCTATCAATTCATTATGCATAATGACGATCGCTCAGTCGTTGACTATTCGCTCAAGTCATGGGAGCGATCAAGGCGACCAATCGAACGCTGGCACATCACTGAATGTATTGGGGTATTCAAGGGTTGCCTGTTCTCAATCCTTCGGTGCAAATGCGGGGCCATTCATGTGCTTCTCAATACCTGCCTTTTGGACATACCAGCTGATAGTGTCGCAAGAAGTATCATTCCCCTAAGCATCGTCCAAGCGACCTCTTAGAGAAGCATCATGTTGGTGCATTCGTCTGGACGTAAAGAAAGGCTCAAATTTCAGCCGGTGCATTCCAGGTATACATCTCAGGGTGAGTGCGTCGGGAATTGGTCCTTTGGCAGGGCCGTTCTTCCGTCCCTCAAAATGACAAGCCGACCTACGGACTAACACGTGGGAGGGAAGTGCGTCATCCGAAATGGTACGTAGCAGTTACCAAATGGCTCTCGGAGATGGAGAACACTTCTTTGTCGGAGTTGCTAGGTGTCTGCTCCGCGGTTCCTGAAGCCCCGCGTTCCGACCTTCTTCGCTGTTTCACCAGGACGATGTTTCCTTGAAAAGTAGGTTTTCACCACCATCGAACAAGTGTTTTGGGGTGACAATATGTGATGGTGGGTCGGGCACCTGGGTACTAGCTACACAAGCCCCCTCCCGTCTCGCTTATACACCTTCCCACCCTTCATTACGAAAACAATCGCTGTTTTGTCGACCGCGTTCTCGAAGTTGTTCACCAGATCCCCGTTTGTCGCAATGATATCTGCTGCAAAACCGCGCCGTATGGCACCAAATGGCACTTCGTTGTCTCCCACCAACCTCACATCTTCTTCAAGATTATCGACTCGCGCTAAGCGGGCCACGCCGTCATGTCCCTCCCACGCCATGCTCCTGATGCATTGCCAGCCCCCGAGGGTCCCCCAGCGAAGAACCTTCCGCCAGTCGGCGCCAATCCGCGCCATGAGTTTCATTTCGAGAGCGTTGTCGCCGTGCGCGAAGACACCCGTATCGCCGCCGCAGACAATGCTCTCGATTCCCTTGTCCAGCGCACGGCGGAATGCCTTTGCTGCGGATTCCCAGACTTCGCCTTTCCCCTGCCCCATAGTATAGTATGCGGCGAGTGTCGGAACCCAGAATGTCTTGCTCAAGCTCTGTGGCGCGTCCTCCCGAAGTGCCGTAATTGTGTCATCATCAAAGATCATGTTGTAGCCGTGTTCAATGGTATGTACACCTGGGCCACTCGATATTCCATTGTCGGCCCTGGCGTGCCAGTGGGCTGAATGAGCGGCAACTTTGACACCGAGCTGGTTGGCTGTAGAGATGAGTGCATCAAGCTCCTTGTTGCTGAACGTTGTAATGGACGCCTTTGATACCGCGCTCGATACGTCTGCCATTCGGGACCGGAAGCGATAGTCTGTCATGTAAGCTGAGTACCTCCACGTTGGTTCTTGACATCCTGCTGCCGTACACACCTGCGTATATCTAAGAACGTCCCGCGTTGGTGTCGTACGTCAATTAACACTCCCAGCAATGCCATGAAGCGGTGCCTACCTTAATCCAGTCTGCGCCGGCGCCGACTTGTCTCCGCACGGCTTTCACACACTCGACCTCACCATCAGCGACTTCCGCGCCTGTTATACCCTCGATACCTTCCTGATTCAAATTAATTTTGCTTTTGGGACCTGGGGATACCCCAAAGATCATAAACATCTCGAAGACTAAGGCGTCTCTTCACACGCACCGTAGCTCCCCGTCGTAACAATAGCTCGATTGGCGCAGAAGTAACGAGGTCCGGGGATGAGCGCGTTTGGGCCTGACATGCATTTGCGAAGCTGGATATCGGCATCACCCGCTCCCTCTGTCCCCAGGTCGCTGCATTGTGGGGAAGGTTACCCCAAAGGCGGTGCTCTACAATACAAAACGCCAACGAACCGTACTGCGGTGTAGCCTGCCATCAAGGTCCGTTTGGCGTGAAGAGTCGCTCGCACGGTGCGTTCCACCAGACTCTCCTTCGTCAGCTGGTCATCCCAGCTGACCTCGCTGTAAGGATGCAAGAAGACTTGCAATGGAGAACGGCGATCAGACCAGACCACACGAGTGAATACCGCATACGACATAATACTCACAATGCACGTGTACGTCGACAAAGCCCGGGAGGACGGCTGTATTCCTCAAGTCGATAATTTGTGGATCAGAAAAGTTCGCCGTCGCTGCTTCGGACTGAGTGTAAGGTTTGACATCGAGGATGAGACCTGAGTCGGGGGAGACAATAATAACTCTGTTTTCAAGCAATTCGAGAGAGTAGACATCGAACATCTTCCCCGCGTAGATTTTCATGTTGTCCGACTGCCTTCTGGTGTTACCAGTAGGTGCTATATGGAGCTGCATTTCACGAACGTTATCTGCCACTGGTTACGAGAGCGAAGCGTGGTCACAGGCAGACTTTACGCCAGTCAGAACTCGCCACACTACACTGGCAGGAGAGAAGGAACACGAAGCCCTTGCGGAGTCGGAAGTCGACCGAGCCGCTGCCTGTGAATCAAACGGTCCACTTGCCGTATACGCACGTTCCTGAGTAGTCTCGATAACGATAACGTGGTTACTAGACGTGCTCGCGGCACTCCGTTACTGGCAAATCGAAGTTCAAGGCATCGGGAGAGAACATATCGAGTCACTGAGATGCCGGTCATAGAAACAATTTCTGGCTAATAGGTTTGCCGTGCAATGGTATATTCAGTTCGTAGCCGAGGACATAATGGGCACCGGAAGACTGAAGGGAAGAGCTGTCGTGAGGCAAAAACCAAGGCGTTGGCGCAACAGACGCCCGTCGCAACTCGTACGGCAAACGGGGAAACGGTGAGCTAACTACACCAATTCGCGCCCGTCGCGTTTGTAAACACTCCCACCCTTCATCACAAATGTGATGGCTGATTTGTCGACTGCATGTTCGAAGTCGTCCTCCAAATTTCCCGTAGTCGCAATGATGTCCGCCGCAAAGCCCCGCCGGACAGCACCGAACGGCACTTCGTTATAACCAACCTTCCGGGCATCTTCGCGTAGGTCCCCGACACGCTCCAAGCGAGCCTTGCCTGTCGGCCCTTCCCAGGCCATGCTCCGGATGCACTCCCAGCCGTGCAGTGTACTCCATCGCAGGACCTTGCGCCAATCCGCACCTAGCCGCACCATGAGCTTCATCTCGAGCGCATTCTCACCGTGGTCGAAGACCCCCGTGTCACCGCCACAAGCGATGTTCTCGACGCCTGCCCTGAGTGCACGGCGGAACGCCTGCTTAGAGCTCTCCCATCGCTGCGGATTGCCGCTGGACATCGAGTAATATGCCGCAAGCGTTGGGATCCAGAAGGTCCGGATGTCCCCGGTGGACGTGCTGTCGCCGTTCCATTGTTCGGTGACTTCATCGTAGAAGGACATGTGGTACCCGTGTTCGACAGTGTGGAAGCCTGGCCCGCTTGAGACGACAGTTCCGTTGACAGTCCAGCTCATACAATGCGCAGCGACCTTGACGCCCAGCTGGTGGGAAGTTGCGATGATCGTGTTAAGTTCCTTCTGGCTGAAGGTAGCAATGTCTGCTAGTCCTGCTGCGGTCGATACATCCGCCATGCGCTGCCGAGGACGATAGTCTAAGATCTTGGTCAGTCCATGCTCATGGTGACGCGCAGCATGCGATAGACACCTGCATACACCTATTGAGTTTGTTTAGTCCCCGAACGCGTCTGCGGCCCTGCACGCCTATCAGCGAACCTTGATCCAGTCTGCTCCTGCACCTATCTGGCGGCGAACAGCCTTGATGCATTCTACCTCTCCATCAACGACTTCCGCGCCCGTTATCCCGTCTACGCCATCCTGGTTGAGATGCAACCGGCTTTTTGGACCTGTGCGAGCGTGATGAGGCGCCAAGTTGTCTGATAGGATCGGTCGCCATTACCATACGTGTTAGTCGTAGCCAATGCTCGGTTTGCGCAGAAGTAGCGTGGTCCGTGTATCATGGGGTTCGGGCCTGATAGCAGCTTCCGCAGATGAATGTCCGCTTCATCCAGGCCTTCCGTACCAAGGTCACTGACCGATACGGATCAAGCACATGAATCCTCGTCATACCCATACCTCGGATCGCATCCGTCGACTCACCGCACAGCGGTATAGCCTGCCATCAATGTCCGCCTTGCGTGCAGGGTTGCACGCACGGTGCGCTCGACGAAGCTTTCGCCCGTGACCTGGTCGTTCCAGCTGACGTCCGAATACGCGTGCAAGAAGACTACGGCCATCCGGAGACACTGAGCAGGCGAGCTCCCGTGTCGTTATCCAGAACTCACTATGAACGTGCGCGTCCACGAACCCCGGCAAGACTGTCGCGTGCCTCAGGTCCACCTCCTGCGGATCGGACCAATTCACGTCTGTTGGCTCATCGTTGCTGTAGCGCCTGACGTCCAGAATGAGACCACATTCGGGCGAGACAGTGATGACTTGGTTCCTCAGAAGTTCGAGGGAGTATGGGTCGAAAAGTCTGCCTGCGAATATCCGCATTTTCGTGCCAGTCGGCTGCATGGAGGCTCTCCGTAAATGTGGATAACTGCTAGAAACCCCATCACTGCGATAAGGGAAGGCCGATTGGGAGGAAGTAAGGAACGCTCCCACTGAGTGTAGTGTCAACCGGCAAGCCGTCCGGCGGCTACGCGAATGACGCGATCACGTGCAAGCAATATACACGAGTGAAGGACGCGAGTGTCGCATCCGAGTTTAAGAGACAAGAGCGATCGTCTTTGCGAAGAGAAGGCAGCCACGGATGCAGATCCATAACGATTCATGGGACGTCTACTAAAGATAACAATGGATGAGAGACTAGTGATACACAGATCAAAAGCAAGACGTAGTAATTATACACGGTCGCCAATTGAGGAAACTCTAGGAAAGACCAGGCATCCTCGAGGGCCGAATCTGTTATATGCGAGGAAGTGTCCTGGTACATTAGTTGGGATCGACATGTCAAGCGCGAGAGCCAGCCATAACGTGAGCAATAAGACGTGCTGATAGATGTCCGTCCAGATGTGATGCGTGAGAAACATACGTGATAGCCTGAGAGCTCGAGAGATAGGCGTGCCCTGGACCAGACGGAGGCGGAGGGTGGACGGGCCATAGTGTTCGTGTGACCGAAAGCGCAGAAACAAGCAGAAAACAAACACCAAAAGCGCACGACAGCCGGCCGGACGCAACTTTGCGCGGATCGGCGCCCGTGGGCGGAATATGCGGAGATATTCGTACGCACGTTCATGCTGCCAGCGCACGGGTCATCGTGAACGGCCCCTCGAGCGGTACCCGGTCCAGAGTCTTTGTCCAGGCGCGCCAGCGCCCGACGAAGTTTGTCCCGCCGATAATGTACCCGCGAAAGATGTACGTGCCAAGATCGCGCTCGAACATGGGGACGCGCACCAGCGCGACAAGACCGTCCCATTCCCGCACGCGTCCGTAGAAGCGGTAGTGATTCCACGCCTCGCCGTGCCTCTGGAGCGTCTGCAAGGGAGAGCGTTGTGAGAGAAGCATTAGCGACCAGGTAACGCAAATGTAGGACGTTGTGGGAGTGCGAAGAAGGACGTACCTCCCCGGTGATGATGATATCCGACACGCCCGTGCACTCTGCTTCGATGTACTCCTCGACGTCGTCTTCGTTCGTCGACGCATACTCATCCTCCTCGCTGTCCATGTCCTCGTCACTGCTCTCCTCGACCACCTCTCTCAGCACCTCGTCCGCGTCCGTCCCGAGCGCCTCTGTTGCAGCTTGCCGTGCAGCAGCGACCTGGTCCATCGGGTCCTCCGGAGGCGAAGGCGGGTCCGATCCGACCTCTTCGCGCGGCCTTTCCTCCGGTTCCTCCTCGTCTGCCGCCTCTTGAGCCGCGTCCACGTGTTCCGCGGTGCGCGCGGCGATGCGCGCCCTCGCCACCACCTCCATCTCGTGGTCCTCCCTTCTCCGTTCGCACAGCGTACATGTATCCTCGCTGTGTCCATTTGGCCGCCCCGGCATCCACGTCGTATAGCAGGAATCGGTGCCGCTGTCTGTGTGCACGACGCGCAGCTCGCCCTTCTCGCGCTCCTCGTAGAACGTCGTGTCCACGGGGAACCACGCGTTGCAGATCCCGTCGTCGAAGCCTTCCGGCTCGCCTCCGCTCGCTGCTGGCGCCTCTGGGTTCACGCAATGGTGCTCGCGCAGGTTCATGTACAGCGGCGACGTGAACAGCCGCGGGTGGTCATATGCGAACGTCGGCGGGAATTCCTGAGAGTGAATGAGGTTGAAGTACCCGGTCACCTCGGGCACCTGTGGGGCGGTCAGCATCGCTGCCGCGGGCAGTGGGAGGGACAGAACCAGCTTACCAGCAGGCGGCCGCGCCAAAGGCCGGTGAGTGTACCGTGTGTCCACATGCTCGGTTTCAGTGACGGATAGTTGTATGGGTCGAAGCAAAACACGAGCCGCGCAAAATCGCGGTCCCACTTTGCGCTCGCGCTTGTCAGATCGGGGCGCATCGTCCGCCCGTCCTCGATTACGCGTTGCTCCGCGCTCAGCCCCGCATACCAGTCCCAGTCGCCGCGGCTCGGGGGCACGACGCTCGGCTTCGCGTTCGCCTCATCGACGTCGGCGCGCGTCGGGTGGATGTAGTGGCGGTTGAGCTGGAGCGAGTGCGCACGGTTTTCCGGCTGCCCGGGGGAGTACGGGAGCGGCGTCTCGTGCAGCGCGGTGTAAATGAGCTGTGCGCCGAGCGCGATGAGCGGGGCGGCGAGCGTAAGCGGCATGGCGAAGTGCGCGAGGTGCTCCGCGAGCGCGTCAGGGTCGCGGTAGAGTGGGTAGAAGCCGTGGGGCGTAGTCAGCAGCCAGGGCGGTTGCTCACGCAGCTGCTCGGGGAGGGGCAGCTCAAAGTGATTGTCGGGCGCGTGGAAGACAGGATAGCGGAGGGCGGTGAGAACGTACGGGCGGACGAGGTCGGATATCTCGTTCCGTTGGTCAGTTGGCATGGCGGCAATCTTTGCTGTAGGAGGGGGATGGTGGGAGATTAAATGAAAGGGAAGGGTGGGTATGAGACGGAGGGAGACGCACCGTCGGTCAATCTGAACCAAAAGAGCCACAAGGCGAGCGCGTTGAGCGTGATCTCTGCTGGCCAGCCGCTGGTCTTCTCGCGGCCCTCGTAGAGGCGTGTGCGCAGGTAGTTGATGACGAGGGCGTCGAGTCCGGCGTGATCGAGCTGGACGGCGTTACGGCCGTCATTCTCGAGGCACATGAGGAAGGCGGTCCAGAAGTCAGCCTCGAGATGGCTGGAGCGGACGTCGCCCTGTTTGACGCGGCCGAGCATGCGCGAGACCTTCTTGAGCTGGAGGGTCTGGTATGTGGGGCGTTTTGTGCGTTCGCCGAGACGCCTGACGGAGGCACGCCAGTCGAAGCGGTGCTCGAAGATGGCAGCGTAGAGAGGTTGTGCATTGTGTGAGGCGAGGGAGAAATAAAAGTGGCGACAGGTGGAGAGGAGAGGGAGGAGATGTGAGGGAGGGCCTAGCGGGTGGTGGGTGGAGAGGTGGAAGGCGACGAGGGCGAGGACCTCTTGGGGGAAGAGGCATATGAGAGAGGACTGGATTGCCATGGGAGGGGGAGCGAGGGGGCTATGGAGGATGCAGCATTGCGGCGGGGTTTATCAAGACACAAAGGCGGGAGGAGGGGCGTCTGTGGCAAGAGCGGAGTGGAGGTGACGATCTAAGAGATCTTGAAGAGACCGATCACCTCAGGATGCGCCCAATTCATTCCACCTGCAGGGTCTTCCCCGCCCCATATCGGGAAGGTCCGAGAACCATGCGAGCCGGCGTGCGCGCCTGTTCCCCCGATTCCTGCCTTGTCATCTCGCGGGAGAACCGCCATGTCGTCGTCTCCGCCCTGCCCGGTGCACAGGCCGTCCGGAGCCCAGTGTGTCGCCTGCGCCGCGCGTCCGCCCCCATCAGCCCTGGCCGACGCCAGCCGGCCCTCCAACGTCATCCCCCTTCTCGCCCTCCGCGATCCTCTGCATCCGGCCATCCCACTTCCTTCCCCGTCGTCCTCGCCCTCCCAATGACCCTGCTCGCGGGGACACATGCTGCCCTCTTCCTCTTCCCCCTCCCACGCTTGTCACCAGCCTCTCCCTCTCCTTCCCTATCTTGGACGCCCCAGTCGTGCGCCATTTCCCTCTCGGGCTCTGCCCCGTGCCCCGTGCCCCTCCCGGCGCACGCCCCCGCGCCCTCGCCCCCGCGCTCGCGACCGCGACAGATCGCGTCCAATATGTTCTCGTACGTACACACCGACACACCCTCTCACGATTCATTGCCGCCCCTCTCCCCGCCAATCATTCCGCTCCAACTCCTGCCACATATCGCGTCCTGGCCCACTTCTCCGTCTCACCCCTGCCATCCATGGTCGCCAGTCTATGTTTCCTCCCTCCGCCTCGTACCTTGTCCCATGTCCGCCCCGTCCTTCCCTGTCCACTTGTACCCCCGTTTCAAACACCGCCCGCTGCTAACGGCACCTTGCTATCTCCCATCATCCGGCCCCGACCAATTCTCAGAAATCCTGCCGTCACCTGCAACCGCCAGCCGCGTCCGTTTCTGCCGTAAACTCTGATCTCCGGCGGCTATGCCCGTCTGTCTCTCGGATCTCTATCTTAGTCATCATCCCTCACCGCCGCGGTTCAAGAAATCCTCCGTACCGCTCTCCAATGTATTTATGACAGTTGCACCGCGTCTCTTTCTCCGCGGCGCAACCATGGCCCATCCTTCTCGTTCTCCATTTGCAATTCGATTCGGCGGGGTCTGTCCGCCCTGCTAAGTTATGTCGCGATCTATGCATTCTATTCAGCGGACCCGCTTCAAGTCGATCGGATGATTCGCGCTACGCTCATTACGTCGTCCCTCAGCGTCGTCCAACGCTTCGCGAAAGCCGTACATGAGCCCGTCCTCGGCACGATCACACCGGCTCAAACTGTGAATGCTACTATATCGCCGCCGCTTCTGGTGAGTCGCATTCAGCCCGCGCGCTCACCTTGGCCCGTGCACAAAGTCAATATGCGATGCTATTCCCGTAGGCACGTCTGATCGGTCTGCGATCGTGCCCAGGCTCGCATGGACAGCACAGCCAGCGTGACCCGTGCCGTATCTCCGAGGATCCAGCAGCGCGCCCTAGCGCATCGCCGCGGAGCTCGTCTGCCCGTTGTCAAATCTCGGTCCCATCTCCACTTAATAGGTCTCTTGGCTTGCCGCGGCTCCGCGCGCGCACGCCTGGCTACTGGCTGGGTGTCTATCGGTGCTGGTGGACCGCTGCCGTTGGTGTTCTGGGGCGGCATAGCCCTGAGAATGCGGACATGTCGCCGCTCCCGGGGTCGATCGTGGTACTAGACACCCTCGAGTCGACCCTAGCAGAGCGACAAACACCGTCCAACAGGCGCCCACAAGCTGTCAATCACGACGACGTCGAGCCCTTTCTGTCATTTCCTCTCACCCCCGCTCGTGTGCTAGCCCGATGCAGGTACGTGATCCGTATTGCTTATGGTATCTCGTCCGCGGCACACAGGAGTGGCTCCTCAGGGTCTCGGCCTGCCGGACGCGCATACATGCCGCCAGTGTCTTGTGAATGCGATGCATGCTAGTCGACATTCCCGGTGGAATGCTCTGACGCTCCCTCCCGCCAGCGGCCTCGATATCACACTGCACAAATCCGCTGCCGAGTATGGGCACTGGTGCATGGCGCTCCGCGGATATTCGTCTGCGGGCACACGCCTGTCTCGTCGCTTCTCGTCCAACCAGTACAACGTGAATCTTCACGTTCGAACCCGGCGCATACACCCACGTTTGCCACTTCGTGGCGGCCTGTGATGGACAACGGCCCTGGCAGACCACTTGGCTCCCCTGGCTGCCAACGGAAATTAATTCCTGCCCAGTATGGGCAGTCATGCACGGCGCTCCGTGCTCACACACGTCTCGCGCTCATCCGTCTGACCGAGCATCTCAACGGGACAATAAAGCCCGTACTCAACTCCGCGTATGTCTTCGGAGCTACCGGATCAGCCGCTGAGACCGCCGACGCTGTCCGGGGGGAGGACGGTGGGGAGGCCGCAACCGGTTCGCGAAGCACGGTTTTCAAGTCCGCCAGCTCCACCGTCGCTGAGCTTTTGGCCCCGCCGCCGTCCTGGCCACGGTCCCGCGTGCACGCTGTTTATCACAGGCCCGGCGCAGCCTTCCCAGGGTCCGGTAACAGACGGACTGCACCCGGAGCGCACCCGACGGAGTGCGACGTGCAGGGTTCTCCGTGAAATGAACAGGGAAGAGTGCGTGTGCTGTTCCTTCATTTTCGGGGGAGACCTCGCGCGGCCTCGTGGGCAGCTCCTCGTTATGGCCGTCGTCCTCGGCGCGCCCACGCGGGAGCCGTACGCACATGTGGAGGAGCGACCGCGCACCCGGGTTTGGTGTACTGGCCTGATCTTCCCTTCCACGTATCCTAGGCGTTCTGCACCAGGGAACGGACGGGCTACGTCATGTTTGCTGCGGTCACCGCCGGACCGCAGCTGCCGCCGGCAATCTGCGGACTGCACTGCAGCTTGCAGCTGTGGTGGCAAGGGTATCGTATGTTAACCTGATTCATACCCCTCTATCCTGTATGTTCCCAATGCCACCTTCATCGCCAGAGCTTTCACAATGTCCGATTAATCAAGGGTCCGAAAGCGTGCGGGTTCTTACGGCATCGGTCATCGACGTAAGGGTGCAGGTTTCGCCGCATCATGCTCTCAGCATCACGTACTACGTACTGACAGCCCTACCCTCGAATAATTCACCGTATATGCTGCGACTCGCGGCCAGACTGTCGGTGTACGTCTACTCCTCGTCTGATCCTTCATATCAATTGATGTAGGCCTTGTTATAGCCGCCGTAGGTTACACATGCAGCATTCCTGCTCGAGATGCTTCCAGGGCATCCGTTGTGGGGCTCGTTCATAAGGATAGGCGACAAAGGCTCCAATAGAACCCGGGGTCTTGAACCCCGTAAAGTAGGTGAGATTCAGCCGCACTACGTCCCCATCTCGAGTTTGCAGGACATGCGTCGTGGCCGATGCAGTATCTAGCAGCGCCCCTGGTGCCCAAAGGTCCGCTGCTGAATGAATGCCTTATGCCGTTATCCTGCTTGACATTTGACACTCCTCCATTGGGCAACCCGATACGTCTGCGGCGTGCACATTCGATCGACCACCGAATTCCTGGTGAAGGGCCAGCGAACCTGACAGCCCGCCTTGAACCTGATGGTATCCGCTATGCTGGTTTGACGGCGTCTGGTCCCTCCATGGGCGTGCGGCGTTCATGGGCGCGTGTTGGTCTTGCCCTAATTCGGTGTGCTCCGCAGGGTTCACTGTTACTCCTGACTCAAGGTGCATTATGGTGCAGGACAATGTTTGTTGCGGCTCGATCACTGGGCAGCATTCATTCTGCGTACCTCCTGACTAGCTAGAGGCAAGGAAGCCTCGGGTAACCCCGACGTGAGTTTCTAGAGTGAATGTATGCGCCGCTTTTCCGCTGAACAATGGAACTAGATATCGACGATCATGTTCGGACCGAATCGCGTGTGCACTCCCAGCAGACGGATGCCCTTCGTCCCACGTACGAGTGCGACTAGTCGTACAAGAGCCCGACTGTCTGTACGTGTTTCCTCTCGTTCTTCTCTTCCGCTTGGTGGTCTTGTGCTTTCGTGCGACTGCGTCCGCGCCTCTATCGGTGCCGGAAACGTATGTACGCATCACGGCGCCTTTACTTGCACTGCTCTGAAATTACACTTTAATCCGAGTGCTGCACGATGCGCTTCGTGAAAGCGTATCATGTTTCTCTGCCTCCGCACCCAGCAATTACGTTTCCTTCCAGCACTTTCGGGGCCTTCGTGGTGTCAAAGGCTACGGTTCGATGGACGGCACGGCGGCCACCAATCCCGTCCGATCTGTGGAGCGCTGGCTTTCCGGTCGGACGTCATCGCGTGCGTTCATTCGCTCGGGAAAGTATGGTTGGCGTGCCTTAGAGTCTTGTTTCTGAGAACCTGTTCACAAGGAGGTCGTCCATGTCAAGAGCTTATGTGAGTGGTTGGTCTAGCTCGCAGCCGGTCCTTTTGAACTTTGAACAGGTTTATTGTACATGATAGACAGATATATTTGCTTGTTTCGAGCACGTGCCGGTCGTCTGAGTCCGGTAGGTATTGCACGGACGCATTATGTTCGACAGTCCGTGTCCGTGGAAGAACTCACTTCTCTCGCTCGAATGCACTGGAGTGTAGGCAGCAGTGCTTCTCCACGAATAGTCTCGGGAGAATTACTAAGATAGCTGAAACACACTGCAGCTTCTTACGTGGTCAGCCGAAACTCAACTTGATCGCGTGCGTTATGTGTGCGGTTGCATTGCAGTGCTCGTTGCATAGAGGCACAGAAGTCGCGAAGCCGGCACTAGTGGGCCTCGCTGAGCGAGCGGGACCCGCCAAACAAGGTCAAGAGGAACCGTACTCTATTCATGAAGAGCCCGCTGGAAGTCCTGGATCCGACACATTGAAGGAACGCAATGCTAGGCCTCGTATGGAAGGCCAGGCGCGGTGACCCTGGACTTTTCCCACTGGCAAGGCGTTCTGAAATGTACTCAAGCACAGACAGCCGAGTGTCAGGGCCTCAGCGCTGATCAGCGTGGCACCCTGAGAGCGCGTGATGCAAGCGTTGGTGGTTATCCGCCACTCCTTGTCTCCTAGAGAACTCGGTCAGCGCCCCACTCTTCCAAGCGGCGTAGCGTAAGGTTTACTTCTTGGCTAGTTCAATTGACTTTGGTGTCGTGCGCTCCGTAGGTGATCGTTCACACGTCCGTACATAGTGCGTGCTTAGAGGTCTGCTTAGGAACGGACGCTTGTTTACGTCCTAATGTCGTCTTCATCCCACGATAACACAGGTATTCATAGGCATCATCAGGAACCCGATGATACTGCATCCTGGCGTTGGGTGTCTCGCACATAACTCTGACAAGCCGAGGTTTGTGTTCGTCTACTGTCAGTCTCATGTCGCAAACTGAACGACAGCGGACATTACGCAACCATGCTTCGTGCTCGAATTTGCAGAATGTCAGTGAGTCCTCCTGCTTAAAATCAAATTTCACAGCTCCGTTCCCATCGTGCTGGGCACGACGTTGGCGATACCAGCATATGGCGATATGGGGTTAACGCTGTGTTGCATAGCCTAACTTACGGGATTCCACACGTCTACAGGAAACATTTGCAATGTCCGTGTACTTGGACGCCAACAGCGCATGTGCACGAGCACCGATTATGGCATCACAGCCGTCTTCGTCCTCTAGATAACGCAGAGGCGCCAACCACGCCATTCTTGTGTCCCATATCGTTGGATACAATGCAATCCTCTAACGTGCGCGCCTCTTTCTGGTTATTTCTGGTTATAATACTAAGAATCCGTCGCCAATGATGAGTTGTCACAGTCTCATCCGTCGGCTACACTGAAATTTACAAAATTGCCGTGTTAATTAAACAAGAGATGCTCGCTAACCATGCCATAACGAGATCGATATACCGTAGTGCGTCGATCTCGTCGCAAGGCACATGCCGCCACCTGCTATTAAGGTGCGAGTCGGGTCCAGGCCGCAGAGATGTATAAGATGCTCCTTATCCCCGCCATTCATTCTAGGCACTGTGTGTCTCGGCATGTGGGAGCGCCAAGAGGTGGGTACCGCGGGTCCTCGGCTGTTGGATCTCACAAGTTATAGCATGCCATATGCGGCACCCACAGACCCACACAGCGGAGACAAATGTAAGTAGTTTAACTACTGTCGACCCTGACTTGTGCTAGCGCAAGCGACGCCCCCCACATGTGCTCGAGGACATACTGAGCCGATACCGTGATGGCGATGATTGGCCGATTCGCAGGAACCAGTCGGAGACGAGGTCGAACGCATCATTGACATGTCTGGAAACCTTCGGATTACTGGTCCGTAGAGACTAACGCTCGAGACCTGAGACAGTTAAGTCACATCCAGATTCTCGCAAACCCCACAGTATGCTCATGTGAGCCATTGCGAGTCTGGCCTCATTGGCCATCGACTGAATGCGTTTACTTCCAGAACCGGCCATATTTCCGATCGCACCCGTGCAATGACTCCTCCGGCTGCAACTCAGTCTAGTTTGCCTAGAATCACGGAAAGGTCATCTCCGCGTTAAATGCACACCGTCAGTCTCCGGGCATGTGTCACTCTTACCATCTAGCCGGGTATTGCCTTTACAGCCGGACATGAATTGTCGGACATATCAGTGAGTGCACGCTCTTGTGTCTCTGGGCAGGGATTCCAACTCGCGCCGGCACTTGGGCTGGGCTGGGCTGGGCTGGCCAGCCTACATACGGGTGCTGTTATCCAAATTACCCATATTCGGAGTGGAGGATATGCTGACTGATGCCTTCCGAACACGGGCAATGTCTATAACTAACTTTTAGCGCCGCACCTGTTTCTCGGCGTCGATGGGCATTGATTGAGTGGGATTGCAGATTTCATTGACCGCAAGTCATTGATGGCTGCCATCTCCCGGGTGCGATCGATGCCGTCACCCTTACCGCCCCACTCACTTTGTCAGTCAAGCGTCACAAAAGGCCCGAAAATGACAAAACATACCTGTGTCATGGTCACAGCGGAGAGACAAATCGAACCTACGAGTTAGTCAAGTGCTTCCCTCTCCAACTTCTCGACATCGCAGAAGCCAAGCTCAATCAGCAAAGCAACACCTTTCGAGGTGTCATATCACCGTCTCGTGCTGATTAATAGGCGCGAATTCGAGGTTGTGAATGTACCACCATCCTGTTTGATTGTTTTCACTTACCCTGCAAGGACAATGCGGCCAGCATTTTCAGAGCCAGTGACCAGTATACATACAATACAGGAGTACACGACATGGGTATAGGCGAATATGTTACACAGATAGCGATGTGCCCGAATTCATGAGATAATGTACTAGAAAGACACAGCGAATCATATCGATTGTCCCGTGGACTCAAGCTACTGCCGAGAGCACTTGTTTCCTCCGTTCCTCGAAGCGATCGCCTTCCGTTTCCGCCCGCTCGATAGTCTTGAGTAGCTTCTCTTCGCGCGACTGGAGCCGCTGCTCCATCCCGAGAATCAGGAGGCGGACTTGTTCGACGTGCGCTGCCGTGGCTTCTGTGCTAGCCGCTGATCCGCCTCCCGGTGCTGAACCAGCGTCTAACCTGTGAGGATTCAGAACATTTGCCGCCCGCATGGCAGCAACGGGTGCAGGTGCAGCAGAAATGTTGAGGTTGGCCTGAGGTGTAATGAGTCAGTAGTCCCCCAAGGCATCGAGACAGATTACTGCACCTGCCAATTAGCTCCTGCAAGCTTTTCAAGTTCACGCTCTAACATCTTCTCTCTAGCCTTCCCTCTATGAGGTCGTGAGCGAGAAGTCCGCGACGATCGATGTATGTATACACACCGTTCCAATTCAGCCATACACCGCTCATTCTCCCTTTGAGTTCCCTGCAGCAATATGTCAAGGTTCGTGTACTCCTTCTGCAATGCTTGGACCGCCTCCAAAGGGGGTCGTTGTGCAAGCTGCGCTTGCAGCGTCTGTATCTGCGCTTGTAACTAGATGTAGTCGAGTATATGAGCGAGTGGCCTGATCAAGGCAAGATTCCTATAGCATGGCGTGCAGACCTTGTCGCATTCTCTGTCCTTCTCAATCAACTGGCGCCGCAATACATCTTCGCTTGATTCGTCCGGGCTCTCTTTCAGCATCCCTAGATCATCTGTGCCCAGGGCAAGCGAGGGCCTTCCATAATGTCTGACTGTCTGTGCGCGGCGCATGATCGTAGACGTGAGGGGAATCGTGAACAGTTCAAACTACTTTCCTCGCTATCCACGGAGGTCAGGAAGAGCGTGTAGCGACCAGGGCTGGCCTGGACTACGCGAGGCAACCGCGTGGGGTCGCGTGCCACCGTTCGACGAGTTGTTTGTCCTTGTGTGCCAAGGGCCTCTAATCTCAGCAGAGCTAAATAACGCGCTCACGTGGGTCGCGTAGACGCCCATGCCAGTAACGGGCGTGGTAATAGACGCGTCTCCGGTGTAGTTATGCGATTGTGTTTCCTTTAAAGGCGAAGTCTTGATAGTGACTGGTACCTCTGACCAAGGCCTTCCTGTCATACTCGTTGAACGGCGCTGGGAATTACGGAGCGGGGATTGTAGTGATTGCATCGGGTCATACAAGCAGAACTAGAACAGGAGAAGTACCGAGCCTAATGTTTATAAAAAGGCAGATTCTTCAGCCAGTGTACGATAACGTCCTTATGAGTGACATCGTAAGTCAATACATATCAACGAGGAAGCCCAGACAGGGCGCGCATACCTCAGTGACTTCTGGCTGGTCATGAGGAGCCATGTGCCTAAGATTCAATGTAAACGTCGATATCAAATTGATGAGTGGTGATAGACCGCTCACCCAGCATCATACACCTGCACAAAAGTGACGTTGCCCGCGCCAGGGCCGGCGGACCGCACTTCGCCTCCAACTAAACCAGATTTCGCTGTTTTCCACCGCCTCGCTGGCGCAATCGCAAACTCGGAATGGTAGTTGTGTTCCAACTTCTGCATCCAATGTTGAACACCCTATTCCAGAGACCAATCAGGCATCATTTATGGACGCGGACGAGCAACTTACCATGTAGTTGCAAATCCAATCTGATGAGGCAGACATAGAATGTCTTCAGTGGAGGACCAATGGACATAACGAGTCGAACTCACCTGTATCACCCGCCATAACAAGCAAGCGGATCCCGTCGTTGATCAGTTCTGGGAGGAGTGCTGCGCTGTTGCGCATAGCCTGACCTTGCTCGTAGAAACGACCATTGGTGGTCATGTTACACATAGTGAATTCCCTGTTTCGTCGACACCGAGACTGTCTCGATGCGATGGTTTGTTCAGGAACCGTTCAATCCAGTTGGACTCAGGATAACACGTCGAGCTATTAGCATCACAGGCAACTCGCAGGTCGTAAGGGTTGCGATCGGTGGCTGAGGATAATCCTTAGGGGACCGCTCGCGCGAGAACAATAGAGGCGCACTTGTAATCGTTGTAAGTAATTCATACCAACAGTAATTTGTGGCAGGGTTGCAAGTCGCTTTCGAAGGGAACCTGTAGCACGACTCAATCAAGGAAGTGCACAAAGGTGCCTTGCGTTTAAGGGTTGCGCATTCTGAACCACTGGGATCCCATGGCGGATACGGAGCACCTCCACACCCGTATTCAGGAATGGAACCAAATTGAACGAGAGGATCGGTGAGACCGTTCACAATGATTAGCGAGGCGAGGTTTATGTGCTGAAGGCCGGCGCGAGGAGCAAAAGCGAGCTCCTTGTTCTTCTTGTGAATATAAGACCCGATGTTCGGTGCATAATGCCCTCCCCAACTTTCAGCCGCCAGGTGGAACGGAGCAGACGCATACTCTGGGTAGCGCGTGAGGAAGAGGGTCAGAAAAGCATACAGATCCACAGTCATGTCGGATAGCGTGTCGACCTTTGAGCCGTCCGAGGAGTACGAGAAGCCAGTGTTAATTGGGGAGTCCAGGAAGATCAGGTTGGCGTGTTTGTTCCACGAGTAGTGGTTGGGAACGGACGATTCCCCTTCGTCAGCGATCGTGCAGGGTCCCATTTCAAAAAATAGCCCCATAGAAGATGTGCACCCTGGGCCTCCGTTAAGCCACATCATCAAGGGGGCATCCTGTGGAGACTCTCTGGCCTCGAAGAACCTATACATAGTTGAGAGCAGGACATTTTGGCGGACGAGGATGTGTTTCGCGGCTCACCAGAACCAGAGGTGCCTGCCATCCGAGATATCGAGGTAGCCAGAATGCTGCTTGACTGAAGGATCACAAAGCGAGGGATCTGCCGTGATCCGCAAGTTGTGCTGAGAGAACTCAGGATGTGCTACTAGCTCATCTGGACATGGCGGTGGCCTGAGTTCAGACTATGCCACGATATGAGAATGGGTGCAACTCACAACTCCTCGAGCCATTACTCCTGCCATCAGCTATCTTAGAGGTCGTACTCAACCCAGCCCCGAATGTTGCCTGGTATGGAGTAGATGCTTGAGCAGACTGTCCGGCACAGAATGCAATAGCGATCAGAGCCGTCGCTTTCGTGATCGCGGACTTCATCGTTGCTGCTTCCCCTTGGTGTCCACCAGAGCTGCTGTTGGCTTACGGTCCTCGCTCACCGTCGGGGCCACCGCCTGGTGTGGTTGGCATAGCGTGGAGGCTTCTACTGCGACCATTTGATGAAATGTCATCCGTGCATAGTTACTAGTCCGGTTGAACAGGGAAGGCATTTTGGAGATATCCGAGAATCTCTCTTATGGGGCCTCAACGGTGCAGTATTGTCTTTGTTTTCCTCGCTCAGGTGCAGTCTGACGAGGGCGATGATCTATGCTACCTATCTGAAGGCTCAAGGTGCGAGGACCTGTTTCAGTACATGCTCAGAACAAACCAAACATCGATTTTCGTGGCGGTAGGCACTTGATATAGGTCCTTTTTTAAATTTCCCATTGATATGAAATGCACCAATACATTGTCTCCGTACAGCTATCGTTTGTACGATGTCTTCAACTGAAGCGTGGAACAAGCTAAAAAATCAGCCGCTGCATAAGCCCGCTGAAGGACTTTGGAATTAAGTGCTTAATGTTGGTGAGTGAAACCAGTCAACCTCCATATCGGTTGGTTCTTCTGTAGCCAGTACAGACGATTCAGTCCTGACTGATGGACAATTATGCAGCAGACCTCATGAGCATGGCTTCATAGAGAACGATCGTCGCTCTGGCCGTATCACAACTTTTGTTTTGGCGACAATTTCCCCTACACGACCGCGAATTCACAGAAACAAATTGTGAACTGCACAGCTGGCTATATGCGCACAGAACCCGCATCTAGCAAATCTGCACCCAGTTGGGCGATTTGAACCGCTATTTCAACTTTCCACTACATAACAAAATTCCTGGATGTCTAATGATATAGGTACGCAGCACTGCCTCAGGTTGTCGGCAAGATCATGTCGTCAGCGTTGGCTGCACAAACGTCCCTTCGATAAGATCAGGCACCCAGGAACTGGACAGGTTAGAAGGTTCAATGGATTACATGGCTCAATGCTACGTCGTTGATTTGTTATTGGCAGTTACAATACGATTGACGTGCCTAGCAACTACGTCAGTTCACAGCCCGAAGGCTTGCTGTCAATATCGATTACATCGGTCTCAGACGTTCCGTCCAGGCACCCATCCTTTTTTCTGCAAAATCTTCGCATCTCAATCAGAGCAGAAAGATCTACGTATCCCATCAGACGTGTGCCGGTAGATTGCGGCATACGACACTATCCTACTCAGACAAAGGTGCATCTGCTTTTTTCCTCCACCGCTTGTCTCTATTGCGTGACGCATAGACGATGGACGAATCATTCCCAGCTATCTCTCCATTTTTCCCCGCCGACCTCCAAAAATAACCCCTATATGCAGGCGGCTTCTAACCCCCACATACTGTGTCTTCCCCGCAATCTGTACCCCGCATTTGTGGAAAGGTGCTCTGATCTAGGGTCCCCCTCAGAGTGGGGCTCCACAATGCTCCCGCCGCGGCGCTCCCGGGTGCACAAGAACACCCCAGTTCCTGTATCTGCGCCTCGTCCCCTTGCTGTCCAGATCAGATTCCATACGGATCCCCAACTCTCGTCTAGGCCTTGCGTAAACGCGATCGGAGGCTCTTCAACGTCTCGTAAAGCCACTAGTTCGGCCCCGGCCCTCCTGAGAGGACAACAGCAAGACCCGGTGCCTCTAGCCAGCAACTTGGCAGTGGACTTGGCGTTGACCTAGTGCGCGACTGTTCACTCCCCCACTTGTATGTTCGCCGTGCCCCTTTCAGGTGGCTGGGGACGCCCGGGCATTGGCCTGCAATTTCTGCCCTCTAGAGCGGTATACTGCGCTATTACACAGCGTTCTGGAGATAAGCACGTCCCCGTGGCCTGAACGCGTAATGTGCGCCAAGGTGAGCATCGGTGGATCTGCCGAGCACGTCGTAACTCAATCAACCTGCTGCATCCAGCGCTATTTGTACAACAGTGATCTGTCACAGTTAGCTATGACATCGCGCGCAGCAGGGCCGAGCGGTCAAATTCGAGGCCCCATGGATAGCGTTGTGTATCTTGCGTTCGACCTACAGGTTCCGAATGTCGAAGAATGGATCACAGGACATCGTAATGACATCGTGTACATGTAGCGTTTGTCAAGTAGGTTGATCGTTCAGGCTGTATGAAATTGACATTGCAGCGTCATCCGCCGACGCGATACGAGATGAGAAATTGTGATTAGGCGCGACTCTACTGGGGAGTGCCCAGCTCTATTCATGGGTAGCGTTGCTCAAGTTCTGTGGTACGTGCAGTGTGTACAGTACGACAGTGAGTCCGTGCGTGAATTGTGAGATAAGGGAGAAACGAGTATTGCAGAGCGACAAGACTGCAGTCAACAAAACGAGGATGAGATTGCTGGCGGACAGTGAGCAATGCATGTGTGTGGAGAGAGAACAGACGACGAAGTAGACGCTACTCTTACACTACTGTACTGTACAGAGGACACGAGATCAACCCAAGAGAAGGAGAGTGTGATTGCGGAGGCAATGGCGCGGAAGTTAGGACGACGTCTGACCGTGTATGGATTGCAGGCATCGAGCGACCGTGGTAGAGGGTATAGTGTAGACATCCGGCGTGGATTTTCGGGGAGGGTGGTGATGAGCGGTGGTGTACAAACAAGATTGCAGATAGGAATAGATAGAGACCGTTGAGACGTTGAAGTCGACCGGTGACTTGAACAGCTAAAAAAAGAAAACAAAGGGCGGAAAAGATGAGGATGGAGAAGGACGCGACGTGGTGAGGAGCAGCCCGCCCTGTTGGGGGAAGCAGCTTGCATGCATATATGCGTTTTTTCTTCTTGTTTTTCTTTTGGCATCCATCGCGGCGTCTAACATCAGCTGTCGCAAGGTCCGTCCGGTCGTTACGTCCTGCATCACCAGCGCCCGAGCGTGAAGCGAGCAACGTAACGTCAAAATCGTCCGAGCACGAGTACACGTGTCAGCTGAGGTCGTGCGCAGCGATGGGTATCGTCGGGTTAGGCAGGAGCGGGCGGGGGTAAGGGTAGGCGAGGGTGGTCGTGTAGAGGAGACGTTGCGGGGAGATGCGGGGTAGCGCGGGGTGTACGTATTCAGGAGAGGGAAGTCGGACGCGGGCAGCAACCCATGACGTGCTGGCGAGCAACATATCACCGCAAAGGGGCTGCAAAATGACAGCAGACGAATCAGCATTTGTTTAATCACGACTTCCCGCTCTGAGGCCGCACACAGCAGCATTGAAAAGGGACCGCACGCACAGCGCAGCGCGCACAGAGGCCACGCTGCGCCCTGAAAAGGCGCACACAACCAACCACTCGTCATTGCTCTCGCGCTCGCCTGCGTCTCTCTGACCAATGACGTCGCCGCGCGAGCGCGTCCGTCCGTCAGACGGGTGGCAATCATCGCAAGGGCGAAGACACAGACGGCAAAGTACGTAACGCGACAACACACATCAGATAGCCTTCCGTTCCCAAGAACCCATGCGCCCCTCCAAGCTTATACAAAAGCGCGCCCCAGAGCACCGTCACCAGACAGAAACCCGAGACTCACCTCCCACCATCCCCGCATCCATCATGCCGAATCCACTCCCAAACGCAGGGAATCCATACGAGACGGGAGGAGCTGCAACGGCAGTCCCGCGGCCTACAGGTGTCCCTGTCGGCGAGCCCGTGAAACACCAGTTCCGGATGAGCGCCGCATATGTCGGGTCGCGCAGCGCGGGCGTCGACGCGCCAGATGACGCTGGTGAGCTGCTGCCTGACGACAAAGACGGAAGGCTTATGGAAATTGTGCTCTGCAGCGCGTTCCTGTGTTGCGTGTGCGCAGAGATTGCCTGGTGCCCCTGTTCCCCAACATCGAGACCGAGGCCTAATGATGCCTGCTCATGCGAAGGCGAACTCGGTGGGCTCATCAGCTGTTCTTGAGTCTGCGAGGGCACTTCCGAGGCCGACACAGGGAACTCGATGCCCAGCCCAGTCCCCATATGCGCGCCGAACCCGCTCGGGCCCGTCCACGGCAGCTTGAAGTCGAGGGGCTCTAGCGCAGTGACGGGCTGCTCGCTAGTAATCGCGTCGGGGGATGAAACATTGGCCTCATGTGGAAGGGCAGTCGTATCCCCTAGATCTTCATCCTCCTCCTCAATCGGCACCTCCGATTCTTTCAGCGGCACATCCGCGCTCAAGCCAACACCAACCGGCAGACTGGCGCTCCGTACCCGCCCGCTCCCTCCATTCGGCGGTGTTAAAGGTGGCGTGACCATTGACGACCCCGAGCTCGCGCTCCCCGGTGCAACGTAGTTCGACAAGCTGAGCCGCTTGTTGATGTAGCCCTGCACGGGGCTATTTGGCACCGAGCTCGACCGCGAGTCCGCCGCATACAGCGACAGAAGATCCGCAGGGGGTGTCGCCGGTAGGGGATTCGACGCCGAGCGCATAAGCTGCGGCGCATACACCTTGCTCTTCATCTGCATTTGGCGCACAGATTCGACCTGCGCCTTCGCCAACGCAACCATTCGTGCATTCGCGCTCGCATTTTCACCTTCCTCGGGACCCTCTGGCCCCTGCGCAAGCGCACCACTCGTCGGGGTCGTCCGAAGCGTACTCGGCGCGCTGAACGTGCGCTGCTGAGAATGGATTTCACCTGTACCAAGGCCGATTCCCATGCCGAGGCCCATGCCGGCGAAGTTGTGCGAGTGCGTCGCGGGCGAGGGCGGCGCACGGCGGAAGCCGACGCGGAAGTTCTGGCCGCTGTTGTTGTCCCACCACTCGCCGCCGCAGCTGGGGGCGTAGCGCGTGACGAGGAAGAGAGTGCGCTCGGCAAGCTTGTGCTCGTAGTCCTCCAACCGGATTATGAAGCTGCAAGTTAAATGAACGTCAGCACGCGCGCGATCGAGATACATTAATGTTGACGATCGGGAGCCGATCAACAGTGATGGCGGGCGGCGGGTGAATGGAAGAACAGACGGCACCGACGCTCACCTGAATCGATCCCAGCTCAGCATTCCCTCATCCTCCTTCGCTGCTCGGTCCCCGCTCGCGATGCTCCCCGCCAGGTCGCCCACCGTCCGCGGGTGCGGGAACGGCGGTGGCAGGCTCGGCAGGCTCACGACGTGCCTGCATGTAACCTCGCTCGTCGTCTGCCAGTCGTCCAGCGTGAAACGCACCGCAACGCGCTTCTCGAACGAGATGTTCCGCACAAGCACCGTTCCGCGCAGCGCCGGGGGTCTCGTACGTGGGAGCGCGAGTGTCTCCAAATGCACATTTGCGTATGGCGAGGGCATGGGCACGGGCACAGAGCTCGTACGCCCCGAGCTGGTGTCGATCTCGTAAAGCGGCAGTTCCGCAGACGCTATTGACGGGAAAGGGAACGAGTTCGACCCTGAAGGCACATTGGGACCCTCCGCCTCCGTCTCGGTTTCTGTCTCTTCGCCAGACGGCTTCGAAAGAGAGGCAGGCTTGCCAGAACGAGAGAACACACGGACAGTCTCGAGCCCCGAGTCTTTGTCAGCGAAGTGAACGTTCTTCGGCCCCCCGGGCGTCGATGGCGCGGACTGGGCACGGAGGTGCTTCGTCGCGGCGCGTCCGAGAGCGTCGGCTATGTTGGGCGACGAGGATGAAGACTTCAACGAGGGCTTGAGAGGCTTGCCGTTGGAGAGGATTATAGGTGTGCTGGGAGTGCGTGTGAGGGATGCTGTAGGCGGTGAGGAGTTGGTGGTCGCAGATGGGGCAAGGAAAAATGGAGAGGAAGAACCGCCCGGGGAACTGGGTGATGAGGTTGGGAAGGGTACGGACGCGGGTGCGGGTGGTGGTATGTCGATGCGTGAAGGTGGTTCGATAGATGGGGAGAACCTGCCGTTGTTCATCGACAGACGGAGGGAATTGGTGGGAGAGAGGTACGAGCGGTGCGGGGACACATAGGCGAGACTAGGGCGCGGCGTAGGCTGGGGCGCGTCGTCGTCGTCGTGAGCGGCATCGTCATCGTGCAGGCCGAGGTGGAAGACAGCCTTTTTATGCGAGCGGGGGAGTGTGCCGAGGGAGACGAAAGCTCCGGGACCGCGCTCTTCAGAAAAGTTGCCCGAGGAGCGAGTGCGGCGGTGGGAGCGGGGCGCCGCCGTGGTGGTGACCGTTGAGGACGATGGTGAGGTAATGTGGTCTGTAGGAAGGGCGTAAGGCATCGTGGAGGTCGTGTCGAGGGCTAGGAATGTGCAGAGGGCGGGCAGAAGAGGGGGAGCCTAAGTACGCCAGAAAATGGCAGGCAGACAGGGGGGCGCGCTGGCAGGGACGGATAAGCGCGGGGGGAGGAGAGAAGGATCGCGCTATTGTTGGCGTGCAGGGATCTTCTCTGCAACTGCGCAACCTAATATTGCAGGCCGGGAGGAGAGGAGGAGGGCGCGAGTGGGGCCCCAGACGTTTGGTCCAGCGCGGCCCTTATGCAAGAGCTCCTCCCTCTGATGCCCCGACCGACGTCATTCTAGATTATCCATTCTAGGCATCCCTCACGTGGCAACGCTTATCACCATCCCATAACAGGCAATCCCTCCCGCCCCTGCCCCGCCCCTCGTCCCGCTAGTCCCTTTTCCCCACCGCTCCTCGCCGCGCTTTTGCTACACCCGCACACGCTCTGCAGGCCTATTTCCTCCCAATATCCGCTGCTTTCTGCCAGCACCGCCCGCCTCGTGCGCACTGACAGCACCCCATTGTCCCATCGATGGGCCTGCAAATTTGCGTCCGCCTCTCTGGGCGCCTGTCCCTGTCTGTCTGACCATCCAGGATTTCTGCCAGTCGTACCCGCTTCCGTTTCGAACGGCGCAGCTCCACCCGCCCAGCCAATCCCCACGTTCTCGCCCCCATCACTGCCCAACTTCCTATCTCCCCCATCCATTCAGTCGCCCAGGCCCGGTACCCGAGCCCGTGTGTTCGCGCTCTTCCAATCGCGCCTCTTTTACGCCCACAATCGCGTTTGTTCTTACTCAAGCTGGCCCACCGCAGCTATCCCGATCGGGCGCGCACATCCACCGGCTCGGACGCTAATGCCATCCTGACATGTCCGCACGCAGTTTTACTTAGACTCGCCTTCGCGTCTATTGCATGCGCGCGCGCCCATTTTCGTTTTTGACCGTTGATGCAGATTGACGTGCGCGTTCCCAGACGAGCCTCCGTATGTCTATTCCCACCACCACGGCTCGCCCAATCTCTGCACTGCCAGCGCGTACGGGTGTCCCTACCATCCCTGTCCGCGGTTCTGCACGCTCTGGGATGCTCTTCGCAGCCATTCACTTCCCGCATCACCGGCCTTCCACTCGGCCTCCATCTCGCGCGTCCACCGTGGCAAGCCCCAGTCCGATTCTCATCCCACTTCCATCCCCATTCTATCCTGCACACCACGGCCGAGCGCCCTGCCAACCTGGCTGCTCCTCGCAACAGTCGGTGTCGCACTCGACTATCTACCCGCGCTATCTATCGCAATTCAATTCAATTGCGCACAGCCCGGCCATCAGCTTCGCACGCTTCCCTTACGTTTGGGCTTTATCTATACCATCCTGCGTCGCTCTGCCTCCGGCCTCGGGCTTCGTGGCTCCCTTCTTGGCTTCGCTGCTCGTGGAAATAGACGTGGGCGACGGTTGTTCGTACTCTGCATCTGTGTGCGACTGCGCGTGCTATCTGAACGTTTTGCGGCATGCCCGCGGATACGCGGGATCCCTGTGCCCGCTTTGCCAAATGTGCGACAGCCTTGATGTATCGTGCCATTTTCTTGTCGCCGTCCTACCTTTTGTTGCGCGATCCTGCCTCGTCTCCGCACCAGTCTTTGTTGTCGTTTTGGCATCAACTCTCATGACAGTCATCGGGGTCGGCAAGCACGGTGCCCTAACGCCTCAGTTCTGTCAGACCACTCGTATGCGTGTCATGCGCCAGTAGTCAATTCATGAAGCGTGCAACAGTAAGCTGAGGGCCGTGATGATGAGATGCTGACGGCGAGCTGGCTCACAGGAGCACTCGCCCTCTCGCTGCCGATGCTCGCGCGCCTGCGCCCCCATCGGCCGTGCACCGATGAATTGGCGGGTGGGTACGCGCGGTCAGAATTCGTTATTCGAACGTGGCCGTGGGGTCTCGCGTGGCGCCACGCACCACTCAGTGGGTCGCTACTGCGTGCATAGCGCGAATCTAAACGTACCATCATCGAACCGGGACGCACGATCGCACCGGGGATGTCGTCGCGGCGCAGCGCACTTCGCTCGCGTAGCTGGCGTGTCCGCCACCATTGAATGAGTGTGCCCTTCTGGCGCCGACGGGGAACGTTCGAACGTTGTTGGGCTCTGCAGTACGGGCAGCTGAGAACTCGATCGCTCCCGTGTGCGCCGATGCACGCGGCCGCGCTCCATCTCGAGCGCGCCGAGACGGGCGGATTTTCTCAGGGGCGCATCTGACAAGATTTATCTCGGTTCCAGGCCGTATGGCAGCTGCGGTCCAGGCCCTCTCGTAACCCGTCAGATCGACTGCCCCTGAAACCTCACCGCTACAAGAGGTGGACGGGAGGATTACTGCGCTGCCGTCCAGGACCGTGGAGGTACTCCTTGGCGGCGAGGAGTTGTTCGTGTCCGCGCAGGGCCACCGTCCGTTGTATTCCACATCGACCGTATGCGGTTCCCATGGACCCTCGGGCTACGCGTAATAGCAGTGCTAGAAATGCTAGAAAAACAGTAACTGTATGTGAAGAAGCGATTGCTCGCCACCCTCGCACCATCTCCTCCCACCATCACCCCAATCGGGCCAAGCGATCTCCCAGCGCTGTTTGGGTGCTTCGCGAAGCGCGGTCATAATGGACAAGCAAGGGGGAGGCGGGTGCTAGGCTATTTATGGAAGGCTGTTACGTACGAACTGAGTTGAATTTGAAAATCCCCATCAAATCAGCTCTGCGCTGTCAGTTGACGAGCCGGCCGCTGCGGGGCGGGGCGGCATTTAGTATGGACGCTGAGCGCTGAGCGACGAGGATGAGGATGAAGGTGCTCCCGCCGGCGACCCCGCATGGCCCCGTGGGGTACCAGACGAGCCTCGGCACCCGCGTGGTGATACAAATGTCGAAGAGCCAGCGTCCGGGTGACCCAGGCGAGTGCTCTAGTGCTCCCTGACGTGTGTGCTGCGTCTCACTGATTGACAGGCTCTGCCATGTACGGTCCGGGAGGCGTGCCTAGGCGAGTTCTTCGATCTGCTCTGCGCCTCACTGACGTGCTCTTGTTGTCGACAGAGATGCAGCTCGTCTATGGCCGCACGGTTGTCTGTCCGTACATCTCGTCCTTGGCCTATACTCTCCCATAAACACTCTCTGTCAGCCTGGTATCACCACCGTCTCAATCTCATCAAGAAGCTGGCTGTGCGACCCTGTGGCAACCTCCAACACCATCCGCATCATGTCTCGCTAACCCTGCCATTCGCGCTGCCACCTTGATTATCTCGACCCCTTCTTCTCCCCTCTATCAAGTACAGTCCATTGTCTCTCGAATCCCGACGGCCGACATCTCCAGGTCTACCGCCGCTCTGTGGCCGCCCGCTCCGCAACACCGCCTCTCTGACAGCCAACGCCACTGTATTTGTCCCTCCATCGGTTCGAGCTTATCGTCTATCACGCCTCTCCGAAGCACCACCCACAGCGGTCCCGGGCGCACACGACGCCGCGCTGACTTCAGTCCGTCTAAAAATTGAAATCGACGCAGCATCGCATCGCGGGCGCTCCCTCGCTCCTCGTATCTCGTCGGCTCAGCGAGGACCCGGAAAATCCCCTCAGAGGTCCGATCCCTCAAAACCCCGAAAATGGCCCTAAAAATGACCCACTTTTGGCAGTATTTTGCGTTTTATGAGACCATGTTGTCATGGTTCCCTCCCAGAATTGGTGAGTAGACAGTTCTCCCCAAGATACATCGAAATATGGAATGTGCCTGACATTCCCACGCTTAGATCGTGACAAATCTTATCTTATCTACCCCCGAAATAGGGTCTGCGCGGGATCAGAGCTCTTAGGGGATTAGCCGGGGTCCTGCTCAGCGGCGCAGATAACGGCGACGTATCGTACGCGAGGCTGGAGCCCGCGCTTGGGCGTATTCGTATTTCGATTTTGCTGTGCGCACCAGACTTCTCGCTTGGGCGGCACGTCAATACGCTGTGGGGCTCGACGTGTGTCCTGGAGCGTTGGGCCAATTCTCGCACCGCCGCGACGCGCTCGATGACTGTCTACGGGCGGGCGACGCTGCATCTCAGTACCGTGATGACGCCACAAACCCACGACGGAGCGTCTGCGTCACTGTGGTTAAACCCGGTTTTGCGACCCACATGCGTCGGTGCTTGCACCATCTCCTGGTTCACGCACGAGCTCGGCCGACTTCATGTATATGCGGACCCGCGGGCGACACGCAGACTCGCGTTCTCACAATCCCGTCTCTGCTCTGTGCTCTGTGCTGCACGTTCGTCATGCGCTTCCTTGCGCACGCGTGCTGGGCGTCTATCTGGGCGACGAAACCTGCAGGCCCTCAGTGGACGCTCGGCCTCTGTTGCGCACACAACGCGCGGGACGCGGCAGTTTTGACTCTCGGACGGCTCATGCGGACGTGGCTTCTGGTTCTCTGCGTCTCTTTGTCTATCACTGCTGCTCATCGATCGCTCGTCCATTCCCGGTAGGGCGGCCAGCCAGAGCCAGCCAGAACGAGGCCAATATGCTACTCGGGCATGCACACGACCGGCCTGAAGTGCAATACGTGCCTGTGCGTCATGAATGCATGTGTGTATGATGCACTCTCGGGGCCTCTCAGCCTCTTACCCTCGGCCTGATCATGCGAGTAACGGCGGACATGCTCTTCGCTGTCGTCATGGCGCACGGTGTTGCGCAAGATGGGCTCTTATGGGCCCGTCGACCGGAGCCTGTAATGTCTGTCAGCTGGCCAAAGTGTTCACCCTGGGATCGTCGATCAGTGCTCACTGTGGGGCTATCTACTACTTAAGACGGTGCACGCTGGGTAGCGGGCCTTGCGGTGCAGGGACCTGTGTCAGTATATAGCAAATCAGACCTACCCTTTCTTGCTGTCCTGTCGACATTCTACCTGTATAAGCTGTGTCTATTCCTGATGCAGAGGATCTCGCCCCACCTGGCCAGATCAATCACGCTGCCCGTCTGCGTATGATTTGCCAAATCTATAGAGGCACAGCCCTA